CCCCCCCCCCCCCCCCCCCCCCCCCCCCCCCCCCCCCCCCCCCCCCCCCCCCCCCCCCCCCCCCCCCCCCCCCCCCCCCCCCCCCCCCCCCCCCCGGGGAGACTGTATAAGCCACACTAGCCACACTAGCCACATTCATCTGCACCAATTCAATTTTGCTCAGTTGAATCCTGTCAAAATTGAAAAAGTCAAACCATCAGACCAACATATTCGATATCAGATCATGCTTCTTGTTTGGAGTACTAAGCTGACAAGAAGATTTTATGGATTGAAATTACATCGATTAGGGCCTATTTCACAAGCTAGACAGCTGAAAACTTGCACCATGTCGGTCGTCGATATTGGTCGTTTAGCTGACCTCAAACACGCCAGGCACTCCGTAACCCTGTCCAATGGCAAGCGCCTTGTCCTTTTCCGCCTACCGAAAATTCAACCTTCGGATGCGGTAGCGTTACCAGCTACGGAAAAGTCTGATTCGTGGGCTTACTATGCGATGGAAGCAGAGTGTCCTCATGCAGGCGGGCCTATGACTGAAGCTCACATAGATATCGAAGACTCGTCTTATATTGCTTCTTGCCCGTGGCACGCATATGACTTCAACGTAGAGACCGGTGAGTCCAGCTATGGTATCAAAACCTGCACCTTCCCGGTTGCCATACAAGATGGAAGGGTGAGCATACATGTCGCAGAGGCCGAAGGTTTACATCTCTCCAAGATCGAGCCTGTCAGCGAGAAAGTGAAATTCAAGCATGGCCCTAGAGTCGAGCCCTCAGGTGCCCCAACCTATCTTGGCGAGGGTGCTTCTTTATGTGATTGGTGTGTTCACATATTGAATACTTCTAACCCTGAGCATAAGATCGAACTCACCACACACCTCTTCTCTTTATTCGCAACGCGTGAACAGTCTCCCTCTCCTATGCAGGTCGGGGCTGGCAGTGCGACTCCTCCCCAAGAACCGCCAAGGCAGAACCTAACCCAGGTGAAACCGGGGCGTATGCCTAAATCTGGCAGGGGAGGGAATGTTAAAAACAGGATAATGATGCTCCACGCTCTCGCAAATATAGAACAATGGGCTATCGACCTCGCCATCGATATTATAGTCCGCTTCGCCTCCTTTCACACGATCTCGCTAGACGGAAACGACAGTTCACAGAAGTTGCCACGAACGTTTTTCTACGACTGGTTGAAGGTCGCGAATGATGAGGCAAAACACTTCTCTCTTCTACGAGCGAGGCTCGAAGAGTTGGGAAGCTACTTCGGTGCACTTCCAGTTCACCATGCTTTATGGGAATCGGCCGAGAGGACAGCGCACGACCTACGTGCTAGGATAAGCGTCATCGCACTCGTTCACGAAGCCCGGGGTCTCGATGTCAATCCCCTGACGATCGAGAAATTCCGAAATGCCAAAGACGGCGAGAGCGTCGACGTCTTGAATATCATCCATAATGACGAGATCACACATGTTACGACGGGACATAGATGGCTTACTTGGATCTGTCAACAGGAAGGTACTGATCCGGTACAAGTCTTCCGGAGCAATGTGCAAAAACATTTCAGAGGTGCTGTGAAGGGTCCGTTCAACGCTGAAGCCAGAGAGCAGGCCGGTATGGATAAGAGCTATTACGAAGACCTCTATGGGCAACCGTGGAAAGGAGATGTGATTGCTGGCGGCTGAATACATCCGGAATTCAAGGGTGATTAGATTGAGTTCGTTGAAGATCAATCCTGAATCATCATGGATGTGTCGAGTGACGGACATGCCGAGGTCAACTGATCATGGTATTATTCATAACCATTTCGACAAACTTTTTTTCGGCAAACTAAGAGATACAATGGCATGGTTCAACACTCTAGACAGATACTTCCGACGACATCTTTATTAGCATACGTCTAGCGCCCCTTATTCACATCTGGGTCGCGTTGAAATTTTCGAACAAGGACGATTTCGACTAGTGCCTGAATGAAGAAAAATAAGATCTAATGGTCCCGTAAATCTGGATGTCGATAGAATAGAAAAATGAATCATGCATTTAATCTAGTCGACGGTAGGCCGTAGATAGATCGGAATCATGCCGTGTTAGATCCGGAATCGCCCGAGCGGGGCAAAACGGGGGAAGGGGATCGGTGAGGCTGAAATGCCAAGAATGACTGACAGGGGTCGCGTGACGTAGGCCAGCCTTATTAATCTTATTTTTAGCTTATTTTAGCTTAGATCGGGTTCCGAGGTCGTTGATAAGCGTTATGAAAGTTGTGCATATGGCATTCAGATGGACAAATCAAGAAGGTCCAAGTACGTTTAAGGTTCCCGCGATTCCCCATAGCTCCAACAGAAAGCGGGGTGAGAGCTGGTTGATGGCCTGTCCATTTGAACCCAATTCATGGCAATTACCAACAGCCTTTTCACCATTTTTACCTTTTTGCACTTCCCTTTGAATATTCTTAAAAAGAATCTTACCTCGACGACTTTCATGCAACGACTCGACAGCGTCGGACTCGATTTTCGGTTGCCTTCTCCTTGAAGGGTTCGCCCGCGTCATCTTCCGTCGTCTTACTACCTAACCACCTAACCGCCGAGATACCCGATAATAATTAGAGCAAAAATGGCTACAGTCGAACACTGTCTATACTGCTTCGAAACGCTGGTCGCGTACTTCGAGAGACGCAAACCCTTGGACCTCGAAGAGATCCAAGAGTCGTATGAAGAATATAGCAAGGAGTTAGAGGCGGCAGCCCTGTCCGATAAGACGGAGAGCCTCGAGAAGCGCATCCCGGCCCTCAGGAGGGTAGCCGACTCTAACGATTCCGGATCGAGTGCCTCGTCTCCTGCCTCAGGTTCCAGTATGTCCCTCAGCACCGAAACCGCTGCTACGTCCACCGATTCTCTCCCAGACTCCGAACCTCCAATTACCGAGTCGCCGCTGTTCGTGACATGGAACACAGTCGATCCCGATTCAGACGACACTTCACTGCGGGGCTGCATCGGCACTTTCGAGGCGCAAGAGCTTGACGATGGCCTTAGCTCGTACGCCATCACCTCGGCAATCCACGACACGCGATTCAACCCCATGTCGCAGCGGGAGTTACCATCTCTCGAGGTCGCCGTTACGTTGCTTACGAATTTCGAGGACTGCGACGACGAAATGGATTGGGAGATCGGGACGCACGGGATAAGGATAAGTTTCACAGATCGCGGCAGACGGTTCGGTGCTACGTACCTCCCAGACGTGGCGGCTGAGCAGGGATGGACCAAGGAAGAGACGCTGGTGAGCCTCATGCGAAAGGCCAATTGGGGTGGTAGAAGAGATAAGTGGCAATCCGTCAACTTGAACGTCGTGAGATACCAGGGCAAGAAGAAGTCGATAAGATACCCCGAGTACAAGCGCTGGCGGGATTGGGTGGATCGGAAAAGTGAGGAAGAGGTGTAACCGCGAACGGGTTCAGAGGAAGGGAGGGGCACGCGGGTCTAGGTACGCGCTTAAGAACGCGAGAAAGAAAGCATACACGCGGACGCATTATATGGGGCGGTATAGGCGTTTGTGGAAAGGGAGGGAGTATAGAGCACGGCGCCAGAAGAAGTAACCGCGTCAGTAGTGCAGGTGGTGGTGGATGATTTGATGATACAGGTAGAGCAGGGTCGCTTCTCCCGTTTTTCCTGCGAATGCTTTCGAATACTATTGCCAATCTAATAACCTACTTTACAACTATCCTTAGGCCAATCTCCTCTTTGGTTCTAAGTGTCGCCCTTCATATAAGTCATTTCCCCTACTATCCCTTACTAACGAGGACATGTTCACTGTAACAACGATAAATCGGGATAGGTTGGAACTTGAGAATGTGGTAAATCTCAAAGTCTAATTTTAATCCCACGAGGCGTCTCATCATGAGACTTCGTTGGCCGAACGATCCTTCATAATCGATGAGGGAGCCTATTCGCAATAGCTAGGATCTCATACCAGCTGCTCATCTACGAGAGAAGGGACATGGCCTTCCCCTGGCATGAGGTCAATGGAGCCGCCCTTCGCCTAGAACTTATCGGTTGCCATATCGACAAATGTCTCAGGAGTCCAGCCCTCCGCCATATTCTCAGCAACGGAGAGAATAATTGTCTCTGGAACATGTGTCCCGCATTCTTCAACCTCGTGCGAAACAGGGCTAGCAACCAGGCTAGCGAGCCCCATCGCCTAGTTATCGCTTTCGAATTCCTCGCCCAGCTGTATGATATACCTCACGATGCGTCCTATTTCTCCTCGTCCTCTCCTCTCTTTTGTTTCATCATTCATTGGCTATTCAAGTCGTTTATTTATTCATTCGCTTTTCCTCCGACTGCATAGTTGCTAACTAACTAGCTCGGCTAGTCGCACGCAGCAAAGATGTCGTTGTTTTCTCCTCACTCTTTTTTACTCACCCTTACGGTAGCCGGCTCGCTGACGGGCGCGGCAAACGCGGCTAGAATGTTCCCTATGGCGAACGCGACGGCGCATAATGGATCCGTGGACGCGACTACTTTATATAAGAACACGAATGAGGTCTTGGCAATTCCGCTGAGGCGCCTTGAACATCGCGGTGTTCCGACGACGAGCTTGGCCAGGAGATATTTCGGCACGGATGTCCTCGGGGTTTATGGCGCGGCTTATTTCGCGGAGAGTATGTATTCTCAGTCCTGATTATGGGAGAAAAGAAGTTGCTAACGGGAGGATAGTGATGATCGGTGGAAATGACAATCCACAAACTGTCAGCGTGTTGCTTGACACCGGTTCTTTCGAGATGTGGGTTAATCCGAATTGCTCGGCGGCGAACGTTAAGGACTACTGCGAGGCATTTGGGCACTATGACCCGACTATTTCGCCTACTGCAAAGAGTCTAAATACGAATTTTGGGATCCAGTATGGCCAGGGAAGCGCGAGTGGGGTTTATTATAAGGATGATGTTTACCTGTCTGGTGAGTTGTGTTTAGCTCTCTCTGTTTATAGGGGTTACTGACGATATGAATTAGGTGCCCAGATCAAGGAGCAGCAATTCGGCGTTTCGAATACGTCAAGTGATGTCTGGTTCGGCATATTAGGTCTTGGACGCGGCCAGGGAGGCGGTGTCGTTAATTACTCGTCCATCGTCGACTCGCTCGCCGATCAGGGGTATACAAATAGCAAGTTATTTAGTTTGGACTTGGGAGGTCAACCTGGTCCTTCTGGTGAGTTAATACTATATGATCATAGACCCCTGAATATGATGTATGCTAAATAATGCTAAACAGCTGCCATCACGGGAGAAATGGTCTTCGGTGGAGTCGATACCAACAAATACTCTGGAAACCTAGCCAAGGTCCCTACCGATCCCAAAGACCCGTAAGTCGAAGCATTTTCCGCATCCCAATTGAATTAGCGTCCTCAATCTAACTTACATAGACACTACGTCGTGACACTCAACTCTCTATCCATGCAAACCCCTAATGCTGGCGACAACGCCATCTCCCGCCGAAGTGAGCCCATCAACGATACCAGTCTCCCCCTCCAAGTGGTCGTTGACTCCGGGACAACGCTCTCCCTGCTCCCGGAATCCATGGTAACGGCCCTAGCTGCAGGCTTCCCAGGCGCTACATCCGATGGCAGCGGTGGCTACAAGGTACCGTGCGACCTGCGCAACTCAACGGATAGCAGCTTGGACTTCGAGTTTGCAGGTGAAGGTAACGAAAAGGTCACGATCACGGTTAGCTACGCCGATTTCATCTGGTATGGTGGTGATGAGTGCTTTTTGGGAGCCCAGTATAATAAAGACATTGGTGTCTGGATTTTGGGTGATACGTTCTTGAGAGGGGCTTATGGTGAGTTCTGTCTTGTATACTTCCTGAATGTTATAAAACTGACAATTGCCAAAAGTCACATTCGATCAAAGCAACAATGCGCTATACATGGCGAACTACGCTAAGTGCGGCGAAGAGTCGAACTTAGTCCCCGTTCCTGCAGGTGTAGATGCCGCGGCTAACATTCCTGGTTCTTGCGAGAGGCCGGTCGTTGTGCGCCCAGCATCTCCTGTTGAATCCGGTCCGGACTGTACTGAGACTCTGTTACCACCAGCTGCTACTACGACTGCTACGTTGAACAGGCAAGCGAGTGCCGCGCCGGTTGCTCCCGAAGACGGTGAATGCGACTGCGACGAAGATGACAACGACGGCGGCGAGATGGAAGAGTCAGCGCAGCGTTTTGCGTATCATTCCGAGCATTTCGAATACCATGAGACTTTCACTGCTTCGGAGACTTTCATTAGTACGATGTTCCGACACATCGTATACACGATGAGCGAACAAGAATACACCCATCACGAATCCTTCGTCACCACATTTTGCCCAGGCGACATCCTACCTCCGCCCACCCCGTCTCTAGCCCACATTGAGGTCCCGACGCAACCTATGCCGCAGCCAACCATCACGCCCACACCGGCTCAACCTGCCGTGGTCCAAGTAACGCAACCCGCAACCACGATCCTAACGCAGAAAATCGAAATCACTACTACCGAGCGTTGCGAGACTAGCACTTATACAGTCACTGCCTGCGACGCAGTCAATGATGGCTGCACAGTAGGCGCGACAACTACAAGAGTCATGACTTTAATCGACACAGTGACAGTCAAAGCTCACCCTGCCGCCTCCCCCCCTCCCCCGCCCTCTCCCATCTCAATCGAATCAATCGAATCAACCTCATCCTCCCCAACCTCCTCACCCCACACAACCTTCGCCCACCCCTCCGCCTCCATCTCCCCAACCCCAACCCCATCCCCAGCACCAACAGTAACCCACGCCCCGCAATCCATCTCCGTAGCCCCAGACACCCCCACCACCTTCTTCTCCTACTCCAACCCGCTCCCGCCTCCGCCTCCGTCCCCGCCCTCCCAGGGCGTCGCGTACGGGAACGCGAGCTGGGCGTTTAATAACGGGAGTGTGGGTGCGAGTGCGCCGGTCATCGCGGCGGCGCCGAGTCGGGGGTTTGGCGCTGGGGTGGGGATGAATGTGAATGCGAACGCGCCGACGCCGACGAAGAGTATGTCTACGGCTACGGCTACGGGGTTTGTGGTTCCCATGTCTGGGGCTGCGGGGAGGATGAGAGGGGGGGAGAGAGTGCTGGTTGATGTGGGGTTGTTGGCGGCGATGGTGGTTGCGTGGGTTGTGTTGGTGTGATGGGGTTGATGCTTGGTTAAAGGGGTTTGTGGGGTTGGGGTTGAGGGATAGGGGATAGGGGTGGTCGCCAGATTGCTGGTTGATGATTGAATGAATACTTACGATACCAAAAGGGAAGAAACCGGAGGAAATAAGGGAAGAAATCGGAGGAAATAAGGGAAGGAAATATGGTGATAAAGAAGGATACTTGAGCGGTAATGGATGAATGTCATGGGGATATAAACCTAGGAATATCGGCACGGTTATGGGGGATATTTGGTTCTCAGGGGTAGAATCATGACAGGATAGGACTTGGTAGGCTGGACATCCAAACCAGCCCGGCTTCAATTAGCAGATAGATGGATATCTCGTAGTTTCTTTAGATACCTAGGTAGTAGACTTAATTCGAATCTTTTGAAGTTAACGTTCATCTTCCCCCTCAGGAGTCTTCCTAAATGAATTACTAAGATATTACTAATGAATAATTGCGAAAAATGGTTACTAAGATATTAGTACGAAACATGACTAAAGATCTTACTAAGAAATGACTAAAGTTGGGTATAGGGGAATTCAATCGATCATTTGACACATCCATTCTCAGCAACCAACCAACCGCAATTATGTTCATCATAGGAGTCAGTCAACATTACCATACCCTGAACGGGCGAATAAAGAAGTCGTTCATTACCAAAAACAGAACGCTCATAGTAGGTACCACCTATTTAGGTACCTAGCTTTTCAACCCGTCCATTCGAATCCTCGTCAGCCAATGCCATGCCATGCCATGCTACGCCGTGCGTTCCACACCCACAAGTCAACCCAAACCTTCCAGATGTACAAGTCCGCAAGATAACCGTACATATCTGCTCCCCCCTCCTCCTTTCGCCTCCCCGGGCGCTCATTAAGAAAACGAGAGGAAGATACATGAATATCCCTATCCCCCAATGCTTCATTGTTCCATTGTTCGAGTTCCCGTCCTCGTCCGCTTCCCCGCCGTGTAGAACGCCTGTGTATGGTATCTCCGAGATACAATGTCCCTGTACCGTCATTTGAAAAGAGATGCCGATTTAAAAAGATACCCCATTGAATTCTTCGCTTTCGTCAGCCGACTGCAAATATGGAATTGAAGTGGTTTGGCTGCAAGTGGTATATCGTGAGTCTTCATCTGAGAAGCTTCATGTAGTAACCCCAGCGATTCTCCATAAGTCATCCCTGAGCATCGTAGTCTTTGACATAAGACCAACGTATTCGTCTCTTTCCTCGCGTTTATCATTCGAAAGCTCCCAGTGACAACTTGCAATTTTGTCCATGACGTGTAGTAGCCGGGTAGTAGTCGACTCTAGGAAGTTTGATAGTCGAGCGAGCTTCACCCTACCAACATCGTAAACTCCTCCAAAACCCATCTTTTCCTCTTCCCCCAAAACCTAACCTTTGGCCGTCGCCAAGCCGTGGCCCCCTCATTAACCCCGAGCGCCCAGGCTTCTCCATATCTGTGTCCCGGTCGTCGCTGTTTCCCAAAGGTGTTAAGGGTTTCGTGACACCACGACGGTCCATTTCAGTGTTATCCAGTACGCCCATTTCCGCCAGGCGACGACCCTCGACTACTCGGCGGACGATAAGAGCGAATGTTTCTTCAATATTCACCTCGAGGCGGGCACTCGTTTCCATGAAGCCGCACCCGCGTTTCCGAGCCCAGTCGAGTCCCTGTGCTGCCGGCACTTGCCGTGACTCTTGGAGATCGCACTTGTTTCCTGCCACTATCTTAACCGGTGGTATCGTCCTTGCGCCACTGCCTGCTCCTCCTAGCCCAGCACTCCCTCTCCTCTGCCCTGCCCCTAAGCCAGCCCTCCTCGCCCGCGCCGCATTGTCTAACCGTGTCTCGGCCTCCATATCTATGAGGTCGTTGAAGTAGTTTAGGGCGTCGAGGCTATCGTGCGAGGTGATGTCGTAGACGAGGAGGAAGGCGTCGGCGCTTAGGTTAGAGGATGCCCACATGCCGCGATATTCTTCTTGGCCCGCCGTGTCAGTTAGCGAAAGGTGGTACGTTGTCCCGTCAATGCGCCGTGTGATGCTGTAACTATCTTCAATCGTCGGGTCGTACTCGGACGTCCATTGGGATCGGACTAGTCGCAGGGTGATAGACGATTTACCGCATCCGCCATCGCCGCATATCGTGATCGATATAGGTACCGGTGGTTGTGGGACTGACATAGGCGGTTGTTGTGGTTGGTGATATTGTTGTTGATTGGGATGCATTGCTGCGATTGGTTTTGTAACTCTACTCTACTCTTCTCTATGCTTGGTGTCTATTTCTTTTTCAAGTGGTAGTCATGCGCCTAAATAGGCAAGGGAATCACCGTGCGTCGTTAGTCAGAATGAACGGACTTGCGAGTGGGAACTGTAACAGATCGATTTTGTGGATGATTGATTCGCAGGCTGGTGCAGTAAGGAGCGTTTTTCGAAGAGACAATGACGGTATGTGTAGTGTTTGGTGTGTAGTGAGTATATGGCACAAGAGAATAGGATCACTGGTGATTTTTTTCTCTTTTTCCCGGTTGCCCTCCGACCACCAGAAGGAGTTGAAGGTTGCAGGGTCCGAGGTTCTCTCTACCTGGAGCAGCTCCACCAGAATCCAACGCCTATTCCCCGTTTAGGTCTAACCGCCGTTAAATTTGACTTATAAGACAGGACTTATAGCGCCCACGGGAAAGTTGAGCCAGACCACCGGGTGGACCGTGGAGATGAAGGATTGAGTGGTTATCGAGTCGTTATTTATGAAATCTTCGATACAAGGAGTTTCGGAAGCGTTGATCTAGCTAACTAGCAGTTTGAAGATTGTAATGCGGTGGTAAAGCGGAAGCGGAAGAGAGAGATGTTTTGTGTTTCGTTTGGGATGGGTTGATCCAAACTAGGTAATGCTTGGTAATGCGTGCCGTTCAAGAAAACGGACTGGAAGCGTAGACGTGTGAACGTGTGGATGTGACGTGATGCGATGGGATGGAATGCGATTGGAACGTCAAAACGTGTGCTTGGACCGCGAAACCAAAGCCAATCAGTAAAATGGGTTGGGCAGTGATAGAATGAAGAAGTAAGAGCCGCAGAAGCCCTAGTAGATAGTAGGTAAGGTAAGAATCTAAACTCGTAGCGAATGTCCCAAAAGAGAAGGTGGGTTCTTTGGAAGTTGGGTTTCGATGGTTGATGATTTATGGTTATGGTTATGGTTTAAAGAAGGCGATTATTTGTTAGGATGTAAGGTGTGACTGAAGTGACCGTCGCGAGGGTGAGGGTGAAGATTCAAGTTAGCTGTTTGAAACTTGGAAATGGAGAAAAGAAGAAGTGCAAAGTAACAAAAAAGTTGACGATGGTAAGATTCTAAGTCCCAAACTTTCCACCGCCGTGGTCTTAACCCGGATGGCTGGGGCAAGCAAGCGGTGGCAGCAGCAGTAGCCAGGCACAACTAGACGCAACAAATAGATGGAAGGTATGGGTGGATGGGATTTTGATGGGGATGCGTGATAGGCAAGCTAGGGTACTAGGTAGGTACATTAGATACTTCAACGTGGAGCGTGGTGGTAGGGGATAAGGTGGTACATGTACTTACGGTAGTGGTAGTAGTGGGGCAATGGGGTTTCTCTTTTAAGTTTCCAAGTGGGGTCTTCAGGGTCTCAGGGGTCACCATGCAGCTGTTATGGCAGCCAGGTACCTGTAAGGTTTGAAAATGATGCGGATTGGTTCAATTTGTCAATCCCATCCGAGTGTTCCCTCCTTTTAGCCCTTTTAGACCTTTTCGTCAACACCTAAACAAATCTTGTCTGTCTTGCCTAACGCTCGAGCCTCTACGTTCTGCTGATCGTCAACATATAACAAACCGCAAATAATCGCCGAACGACTAGGAACCTATGGAAACTAAAAATCTCGCGAACACCCGAGGCATAGAACAAAAGATCGGATGGCTGATCGACGAAACGCTGCTACCACAAGTGACGCAAGTAGGCACTTATGATGTACATGAGATGTGCATAAAAACCCCAATGAGATCCGATATGAAGAGAGAAAGTTTTGAGTAATAATAAAGATATCTTCTATTTGGCTGTCTGGGTAAATTTATGATTAGGAAGATCCAAGAAGTTCAATGTCATAGCAACGTCTAACTAAGATTAAGGGGGGGCTATATAACGAGGCAAGGTGATACGCATCAAGGGACAAAAGGTGGAAAAGAACAATCAAAAAACGTCGCATTCGGCTGCGATTGAAATATTGAAGGAGTACTGAAAGGCTGTGACCACGACAGCACGACAGAGTCATCACAAGTGACCTTAGGCATCAATCAATCCAAGGTTTTAAAATCCCACGTCACCTACATGAAGCTTTGTTTGCGATTGACAAAGCTATCGTGTAGGTGTGTAGGTGTGTAGGTATGTGTATCATACCTCCCCTTCATCGGACGATTGATTCGCAATCTTGGAGGGGGTAAAATAGTGGTGCCAGTGGTTCGGATAGCTGACAGTTAGGTTGGTCATGCTTTTAGATATTCGGCCATGCAGAATTTAGGGTATCACTTACATGGTGACACGGTAAAGCATCAAATGGGAATAATAAGAATGCTTTTTCGAAAAGGAGTCCGGCGTTGGAGGAATCTCTTCCTTGCCCGCCGAACGTCATCTTTAGAGCCGCCGAGGTTTGTGATGTTGGGTTACTATCAATCGTGATAGGTGCGGCTTCCTTTGCCGGTCACTCTCCCCTCCCTCCCTGATCCTCGGGGGTCGCACACTTACAGAGTACATGCAGGTCAAGACGCATGATGCTGCTGTAGTGTTCTCTCGTGGGATTTAATAACCAATTAGGTGTTGCGATTTGAGGCTTGAGGGCGTTCTTGTTGATAGGAGAAAAATGATTGAGATGGGCGTGGGTGCGGGTGTAAGGTGGGATATATCGTGAAGAGACAGAATTCCGCCCAATCTCAAGATGCTCACTTAGCTGTCTAGGTTCAAAACAAGTAAACCTGTTTCCTCGACTGCCGATCCGACACTACGCTGCAGTTAACCTATCTATCAGCCCTGTTCCTTCGACAGGCATTTGAATGGGCTGGTAAACGCGATGCATCCAAGTCAAAAGCATCTGTTCCCGCTCAGAAAGCCTATCGTAGCGAGTGACTTCGCGATGCGATGTGGAGTAGTTCTGATGGGCTACACTTAAAAAGCCCGTTCAACTCATTAACCCGATGAAATTGATATCATCTCATTCGAGACCCCGGTCACACATATTTAGGCCGTCGCTGGCCATCTCTTTCTAGCCAAAACGATGCAATCACCACGAAGATGGGGGGTGCCCTTCAAGATGCGCACAGTCCGCCTCGACGGTTACAGTGGGAAGGGTCCTACGACCGGCCTCCTCCCTGCTAGGACGTGGCGGGTATTCCCTCCTATCTATCGTCTACCTGTTTGAAGTTAGCAACTCGCCAAGCGTCCAGGTCAGTTTCTCCGCCCTGCTACCGGGAGACAGGTTAGTCGGAGAATTTCTGAAGGATCACCACGGCACGCACTGTGGATGAGCAGAACTGGTAATAATGTTAACGATATACCTAGCGTACTTTATCCACGTTTCGCGAACACCATGAGGAGAATCGATCATGTCCCCTGCGAAATAAAACTAGCGCCACTATTATGAAGCTCTAAATGTGCTAAACGTGCTAAAGGATAATAGAATACACGTGCCATCAGGGATTAGTGCCCCTGGCCTTTTGGAAAAGGGGTCATAGCGTATCCAGAATCTAGAGTCCTGACAGCGCCCAGACTGGTTCTTGAACCCCGCCATTTCTATCAATTAGCGGTAGAAATTGCTAGTAAAGTGCCATGGCGTAGAACAGTTGAGCGCTAGCAATGAGCTATTGGGTCCATGTGCGTACCCACGTGTATACGCTATAGCTTCTAGCTTCCAGCCTTCACCGAGCCACTGAATAGTTGAATTAAAAATTCAAGATGCGACGAAACATCGAAAACGGAAAACCAGGTACGCATCGCATTAAACACATCTCACACATCCGGCAGACCATGTAGATCCCGGCATATCTATTGTAAGAAATCTAACACAAGATGGACTTGAAACGGTCTAGATCCAGTCACATGCCATAATTGCTGCTTGAGGTAGGTAGTTTTTTTCTCGGTACTAGCGTCGTTGTCGAATGTGTAGCGTGGCGGCAGTGACACCTACGATCATTTAGACAAGTGGCACCTATTGATGATTGGCTCGCGATATAGATAATGTATTAAGGTACCCCAATCCCATCCATTGCTTGAATGTGCCTAGGAACCTTTTCAGCGTGTCCCTAATTATATGAGGCGATCGTGCATATGTAAATTGTAACGGCGTTGGGGGTAGTACTACGCCGGTCCCATTACCATACTCGACCAAGTCAAAGTCGCAATTGCTATCCTTAATGCAACATGAAGTAGTGAAAACTAGCTTGCAACTCACGCTCTTCTCTTGCTTTTAACGTACGATATGCTAACTTTAAGACGTATTCTTGTTTGCAAGCGCCTTAGGTGACCAGCTAAAAAGTTTCTTATGCTAGATTTCTAAGCACCCCCACCCCTAAGAAAAAAGGCAAGGTCAGTTTATCAAATGCTCAACTTAAGGCCTTTAACTTCATAAAACAGCAATGGGATTCAATCATTGCGACATCTTTGTTATAAATGACATCATTTGAAAATGTGAGAAGTAAAAATAAGGAAGTCCTACAAGATACAACCTGAAAGGCAAGATCTAAGATTCAGGGGCTAAATACCCCTTTTATTATCAGTTACTACCTTAGCCTTCTTTTCCTACTCTTCTTACACTAAACCTTCCCATACCCAGGCAGATAATCTATCTAGATAAATTGTATAAGAACAAAAACAGTAATTGATTACCGTATTAGAGCGCGGGTTAGTTATTGATACAGGTAATGATGTTTGATAATTGCTCGTGGGCGAATCGCTTGCCTTCCAATTATCAATTAGGATAAGTAGTTAATAATGATACCGTTGCATAGAGCTATGTTGAAGCAGTGGACGAAGGGTCATGTATTATTGACTATGATCTGACCGTTCCATTCAGTTTATTCCCTTTTCAAATAAGAAGACGAAGGAGTATCATAACAATGCTTTTGCGCAAGGAGCTCACATACTTACGCCGAGGGAACACAGTATACTTGCTGGAAAGGTAAGCTAGGTAGAAACCAACGAACCTACTAGGGATTTCTCACGATATCCCACGAAGCAAATCCCAATCATACTAGACCACTAGCCGTTGTTGAGTCCTCTACAAGACGGGATCTCTCGTAATAATATGCTTGAACACACATGAATACTCGTCAAAGCTAGCCAATATAGCTACCTAGGTACCATACCGGGAACTACCGTTGACTGATAATGATTAATTTCTTCGAAAATCATTGTCCATTATCATATCCAATCCTTCATTTACAAATGATTGGTATATCAACAATCATTAGAAAGTCAAAACAATCATTAGAAACCTGAAATAATCATTAGGAGGTTATATTTGGGTGGGTCTTTCTATCCACTCCCCCTCCCCCTCCTCGTCACTTTCCCTACTATTTACAAGTCACCGGATTTATTATTCTACTAGTCTAAGGCTGTTGTTTGATCTACTATTACAATATCTACTGCTACTGATCTACTGCTACTGATCTACTGCTACTGATCTACTGCTACTGATCTACTGCTACTGATCTACTGCTACTGATTTACTACTAGGTCTACTGATCTACGATCTACGATCTACGATCTACAGGTCTACAGGTCTACAGGTTTACAGATACTGATCTAGTAATCCATTGCGCTTAGTGTAACGATAATGATGATGATGACCTAACGTAACATATTAGTAAAAATCTCCAAGTATTGTTGGTGATATTGGTGGTGTGGAAAAAAAGGTGGAAAAGAAGGTGAAAAAGAAGGTGGAAAAGAAGGTGGAAAAATCTTAAGTTTTGTAAAAAGTGATGTTGTAAGGAAAAGGAAAAAAAAATATTCTAAGTTTTTTTTAGAAGAAGTGTTATGGTTGCTGCAGCAAAAGGTGGGTGGGCCTTTTGCTGTATGACAAGGTGGGGAGAGACGGCGATGTTGAAGATCTTGAAAAAAAAAAACTTAGAAGTTTTAAAAAATAAAAGGTTGAAGGGTGGTGGGTGGGAAATAATAGTATCATCGACCTTGCTGGCGCTCAGGTCACCTGACTGACGGCCCGTTTCAACCTGTTTTTTTCAGTCCGACAGCTGTAAAAAGTGAGTAATGATTCTTATTTTCCTAATGATTGTTGTAAGGACTAATGATTGCTCGAATTTATTAGCGTTTTCTAATGATTATTTAACTTTTCAATCATTGTCTGCTCCCACTATTTCCCGCTATGGTAGGTATCATATGCACTAGTTACAGCGTTGTTGTTCGCCATAATACAGGGAAACTGAGTGTTCAGAGGATAGTAAAGGCCAAATGAGTGTATTAGGTATGTATTAGGTTGTTTAACGAATGAAATGTTACAGCTTTAGCTGACTGTTATTATGATCGGTTTTCAGGAATGGGTATTAAAAACAGCTGATAGACTGCTTTCGGGTAGTGTGGTAGTATACTGAATGCGCCTGCGATTCGTCAATGCTCGGTCTCCTTCCGTGACTTAATTTGGCATGAACAAGAATTTTAGACTTCGATGTAATTAGATCAGAGGCACCTCACTATGTCTTCCAACAGTGTACCCATGTATCAATACCACCATCCCGCTTGATAGCTAGGTGGCTGGTTAGAATATACGATAGGTTCAAAACTTCTCTGGACGTTTTCAAACTTGGTGTAGCCGCAAGATTCACTCTCGAGATGATTCATCAGACCAGCAAGAGTGGTAAATAGAAGACCGCAGGCCCCAGGCTTAGGGCAATGGTAGAGATTCTGCTGATCTATAAACGTAGTATTAGCTATAACGTCTCTGAGTGGCATAAATGTATGGAAAGCAGCTACTTACGTATAGGAGAGCTGAGATGCTGATTCAGATACTGGAGGTGCTTGTACGTGTTGTGGCATAGATAGCACTCGAACGCCTTTCCGTTCCACGCTAACGCCGTGGCCTGGTAGCGGGGAGAGCCGTCCCAACCGGGGAGCTTATTAGATATTATGTGGTTCGTATCTTTGGATCGGATTCTTCTGAAAACTAGATCTCGGTTTGAACTTGGGGCCCCCGGGCAGGATCCACTCTCTATGTGATGTGAAAGGCCGGTGGCGGCTACGAAGTTCTTCTTGCAATGGGGGCATGGAACGTCGAGACCGCGGTGGATGCGCGAGTTTTGGTGCTAGAAATGAATGGTACAGATTAATGGCTGATAGAGGATATTTATACTTGGTTTGACTGTAGGATGAACTATTATTACTTACCATCCTGATGTTGTTGTAAGAGATAAAGGTTCGGTTACAAGGTTCACAGTAGTAGTGTATTTCGGCCTCGTGGTCCTGCTGAACTTCTTCGGTTGGAAACGACTCGTAACAGCCTTGGACATGACACTTGAAGCGCCAATGATTCATCCAATTCATATGGTTGACGACTGCGCCGTACGAGGGGAAGAAGCAAAAACAACTGTCGCATTCATATTCAGGGATATCATGATCCCATTCGAACATATGGTCCAACCGAGCCCGATAATTATCGAATTTAGACCCGCATGTTCCGCAGGTAGCCATTTTATGATAGTAAGACATTTTACAAGAAAAATGCTTGAGAACTCGGTGAGGTTGGTATTGAGATCCGCTAAAGGATATCTTAGTCCTATGGGTAAAGGTCAAATGGCAGACCCGTCGCCGAAAATCGCACCAATCCCACCTGTCAGCGCAACCATCAAATCAGAACCAAAACTGACCTGATTCAGTCAGTTCAAGCTGGTACCAGTTCAGATTGCCATTTTTTCGATTAACCAGTTCAAATGGTTATTTTTTCGACGGTCAGTAGCATCAGTTTAATGCTTTATTTTGGTTCCACTTTTATACGCGTTCTAATTAACTAATATAACTAATATCATGAAGAGAAAATACCGAAATACCTGTAAAAATAAATATTTTAATACTAGATTAAAAAGCTTAGTACTTATCCACTTTCATTACACATCTAATCAATCCGACTACCTGGTAATCAAATAAGTTTCGACTCGACTGACTGATTTGATGAGAGCGCTGGTCTAATTTCACGGACCACATCATGGAGAATAGTCGTGCGGGTGCTTAGTAACGGACTCAAGACTGATCAGCTCCCTTGTAGCTGTTAGGAATTTTACAATAGATGAAATGTTTGAAGGTTCGGGTCAAAGGTTTGAACTAGATATTGGATACCTTCTGCGTGGTTGGATAGGCAATGTTTCCATACTGTATTAGACACTGGCTAAACTCGGGACCTCATAGTGATCTGTCCGCTAAATTATAGTGGATATTCGCTATAACTCTAGCCTGTTTAGGAAGACCAGCCACTTAATGAAAAGCCACACAGTGCGAAATGCTTCAGTTTAAACCGGTTTGAGCCATCGGATTCAAGTCCCATGGTTCTCCTTGGGGGTCCACGTGACCATCGAGATACACTAATACGATCCGAGATGAGTTCCATAGGCTTGTCCCAGTCGCATTTTATGTAATACATGTGACTTTAGAGATAAACAAATGGTTTATCTCCAAGAAGCTCTAGGAACGTTTTGAGACGATGTACTGTAGTCTTGATCTCTGGGTTCCGGGTCACTCTATGATCATAGTCCCGAGACTTGGATTACCAAGGTCACGTGCCACAAGAATGTGGGGTTCTACCTCCGGAATTAAGCATTTTATCCTCAACCCTTCCCCCTTCCTATTTGCAAGCAAGACGCGTCAACTTTGTACACGCCTAGAATTGACGGAATATCGTTGGAAATACTTATGTAACTTCGGACTTGAAATATAACTAACTACTTGCTTACTGTTATGTTACATTGGGACAACCAACTTTCACTCTTCGCTTATCAGACCCTTACGATCCTTTAAAACCCGATCACACTCAAAATCCGTATACATACCCCCTCAACTCCACTATTGATACCTATATTTCGATCCATGGTTCGGGACGTGTATGATTACCCCTCACTGGCGACCTTAGAGTTTCTACAATCTCGTAGAAGAATGTTAAAATCCAAAAGTATGAGGATTGCCAGCCGAATCGCATTGATTCCTGATAGTAATGATGCAGAAGAAGATTGGAAATTGCAATCATCGTCATGCGCAGTGGATAAGTTTGATTTCAGAGAACTCTTCACATTCGGTACTCACGGTGGAAACCAACCTAGTCGAGATCACAAAACCACAATCGACATTGCCGAGGGTGCTTTTGTAATCCCGGCCGTTCGTATATCGCAAACTCCTAATACACAAAGAACGCATGAATCGGAGCATAAGCGCATTCTAGCCATACCTGGCAAGTTATTCATATTTACTGTCAAGCCAGGAGACTAACGAAAAAAATCAAGGAGAACCCCCTTTTGTCGATGAACTCCTATCCAAGAAGCTTGAATTCGAAATCCCTTTATGCAATCGCGTAGTGAGTCCACGCTTTGCGTATGAGGACCTTTGCCGAGCTGCGGAAGGAGTCAAAAAGCTCAATGCTATCGAATCTGCGTCTTTTGTCACCGACGCAGAAACTTTATCAGCTATACTTCGTACAGTCCACGACCAACTCATTCACAGAAACCGCGAAGATGACGATATCGAAGGAATGTGCTTCAACATTCATTCAGAGCATGGAGTTACCTTCATGAAGACACTCAACAGCTCCCAGCTTCAAGGCCCCTTTCATTATGCTGCGAGTAACCATTTGAGGACGAATGTAGTTCAAAAATATCATTTAGCAGGACGCGACTTGAGGGGCCTCAAAGAGCTGAATGAATTCAAACGTGTCGTTTCGTACCGATTTGGTGACCATCCTTTGGTCGTGGAGGATCCCAACCAGGTTACTCACAAATTGTGTCTCGGTCTCGGACAATGGGCATCCAGGGATGAATTCGGGCAGATTGAGATGAGCTCAGAATCAGATCGGATCGAAGGTGGCCGATATCAGCATAGTGACTATCATCAAGAAGATAAGGGGCCCAGTCCTGGATCCTACGATATATTTAAAACTAGGGATGACGACCATGATTCGCCTTTAGTAAGTAGCCGGGATACCGCGCTCTTTCCACACATAACGTACAACCATGAGGACGACGACATAATGCGATCGCAGCTATGGTTTTCGGGTACCGGAAACGTTTTGGTGGGACTATTGCGCAATCCAAAATTCAGAGATACCGTCCAGCATACGGATGAATTCATGCCCTACCTATGTACCATGGCTGAATGGCCTGGGTTTGATAAGTGGCTTTCGGATCATCAAGTTGAGCTCAGTATGAAACTAGTACATCGAATCTTGACGTACATCAAGGATACCACGCACGAGCTTAGCCAAAAGGGTATTAAGAAATTCTACTTGAAGCACTCGAGAAAGTCGGATAAGTTCCTCACCGTGTCTTTGGGAAAGGAGCATGGGCTTCTACCTGAGGACTTGATGTCTAGTTATATAGCCACTGAGCTTGGTAAGCTGGGGAGGGAGATGTGAAAGACATCAATAGGGGTAAATAAAGGGTATGGGATGTTATAAAGCATGCCTTAACGACAAGTACCATCTTTCGCATTTTTCTCAGCATGCCCCTTATCACCCGTCCCGCTTTCTACCTGCCTCCATTTAGGACCCTTGACAATAACCAACCACAAAAGAGGACTCAAAATAACCCAGAGTCCCGCGACGAACACCGCTGTCCAACCTACCCCAATCCGATCAATCAACGGCGACGCCACCGCCGCCGCCCCGGCCCCCACAAGACACCGGCACAGATTATTCGCCGCAACAGCAGTCGCCGGCGAGCTAACATGCGTGTCGACAATAAGCGTATTCAGCGCATTTGTGATCCCCGAAATAAACAGCCCGCACAAAAACAAACAAACCTCAATCCCCGCCAGCGAAGCCCTCGTCTGCATCGCCCAACCATACCCCACGACAGCCGCACACGCGAGATACACAAACGGCAGCGAGATCTGCAGGCGCATCTTCTCGATCGGCAGGGCCGCGAGGTCCTGCTGCCTGTTCTTAGTGATTGCTATCCCGGCGACGCGCGCGTGTCGCCGGAAGTTCCAGTCGAGGAGGTAGCCGCCTGTGTGTCGGTACGAGAGGCTGCCGATGCCGAGGGGGAGGTAACATACCCCGATTATGACGGAGGAGAAGCCGAAGCGGGTGGATAGCTCGGTGGAGAGGGTCGTGAGGAGCATGTAGTACCCGCCGTAGACGAGTGAGCCGAAGGCGAGGATGATGCCGCCTTGTTTCTCGAAGAGCAGTTTTAGCGAGGCGAAGGGGTTGGGGCGGCGGCGTGGGGGCTTGGCGGTCGTGGTGTCGGGGGTGATGCCTTGGCCTCGTTGCTTGATGTACGCTAGGAGGGACATGTTCCACCATGGGGAGGGAATGCTGCCGTTTCCGACGACGCTTCGACCTGTTTCGGGGAGGAAGAGAAAAAGGATTAGGAATAATACGCCGGAGAGGATTGTGAGAAACCAGAATATCGCTCGCCAGCCTAGGTATTGGTTGATGAGGCCCCCGATCACGGGCCCGAGTGCCGGACCGAGAGTTACGCCCATCGCGGCGTATCCGAGATACTTCCCGCGTTCTGCGCGGGTGGCGAGGTCTGCGGATACGGCGCTGGCTAGCGCGATTGTCGCGCTGCTTCCGCAGCTCTGCAGACAGCGGAGGACGAGGAGTGCGGCGTAGGAGTTCTGGACCGCTAGGCCTATGTTTGCTCCTAGATAGATAACGGAACAGATCATGTAGGCTGGGCGACGTCCGTATGTGTCGGAGTAGTTGCCGATAAACGATGGCGCAACTCCTTGGAATATCTAGAGTTGGATGGCTATCAGCACTTCTATCAATGGAGGATACAAGATTCCCAAGAGGCTTACTAGGTATGTTGTCACCGTGAGGTTGATTAGAGATGCGGAGACATTGAGATCCTGGGCAAGTGATGGAAGCACAGGGAGATAGATTGCACTAGATAGGGGTGATATGATGGCCATGAAAGACACGGTGATGATCATCGCAGCTTTTTCTCGGTGGGTGAAGACTGAATAAGGGGGTTCGACGGTTTGCACGCCCTTTTCTCTGGACTCTATATCTTTGGAAGCATCGTCACCCGCGGCTTCTCCCGACTTAAGAATTTCATTCGTATGACTTCCCAGGTTTTCTCTTCGCAATGGGCTTTTAATTTCTCGCATTTGCAAATGGGGACTTGGTGAAATCAACTCTTCCGCTCTCTCTCTTCCAGCCATATCAAGAGTATGAAGGTAAACTAGGTAGAATCCACTAATTTCTAAAGATTCTTTGAAATTCAATGCAATAGTGCCGGAAAATGAGGTTTCAATTGACGTCTTCGTTCTAGCAACGTAAACACTGAAATAATGACTTATAATGGAGTTCTCAAAGTTATCGTCAAGCCTGTATTGGTGAGTAAGTCAAAATCTCTACCCCGTTCGCCGATCCGGCACCGATCCACATTCAGGGGTTCCGAATCAAGCGGGTTGACCGGAGCCGAAACCGGCTATATCAGGTTTCACACTACGTAGTGCACCGATTCCTGCGGAGTTCTAGCTGCATTAACGGTTTGGTTGAGACTTATATCCTATTTCCGTTGTATGTAGGATCTTTAAATATTTAATCTCTCAATTGTTCCCATGGGTCTAGGCGGTTGATTTCCTTGGCACATTGAAATTGCAACTCGAGGTTACTACGTACCATCAACCACCATCGTCAAATCAACATGGAGTGCAAAGGGTGTAGAGAAATTCCACCTGTGTCTTCAGACTACACTCCAAAGGGCACTTATGAGATTATCGCGGGATTAAAAACGTGTAAGAGAATTTCTTTAAAGCATGATCTAGCGTAGTGCCTGGCGTTTTTGGTGCTCTCATATCTTTCATTTGTGAATATCTACCTATGAAGCCAAAGTTTCAATGCTATTATCTTCGGAGTTACTAACGCCCTTTAGACGTTATCGGCCCCCCGTCTCCCCAAATTGCTATCATCGACGTCTACGACGTCTTCGGGCCGGCCCCTCAAACCCTGCAAGGTGCAGACCGTTTATCCGCATCCCTCAACGCGCTTGTCATAGTCCCAGACTTCTGCAAGGGGGTTTACATGCAAGAGGCATGGATGCCGCCCGACACTGACGAAAAAAAAGGGGCTATTGAAAAGTTCCTGAGCGAGCCAGCTTCGATCCCGAAGAACGCCGACAAAGTCATCGAGGTGCGCAAGGTGGCTGGTGAGAAGTGGCCTTCGACCGGTGACCGCTGGGGTGTCTTCGGACTATGCTGGGGCGGCAAGATTGCTGTCCTGGTCTCTGGCAAAGGTAACGATGGACCCGGGAGAGTATTCAAGGCAAGCGGGACCGCGCATCCGGGCCGGTTAGAAGCCGCGGATGCGGAAGCCCTGACGGCCCCGCATATTTGCTTGGCTTCGCCTGGTGAGCCGGCCGATATCGTAGCGCAGTATAAGGAGATTTTGGAAAAGCCCGGGAGGGTAGGGGTTGTGGAGACGTATGAAAGTATGTTCCATGGCTGGATGGGTGCGAGAGCAAATTTGGATGACGAGAATAATAAGAAGGAATTTGAGAGGGGTTATAACCAGGTTGCCGAGTTTTTCGGGAAGTATTTGTAGACTACCTAGTCGCGAAGCGTCATTTTCAGACGGCTCTTGTGGCTTTCTATGAATTATTGCTTGTCTTCGAATGCCTGCGGAAAAAAGCTCTGCTGCGCACTTGAAGCCATGCTTCTCCCCTGAGCTGTCGAATCAACTGTTACAACAGTAGTCCTAGTGATCTCATTGGGGATATTCTCGGCCCCTCTCTCAACATTGCTAATGTTACTCATCCAACTGTCTGGGTTTCTTCTGCACCGAGCGCTGATTTTTGTTTGGATTTGAGGTGAAAAGTACTTCGATGCTCTTCGACCGCTATTGGAACTAGAAAAGGGGCGCAGGCTGTATGAGTCTGCTGTCGAAAATGAAATGGAGCGAGCCGTAGTCTCCTGAAGTCTTTGGAATATGGGTTTAATGAATGGCAGACTGGCCGCAATGATGCCGGCATTTAACTCGACGCTAATACGACTGTGAGTTTTGCTTCTTATTAATGAAAAGATTCGGGGACTCACGGATTCCACACAGTAAGGTCGGCTGAGTCCCATAAGGCGTCGTTAGTTCTCTCAATTTTCATAAGAGATATTGGTTTCATAACTCCTGCAATACACGCGCTACAAACCAATTAGACCCAATGTTAGACCGTATCGTAACATAGTGCTTACATGACACCAACAAAAAGAACACAAACGCAAAGTATTCTTGCTCGGGTATTAGTCTGAATAGTCCAAAGTCGAAAGGCCGCCAACGAAAGAACAAATATATCGGTGATGACGTTGACGACTATAACAAGGAATTAGTGACGGCTTCTTAGGCAGTATAACTGATGAGAGAACACTTACTTGAGTTGGTGTACTTTATACCTCGCATAGTTTCTGGTGATAAGCACTTGGATTGAACACGAGGGTCCCAGATCGCCGGCATATTGATGCATTGGAGCATTAAAAGGACAAACCGAGCAGATGTAAAAGCCAAGAGGAATATTATGAGGCCTTGTATAATACGTCTTAAGATAACTGTAGGTCCTGTCCGTATAAGGGATAACCCTATCGATACCTTTGCTATTGGGATAGCCCACTGGTATATTGGTTGAGAAATGAAATTTAGTTTAAGTCCCATTCTGGTTATCTCTGGATTAAGATATATAGCATGACGTCCTACTCCGTGTTGGACTTCCGCGATGACAATTCCCATCCCAGCCAAGGATAGGAGCTAATTAGTAATAAGTTAATCATTTGCTGCCGTCTACGATACTGGGAAAGTTCGTACCATTGCTAGAAGTATCACATAATCCTATTCATTCACAGTTAGAATACCATTTCCCAATGTTCACGCTGTGGCTTCTTACATCTGCCCCAAATCTCCGTAACATCCATATACGAGCATATATCCTTAGACAAACAACTATTAACGCAGTCAATGTCGTTGATATCACCGCTGCAAGGATATCTGGACCTCGACTTTCATCTGGCAGGTCGGTGTTGAGTAAGAACGGCGCCGACATTGTCGAAGCTGGTGACAAAGAATGTATACAGAGCGACTGCCATATTATAAGAATTAGTTAATTATTTTCACTATTAGCTGTTGTTAATGATATATATAAATCTCTTAGTGAAGTTGCTATTTGCTCAACCCCCGCCACTTTCTAAGAGGGGTTCAAACTAAACGATAGAATGAATCGTAGATTAAGCTGTATGGTTGATGCTTATGATCCAGGTGGTAGGAAGTATGGATCAGCTACGACACCGGTTCTTCAAACTGGAACCCCTAAATTGATGCAGGTGAAGGAGGGCGGCATGAATGCAAGCGACTCAATAGATATCTTAACAAGTTATTGTTAAGTCTAGCCCTATGTGCACTAAGACAAGGCCTAGTTCAGTCTATGGATGACAAATGACCAATAGCCTAGAGACTGTTAGAACCGGGAATTGAAACTCTATTCACGTTTGGTTTAGGGGCCGCACGGTACTCTCATAATGATGTAATGAATAGTGAAGAATTGTTGTGAATCTTGACATGGGTAAGAAAGAAAACCGAGATTTATATCCATTATGAGATGAAAGCTCCATAGATTATTTTACCAATATTTATCTCATTTTATATACCTAGACACGGCTGCGGACCTTCGAGTATCTTATACATGTTAGTTATAATACCAAGAAAGAGCTCAGATGCGATGTCCGTACATAAGCTACCTATGCATCCAATATTATTGAAAAGAATAGGTCCAGTTATTGTTAGAGTGGTAATAGATGTATTATTGATATCCTTGCTATATGTCCTTCGGATCTCTTTGTCCGGTCCGGTTAGTCGAGATCTCATCGACTAAGCTGATTCTAGCATAGTAACCCTGAGCCAAGCTATTTTCACGGACTTGGACTTCACCTGCAGACGTAGTCCGCGACTACTCGCCTTGGAAATACTACGTATATAATGTACAATACGTGATTGGTGCTTCGACTCAGCTAGTCCGTCTTACCTCTGGTTTTTTCTTCCTTTCTCGCAGAGAAAGGAACACAATGCATAAAGAAGGAGTCTAGACCATTACCGATTAACGTATAGGAAGAAGACATCTTATCTACCTAGACTAATGGTATGGGAAAGACGTACTAGAGAAAGGCTATACCAACATACAATATGCATCTGTGGATGCTTGATGTAAAAGGGGAATCGTCTAGCTGTCAGCTCCCAGTTGAAAAGCGGGAATGCACCGACAGAAAATCAAGATGTTTCCAGGATAATTCTTTCATCTACGATGGTATTCATCTATTACTACATCATACAAGTATCATATACGTAATATGTCTTAGATGTAAATTACCAAACCTGTCTCATCTTCGTTATTATTTGAGCTTATAGGTCTTTTTCACAATGCATATTATATGCCTAATTTACACAGTTTTCTTCATCGCTTCTGCGGTTAGCCTAATCACTCATAATGAGACAAGAAAGTCTCTTATAGAGCTAGAGAACTTACTCAAAGCAGCTGGATCCAAGCAAGCTGATATACTGGGTAGCAGACTCGGTGGCCCAAAGAAAATTGGTCAAAGATGCACCAGCGAGAACCTTAGGGTCCGCCATCCATGGTGGGTTAAGATGAACACCCATAGTTGACGAGGCTAAACATGTTACTAGGGGGTCCCTGAGTATGGAGGAGCGTAAGGCGTATACTGATGCCGTCCTCTGTCTGCAACAACTGCCGGCAAAGACGCCTGCTAGTGTAGTTCCTGGAGCTAGATCGCGGTACGATGATTTTGTGGCTACCCACATCAACCAGACATTAAACATTCACTACTCAGTTAGTACCTAGCACTCCGCTTTTTAAGCAAAATTTTATTTGTACCTAAGGAGCTTCAACTAAATTTGAGTAATCCATAAGGGAACTTTCCTTGCGTGGCATCGCTGGTTCACATATACTTACGAACAAGCCCTGAGGAACGAATGTGGTTACACAGGCTACCAGCCGTAAGTCTATAACCGATCACCGAGATGGAGTGAAGCCAACCTAGTTTAGATATTGGAACTGGGGAATATACGCCGAAGATCCAGCATCTTCACCAATTTTTGATGGCTCACCATATAGTATGTCCGGCGACGGTGCACCAATCCCTAATAAAGGTCCTTTGGTCTTGACACTCGGGGATTTACCTCCGGTCTATCTGAAACCTGGAAACGGGGGTGGCTGCGTGACATCCGGTCCATTTAAGGACATGATAGTGAACCTGGGGCCCGTGAGCCTTCCAATCAATAATGGATCTTCTATTACCGGAAGTGGACTTAAGTATAACCCTCGATGCTTAAAGAGGGATATATCTGCTGGTGTCAACTCTGCTTACGCAAATGCAACCTCCATCGTCAATCTTATCCAGAAAAACAGCAATATCGCTGACTTCCAGTTAGTCATGCAAGGTGTTCCTGGCTCGGGATCTATTGGCGTCCACGGTGGTGGTCACTATACCATCGGTGGCGACCCAGGCGCAGATGTCTTCGTTTCGCCTGGAGATCCAGCTTTTTTCCTTCACCACGGCATGATTGATTTAGTTTGGTGGACGTGGCAAAGTCTTGATTACGAGAATCGTCGTGATGCCATCTCAGGCACGGGAACTTTCTTGAATAACCCTCCGTCACCTAATACGATCTTGGATGACATCGTAGATCTCTCATACGCCGGTGGCTATCCAATCACAATGAGGGAGCTCATGAGTATCAACGACGGTCCGTTCTGCTACACGTACATATAGAACTAGCTTGGTGGCAATGCTTATATTCATTGCGGGGTTAGCGACTGGTGGATGGAGATCGCCCCTATTTTCTCAACCCTAAATACCCCGTCGAGGCTGAAAAGGGGTTCAACCTTGTAGTTCCCTACACACAAGATCCACAATTAAATAAGGGGCACTCCCAAGTTGTCAATGTCAAATGTTCTTGAATAGAGTGTCAGATGTGTCAATTCAATGTACTGCATTGTAATGAGAACTATCTCCTGCGTTAAATAGTCCTTACATGTTTCGCGAGTCAGTCACAATCGTACACTGTCACGTCTCGGTAGTAATCCATGTGTTATACTGGAAGTTGGATTGAAATTTCATTAAAGGACTTCGTTTATCATAACTCTGTATGGAATGTCTGGCGGAATCTGTCGCGTGCTTGTCATAACTAATCCTAACCCTAACCCTAAACCCTTGTGGCGGTTTCTCGCCCAGTGTGTTGTTGGAGAAGTAATGCTTTATCACTGTCCTTACGCCGGGCTAAAACTGAGACCAAATAGTGATCTATCCGCTAAAACTTAGTGGACAACCGCTGGAACTTAGGCAGGCAAGCCACTGGTAAAATTAGACGCCACACAGTGCGGGTATATTTCGGATTACGTAATATTTCGACGATGACCATGTGTACGAAGTAGCCACTAGTATTTCAAAGAAATTCCAGCTGCATAATCCAAACACCATAAATAAATAAATCTAGACGACTTTTGGCTCCAGATCATTGCTATCGCCTTGCGAAAGACTCTCCTGATTTCCAACGCGTCTCCGTCGTAAGCGACCTGCTTCATCGTGTTCCTGGTCCCACTTTTCCACTTCATCCAGGGGCACCTTTACCAGGCGATGCGTATTCGCGCCATGCTCATCAACAGCTAGGATCTCCGGCCGGATTTTATATCCTCCCCACTTCGGTAGCAAGAACATCCACAGAACATAGTAAAGACCACACAAGAGAATAATGGCGATGCCGACAACGCAGTACGTGGCGTACCAGAAAGATACCGTGCCGGCATAGGGACCGCCTTTCGGAGGAATCCATGGCGTTGAGACGGTGTATACTTGCACCAGGATGTAGAAGATGACGGCGATGTCCCATGCTCTGAATTCGGTTCTCGGTAGGCCGGCACGCTTGCGTCGATAACGGACGAGGTAGACTCCAACTGAAAGAGCCAGAGTGAACAGACCATTCGGATAAGTGGCCAAGCTGACAACTGTTTCGATGAGTTAGTATGTAACGTAATCCCACGGAACGAGAGCTTGCGAAATCAAACTTACCAAACTGGAACGCATCGCCGGCTGGTGGGGCAACGATCATGATGAACGTCACCACCCAGAGCAGAAAGTAAGGGCCGGCTGGGGTACCGAAAGGCTTGGTGGATACCCAGAACTCAGTCCACGGCAACACGCCTTGTCTAGAACAGACGACACAATTAGCATTCATATTCATGAGCAGCGGATTTTAGGGGTCGTCTTACCGTCCAATTTCACGAATCACTCGTGAGTGGCCAATAACCACGGCGAGAAGATTCGCAAATGCACTTAGCAAGACCAGAACATTCAACGCCTGCTCCGCTCTTCCTCTGCCGAAGACAGTTATGAAGAAGACGCCCGCAGCAACTTCCTTAGACTTAGCGAATTCAGCTTTAGGCACTAGAATTTTTCGGTCAGCTCTAAGGAATAGGGGAAGTCGAGGAATAGTGGATCGTGTGTCCTACCTGCGGAGAAGTACGCGATGTTGCAGAGGATGTATAGTGTGCCCACCGTGATGATGGAAATAGTACCATTCCTCTTCAATGTCGGAATAGGGTTCTTGATCTCGTTTACCAGATTGAATGCATTCGCATATCCGGAGTATGAAAAGATGATGTTGACAAGAGCAACAGCGAGGTCGTTGCCATTGGATGTCGTGCCTTCAAATGCGTTGCGAAAGTTGACGGTCGGGTCGGAGATGTGGGGAACATTTCCACCCAACACCACGAGGCCGGTAATACTGATGCTGCAAGCGGTATCTTGTCAGTTGAAATACTTGACTATTCTTGGGAGACCTGGACTAACAAGATCAGGGTTAGGATTTTGACGAATCCGAGCAAATTTGATAGCCAAAGCGAGTATGTATTGTGGACGACCACGACTAGTATGGTTATTAGACTTAGTCATATTTTCTCAGGGGAGGGTACCATACACAGAGTCGCTATGGTGTAGGCAGCGATCGCCACACCTTTTAACTGCCAATCGGTCCCCGTAGTACCAGCGATCTGGTACACATATCTCGCGAGGACTAGTTGCAAAGTGTTAATCATCTCGAACTATGAATTTTCGGTTTAGTGATTCTACGCACCAATTGCATTGCTGCTGCTAAATGACAGCAACACGGAGAAAACCGCAAACGAGACTGGGAAGAAGTGCTTCGGCCGAGGGTACTCTTGCTCCAGATAAACGACCTCAGAGCCCGATCGATTCGGGAAATAGCTGGCTAATTCGAGATATACACTGAAACCCGTGACGGCCAAAAAGAATCCAATGGTCCAATAGACAAGAGCAAGTCCTACCGAACCAGTGCTGTTCAAGATAGTCCCGGCTGCGAAGGTAAAAAGGAACGTTGTTAGCAAGTTCGTAGAGTGGAACTCGAAGATCATGAAGTCTTACGTGTTGAGAAGATGCCGGTTCCGATCATCTGGTTGACATTAAGGAAAATCACCGTTATCCAGCCAACATGATATCCCAACGGAGAGTGCGACTCGACGGGAGCGCCGGCGGCTTCTTGATAAGATGGCTTCGACCCATTTTCCGCCTTCTCGATAGTATACGCGAGGTTGCCATCATGAATAACCGAGATATCGGAATGAGATGGATTGGCCTCGGCCGCCGGCACCTCTGTGGCCGTGGCCCGCGCCCAAAACTTCGGGATACCCATGGCTATGAAAAGCTCATCCGGACGGATTCGATATTATGGGAGACGAATGGCTTCTCAATCTCAGACGAGAGAAGATTGTCGATATGAATCTCAAGATAGTCGCACGAGAATCAATCGGAACCGTGGTACATGTGGCGGCCGATCGCGATCTTTTAAAGATAACGGGCGCGCGCCAAGGAGATACTAGATGTGTGCGATATAAGAGCGCGGGATGATACAATCGGCCCTGACAGCTCTGAAGCAAGCTACATGGGCTTCTAGAACGCGCGTACGGATAGAACCTCGGCCCACTCGAGTGTTTTTAACTTGTTATGCGGGCGATATAAAGCCATATTGTCTCGGTCAAGAACAGATAGTCTCGAGATTGGTTCGTTGTTTAGATAATAAAAAATACGTTGACTTTCCTAGTTAAGAGGGGGTCGGCAATCACGCAATGGCAACCCATCATGACAACCATGCAGCACGGGGGTCCCGATGTTACGGAACATTCCATTAAGTTAGAAGAAGAGGTAGCGGACGGGGATCATCATGCATAACAGCATATTTCGCGTTCATCATTTGTTCATGTCGAAATTCATCGTCTCCGGGTTTGGCAGATCTCGCGGAGCGTGGGCCGGTGCATGTTAGACGCGTGCTTACACATAATTACGTACGATCTACCTTGTCAAGTTGCTAGCTAGAATTTAGAAATAACGTCCTTATCATATGATAATGGCAATAGTTTATACCATGCTAGATCATACTTGTGAAATTTTATGTGCAAGTCGCGGGATGAATATCTCAACGTAGTGTTTCCCACATGCCATGGCTGTGATGGTACCACAGGATGCTACAGATCGTGTTACCATAAGTCCTTGGATCCAGCCAAGCGGTAACACAATCTACGTTGCATCAGTCATTAATATGGCGGTTGTTGAAAAAGAACCGATCGTGATCGCTTTCTACAACGTATCATTGGTTGCACGCGGAATATGTCTAATCCAGTGGATTATACACGATATCAAAGCCTCTATACGAGGTATAAAAGCTAATATAAATACTCAACCGCTCTTATTGCCCGCTGTTCGAATATACGGCTCTAGAGGAAAAACCTCATCCTCGGGCGACCATCCCTCATAGAGCTGGGTCCACTTCCACTTCAACGGCTCTGGTGTTTCCCAAGCGTTTTCAGGGTCGCGCAGCCAAAGCCGTAGTAAATGTCGCCTGCGAACTTAGTTACTCAAATTTCAGTTAGGAGTGGGACAGACGCAGGATCAACTTACTGCTTTTCCGCTGTGTTTGTGAACCCATCTCGAGCGTGAAAGAGCGCCAGGTTGTTCACGTATTGGATATCACCTTTCTGAAAATACGTGTTGACGCTGAACTTTTCCCCGAGGAAGTGTAGTGTATCCAGTGCTTCGGCCTGGGCTTCGGTGATGGGTGGGATGTTATGACTTCGAGGCAACGCGCCGAATCCGACGAGTGATCTACGGGCGTACTGTAATACCACGCGTTCTGGGGTGGAATCGGTGGCTGGTTGATAATACATCAGAGGCCTTGATATGAACTTCCGCTCTGCGAAGCTATAAGATTTGGTTGTTAGCTCATTGATGTCCCGCGAAAAGCATCGTAAAATATCAGCTAACTTTTCTATATCCCAGTTCCCCGTCAAGGTGTGGATGAGATCAGGACGAGTACGAGCGATCTCGTTATACACCCGCCATGTGCTGGCGAGCTTACTTGCGCCACCCTCAGCAGCCGTCTCAAGAGCGAACAGAGATACGATATCGCCCGAGTCGGTATGGAATACCTGCTTGTCAGTAGTAAAAGCCGGACTACCAATCACCGCATTATTTCCGGGGCCACTTAAGTCCTTAATATGAGATAATGTAACGGCCGCAGGTTTGCCATCGAACTTCTTATCCTGGCGACCTCTTTTGGGGGCAATGTGTGCTGAGAGACCAGCATAGATGATTATGTTTTCTTCACGCGAGTGCTCATCAACACGTAGGCCGCGGATCACGAAGAAGCCATGGCCATTATGAAGCTCGTCTGAAAGACGTCGAAGTTCAGAGTGTAATCTTGGCAAGGGGAAAGTCTGCTGGCTTATATGACCCAGAGAAAGACCGAGAGCTAAGTCGAGCTCAATCAGTACGATATCGACGGACATACGAGATATCACCTACACTTGAAGTGTTTCACCGCAAGATCAATTTCATCGAGCTGGTTTGGCTCAAGAACATAAGTCCACTCATACGTCTCCGCGAGCTTGTCGCCTTCCCAGACCAACTTCCCAGTGAGTTGCCGAGGCAGTCCCTTAGGGAGGCTGTTGGCTAGCCCGCCAGACTTGATTCGCCTATCTCTACGCGCCTGATATTTCGCAGGGTCTGGGTGATACGAGATGTCGGGCTGCCCTGGAGGGGCCAGGGCCGGAGGCGTGGTAACGTACGTGGCGGTGGCCATAACTTTCAAGATTTGCCCCTCCCGGCATTCTAAATAATTCTATGCACGCTTAGCGGCCCTTTTATGTTATGTTGGCCGGGTTGGAGATAGACTCGTAGACTTGGATTGCGTCATTTGGGGACAATATCACCTATTGCTATGGTGGCATGGGTTGTTACTAAGTAACCAATCAGACTCACAGCATTTCTACTCTCGGTGAAACATAATCATACAATGATAATAATTATTAGCAATAATTATATCTCCAGTCCTGGAGCATGAGGTCGTGATATTTGTTGTTTATGATTATGTAAGCATCATATCAAAGTTTGATTGGTCAGCAGGAAAGGGGCATTCCCTAAACAGTATATTTTAACAGTCAACTGATAGTAATTGGGTAGGTATATCGAATTATCCTGGAGAATTACAATTATTCCATATCATACTCTATTACCTAAGTACTCCTTCATTGACCGTATATGGGTCACATATAGTTACTCAGTTAGGTCACCGAATTTCAATCTGAGGAGCGGCTTTGACTACAGAGGTTCGGACGTACTATGGGGGTTAGGTAACTTGTGTTTTTGCTATAACCTTTATAATTACACTTATTTAGGTAGGTACCTATATTTCGATAAATATCATTAGCGTTAGTCACTTCATCTCTTATCTCAAAGTGTCACCATTCAATATCTCCATCCAGCCGCCCAATATTCATATGCTCGACAAATCCATCCTAATCGCCATGTCTTACACCCCTTTAACTAATTCCCTTTATTCGACCCCTTTTTGTCCACCATGAATCCCCATATCGATCATCGCTAAAGTACTTTGGGCTTCATAATATGTGCAAACGTTATTAATCACCATTGCCTCCGCGACGTCAGTGATCGTCCGGCTCCATTTCCACTTCATCATTGCCTCTTTATGGATTTGGTTCATCTTTTCGGGAGAAAGGTCTGGCCACATCGTAATGCGCAGATGCATCTTGGTCAATTGTGGGATAGATTCGTCATTTGGAGCCGATGCTACGACGTCTTGGTAAAACCTTTCCATTTGCCGAGCATAACACCGATCACAACGATGTACCTCGACGTTCAATTCCTGGAGCGTTTCTCTAGTGCACCAGCTTGCGTACTTTATTACTTGCGGACATGTTCCAGAATCTTTCCTTTCGTCACATTCTTCTCTGACGATCCTGTTGACTGAATGGCCGCATCTGCCTTGATAACTGATCCATTCCTTACACATCGTGGGGTTGGTGCTGGTATCTTGTAGCAGTTGTCTTACTTTAAAATGGATTGAGAAGGTAGATTCCCGAAATTTTGAAAAGGGTACGGAGCTTGTAGGTTCAGATATTTTAAATACGGAAGTTGGTGATTTTAATGCATGGAATAACATTCTCATTGGCAAGTTATAAAGTGAGTCAGAAATAATGATCTGGTAGTGATGAATGTTATCTAGGTAGCATAGGCGAAACTGATGCATGTCACGAAAGCGCAATGACACGGCCAAGATTGGTGGAGGGCAACACAGGGAGATGGCTGATCTACCATTTAAACAACGGATCGAAATTAATTACATCTGTCACGAAACGGAACCAAAAGACTAGGAAACAACGACGTTGTTGCGCGAAGAGCTCCTAACACTCTCGCTATGGAGAACACGGTATACATACAGGTGAAGCTCTTTGTCTGTCCTGCTCCTAGGACTAGCGGCCAACAGGACCCTCACGGGGACTCAACGGGCCGAATCCCGATCCCATAGACCTCTAGCTACTGACCTGGAGGAAGACCGATGTCTGACAACATCTGTGAGTTCGATGTTATCCCAATAGTCATGTGTGAATAGTCCGCCAGCATAACCAGTCATTTTGACAAAGTTGCTAATATGCCTGACTCGCAATCTATGAGTTATCGGTCTTATTCAGGGGTAAGTCATGGTATAGTGGGACATATGCGTACCTATGTATAAGATAGGTAATAGCAAACTGCGTACTTTGACGTAGAGTCATTAATATGACATGAAAATTAAAATACATAAGTAGCTATCACAATGGCTCCTAGAATTAACGTTACTAAACAACTGGAGTAAGTTGTCCTGTTGTAGAAGGGTACCTACTAGGTAGGTATGTTAGCGGTGGTTACATAATCACTAGGTAGGCAATGAGTGATATCAGATCCTTCCAATTCATGGGCTCACTTATAGAATAGCTTTCCATAGTGGCTCTCTAGGCATGCTTTAGTAGGTGATGTGAGGTACATGATAGAACATAAAACTAAAAAATTTCCATCTACCATTAACATTAGACTTAGAAAGGGTTAGGGATAGGGTTGAGGTTAGGGTTAGGGTTAAGAGGTCTGGATAAGAGAATGCTGTTAACCAAATCGGTCTGCTACATTTAGGAAATCTATCCTCCCATCTATAGGTCTGTGATTTCAATACGTACTGTCACTCGACTATGCACTTATCATTTCGACGGTTTGGGGTTAGATTAAGAGAAGGAGGATCGGCACATGAAGTCCCAGATCTATAATAAGCAGAATGCAGTGGGGAATTACTACCGGGATTCGAAGCATGATCGATAAACTCTTCTTCGGTGACAAGGGATTAGACATGTATATATTTTGTTCTTGAAGGATCACGTTTCGGAAGATCTGGTCATTTCTTGGCATTAAAGCGGTCCCGAGTAGCCCCCAGTAGGAAGAGAAGGCATTCCCAAAACAAAGAGTGGAAGACTCACAACGATTGGTTGATGAGTCGATTCATGCTCGAATATCCAAGTGGATGGGAAATTCTAGGTTGACGAAAGATTAACAGCTTCGTTACTGAGTCTCGTCTTAATATCCTTTCCAAAATAGAGAAGCTATCCCCTAACAAGCTTAATCGGGTAACTCACACGTGATATGCTGTAGTGGATACCGTTTGTGCAGCACAGGGGATAGCTGTGATCACATGCAACGTATTCTCTATCACAAGCCCGCGCAAATCTTAACCACAAAATAAAGTTAACGATTCATCTTTTATGTAACCACCATCACCATCTAATCCAATAGTATCTACTAGTAAAAGAGTAACCGATCAAAGAGTCAGTACCAAAATATATACAAGAATCCATCTATCCATCCATCCATCAACACCCCTCTCCCAAACACCGCCTTCTACATCTAAGCAGAGGCCCAGTTCGGCGTCCAGTCAACCTATCCAGCATTAGCACACACACCCCACCAAACATCACCACCACCAACGCTCAAAGGAGGGGGAGGGGTAAAACTCACAATATTAGGATCAATCCTCTTCAAATCCGCAACGCCCGCATTCGCCGCATCGATCGCAATCTCATGCTTCAGCATCTCAACAGCACGACTGACGCCCTCGGTACCGTACACATTCGCATACATGAACGGGCGTCCCACACCCACGGCCTTAACACCCAACGCCAGCAGCTTCACGACATCAGCGCCGTACCGCACGCCACCGTCCGCATACACCTCCGTCTGAGTGAACACTTCAGGCGCGCGCTGACGCAGCTCGATGGCGACTTCGAGAGGCGAGCGAGCGCCGTCGATTTGCCGGCCCCCGTGGTTCGAGAGGTAGATCGCGGGGACCTTGTGGCGGACGGCTTCCTGCGCGTCTTCGACGGTTTGGATGCCCTTGAGGATGATGGGGAGGTCGGTCATGGTTGTGAGGTGGTCATACAAGTCCCACTGCATTGAGAGTCTGCGTGTTAGCTAACTTCTAGGCGGTTGGTGACATAGGTAAAAATTGCAGTGCATAGGTGTGCGGCGCAAGGACTTGGCTTGGGGGAGGGGCTTACGGTGATGACGGTGTAGGAGGAGTCGCTGGATGACGCGTTAGTCGATGCCAAGAGCTGAATATGAGGGGGTGTTGGGACTTACGCGGATCCGACGCCGTAGCGAGCGGCGCGGTGACGGTTGCCGTCTGCGGCGGAGTCGATGGTGAAGACGATGGCCTTGGCGTCCGCTGTCTTGGCGCGGTCGAAGATGATTTGGGTAGCGGTGTCGTTCGAGTCGAGGTATACTTGCTGGAAAGTGACCTGGTCGTTCTTCTTGAAAGCGGTGATTTGCTCAATCGTTAAGCTGGCGTATAGCGACGGCTATGAAGGATCGCTGATGTCAGCGAAATCTTGGCATGAGGTAAAGGGGATGGACTTGGTAAGTTGTGTCCGTACCATGTAGAGGATGTTTCCGTTTGCGGCACCCTCGACGAGACCCTTCTCGCCATCGACGTGACCGTAGCCACCTCGGGCGCAGGGGGTGATGAAGAATGGCGCGGAGAAGTTGTGGCCCAGAATCGTGGTCCTATATCATACACGTAAGAAAATGCTTCCGGAAAGATATGGGCAAATAGGTGAGCATACGGGAGCGATGCCTCGATATTAGTGACATCTACCATGGTCTTAGGCTTCAGTCTGTAGCGGTTATAGACCTCAAGGTTATTCCGGTACGACCATTCCCCTCCCGCTCCGTTACGATAGTAGGTGTAGTTCATGGCGGGGAGATGTCTCCGTGCCGCCGCATCGAAGTCTGGCAGACCAACCAACTTGTTCAGCGGCGGCAACTCGCCGGTCGCTAAACTCGCGAAGTATTCATCGAATCTTTTATTCCGTAAGTCCTTCAAATTCCTAATTTTTATGCGCTAGGTCCCGGTGGACTCACCCTGTATCCGGCTCGTTCACGAAAGGTCGAGCGGCTAAAGCTCCGCCGAGCATACAAAGAGAAAGAAGGTTAGAACGCATGTTGAACAACTACAGCGAATGAGTGACTAGAAGTAGACTAGAAGCAGAAGTTGGTGGTGACAGTGCTTCAGAATACTCATGGGAAGTGGCACACTTAAAAGGTGTTGGAAAGTCACGATCCTTTCATCTTATTATAAGCAATGTCCACCCCGTCAACCTTGGTTAGCCCCGTCTTGGTCATCTCCAATATGGAAGGCAGGAATCAGCCATGTGTTAGTGTGCTGATCACCTTTGTCATCGGCGCCAAGAGCCGAATTCTTAGGACTTCTTAGGAATCTTCACAAGGACGAGGTCGTGAGCGGAGATCCACCTTAAAATTGTAGGCGCATGCGACCTGCTTAGGTGTGCCGGGATCATGGTCGTCTAAGGATTCGGTACTTTGTATATCCTGGCGTATCTCAGGTCATTCACCTTGTCTCTTTCCTATTTCGGACCAGCTCTTCTCTCGTATGGAAGGCATCATGACGTTCATTTAGAATCTCTGGGGACGTTAAAAGATCACGATTAAGTGATCTCGGCAGGTCCTCGGAGCCCTGTAATCAAGTCCCGCGAGTGTTACAGATCTTGTCGGGTTAGACTCGCCGTCGTTGCTCGGTTGGGCTACCGATATGTTTCTAGAACGGGCTATTTTTCCTGCTTAAAATCATACTACCAACAGATGCAAGGTACAGGTGGATACTACATTTTAACCTCATCTGGTAACTTTGATCATGGCTCCGCTGACTAGGCCACGCGAAGTTGCAGTGCATGATGATCGAAAATCAGTGGGGAAATATGCCACGATGTTGTGTTGCTCGCTGGCCTCTGCTGGCCTCCGCCGTGCTACATACCTTCTTAGGTAGGTAGGTGTATGTAAAAGACCTCCTCGCATCTGATAAGCCAAATTCGACTACACCTTGCAGAACTCCCGGACTGGCTCTCGAACTAACCAACTAGCTGATGTTGGGGAGCTAACTAATAAGCACAGCCCTGGAGTAGCTGACACTAAGCCCGTTAGCGGTATATCCCGAGTTCTAGTGCGATTCGGATCTCGTCCACGGGAAAGGCAGGTACGTAATAATGTGCGAATGTTCTGAATAGCCTCAATTAAACAGCAGACATCCACTCGAGCCATAAAATTTTCAACCTGCGTTGGTGAATCCATAGAAGCTTCGCCGTAGGATGGGATCAAATAAAACCAACCCAAACTCTCAACGTGGTAAATGCGTTGTATGTAGGAAGGAAAAGATAAACATGGTGAAAGCGCCATCAATGCCATCATTTAGGCACCTACATATTATACCTTAAACCGAAACCGGCCGAGTAGATTTCAAACTTGTCCTTTAAGCAGAAAGCATGACGGCCGAACCTTTACCGTTTTCTCCCAACTTTCTCCGACGCGTGCGGACCCTAAGACGGAAGAAGTTACGGCGCCCAGGGAGGCGATGACGATCCTTTATGCCGCAGGACCCGGTGATTAAAATTGTCTGGGTGGGAAAATACAAACCCAAGCAGCTGGGCGGACCTAGTTAATTACCAGCGTATAACATAACAGGAATGCGCCGAGTTTATCCCAGTTTGGGGCGGGAAGAAGACATGGATGGATTGTTAATGGGATTGGTGAGGCCGTATGATAAGTCCATATCCTTGAATCACAGCTCGCGCTTGGCAGCTTAGATGAGAAGGGGATATGCTGGCATCTCACTCACCTCGATGAGCTCACGTAATCATCCATGTCCTTCGGAATAATTATTGGGAAATATAATACGTCCCTTATTCAATATTCTGCATATGTCATACAATAATTATTAATCTCAAATTCGCGGGGCGTAGTTGGACGCGCGATGAGAAAATTGGCTTGGCAGAGCACAGGGGGTGTATATTTTTAGCGTCGCCGATGTCGTCGACGATTTCCCGCATTTACTGGTAACATGTCACCGACTTGGGTATATAGAGCATATTTCCAAGTTGTAAGCGATCTATGACGGGAATAAATTCGCTTTATTTCCTCATTACATATGAGGGTTCGCTAGCTATACGAGACTATGGAGCAAAGGTAACATCGCTAAATGTAAGCACCGCTAGATCGATTATCTCTGGGGTTTCCGTACTATCTACCATCCATGCTCTACAGGCTTCCACTTCGTCTTCTGCGATCGAGCTTTGTTCGAAGCTTGATGCGTTTCCTGCCCTCGTTCTGCTCTTGGACCACCTCGGGGGGCTTCTGCCTTCGGAGCTTGCTGTTTTGGTAAATCTTTCCAGAACCGCGCCGCAGAAGCATGTGTTGGCTGTGAGGCAGGGGGCTCCACACTGCGAGAATTGTTTTGATTGATTTCACCTGAATGGCGAGAACCTCGAGTCATGTCGGGAGAATTTTGATATTTTTTAACATTTTGGCCCCGCTTCGGCTTCGAATCGTTGGCTCCCTTTTTAGGTATCCCTAGCTCCTGCACCGCGGCCGCACTATCCATGGACTGTAAGTTCTTCCAGGGGTTCTTAGAATTTCGGGGTTTCCGGCGATCCTGCGACTTCTTGGATTGATCATTTGGGGCGCTCTGGGAGGCAGAGTGATTCTTAACGAAATCATCAACGTGGTCTGGAGCCCGGTTGCTTTCTACTTCATGAACGTGAGTTGCCGGTTGAACTACAAGAGCCTTTGGAGCGGATTCGATAGAAGGAGTTGCTTGCATTTCCTTGTTGCTCGGATTTGGGCGACTTAACCATCCACTAATTTTGCACTCCTTAGGGGCCTCTTTGATGAACATGACCCGAACCTCTGGAATAGGATGATCCTCTCCTAATTTCCTTGGGCTACCGATTTGTGCACCCGTGTCGATGTCAGGGTCGGCGCCATACTCATCAAGGTAGTCTAAGGTCCTGAGGACCTCATCTTCTGCACCGAAGCAGGTCTGGCCCAACACCTCGTGGAGAGGAGTGATGCCACGGGAATCAGGAGCGTTGACGCATGCTCCGCGTTCTAGCAGACGGAGAACCACGTCAGGTACAGCAAAACGGCAAGCAGCATGCAAGGCAGTCATCCTGGTCTGTTCGTGGACGATTGGATTGATTTTTGCATATAGGCGTTCTAGAAGACGGATTGCGATAGGCACATGTCCTTGAGCCAAAGCCGTGTACAGAGCACTATATCCATCTCCATTCGCTGAGTTGGGGTCGGCTCCCTTGTCAAGGAGAAGATGCACTGCTTCGCTCAACCCGCGGCCGGAGGCAAGTTGAAGCGCAGTCTGCCCCGAACTATCGCAATTGAACGAGTGCCAGCAATTGTGGCCGCATTGGTGGATTCGTGTGTTGATCGTTTTGAACTCTACGTCTGCGTTGAAGTCGAGCAATGCGCGGACGGTTTTTTCGACCATAAGTCCCCAGGATGTAGACGAAAGATTCTCGAATCGACGGTATGGAAGCTTTTTCGACACTGCATAATGCAAGGCAGAATAGCCCAGAGAGCTCTGGCTATTGGAATTTGCCATATTCTTCAATAGGAAGTGTACTGTCTTGGGGAAAGCGTATGTACACGCGATTCGAAGAGCATTGTCGAGAGCTTTAGGGCTGCTGACGCGACACTGTGCCAATGCCATGTATAGGGGTGTTAAATCGGGATAATCGCCCATATTGGAGTTGAGATCAGTTCCATACTTGACTAGGCGCGATACAACCTTCGGGTTGTCTTTGAGGATTGCGAGTTGGAGGTAAGTCATGTTGGGGGTTGCCCGAACAGCCTCAAGGATCTCGGTTGTGTAGGTCGTAATGGGACCCTCTAGATATTTAGGAATGTATCTGACTTTAGTTAGCATTCATCTTTTGTGGTGTGGACATTGCTACTCACCCGTTCAGATCAAGCTCGCCCTCATGCCTTAGAATCCATTCCACCAAGTTGATCGAATCATTCTTCAATGCATGAAAGAACAGTGTGTTCAGTACTGTTGTTCCCGACTGCTCGCTCGTGGCCTTTCTTCGGTAAGCGCTTTGGAATATTTCTTCGAATAACAGCCAGTGGAGTCTCTTGTTCAGGACACAGACAGTGCTTGTGTCGCGAGGGGAAAGATACGTAAAAATCTCGCGAAATAATTCGTGCGGTAAATCCTCTAGTCGAGCCATCTCCAGGGCCGCGTATGGGGTCAAATGCGAAGAAGATCGCAGGAGGACCTAGAAGTTCAGCAGACTTGAGTAGGTAATTGATGTGAAAACCGATGATGAAATGATACGCAAAAGTAGTAAATGTTTCTTTCTGATGTTATGCGACCGACGAGAAATATTTGGACAGAATAGGGAATGCTAATAATGCTGGGAGTGATTGTTCTGGAAATAATCCATATTCCACTTGGAAAGATGTTGGTTGATAGGATGATAGAGAGGTACTTGGTAGCTTTTCATGAGCTGGCGGGAAATAGAGTGAGTACCGAAAGTATCAAAGTTTCAATGCGTACTAGTCTAATAGATGCTGGAAGTTTCGATTTATGACAATAAAAATGAAGAATGTTTGTTTCTAAGAGAGAGTTAAATATATTCACGCTGAGCTCAGGTAATCACGTGCTTAGTCATCTCATGACGGGGGGACAGGTATAGGGGAAGAAAAGGGGGTCACTTTACTTACTAGGTGAGTCACATTGTTACTACCTCGAAAGTGTGTAAGTATCAGTCATCTCTAAAGTAAAGGCCTAAAAAGTAGGAAGTAGCAAAGGCTGAACCTTCTACTTTTTCACCAAAAAAAGACGAAGCTCGGACCAGACAGACCAGACAATAGGGTATTTCCCACTCTTATATCAAACTCAAGTTATCGTATGGCATCTTCTATGCCTACATAGGTACGATCGATCATTCCAAGAAAGAACTTGGTATTACCACGCGAAATTCTCATTGTGCCACCACACATCACGGCCCTTCTTCACATAGGGTCCAACATACGATCTTAATTCACGAGCCATCTCTTCCGGACCACATACTAATATAGCAACTCGTTCTTCTACCCCTTGTCGGAATAAACCATCTACAATCCTTTGTAAATCGGGTCGTTTGTGAATTTGCTCGGCATTGGTGGATATGTTAGTTAATTCTACTGCTTCGCTTTCGTCGCTCGACCTAGGGACTGAACTGGTGTTTGTGAGAATGTTTCCGGTTAAGAATAGGTGGATGTTTTCGTCGTCTAAAACGCTCTCCGTGGTATTGGTGACAGGCCAAGTCGCATCTCCAGCACCGTGGACTGCCCAGACCATCTGTACGTGAGCTGCTGGGTTTTCATTCGCAATTAATCCTATGAAGTGTTAGCCTTCTGTAGCAACATGTATGTTTTCATGTTACACGATATCGATATGTGGAATTTCTTCCTATTTAGCCATGAGGGGAATACCGTTTGTGAATAGAGTGGGGTTTATGATTGAAAGACGTTATCCACTTACTAAATTCTGGTTAGCATTCGCGCAAATGAGAAATAGGGAAGAACCATGGGCAGAATAGAGAATGGGTTTACATACCGGTACAGAGGCAAGATAAAGGTAGCACCAACCCCACCGGCGACTAAAAGAACGCGTTGGAACTCTGGGCCTCCTAAATTTGGGAACCATGTCGCACATCCATAGGGACCATCGATATTGAGCGATACCTTGGTACCATCTAATCCCTCTTCCGCAAACTGAGTTAGGGCTCTAGTCATAGGACCTCTGTGACGTCGCGCAACTAGAGTCAAATCCCCGGACTCCTCGTCAACCGCGACAATTGTGAACGGATTGAATACGCATTCATAAAGAAGATAGGATGGCGAAAAGATAGAGCTACGACGAGATGCAGGCGGAATGCTCAGGTAAACGTGCATACCGGGATATTTGCGAAAGCGATCGATCTTCTTGGACGGGATTCCCGCTACGATCTTGACTAGACTCGTCCCGGGGATAAGCTCTAGGGTTGCAGGAGCTGTAACGGTATCGAACCTGCGTTTGGCGATATCGACAAGGAAAACACCGAGCGCCTCAATAACATACTGACGACCTCCGTGGTGGGAATGGAAGAAAATGGCTGGTGGAAGTAGCATTGCCACTATGAGATGTGTGATGAAGAAAACACGGTACGAGTACTGGCGAATGAGCTTAATGGCAGTGGCATTCATGAAACTCATGCCGATAATCGAGGCAAGACCAAGTGCTGGGATGAGACGGACAAGTCGTTCAGTCAGGATGCCCTCCTGAACGTAGAAGTTGAGGTACAGACATGCATGTGCGAAGAGCAAGATGTAAATGACCCAACCAAGAACACGATGCCATCTATTGACTTGCTCATGGGAAGATCCGAATGCGAAAGCAATAGGATTCAAACTTTTAAGCGCCATCAAGTATTGCAAGGGAAATTGTGACAGCGCGACTTGTCCAAATCGCTTTGTCAGGTGAAGATAATCTAGATGAAGTCAGTTCTCATGCCCCGAAGACCCACTCCATTGAATAGGAAGACTTACCATTTCCAGTTCCTATCATAGACAAAAACACGAGCCAAACAGTCCACGCGAAACCAACGAATATCTGATCTCGCTGTCCCCAACTCACCCCAAGGAAGGTAACATCATCGCCTAGCCACCACACGAACCTTCGAAAAGTGCTAACCCAGACGCCCGTAGTGCTCCGTCTCCTCTGCTTCAAAGCCGGAGAAGCCGGAACAGCCTCGTAAACTCCGCGCTGCCGTTCCGGCGAAAACCGTTTTACCAGCCATGAGACGAACCGGAAGAGCAGGACTAGAGCAATGGGAACCAATGCGGAAAGCTGAGCATAGGCGGCGTATCTATCGAGAGCCTGACGCCTGGCGTGTTTCTGCTCGGCGTCGAGGTCGATGAATTGGTAGGGCCAGCCCATCTTCCCCGACAAATCAGCTCCGGGGCTGAATCCCGCTTTTCTTGGTAGGAAATGGCTTATGTGTGTGTACCGTCGCGCTACGATTTTACCCGGACGGATACTCCCCGAGACCTTCTAGAACTGGGCTAGACTTTCCGGAAGTTTGAAGGCCGTCTTGAGAGTTGCGACTAGGGTCCGTTGGATACCGAAGCACCTAAGAGGGTTTGGTCGAGGCTTTTTTTCTTCCTGGCATTGATGAGTGAGATTGTGGAAGGATTGTGATTCCTGTCACAAGTGCCACGATAACGACATCGACATTTCAGCCACAGTCGTACACGGATCGCGATTAAGCCACGTTTCAGATACTCCGATCCCGTCGGTATCTCATGGCTGACCACGATCCGACGTACAACAAAGTTGGCTGGAAAGAACACATTCTCTTCATCTTTCAGGAAATAGCTTCACATATCAAAACCAGTAACATAGAAGGTCAAAAAACAATTATGGATACATTTCAAGGTGCGCAATATTTGCCAGTGCCACATCGTATGACTAATAAGTGAAGATGGATGCTTTAGCGGGACCTCGATCTCGATGCTAGTCCCGTCAGAGCTAGCAAAACGCCCCACTTGCTAGCGTGGTATCTTCCGACACAGTTGACTGGTCCAATTTCGGCACCTATCCACAACTCCAAAATTGATTTCGAGTCACTGACCGCCGGTTCAAGGCAGTTATATGGATGCCATTACCACAATTTTTATTCATCAAATGAAGTGTAGACGCGTTCGATTCAGGACGTATCTGGTTTGGTGGTCTAGTGGTATGATTCTCGCTTAGGGAAAACCTAAAGCTGATATGCGAGAGGTCCCGGGTTCAATCCCCGGCCAAACCCTTCTATTTTTGCGAATTTGATGTCTACTTTTTATTCTTTTTGTTCTGATGATATCCCGTTTGTAGTTGAGGATTTGTGTATGAGGAATCCGCTAAGACGACCTGTCCTAGGGTTGTAGCCACATAAACAGCCACGATCTGCTAAGTTGTGGCTTGCCTGATCAAAATTTCCCTTCATAACTAGATCTTTTCATGACAAGACGACGTTTAGCAATGGGGTACTATTCTGTTCCGATGTTAATTTAAACACGATCTAATAATGGAACATCTAACGAGTTAAATAAGTTCGAACTGCATAATTATCAATGCTAGTTTCACGAACGGAAAAGTCTTCATCGGTATTACTAATTTCAGAATGTGGAAGTGCCCCCACACTTAACTATCTCAGGAGAATAGCAAAAAAAATGGGTAGAAAATATAGAAAAAATTGAAATTATGGATATTTAAAAAAGATAATGGTAATAAAAGAGAAAAATAAATGCATTAGCCGCGAATCGAACGCGGGGCCCATCGATGGCAACGATGGATTTTACCACTCTATTCACGGTTAGTCAGTTAATGCTACATTGAAGTTGTTAATGGAGGTATACTCACAAACCACTAATGCCTTCTCTATTGCAATATGCGATTTAGATGTGAAAACCGATACTGTATTTTAGGTTACATGTCTAAGGAAACAAGTACCATATCCACAGCTCCAATCGACCGAGAATTCAGCGATGTTCCGTAGAAGGGCCGGTACTTAACCACCGGCGAAGGTCCGGCCGCTCAGATGCCCCACGAGGTTAAGTAAGTGCCGAGACTACCTCCTTCCGTCTCAAGAACCGACATTAGCGCATAGATTTATCTTGTTCTCCCGGATGTAAACGCCATCCTACACTTAGTCAGCAAAGAAAATCCCAGTACTCTGTAGCGCGCGCAACATCGCAAACCCTCTCACGAAAAGCGCAAACTCACCATCATCCCCTCCCACCCAAACCAACCCAACACCCACGCCACCCCCGTCAACCCGCCCCTCCAAAGCACCTTCCTCCCCCTCGGCCGCACCAACTCATCCACCACACCCCTCGCATAAACCTCCACCCTCTCACTCCGCGCAAACCCCAGCATCCCTTTCCCCTCAATAAACGCTCTCGCGGCCTCATACCAACTCCCAGGCGGAAGCCTGACGACCGGTGCATTCGCGAATAAATCCGTCTCCACGCTCCCGGTTTTCACCGTCACGACACGGATCCCGAAGGGGGCGAGCTCAGGGCGGATCGATGCGCTGAGGACTTCGACGGCGGCTTTGGAGGCGTTGTAGAGGCTGAAGAAGGGGGGACGGAGGGTGCTGTTTATGCTGACGATATTGGCGATCAGTGCATCGCCGTGTGTCTGTGCGGCGGAGCGGAGGAGGGGCAGGAAGGCGTGGGTTACGGCGATGGTGCCGAAGACGTTGACGTCGAAGAGGTTGTGCGCGTCGGTGAGGCAGGTGTCTGCGAAGGGGAGGATGTGGATTATGCCGGCGTTGTTGATTAGGATGTCCAGTTTCCCTTCTGTGAGTTTGGAGACGTGGGATGCGGCGCGTGAGATTGAGGAGGCGGAGGTCACGTCTAGGGTTAGTGTTTCGATTCCTATGGCTTGGAGGGGTGTGAGGAGGGACTCCGAGAGCCCTGTGGCGAAGACGCGGTGGCCCCGCGTGTGGAACTCGGTTGCGAGGGCGGAGCCGATGCCGTGAGGGCCGCAGCCTGTTATTAGGATGGTTTTGGGCGGCATCTAGTTTGGGTTCGTGATGGGATTGGCGTATGGTTTATGTATCGTCTAGGTTGGATAGTTGAAATGTGATATTGCGGAAGGTTAGGAGGTAGAATTGATGATAGTTGCTAGGAAAGGGAGTGTGGTTACTGCAAAGTCCAAGAACGATCTCACCTAAATACAGGTCCCTATGGGCCTAACACCTACCTAGCGGATGCCGCTATCTGCACTGTTGAGATAGGGGCTACAGAGGGTTTGACGGCGGGGTAAAAACAGGGGTAAAAGCTTCCACAGCTTCGAATGTTACCATCAACTATGAGTATCGCTCAGTCATGATTTTGACTTTTGATTGAATGTTACATGGATTAAATCCAAAATTTAAATCTATAAAATGAAGAATTCAATCACGTTTCTTCTTGATTTTGATGCTTATCAGAGTTAAGATACATTACAGGTTCTATACTACCTATGTTACTTCCTTTGAAAGAACCATTAGATTCGTAGACTTTACTTGGGTACCACTCACGGAATTCATAAGATTATATCAGCAAAAGCATAGCCGATTTAGAGCTATCTTGTTCCAGCTAAGTTCAAGTAGACTTGAAAGCATCTTGTTTGTCTTGCATTTTGACTAGATCCACTGGTAAGGATCCCAAGCAAAGTTGTAGATTGTCACGAGGCGGAACCGGGGGACTAGGAAACAACGACGTTATTACGCGAAGAGCTCCTCACTACTCTTACTGTAAAAAACACGGTATACACCCAGGTAAATCTCTTTATCTACCCTACTCCTAAAACTAACGGCCAACAGGACCCTCACGAGGACTCAACGGGCTGAATCCCGATCCTATGGACCTCTAGCTACTAACCTAGAGGAAGACCGATGTCTAACATAGATATCTCTTAACCCATCCGTTCGGTATCATGTGCCACCACCAACTACAGCCAAGCCTGGCTTTAATCGATATCATTTGAGGATTCCGTAATCTTCTTCGTTCCCTGTTCTGTCAATTCACACGCCCGAAGACCCCCCAGATCCCTGATATTATCCTCTGCCTTCCTAACTTTGAATATGTCTACGTAATCGAGAGCTGTGTATCCATCTGCATCTAGGGCATTGATATCAAGCAACCCCTTGGAATGCTTCACCAGAATAGTCGTTTCCTTCCATAGGTTGGGATACTCTTGATTCTTGTACTTCTCAATAAACCAATGAAGCCATGTTTGACCCGGTCGCAGATAATCTCTATTGATCCCCGCAGTTAGGATGTTGACGAGGTAATCGCGTACCTTAGGCTCACAGTAGAAAACCCCTTCGGCGATTACTTCAAATGCACCTGCTGCATTCATGTGCTTACAAACTGCATCCACAACTTCAAAATTACAGTCGTGCATCGCAGCTAGTAACAGGACATCCCGAAGTCGTAAACCGGTAAAACTAGGATCCTCGCGGCTGAGTAAATAGCGGACATTGTCGAAATGGTGCTGGCTGGAGGCAACTTGGATGGCTGACCACCCCCAAATACCTAGGACGCCAATGTCGACGCCGTTGTCGAGAAGTAGACCTAGCATCTCTTCGTTTCCGTCATGATGCATAGCGGCGAAGCACAATGGCTCCCATTCTCGCTCAAACTCCTCGCCGTATATTTTACTTTCGGTGCCGTCGTCATATCCTCGAGAGAGCAATAACTTAATGACACTGACCATCTTCTTCTTCACTGCTTGGGTAAGGGGGGATATAATGGTTGGTTTGTGACGCCAACCATCGTTGTTCAGATGCTCGGTGTGCTGTGCCAAGAGGAGCGCGGCTTCTTCTTGTCCATACATGATGGCGTGTGAAAGAGGCGTACAGAAATGTTTTTTTCGTCTACCCCGACAGGCAGGGTTGTCTCCGATGTACGTAGCTACATTACTGCACCATTGCCTAGTGTAAGTAGTCGAGTAAGGGGATGGCGCGTCTACAAAGGCTCCCTTGTTAATAAGCAGGCGTATGATCTCGATGTGACCTTTCTGTGCGGCGATCGCAAGCGGCGTTTTTGTTCCACGGACTTTCAGGTCGATGTATTCGTGATTGATGTAGAGGGCATTGTTGAGGATATCCTCAGTCATCTTAACAAAGCCGTAAGTTGCTGCCCAATGTATCGCCGAGGTTGTCAAGTGGTAACGGGTATGTCGCCTCAAATGTGCCTCGTGTCTTGACAGATAAGAGTTGTCGTGGCTATATCGGCGACTGTCCTTGCGAGAGATAGGCCGTTGCACATCACTATGGGCGTCTTCGGCGCTTGAAACGTCGATATTCTTCGAGCGGTCCGCAGCGAACATATTGTAAACGGTAGCGGGGGGTTGTTTGTCTACCACTACGTAGGGATTTTCTTGATGGGTACAACGATAGACATCCTTTCGATAAATTGATGGCCTTATGGCACGAGCTAGGGCGCGACTTGTCGCGCCGAGGGAGCACATGTCTCTCCATGACTCTATGTGCCCTTCTTCTACCATGTAGTAGAAAATATCATTGGGGAGCTTCTGCTCTCCCAATGTGCGAGAAGATGAGGATGACATGATGTTGTAGGAGAGCGGATTGAATAGGTAGTTGAATGAGGACGCGAAAGATACCTAGGTTTCGCGACTAGAAAAAAAAAGCGCCGTTAATTATTATTGCTTATAATATTAATATTTATCAAGGGAAGCGTTACCTTATCGCAAGTCGTGATTACCTAGGTAGGTATTTTGTAAGTCCGTCGACGTTTGTAGATGGGTAAGTTCAACAATGTGAACCGTTTCGTTGTTGATCTTGTTAAATTCTAGGGGAAATTCTGGAACGAGAAAGTCAGCGGTTAGTATGGAAGAGGTGTATGGTAATGAACATGAGGAAAGAACGGTAAAGTTGTATAAAATCATTCTTGTGTTGTATGAAATTTCTCAGGGTGGATCATATAAAGCCGATATTTGTGAGGAAAGGGGAACGGCATCATTACACCCATTTTTGCACTTGCCGGGCAGCACGAAGTTGCAATAGAAGGCACATAATTATAGTCTGGGTAACTACGAAACCGGGTATGATTGGTCAATGTGTCAAATGACTGATGCGGAATACCGCCGCTGGATGTTGTGGTTGCCGTGGTATTCAAAGGAGGCAACGAGGGCATTCACGATACTGCCTAAGGAAACGCCGGCTAGTCTACAAGTTGAATGTGGAGTACTGTGCCATCCAATCAGCGTGACTTAGAACGCATTGGCCAGGAGTTAGGTTCATGCTCAAAGGAACAATCAAGGCAGGTAACGAATATTGTCAAGAGCTCACCGGACCCATTGGATAAAGTCGTAGTCAGATAGTATATTCCAAGATGTGGTATTTTATACTAGATTAGCTACCTACATATGGTTCTTCCATGTTACTGTGATATTTTACTAGTAGTACACAAAGTTGGTAATTTCTATTGAAGACTCACCTAACCCAGCTTCCATCTATTCTCGACCCCTAGCGACATTTGGATCTTACCAGTAGGTATCAAATATTTCTACTTAGCACTTAGTTGAATATAATTACTCGTGGTATTCGGTTAATATGGTTGAGATACATATAATTCAAGATTTCATGCAAACTCCATAATCCCATTAGTGAGTGTAAAATGTTAGCATTAATCATGTAATTTTTAAGATGAATCCTCATCCGTCACTGCGGAATCGGCAGGTAAGTACCACCGCTTGCTTCTACTTCTTTGTCTTCCCCCTGAAATATGAACTTCCTTTCTCCTTCCTACTACTCGCATATTGAAAGATAATCCTAATGAGTTAATATGGTAGGTATCTAGGATCAGGTCTATTTTATGCCCGTTGGATGCTTAATAATAAGATACCCAAACCCTATCCCTAACCCCAAGAAATTCATACTTTGATCAAGCATTTCAACTCAACCTTTCATGATAATTTCAACATTTGACAAGGCATGATCGCCATATTTGCGATAACAAATCTTTCGCGCAAATATTCTTAATCCAGTTTCAGGTTGAAATTCGAAGTATGTCAGGTTGTCTTCCATTTCACATACGTTTGCGTTAGCGCTTCATGATATAAGTAGGTAGATTATCTACCTTATAGATACCTAAATATTCATATGAACAAGGGAGCATCAAGTAGATATAGCAGAGCTATGGTTAATATAATCCATATCATAGTTTAAATAAAGCTCACCTAGGTATGTTCCAAAAGATCGTAGGTCCGAGAGTAGTGTTGTGCGGCCATTTAGTGAGCGGATTATGGAGTTAACCCGCTAAAGTCCGCCAGAATAGAGGTAAACCCGTCTTGCTACCATTTCAGCAGCGAACAAGTTAGCGAAGGTAATTCATAACCGTTTCATAGTTTCATCGTAGATAAATATCTCTCAAGGGGCCACATGAGAAAACTATCTGTTCTCTACCTACCTAATTTCGTTCACACTGTACCCCTATTGCAAGGAGTTCGATATAATAACTGACGATCATGTCTTCCGAAATTTCTACGAAACAGAAATTAACATGGCTGATTACGGGCTGTTCCTCAGGGTTCGGTCTCGCCATGGCACGCCTTGCGCAGGCTAACGGACACAATGTCATCGCAGCGTTTCGAAACCCGAGTCGTACGCCGGAACTTATTGAAGAGTTCACTAAGAATGGAGGGGAATGTGTACGACTAGACCAAGACGAATCTAATTGTGGCCAAGTTATCGAAGATATCGAGGCGCGCGGAACCGCGATCGACATCCTAGTTAATGTCGCTGGATTCGGCATGACAGGCCCTGTCGAGTCTTTCAGTGAAGAAGAGGTTCGACATATGATGGAGACCAACTTCTTCGGCCCATACCGCTTGACACGAGCAGTCGCGCCTCACATGCGAAAGAGACGCTCGGGCATGATCGTAAACTTCAGCAGCGGTTCCGGGATGGAAGCTCGAAATTCCCTAGGTCTTTACGGCGCTTCTAAATCCGCCCTTGACGGTAATATGTACGTCCTTTTTAAACGGTTCTAAGGCTAACATATCCAAGGACTGACCAAAACGCTCCACAAGGAGATGTCGGATTTTAATGTCCGCGTTCTATTGGTGTATCTGGGAACTTTCAATACGCCCATGGTTGGTAAGGTTGAACCGAAGCTGAAGCCTCTGGACCCTGATTACAACGGGACAACGACAGGCAAGATCTATGAAATCATGGGTTCAGGTAACTTCAAAGTCCCCGGCGACCATATAAAGGCAACACAAGCGATATATGATGTAGTTGTCGGCGAAGGTATAGGAAAGGGTCACGAAAATGAGATGATGCTCCCGTTGGGGGTTGACATGGCGGTCCGAGCCCATGAAGTTCGAGACAGTATTGATCATATGATGGATGTATTTGGGGACATCTGTAATAATGTCAATGTTGAGAATAGATAAGTTGAATTCGAAAAGGAGATCCGGAAGCCAGTTGTTGAGATGGTCGCATAAATATCCCATGCTAGGAGAGTGCCGCCGTCATTCAGGGGTACCGGCAGGAAACACAGCATGAGTATGAAGTCTTGAATTTTGGGCCAAACTTGCTCATGATACATCTTAACGTGGTGACATAAATTCCAAATTTACAAGTCATTTGTCATGAAAATTCAACGTTTTTTCTATTAATTTATTCATTCGTCCTCTTCGGCTTAGTAATACCAAGTAATGCGGTCTAGTACACGGAAATTGGAGAGCCCTTCATTCGTAACTGCGGCTAATATTACTGTATCTTATCAGATATACTGTATATGAGTAATTAATCCAATATATGAGGGCAAAATGAGGCATCTGCCGCTCGACGCCGACTACTTCAATGTGACGTAAAGCCCGGCGCATCCAATACAAGGACCCCTCCCGGTTAATTCGCAGGACATACGTTCATCAGCCAACGGGATTACTTTTATCACCTGGACCTAATCGCCGAATATTTAACTTCATACCCCATGGGGAAATTTGGAGATAATTGATCGATGAAATGAGCATGACCATGGCTATCCCTACAACTCAATCGCCGGCGGAAGGCCAAGGGTCTAAAAAATTACACTTCGTAATAGTACGTAAAATCGTCAAAATCGCAACAAACCTTGATTCTAATGATGATTAATAGGTCGGAGGATCACTAGGCGGTCTCGCGACCGGACTTGCGTTAAAAGCGCTCGGCCATGACACCACGATACTAGAGCGCAACCCCGCGCCCCTATTACAAGACCAAGGAGCCGGCATTGTCGCAGGAGGCGACACACTCGAGCTATTCAAGCGCTACAACCGGTGCGACCGCCCCATCGCCGTCGGCTCAGCGCGGCGACAATACCTCGACAAGGCGGGCAACATCGTGCACCGGGAGGAAATGGTGCAGAACATGACGTCCTGGGACCTAACCTACTACCTCATGCGCGCCAACTACGACGGCGTCGAAAGCCCTTACTGCAAAGTCCCGTCTCCAGACCCATCTCACGGCAACGCAACCCACGAGCACGACCGTCAAGTAACCCGTTTCGAAGAAGAAGGCTCTGGCATCCGCGTGCACTGGACGACCAGCACCGGCGCTTCCGGCAGCACATACGGGGACATCCTAATCGGCGCGGACGGTCCCAGCTCCACGATCCGCAAGATCCTCGAACCGAGCGTCGAGCGTAAATACGCAGGCTACTGCGCCTTACGCGGGACCCTCATCGAAAGCGAAGCCAGCGCCTCGGCGCGCGAAGCCTTCACCAACCGGTTCACCTTCTTCCACTGCCCCGGCGTGCAGATCCTCGCGTACCTGATCCCGGGCAAAGACGGGACGGTGGAGCCGGGGGAGAGGTTGGTCAATTTCGTGTACTACACGAATTTCCCCGCGGGCTCGGCGGAGCTGGAGGAAATCATGACGGATCGGGAGGGGCGGAGACGGCAGATCACGGTGCCGCCGGGGGCGATATCCGAGGCGGCGTGGGAGAAGCAGCGGGTTCTGGCGCGGGAACGGCTGCCGCCGCAGTTTGCGGAGATTGTGTGCGGGACGACGAAGCCGTTTGTGCAGGCTGTGACGGATGTGCTGACGCCGAATAACGAGTACCTGGGGGGCAAGGTCGTGCTTATTGGGGATGCGCTGGCGGGGTTCCGTCCGCATACTGTGGCGTCGACTTCGCAGGCTGCGTTTGATGCGATGTTGTATGCGGATTATATCGCGGGGCGGGTGACGAGGGAGGAGTGGAAGAGGCAGACGGTGGGGTTTGCGAGGTATATACATAAGAGGGGGGTGGATATGGGGGTGAGGAGCCAGCATCAGGATCTTCCGCTCCAGGAACATATTGAGGATCGGAATAGAGCGTCGGTGCCCAGGGAGCAGGAGGTGTATCCCGAGTGGGCGACCGTTATGTAAATTGGTTATATTTCGTATGTAGACCAGCATCTAAGAATATATGTACTTTGCATTGCTCCAGGAAACCTTCCGCACATTATGTTACTCTGAGTTCATTTATTCGAGAAGGAGCCATGATCCTGATATGGGATAGTGTGATCCCATCTGCTTCCTAACTGATAGATGACTACCTAGAGGTACCCAATAACGACCGAGGATACCACAACCCTCACCATTTCACAGTCGGCTGCCCATCAGTAGTACCAGGTCCAATGCGCTGACAAGTCTCATAATCGCCCATCCTAAACTGACCCCAAGCATTCCTCTGCGACGAATCGCACTTCTCCCAAACGACCCTAAAATCCGCCGTCAAAGCCGGCCCCGCAGCACGACCAAACACACCACTACCCGTTTTCGAAAAACCCTCCTTCGTCATATACGCCTGGAACTGGAACTGCACCTGCATCTTATCATCATACGTATACTCCTGGCCCGTGAAACACGGCGACCACGCCACCCCGAGATTCGGGATATTAACCAGAAAATCCTGGTCATAGAATCCGGTCGCGCCGAAATCGACGCGCATCTCCGGGACGTTCATCTACATGTGCGAAAAAGCAGTACATTAGTGCTCCCATCCTATGAACACTGTGGGGCATAGAAAGGGGGCGGGGTCTCACAAGATACGAGCCCGAAGCATTCTTAACCGAAGCATCGACAACCAAACTACTATCCTTAAGATGCTCCCACTGAAAATACGCATTGGCCGCGAAACTCTTAACACGCGCGCCTCCGCTAAGCTTCGCGTGGCCGGAGTACGTGATATCAGCGAGCGCCATCCGCCAGCCCTGCGGAAACGCGCCGAGCTCGATGGACATGACGCAGATCGCGGCCTCGGAGTCGTATGGGTCGGCAGGGGTCACGCTGGCGCGCATGTCGGCGAAGTCGAGCTTGAGGTTGTTCGCGGTGAATGCGAGATTCATGCTTGTTGCTGAGAAGCAGCCGGCTGAGTTGGCGCCGCGGATGCCGAGGATTGTTGGGATGATGTCGGGTGCGGTTTGCGCGGACGCGAGGCCGGCTGCCGCTAGGGAGGAGAGAATCGATATTGCTTTCATGGTTCTTAGGTGAGTTATGCGGCCCTCCTTATGTGTATCAAGCCATACGCGCTCCAAAATACAAGAATCGCGATGTTATAACCGCCAGATGTCAAACACCAGGCCCTAAAATGACACACCTCGCTGTACAGCAAACAGCAAAAGGGACAAATTCTTGATGATGAATGAGCACGCCATGATTCGTATTTCGGCACATAGTAAGCTATAAACGGATAATTGGGAGCGGAAGCAGATCGTTTAACATGACCGGGCTGCAAAATAACCGGTATATGGGAAATGCATCCATATGCTATTGTCTTGACACCGGATAAAGTCTTCTACGCTTACCACGCCGCCTGAGAGAACCACTAAGGTTGTATGTGAAGTGCGAGCAGTTCCCCTGCTTACTTAGAGGTTTAATGACTTCTTCGTAAAAAGCTACTGGCTTGGAATTCGACAAATGGCACTCTCATCAACTTTTTGAACCATATAAATTGGGGTACGGGTTAGGGTTGGGGTTATCGTAACCCCAACCCCAAGCCCCGAATGGTCCCCGCAAGATTGTTAAGAATGAGATAACCCCCCGAACAGGAGTCTCGCACAAACATATGGCCATCATGGTGATATACCTAGTTACTCATTAAAGCCGCTGTGCTGAGACATCTAGAGTCAAGTTACCGGCTCGTACTATGATAACCCGATACCAGACCGGGGCCGAGGTAAACGACTCATAATCGACGAACCACCTCTTCAATCGGATGGCGCCTTGTGTGCTAAACTTATTCATCGCATATAAATTGTCTGTGACAGAGCCGCAGCGTGATGTTGCGTCCATGCACGACTGATGTAGCCTCAATCGTGGGGCTGGTCCGGTAAGGTAGCCCGGAAGATCAATCGATCAGAATTTCCTTGCAAGTAACCCAGTTAGACCGTCTTCCCAGAATTCGGTCTATGCGGTCTCGTTTTGTCCTCATTGCTCATTACCTTTATGTCGGCCTACTAGAAGAGCACTTAAGTAGATGACCTTAACCGCGATGATTTTGGAGAGCCTAGTTGCGCCTGTTAGTAATACCACTTGCTCATTGACGTACCTAATGCTATAGATAGATTGAAGCGACATGTTTCCATTACCAGATTGCTCGTACTCCCATTCGAAAATGAAGGGCAGGGCCATGCAACTCCCGGGCATATATGTCCGCCTTATGAGAAGCTTACTAAAATCGGACCAGTCTCCGAACGTGGAGGTCACCTCGCTTAGTCCTTCACATTGTTAACCTCACAGGCTCCCGTCAATAATAGCGTGCTGAGCCGGGGTATCGAGCATCGAGCGGAGAAGACAAGCATTTCGAGAACCCGATTTGCATTGGCTCCCGTACGTTTCAAGATTATTTTAGGTGACATCGCTCGCGGGCCTAGTACGATTGTGATGGCACGGATCGCTGACCACCCTGTCATCGTGCCAGCAACCCTGGCCCCACGCGGCGGTCCAGTAAGAATTTATCTAATGGTAACCCGAGTCGATAAGAACGCATCATGTGTATAGTATGCGGTTAACCTAGTTCCCCGAGTAAAAGTAGTAGAAATCGGCCGGTTAGTTAATTGTTACGTTGTATCCGGTCGATTATAAATGCCGGTTCGCGGTCCACTTATCACGGACTCTTCCCCGTCTATAAAATGAAGTCGTCTTGGTGAGTTGTGTCTTGCCTCCAATCTGTTCCTAACTACCGTGATTACAGGACAGATAGTTGAACGCGATGACTCTGAAACTTGGATAAAGACATGACGATTCTTCTGGGCGTCAAAAATTGTCAAATCAATCATTGATCCAAGCTGGTGTTGAATCAACAAGATGCGTGTCGCTTCGAATATTGCCATATCCCTCCTAAACGCCGCCGCTAGACCAGCCATTGCCATGTTTTATTATCCCAACCCAGCGGCATCAGCTCTGGAACATATTCTCGTTGATAACTGGGGCGCGTACGCATCCAACTTCTCGTCGGCCATCACGCCTTGCGACAACTATGTGACGGAGGTGGGCCTGCCAGCGATCAACTCCCGCAGAACGACGTCGGCGCAATGGTTGCGCGTTGCCTTTCATGATTTTGCCACGGCTGATATTGCTGCTGGGACTGGTGGGTTGGACGCCAGCATTGGGTTCGAGACTGGTCGCGAAGAGAACTCGGGCTCTGCGTTTAACGACAGTTTCACATTCTGGAAGCCCTTCGTTAACGAGTTCGTTCCTAGTAAGCTATCAATACACCCTATCCCAGTACGGTTGTTAAGAACTTGAGCATTCCGTACTGAATGAGGTCTCGTGTAAGTGGCCGACCTGTTAGCTATTGGCACGGTGATGTCGGTGCACCTCTGTGGAGGAAAGTACATACCCTACCAGTACGGCAGAGTAGATGCGACGACAGCCGATCCTAAGACAGGAGTACCGGAGCCGAGTACGAGCGTGGAAGATACGCTTTCTCAATTTAAGAAAGCAGGCTTCAATCAGTCAGATGCTATTGCCTTGACTGCATGCGGCCATACAATAGGATCAGTGAGTGAAACCCTCTTATACCTGTTGCTTGTACTCAGATAACGTAGAGATATCCAACCAAAAGATTTGAATCACAAACCAGTATTAACTGATGCCAAAATAGGTACACTCCGGTGGATTTCCGACCGTCGTAGAGGGGTCTGCGATAACTCCAAACAATACAAATGGAGCAGTTAATCTTGACGGTACCAGGGCAGTATTCGATTCAGCGGTAGTGCATGAGTACATCGACGGTACCGGGCAGAGAGGCGGCCCGCTTGTGACTAGCTTTAACGAGACGAGTAGATCGGATCTTCGACTGTATGAGAGCGACAGAAACAAGACTATGCTAGAGTTGTACGCACAGGGAGACGAATTCCAAGACACCTGTGTCGATCTGCTGGGACGGATGCTTAACACTGTTCCAGCAGCCGTACAGCTCCAGCCAGCGATCGAGCCGGCGCTCATAAAACCAATCAATGTGACTTGGGATATCACGAGCGACAATAAGTTGGTTCTCACCGGGAAAATCAGGGTATGCGATGCGCCACATAATGCAAGCTTCGTAACAACACAGAGCTGAGAGATAACTAGGTGCTATACACCGGAGCAGTATCGGACGATCCAATCTCGATCACCTTCTCGAACGGTTATACGGAGACTTTAGTTCCCGAAGAAAATTTAGGCATCTCTGCGTTCAAGCTGTCCAATAGTCAAACGAACGCCACGACTCAATACTCCCACTTCTCGATTTCGAGTGGTAATGTATCGGGGGCGTCGTCGTTTGCCGTTGTAGCGATGGGAATCGAGACCCAAGTATTCCAGATCCAGGATAAGGCTTTCGTAGTTCCAAGCTTAACCCAGGTAGCAGACAGGACAGTGTCTATCACAGTCGCCGCAAGGAATAACCAAATTAATTTTGACCCGTCGCAAATGTCGTTGAAAGTTGCGACTCCGATCGCGCAGCCGCTTACGCTAGCTCCCAAGATCGTTCGAAGCGATGTGCAACTCGAAGAAGGGTCGAGTCCCTTGGACAATGTCGGATACTGGTCTGGATCTGTTGCGATCGGAAATCCCATCGGCTCTGTGAGTGTGAGCTTACTCTTCGGCGAAGACGTTATCGACACATTGTTACTCGATGCTGGAGTTGCTGGCTGGTAAAGCCTTTGGACAGCCTTTAGACAATATGTCGGAACCATGCCTTCGCATGAGGTAGTGAGAGGCTTGAAAGAAGAGTTACGTAGTAAGGCTCTTTGCAGAACTTACTCGCGCGTTACACGAGAATGACTGTAATACCGTTTCTAGTAAGGCTAGCCGTTATCCAATAGCTATTTCGAGCGGTTTCTGCGCCAACCATATCGTCCTTCCTTAGAGAGCTTGTGCACGGCGGTGCATAGTCTGACGATAATCGATGATCTATAACTAGGTGGGTATTGCTTCTTCTCGTGAACAGCACTTGCAGAAATATCAAGCCTGTCAAGAGTCATGATAGCAGACTGCCAAGTCATCCTAGAGAAGTCAGCTTCCTAATGTGTTCAAAGGCGTTGCGAGTGATGTGACATAGCTGGCCAAATAGAAACATGTAATTGGCCGCATGCCCCCTGACAGGTATGTACAGCGAGCTCCTTGCTGCATTTGGGATGCGATTTGCTATGTCCCGCATGTTGCGCTCGTGCGACAGATTGATTATTATAACCTGTTCATTTATACTAGAGCAAAGCTCTGAGCGGTGTAATATAAATAGTAGTTGGTTTAAGCGAACCGAACTACATCAGGCCGCGGTGTATTCCGAATCTGCAGGAACGGAATAGCCTCGTTGAATTGCAGACAAGGCAACAGAAGATGATAGCACCAGGCGCCCCAGTACACGACACTCACGGTATCCAACTACCACCGAGGTATGAAATTCGTCAAGTAACGCCCGATCTCTCAAGGTGGATCTCTGCCTTCTCATACTTCTCTCACTTCTTCGGGTCGCCCATATGGAGCGCCATATACGAAGGGCGTCAAGCAAGCGAGGCGTTGAGGGCACATCATGTCTGTAAAGGATTTTACGAGATGCCTGAGATGGTAGCTAAGAACGGACTCTCATATTGCATTTGGGATAAGGAATTTGTCTTCAAGAGACCCGAGTCTGCTGCTAAGGGCGGCTCGTGTTACTGGGATGACTTCGACCTCGATGATCCTGAGTTGAACAATGATGGGCGACAGAAACTACTCGACGCTTTGGATTTTCCTCTTGTGGGCTTCGGCTTATCGTATGATAAGTTTCTCCCAGGTGACAAGAAGGAATGGGATGCCGCTAATGATGCTCTCCCTTTAAATGGGGCCATGGGAAAGTACTTTGAAGATCACGATCCGCGTCCAAAAGGATCGTGGGAGCCCACAGCAGCGGGTCAGGTTATCGAGCGAGTTGGTACAGGCACGAGAGAAGGATATCATGGCCAGGGACTCATGAAAGCGCTGGCGAGGTTCATTATGCTCGAGATGAAATCCAAGGGATATCGAGGAATCCAAATCAACTGTGGGGCCCCACAACTTCATCATGTGTGGTCTAACCCTCCGAAACCCTTCAGAAGTTCTACTGTAGCGACCTTCCCTACGTGGCTATATGAGGCAGACGAAGATGGAAAGAAGATCCGGCCATATGAAAAGTCGAAATTGGGGAACCTGTATCTGGTATGGACGGAATTGCTGGATTAGAGCCATATTTTCGGTGATCCGTTGTTTAATATGAAGTTTGGTGGGTTGGCGCCATGAGAGGTTATGACCATTAATAGTATTAATCCATCAGTGTCTATATCTTTGGCCGGAAGTCATAATACATAGGTAGATAATCGTTTGAAGGATAGGATATAATTGTATGTTGTCATTTTGTAAGCGTCTTGCCTTATTTCGGAGATTCTCTGAAATCGTTGACCACAAAAGACTAACGGTAAGATCCGAGAAGCCGTTGTGTTAACCTATTGAATGGTTACGGTGAGACAATAAACTTGTGGTTTTGTGACTAATGTGATTCGTTTCTAACAGAACGGAGACGGTGGATTGTGAGGGTTTGCTGCCACATCACGACCTAGTCACCTGTTGGTGGTGTCATTTTGCACGAATGAACAAACGCGCAAGGTGAGGCAATTCATATGACCTTTGCCAAGTTTGTTTTGTCGTGATTTGTTTCGCATCGTATCGTGTTAGATCCATAAGAAGTAGTCTTAGTCTAGTCTTGGACAAAACTGAGTCTGAATTGAGTATGAACTGAAATGGAACTGGGTTCGAAGCGAGTTTGAACTTAGAAGATGCCAAGTTACAACTTAAGCTCAATATTTCCATTCATAGGTACACTGTATAAACAAATTCATAATATTCCACCAAGCGGGTCATGCATCTATTAGATCTAGATCTCACGTTAGACCGGAGCTTGTTTCAATCGTTGAGCCACAACCTTGAATTCTGCCAACTTGGTTCCCGACTGATGTACCTATGTAACTTGTATTTGCTGCATCTAATTTAATAAACATTGAAATGTCTGAGAAAAGAAGTGCATACCTATATAGCATAATTTTAATCAATTGTACTACAACGGATCCTATTTTCTTTGTTTAATACTTGGGTGTTAAAGTCATTCAGCGTCTTGATTCAGAAGGCGTGTGCATCTGGACGTTGTTAAGGTTGACAGTTTAGCCGTTCAATGTTCACAGCCCAATTATTGGTGTAAGGTACCTCTGTATGTGCTGGCTGAAAACTTCCTAGGTAGAATCTTCTTTCCCACCCTCTGCCAATAATTGCTTAATATTACCATAAATAAGTACATGTTGTGCTCTCACACATGTTTCAAAATTGAGGAAATAGCTAAACAGTGCAGGTACCTAATGTGCTCGATTAGATAATCAAGTTAAGCGGTTAAGTCAATGCTTAAGCCGCATCGCGCATCCAAAATAGAAAAGTTTGGGGAAAGGGCAAGTGCCAATTGGGCACTGCAGGGGTTATTGGGGTTTATTGGGGTCTGGCCCGTACAGTTCACCGCAGGCTGGCAGGCTGCTAGGGCTGGGTTGTGGCTGATGTCTGTCGGTACCTGATGGCAAAAAAACTTTCCAGGGTACTACCAAGAAACAAATCATCAGCATGACTCGCTTCTTTTTTTTTCTTCTCTTATTCTTTCACGTATCCTTCTTTCTCTTCCAACCCACTTCTCCAGCTTCCGTTCCGTCACGGTCACGTCCACCCACCGCCTTTCGTCAATCTTCTATCTCTGGGTGACCTGCCAAGTTCCCTTCTATTCTTCTTGCCGTTTTATTCAATTTGGTTCTCCGCCTTCCCCGCGTGCGTCTCGTGCGTATCCCACGCCTATCATTCCGTCATTCTATCTGGTCAGTCTGGTCCGACAATAAAGCAGTAGTTTGCATTTGTATTTGCGTTTGCCTTTTGCATCGGCATCTACATTTACATCTACATCTACCCACATCGATATCGACATCGGCATCGTCAATACCGAAGACCATCAGAATCATCGTCGCGGCTTAGTAGTAGTATTCTCGTTCAACCTCATTACGACTTTATCACAAGTTCTTCTACTCTTATCATTACAGATAGGCGATCAAGTGACTACAAGTCTACCGAGATACTCCTCTACCTAATATTTCCTAAATAGGTAGTCATACCAATACCAAGAATAGCCGTTGCCTTCAAGCTCCGACTAGACCAATCGAGGAAAATTTTTGATAAATCTACTCAGCTGTCTAGTACGCCGGTCGCTTCCCCAAGCTTCGGGTAAGAGATTCTTACGAACGACAAGAAGAAGAACATACCATCAATCTTGCAATTGCATTCTTCTGTGACTTTGACTAGTCATGGCGAGTCCGTTGCAGTTTGCCTACCGAACCCAGAAGGTTATCGGCGTCACTGACGCCGACCCTGTCTATGAACCTCTCCCTGGATTCGTTCAACCCGAAGGAAACTTGAGGTGCTGTGTTTACTCGCCCTGTGGTCGATATCTCGCCTGGGCGTCCAGCGAACGTGTCTGTGTCGTCGATGCATCTGTTGGTCATGTTTTGACCAACATAACTATCTCCAATGTCTTCGAGGTCGCTTTCTCCCCCCACGGCTCATTCCTAAGCACCTGGGAGCGCCCCGCAAAAGACGAAGCTGGCGATGCGACGAAGAACTTTAAGATTTGGCGAACTGTCGAAGACCTCCCCGAGGGAGCTGAGAAGCAACCTTTAGGGCGATTTGTTCAAAAGTCACAGACTGGCTGGAACCTCCAGTATACTTCTGATGAGAAATTCTGTGCTCGTCTTGTTACTAATGAAGTTCAATTCTATGATAGCAATGACCTTAGCACAGTCTGGAACAAGCTTCGAGTTGAGGGTGTTACTGATTTTGCTATTGCGCCTGGTCAAAGTCAGAACGTTTCCGTCTTTATTCCTGAGAGAAAGGTAGGTCCTATCGCCCTTTTAAATTTCTGCCTAATCCTCAAATCTAACAATATTCTTGTAGGGACAACCCGCCGCCGTCAAAGTCTTCAACGTCCCCCAATTTACGACGCCGATTTCGCAAAAGACTTTCTTTAAGGGCGACAAGGTTCAGTTCAAGTGGAATAGCTTGGGAACGAACTTAATTGTGCTGGCACAAACGGATGTTGACAAGTCGAATAAGAGCTACTACGGCGAAACAACCCTTTACCTCCTCAGCGCCAACGGCTCTCTCGATGCTCGCGTTACCTTGGATAAGGATGGTCCAATTCACGACGTCTCGTGGTCTCCGAATGGTAAGGAATTCGGCGTTATCTACGGTTACATGCCTGCAAAGACGACCATATTCAATCACCGCGCCATCGCCACTCACTCGTTCCCCATCGCGCCGAGAAATACCATTACATTTTCACCGACCGGTCGCTTCGCTTTGGTTGCTGGTTTTGGCAACCTGGCTGGTCAGATTGATGTTTACGATCTGGAGAAGGACTACCGCAAGGTTTGCACCATCGAAAGTGGCAATCCTAGTGTGTGCCAATGGAGTCCCGATAGCAGATACATTATGACAGCAACTACGTCTCCTCGCCTCCGTGTTGATAACGGTGTGAAACTATGGCATGTAGGAGGAGGGATCATGTATCATGAAGACATGGTAGAGCTTTACAACGTTACTTGGAGACCGGTTCTTCCAGAGAACCTCCCTCGTTCCGACCCTCTGCACCCCGTTCCGACCCCACATTCTTCGGCGATCGCATATCTAGGAACGGTCAAGACACCGTCCAAGCCTGTTGGTGCTTATCGTCCTCCAGGTGCTCGAGGGATGTCCACCCCGCTTCATTTCAGACGTGAGGATGAAGGAGGTGCCGCTCATGTCATGACGAACGGTTCTCAAAACATTGGTCCGAATGGGTTTGGGAGATCGCGCCGCCAGATTCCGGGTGCAGAGTTCCTCGAATCGGGCTCTCGTACCGTTCCCGGTGCCGCTCCAGGTGACGGGCCTGGCGCCAACGGCGACGACAATCTTTCGAAAGCGGCGCTCAAGAACAAAAAGAAGAGGAACAACAAGAAGGCCAAGGACGTCGAGAACAAGGACGGATTGAACAATGCTGGTGGCTTGGCTCCCCCAGCTCGGGATCAAGGTCTGGGCTCTGGAAATGAGGGACGTAGTCCCGAGCGTCGCGGGAACCAGCACAACCAGCAGAGACACAATCGCAGTCGCTCGCGCCACAACTTCCAAGGTGGAAACCAAGGTGGTAACCAAGGACGTCATCGCAGCAACACTCAGCAGAACGGGCAGAACGGACACTACGGACATGGAGCGCCTCTCGCGCCACAGATCCAGACTTCTCAGGCTCCCATTCCGGATTCTCTGATCTCACCTGGTAGTCAAAATCCGGCGTCTAAGAAACTGCGCAGCTTGCAGAAAAAGATCCGCGCAATCGAGGACCTCGAGATGCGACACGCCGGCGGCGAGAAGCTGGAGGATACGCAGATGAAGAAGATCGCGACGAAGTCCGCAGTCGTCAAGGAGCTAGAGGCCATGGAGAAGGAGGCTCATTGATTTTCAGCATTAGTTAGAAACTAGGGGAAGGAATGGGGTGCATTACCCAACATCGATATGTCAGGCCCGGTTCTGGGTAGTCCGGTAACGGGATTTTCCGGTGGCGGGGCCTTGGACTAGAGGCACTGGTATCATCGTGGCTTTGCAACCGGCGTTTAGGGGACGAAAATGAATGTTCACAGGCACGCGGCTGTTTTTCGATGCCCGGAAATCGTGGATGTGGGGATGAGGATGCGGTGCTGCTCTTGCGAGTCAGGGCGATATTATCTAATACAATCTTGACCCTGAAGAGGTGATTCAAGTTTCCAAATCAAGCCGTGTTTTTGCAGTGCTGGGTTTGTGTGGATGAAGAAGAAGATGATGATGATGATGAAGTGGTGATTGAAATGCCTCGGTTACGGGCTTGCGATGAATATATGACGATTGATGTTCTCGTGTCTTATGATTTGAACTTGCTATTTGACTGGGTGTGAAATGTACCTAGGTAGGTTGGTAGGTGTAAAGTTTTAAATTGACAATATGCAGGTATTTATGTCTTAAGGCATGATGCCAAGAACTCTGTATAGTTACTTGCATACATCTTTACCAGGCCGTTAACAAAGCTCGTCTGGATAGGTAGGTAGGTAACATTTAACTTATATTTTCTAAACCACGACACACATATCCCACGTATGTCATCTGCATCTAAGTATTTCTACCCTCGCGCCCTGTAACGACAGAACTAGCTACAAATCGCTACATCCCCGTAGCTATGTACCCATGTATACTAGGTAGGTATATACTTACATAGCTACATCTAAGCTAGGTATAATAATAATAATAGTATTCGTCGAATCATCCATCTATACGCCCAGAACCGCGAACGCTCGTGACATGAATTCCTCTCATACAAATTTCCAAAGGTTGTTATATATTCGAAGTAAGGAGCCGCCCAAGCTGAGATGGAGAAGAAGAAGAAAATAGATCGCTCTTAGGAAGTATAGATAAAAAAGACACCCAGTCGATTTAATAAATGCGATGCAACTAAATAGGTGTACAAAGTCACGATTCGCGACTTAACTCCGCTAGAAAAATAACGAATTCCATTTCGGCGCCTTCGTCGTCGGCAAACGCCTCTCGAAACCAGCTAGCGATATCCTGGAGCCTGCAAGCGCAGAGCGGAATCCGCGCGTCCCCGGTGCCCCAGTACGGAGTTCCGTGGCCCGTGAGCTGCCAATTAAGCAGGACCGGGTCATGGTCGTTCAGGCTAAATAAGTTGATCGCTTCCTCTTCGGGAATGACGCCTGTCATAGCGGTATTATTAAAGGAGAGAGGGTTTTGGAAAGGAGGGGTGGAAGTCATGTTGTTATTTGCGGGAGTATTGATAGAGGCGGTACAGGAGGTGGCGGGGTTAGTTGTGTCGGAACATGGTGTATGAGGAGAGGGGGCCGCGCGGCAATATCCGCAGGTCTGTGTATGTCGGACATATGAGCAGGCCACAATAGCGCTCATCAAAACGCCGGGAATGAGCAATGGGTTAAGGCGAAGGCGTGCGCGGGAGTGGTAACTGTTACCATTGCTATTGGTGTGGGCGCCGGAGCGCCCAGATTCGATGAGGAAAATTCGGCATACTTGGGCCGCATTCCACAGGGCGAAGCGTGGGCAAGGAGATGATATCCAGCTATGCAGGTGGGCGCGGGGCTTGCGGGTTGGAATAGAGGCGCCTGGACGCGACTTGTAGTAATGGCCCTTGACGCGCAAGACGTTCATGGGCGAATGTAGCTTCAAATTTGCCATATACATTAGCGTGAATGTTAGCGGGCCTAGCTGATGCTCGTCGCCGGTCAAATTGCCCGCGAAATAGCTGCTAAGAATCTCGCAGTGCTCCTTGCGCTTATCACGCCAGAGATCCAGGTGTGGGTATGCGCGCTCGACAAAAGTACGGGGATCTATCACCTGTGCGATCTCGTCCGACATGGCGCTATGAGCTTCGCGCGCCGCTTCCCAGATGTGCGTCTGCGTTGCGCACGTGCTCAGGTGGTAGTCGACGTCGGTGAGACAGTAGGGAAGAGTACCTTCGCGAGAAGGATTAAGAGCGTCGCGCATAAAGAACGAAAAGAGCGCTTTCTCGCGCCCAGCGGGTTCGTTCCATTGAAGTTTACGTCTCTCTGGCTCGTTGGCGGCGGCCCAGAGCTGACGAGACTTAGGTAGAGGAATGCAAAGCTCCTGATATCGCACCGATGGGGGATGGTCTAATAGGATACTGAGATAAGCGTCGACACGAAGAACAGAGAACGCAAGTCTAAACAAACATTCCGTTCTATTAGTTGAAACGATGAACTAGGGGAAGGAAAAGCGCGTACCTGTTTAGTTGTTCCTGTGCACGCCACGCTAGAAATGGACAACCCTCTCCGAGCATTTCCTGACACGCAAATTGGCCATTGAAGATTCCTAGATACCGACATGTTGATATTAGCCATGCGTCGAGGCTGAGTGCTCTTGCAACCATTCCATCTGTAGTCTAAAAATGCCAATGTTAGTCGTATCTACGAAATTGAAATTTTGTATATGGAGGCATCGCTCAGCTTATGCCCAAGACCACACATACCAGATTGCTCGTAGCATATATTATATACAATAGAACACATTGCAATAAATGGATTGGCGGAGTAAGGTCCTGTTAAATAATAATTAGTCGCTTGAGATAAAACGGGACCTGGGATTTCTTTTCGCACCGTTCGAATCCGGTTTACTTCTTCGAATATCAAGGGGGCAAGCTTATGATGTTCATGTCCGCTTTCAAACCAGCTGGCCAGCATCATCACAGACGCTAGTAAGGTCGTTGAAGCCTCTTCTATCTCGAATGTGGCTGAATGCAAGATAGGCCAGTACGGATCAATTTCATCGAAGAATAGCTGAATGAGCCTTTGGGTTTCGGGCGAATTTCTGTCGATGCTAGCTTGTAGGTCTATCACTACCTCGGCGGACCCCGGCGACCTGGAGATATTCCGCTGCTGCGACGATGCTAGCGGTGGGGTTAGCTGAGGGGAATCTTGGGGGTTATGATTTGATGGCTCATAGAGCATAGGCTCGACATTGGTGGCGCTAATATCTGACGTAGGAGGCGTATAATTTGTAGCTTCTATAGTGCCGACGCCCTGAATTGGATGTTCTGGATTCAAGTCATTCGGGACCGATGAGAGGTATGGATGCGTTGCTAAGAATTGCTGAGACATCCAAACCTCTGGATTGGGTTGAAACCATGTTGCCTGAGTGTGACTACTGGGTGGTATCACGACGGCCTGCTCAGCAGTAGCCGCATGGCTATTGTCTGAATCAATCCAACGACAGTTAGTCCAATTCGAAATACATGCTCCACAAGGCGAATTCCCATCGCATGGAGTATTTCGGTCACCGCATGCCAAGCATATTCTAAAGGACAATAAAATATGTAAGTGATTGTACTAGGTTAGTCATGGGATGAGCCGTACCTTCGTGAGTCCGGAGACTGGGTATCTTGGGGATTATGTTGCTTCACATGTCTTTTGAATACATCGCTAGGTAATATTCAGATTAGCAAGATGACATTGAGTGATTACATAAAAGTAACGAACGAGTAAGGGATGAGAATATATAGGTACCTTCTTGCGTAACGTCGTCCACATATGTGGCATTTATATTGATGTTCTGGATTATGACCGAGGTTATGTCGGGTTAGATGCTCTTTTCGAGAGAACTTTTTACCACAACCAGGAAAGGAACATTCCCAACTCTTTTGTGAAGAGGACATATCTGTAAGTTATTCCCCCTAATCATCACCCCCGCTTCACGTAAGCAATCTATGTTACAAGCGAGGACTTAGAAGTAGCAGAGTGGCAGAGTGGATGACCTCGCGTGTATCCCGGGACGGACAAGTTGGCCCCCTAATCTCACTGTCTCCCAATCTTAGATCTTAGTGGGAAGTGGGCTGGGAATCGGGAATCGGGATAACGGCGAAGGTAGTCTAGACTGTCTACTTTCACTGATGACTTCGGGATTAGGTATTGACAGAATGACCTGTAAGATTACACGTTGTTAATCCTCCCACATCACCATGTGGATAGTTTCGTTAGGTACAAGGTAAGTAGTTAAAACAAGGTTGAGTTGTCTAATACGAAGAACATTGAAAATAGAGGAGAGAATTAAAGAAATGACGGAGATTTCGGTACTAGATGGAGTAACCCGATAACACCGTATGTGGAAAATTAGTCATCCCATGTGGGATGTGGGATGTGGGATGCCCATTAAGGAAGTGGGAGGTGGGTCTTCCTTACTTCAGATCATGCAATCCACTACCCCGTAGTGCCCCACATCTCTTTCCTCTTCCCTTAATTCTCTTTCTCTACTTCTCCCAACTACGGCATAGTACACGCTTACTATGCTGAAGTAGGCGGAAGAATGTGTATAAGTGTAAGTACATCGACTTACCAAGTGCCAGGTGGGATGTTGAGCCTCGAACTGATTATGTGATAATAATCATCTCTGTCGTGAAACGTTGACAGATAATTATTCCGACATTAGAGTTTTGTATGACGCTATTCAGCTTCCGAGCCCGAGCCTCCGCGGAAGCGATGATGTATAATCGGATTAGCATTGCGAAAAGCAAACGGGATTTCAATATATAATGGCTCCCTCACCCGAGAATAGTTCAGAAATATCTTCACATCAATATCAATCATCCATATTATCTCATATCATATCATATCATCTCATCTCATCAAACAAGAAATATTTACCTTAGTACTTGATATCGCCATTCAATATGTCTGCCATCACGAAGGTCGCCATAGCAGGAGTAAGTAACGAAACCTACCCAATCGCCTATTCTGAGCTTTCTGACATGATGTAGGCTAAAGGAAACCTTGGAGATGCTGTATTGGAGCAGCTCTTGAAGGCTGGTTTCCAGGTGACAGCTCTAACTCGCCAGGGCAGCAGCCACACCTTCCCATCAACTGTCACCGTTAAGCCTGTGGATTACACTTCCCAGGATTCCTTGGTGAATTCTCTCCAAGGGCAAGATGCCGTCGTCGCGACTCTGGCATCCGAAGCTCTTGATGTGCAGATTCCCTTGATCGATGCTTCAGTCAAGGCGGGAGTCAAGCGCTTCATCACATCCGACTTCGGCAGCGATACCTTCAACCCCAAGACCTCCGCGCTCCCTGGCTTCGCGTCTAAGATCACCGTCCACAACGCCGCCAAGAAAGCAGCCGCCGAGAGTGGTCTAACCTGGACAGCTATCATTAACGGACCTTTCTTGAACTGGGGTGTTACAGTTGAATTCTTAGCCAAGAGCAAGAGCAAGGAGATCGACTATCCCGACGGAGGTGACCAGAAGTACTCAGTGTCTAACCTAGAAACTGTGGGTAAGGCCGTGGTAGGCGTGCTAAAGAATCTCGAGGCGACTAAGAACCGTCCCGTCTACATCCAAGACGCCACAATCAGTCAGAAGCAACTAGCGGGATACTTGAAGAAGGCTGTTGGCGCGGATGGGTGGAAAGAAAACGTCATATCGATTGCCGAGGGGCTTCAGCAGGGAGAGGAGGAGCTCAAGAAGCCACAACCGAACGGTTTCTTTGTCTTCATCACGAGCCTCAGGGCCGCAGTCTGGGGTGAAGGGTATGGAGGTCGTTTCACGAAGCTTGACAATGATCTTTTCGGCATCAAGCAGTTGACTGATGCGGAAGTCGAGGAGGTCGTGATCAAGAGTGTACCTAAATAGGTTCCGGTGTAGTCGTCTCGGAATAGTAGGTAGCATATGACTACCTACAGAATAAGCTAAGTTCAACCCAATTGAAATACTATGAAATTGGATTCACAAGCTTTTTAAAATAGTAAATTCTCTTGGTCTTTCGCTCTTTGCAGATCATTCCCCGCCGGGTTGATTTCTCATGATTCTTTAATCGAACACATATGATCTCAGTCACATCTTACTAACGGGTAGCTAAACCGCAAGGCGTAGCTGAATAAATAACTACTCCGTAAATTCGCGCCAATCCGGGAGATGATACCGATTTTTCAGCTTTAATCAAGTTCGAAGCATGTACACCATGGTTGACATCGTGCCGGCATCCCGGCCCTAGCTAGGATATGGTGCCATCCTGTGCCGAGGATTGTGGGGAAGCAGATTCCATGCACCTGATGCACGAACGGGATTGTCCAATATATTTCCGAGCCCCTGGATCCTTTCAGATTAATTGCCCGTTATATAGGTCTGCGATGTCTATTATACCCCTTGCTAGTCCACCACCGGCCTTCCGAAAATAGATCCGGACGGGTAACCTCCGCTGATCGTTCGGCCATCCCACCGCACCGCAACGCATCGATGCTCTAGGATCGTTGTAGAAAATTCGCCGTTTAGTCTTCGCGTCGCTATTCATCACTGGTAGAATCAAGCTTCGTGAAGGAGCCACACCATGGTCCTTCGCTATGATGTCGTCGGTAGGTATCGCGTGACATGGTCTTTGATTCCGGGGTAGGTGCCCCTGAGATGAACATGAATACGAACATGGGCATTATTTATAGAGGAGACTGACCCCAGGATTACACCTTTAATCTATCGACAAGGACGATCACTTCAGCTGTCATAGCCTTCCTTCATATACAGTTTACAATATGAGATACTCTTCCCTAGCAGTTACTGTTGCCGGTGCCGGTCTAGCAACCGCGCACACGATATTCGTGCAACTCGAGGCCGATAGTGTGACGAATCCAGTCTCATACGGCATCAGAACCCCAACCTATGACGGACCTATCACCGATGTGACGACCAACGATGTCGCTTGCAACGGCGGACCCAACCCGACTACGCCGTCCGACAAGATCATCAACGTCAAAGCCGGCTCCACAGTCAATGCGATTTGGAGACATACCCTGACTTCCGGACCAAACGATGTTATGGACGCCAGCCATCTTGGCCCAACACTAGCCTATCTCAAGAAGGTCGACAACGCAGCGACCGACGTGGGATACGGTAACGGCTGGTAAGCCCGATAGACAGCCATTTCTTCCTAATCCCGAAACTCATAGCTCTCTAGGTTCAAGATCCAGGAAGATGGTTACACTAACGGAGTCTGGGGTACCTCCAACGTTATCAATAACCAAGGAAAGCATCCGATCACGATCCCCGACTGTCTGCCGGATGGCCAATACCTTCTGCGCGCGGAGATGATCGCATTACACGGCGCCAGCTCTGCCAACGGAGCGCAACTTTATGTATGTGTTGATCCACTCATTTTCTTCAAAACAATCGTAGGTTCGGTGTTAACGGCGCATATAGATGGAATGCGCACAAATCAACATCTCCGGAGGCTCGGCGACGAAAACGCCCACGACTTACAGCCTTCCAGGTATTTACAAGCAGAATGACCCCGGTATTCTCATCAACATCTACTCCATGAGCAAGGATAGCCAATACGTTATCCCCGGTATGCCCCCAACCTTCGAACAAATTCTTTCCTTAATCACCCACTAACACATACCCACCTACCTAGGCCCCGACCCATTCACCTGCGCAGCGAGTTCCAGCGCCGGCTCCCAAACCGCGGTGAAGTCTTCCACGACACTAGTAACCTCCGCCAAGACCTCAGCGGCCGCTACATCGCCCACCGCACCCTCGGCCTGCAGCGGGGCTCAATTCGAGCAATGCGGGGGGTCCGGGTTCACGGGATGCACGTCGTGTGCTAGCGGGTTCACATGCACGAAACAGGTACATTCTCAGTCACTTCTCTCAACATTACTTGGAAGATATCTAACACGCAGTTTGCAGAACGAGTATTATTCGCAGTGTGCGTGAATTATAGGTGCAGGAAGTTAATATTCATACCTACCTATTGCTTTAATGCGATCATTGCTCTTTACTCGTCATCGCTAGCTCATTTGCTACGGCTTCAATGTTGTGTCGTAGACTGGTTGTGCTCTGGCTGGGTAACATCTCGTTCCCAAGCGTCTTCACTTCCTTCCCTGTCGTCCCGGCTTCTCTATTACGGGAGGCCGGATGTTAGTTTTGGCTCGCTGCTCGTGAGGGCCCCGGCAAGCGGATTCTTGTTGGTTATTCTTGGTAGATAAAGTGGTGTATGAGGAAGTGAAATTGATGAGGTTTATGTCAAAGTTCACGCTACCAATGACGTATCTCCTGGTAAGTATCCATATGTAAGGAACGATGTTGCTTCCACGGGCCACAACTGTGATGCTGCTGATTGAGTGGTGTTGGAAGTCTTGGTGCTGTTCTTCCTGTATCCGAGGTATCCATGGAGCGTATGGAAGTTACCTTCAAGACGCGCTCCATGCAGCCAGTACACATCCTGCCACGAGCTTTAAACTGGCATATTACTATTGCTGAATCCATATTACCAAAGTAATATTTGTATGTGTACAAGGCGCAACTCTTATCAACAACCTTGTGAGGTTGCCGCAGCTGCTAGTCTGAAAATAACATATGAATATGGTCTACCCGTCCTGTGTTGGCGGTGTGCATGGCGGGGGCTTGTTCGTAGTGGTATCATAGCCACTGCGAGCTTGGTCTAAAGGCGGTGGATACATAGTTACAACTCTATGTACGCTTACGAATGATATGCGAAATATATAAAGACTTATATAGATAGGTTCTGATCTGTACCTTGGAGGGGATTGATAAAAGCTTGGGAGGTAAGTCTCAAAAGGGGGGGTTAAGCCTGCCTTTAAATAGACATGTATAAAATACTACATAGATAGCTCGTCATTCTTTCTAGATTGGCAAACTCCTAAAACTCTGCTATGCCTCATAATGAGCCAGTTCTGGGGAAACGTGCAGTTTAACACCTATCTGGACCGTGCATGAGGTTTACGATAAGTCATTAAGGGTAACAAAGAGCAAGCCGACGATCACCTTATTATGGAAATAGTCTATTTATTTTCTTTGAAACTACATGCGGCTGAACGAAGTCATTTGGAACACCTGATCTTCTCATAATATTTAGGATAAATATATATTAGTCCCTCGAGTCATCTGACCCGTCTCTCATGGCCCTCATTACGAATGTATTTCACGTGTATGTGTAGAGCGACCTATTGATATCTAGTAATTATGGAAATAGAAGCAAATGCATCTATTCAGTGATAAATATTAGAAGCATGCAATTTAAATTGGCTCCAACGGGCCGCCATGTGATAGATGTCGTTTGGGATGTAGGAACTAAGAAGGTTGACAAATGACCCTACGCCGAAATATGACACACGAAGTACCTAATTTACAAATCAAACAAGTCCTGCTTCCATTCTTTGGTCTATCAATGAGATAGTTTTATTTGAGATATGTAAAAAGTTCTAATCCTATTGCTATACACACATACCATCAAGCTCTAAGTTAGTGGTTGTATATGACTCCTACAGATGACCACATTCATAGCCATTGCTTATTGCCATAGTGCGACACGAAGGAACCTCCATCCCCACCTTCAACACTCGACTTATTGATGACCTCAAAGATGAGCTTGACGGACTCGTCTGGCATGATAGCACCCTTCCAATGCGGCGCGTATTTTGCGAATCCGCTAACCATTGCGTCAAGACCAGCTTTGTCTTTCCCTGACACTGTTTCGGTACATAAATCAGCTAAAGCTACATACGGAACGCTAAAATGAAGTACAAATGAAATTCTTTGGGACAGAGAGAGGGAGGAACTTACACCCAGTTGGATCAGTATATCCAGACGTCTGCACTGCTCCAGGCGAAATGCTCATGAACAAGATCCCTTCTGAGCCTAGCTCGCTGTGGTACTTGGCAATCGCAAGATTCATGGCTGCTTTGCTCATAGCGTACGGGCCGGCCATATATAACTTGATGTCTCGGACCAATTCCAAGTCGGCATGTCCCGATGTGATCAAGACGACCTTCTTAACGTCGCCCTTGCGGATAAGGGGTAAGAAGACATTGATCAAATTGATGTTGCCGATGACATTGGCTTTGTAGGCGGCAAGTAGATCGTCCTCTAGGGCTTTATGATCGTCACCCCTACGTTGTCGAAGTATGTTAGTATCTATGGAGGGTTGAGAGTAGTTTATAAGGAGGAAAGGGGAACTCACAGGTCGCTCAAACTTCTATAAGCTGACATAGAACCGACAAGGGCGCCATTGGCGATCAAGTAGTCAAGTCTCCCGCCTGTAATCTTAGACGTATCTTCGGCCGCTTTCTACGCATGCCGTTAATATGACATAAATATCTAGAGAGGTAGGGTTGGCCGCCAAACCTTTAGTGATTCATAGTCTACGAGATCTCCATGGAAGATATGAATATTGGAACGCCCGATCTCGGCTGCAACCTTCTTCTCAGTGGCTGCCTTGTCACGGGCAAGTCCAATAACAATGGCTGCTGGATCTGCGGATAGCTGGCGGATGAATTCGAACTATTACACAAATTAGTATTGCTTATACCGTCAAGGCTCCTTTATAAACGCTTACCCCGAGTCCTCGGGAGGCTCCTGTCACTACATATGAAGGCATGATTTCTTGGTAATTGTGTTGAATGGGTAGGAATGTTGATTGATGTGTATGAAGTGTGTTCCTGGTGCTTCTTCATATCTAAATGATGGAGGGAAGGCAGATGATTTATATAAAAATATCACTGTTGCTTATGTTGAAGACACACGATGTGTATCATTGAAGAGCAGGGTTTAATTGGGTTAAGCTGATTACATTCATATTCGTCCGCCCTCGTCCGTCCGTAGGATGAACCAAATTCATGATTGTAAATCAACAGTTAATAAGCCTCCAATGGAAATACGGATGGATATCAATTGTCGCATAGCAGAATTGGTAATTCCATGCATTCATATAGTAACCGTTGGTATTCGAGCTGACTTCGTCGCGCGGTCATAATGCAAGACAAGCTCTTTATGTCCTGAAGAATTTGGTCAACTCCGAAGAATAACACGATTTTGAAGAACAACAAGATATCTGCCGACATCATTTTAACAAAAAGGAAAGCATAATTGCTCAATTAACAGAATCGGCAAAAGAAAAGTGCGAATGCGCTCTCGATCGGGGAATCGAACCCCGGCCACCTGCGTAACTGTCGTTCGAAAGATGACAAGCAGGTATCCTGACCACTAGACCAATCGAGACTTAGACAGGGTAGAATGGTACCCCACAAACCCTCTTCGGAGGGCGATTGGATTCTCACGTGCCGACCATTGAGGGAAAGAAGCTCTATATCGCCTGGTTGTTCTTTGTCGAATCCGGACTAGGTGCATTTAGAAATTTCTAGCTGTGTTTGGGTAGCCCCGCTAATCTGGTCCAACCAATTACAGTGGGTTGTATCGGCTCTTAGCGGTGAGTTCGGCACAATCCGAGGGTCCACTGGTGCCACCTGGCACCCAGCTAATCGTCGGCCTGACGATATGGCGGCTGGGTCTTTTTTAAGGTTCACCGTTTTCTATGAGTTCATCAACAAGGTTTTCTCAAGAATCACCCTCAAACAGCAGTTACTTCCTCTCTCATCTTCCTTCGTGCAACAGCTCAATTTCAATTAAACAATTACCAAACACACGATTTTCCCAATTAGATCTAATGTAAACATTATACAGACTTAGAGCACTGCACCCAGCACTCGCTTTTTTGATTCAATGCTCCAATGCTCCAATAACACTTCTCATGTATAACTTACCCATAGATCGTACCTAATTAGACCACTCCAATTAAGGCATCATGTCGGACTCCCCAATATTGGATCAATCAAAGCACGACGCCCATGTCGTCTCCGGACATTTACCATCTGGATACTCCGCCGAATTTGATGGGGCACCCGGTAGTTCTGGTGCTCCATCAGTTTCCGGTCAAGATGCGGGAGACCAGGATTTAGGCGAATCCTCCTTAAAGCTCCAAGGAGGTGACATCCACCGAGATCTCTTTAAGACTGCTGCACGGGTCAAGATGCACAAACGAGCCGCCACATTTCACCACCCACAAGATTTAACCGGTGACAACGAATCTGACCTCTTGACCGTTAGCGACCAATTGGCCCCTGGTGGCTTTCGTAGAGCCTTCATACGTCAGCGGCAAGAGCCCGAGATCTGGGCCGCTAGGATTCCGGTTACTCGAAATTTTGTCGAGTTTCTTGAGCTCTACGGTAACTTTGCTGGCGAGGACCTTGCCGACTCCGACGATGAAGCGGTGATATCCGACGAAGGTGAGGAAGGAGAAGAAGGCGAGGAAGAACGATCACCTGAGACAAGGCCACTACTTGGGCGTCGTAAGTCTTCGCGGGCGTCGCGCTCAGCTAAGACCAGTACCAAGAAAACCTTCTTTACCTTATTGAAGGCTTTCATTGGGACTGGTATCATGTTTCTTCCTAAAGCTTTTAAGAATGGCGGCATATTATTCTCCTCCATAACTATGCTGGTCATATCCATAGTCACGATGTTGGCGTTCCATCTGCTTCTTGCCTGTAAGGCACGGTATAACGGCGGTTACGGAGAAATCGGTCAAGCCATATCAGGCGACAAAATGCGCAAGGTCATTCTGATATCCATTACCCTGTCGCAATTAGGGTTCGTCTGCGCCGGAATAGTCTTTGTCGCAGAAAATATGACGTCCTTCCTCCAGGCCGTAGCACATGGCAACAGTCCATTATCGCCCACGACTCTCATCCTCATACAGCTCATTGTTTTAATACCTCTGGCCTTCATTAGGAATATAGCTAAACTCAGTCCTTTCGCACTGCTCGCGGATGTTTGCATCCTTATTGGTGTAGGCTATATCTACTACTACGACATCGCCCACCTCGCTTCTGACGGCATTCACGAAAGTGTCGTTCTCTTCAACCCAGCAAAGTACACGTTGACGGTCGGTTCGGCAATCTTCACTTTCGAGGGTATAGGACTTATTCTGCCCATACAATCTTCTATGACGAAACCCGAACGGTTCGAATGGCTTCTTGGTCTTGTCATGTTCATCATCACGGTTCTATTCACTGCGGTGGGCGCCCTCTGCTATGCTACGTTTGGAGTAAATACACAGATCGAAATTATCAACAACTTTCCTCAAGATAGCAAGTTCGTCAACGCAGTTCAATTCCTCTACTCACTAGCCGTCCTAGTCGGAACCCCTGTTCAGCTTTTCCCCGCTCTACGTATCCTCGAGGGTAGGATATTCGGTTCCCATTCAGGAAAAAAGAGTACCAAAACGAAGTGGATCAAGAACGCATTCAGAACGTTCATAGTTGTCGTGTGCGGACTGGTATCGATAATCGGCGCTTCGAACCTCGATCGGTTCGTTGCGTTGATCGGGTCCGTTGCCTGTGTGCCTCTTGTCTACATTTATCCAGCATATCTACATTACAAGGGCGTCGCAACCTCGTGGCAGGCTAAAGCCGGAGATCTCTTGTTTATGGCGGTTGGAACAGTCGCTATGGTCTACACCACAGCCATCACCATCGCTAACAGTTTTATGCACTAAGCGTCTATTTACTCATATACCCCACCGAAATGATACGGAGGGAAGCGACTATAAAGAAAATTGCATTTTGGAATAAGGATACTCATTAGGATTAGGATTGGTGTCATTGTCCTGTTTGGCAGCGAATCGATCCTGTATCACGATCACTCATGATATTATATCGGCATTGGGATGTAGAAACCCGGCGTTGAGCGTTTATTACAGATTGGAGATTTCGAAAGAAATACCACTGGCTAAATTCCCTGTACTTACTAACTACACTCTTCTTATTTTAGATAAGTTGCCTGTCAGGATTAGGCTCTGGAGACTATTCGCGACAGTGTTTCCACAAGCACCCCATGGCAACAGGCATAATAATAAGACTCGCGCAATCTATCAACGACGTCGCGTAAGGGAAAGGTCCATCTGGAAATATTAGCTATGGATCTATGATCTGTATGGTGCCTAGAGATTTCTTCTCGCAGTGTCGCAATTAAGACCAGCACGTACTAATGAAAACGTAGGTAGGTAAACAGAGACGACCTAGAATATTTTCTCAGATTTAAATCATTATTAACAACCACAGCTTCCCAAACGCCGACTTCAGTGTTCGGTTACCTCGCGAGGTGAAAGCTGAATCGACCCATGGCATATCCATTGGCGTGACTCATATATTCCTCTCAGCCCCATGGCACGGGGAACTCACCCCTGCATTAGCACCAACATCACCGGAGGTTTATTATCTCCAGCGGACGATTTGACATCCCGGCCTCCTTCACGAGAACGGCATGGCATTAATAGTGGTACCAAATCATAATATAGGGAAATTCAATCCAATGATCCCACCACAATTGCACTTCGATGAACTTAACAAGAGAACATCCCTCCTCAGACATCATCGCTAATATTTGTAAGCTCGAAGCGATCAGAGGAAGTGAAATCTAAACAGGAATCTAAGAGCGAGGTTTCTACGACGATCTAAGTTATAAAAACGACTGGTTGCCTAGTCCGTGGTAGCAATGCGGGCTTTATTTCACCCCACCACTAGAAGCACCACGATTGGCTCCTTCGAACCCTTTTAGGAAATAGGTATCCCTCAGCTTTGCAGCTATAATTGCTGACGACATATGCGGTGATGGGTAGTGACAAATCTGGATCCCTGTTTCGGAAAAGATGCGAGCTATCATACCCCACATTTATTCGGATTCACGAAGAGACGGCATGGTTTCTGTTGTTTGCTTTTTGATGACACAGGCGACGACAATGATATTTAAGAGCGTTGCGGTTCCCTAGGTAGTTTTGGTTTCTGGACATCATCCATCAATCTCCAGTCAACTTAACTCATTGAACAAACACCACTACAACAAACCCATACACATTCTCCCCCTCCAAAAAACCCACTTACAGCCACCATGTCTCTCCAAACCGAACTCGAGAACGTCGACAAGCAATTCTCCCACGCCCCCGCCGAGATCCGAGACCCCATCATCTCAACCCGTCTCGACTTCGCCAAGTCCTTCGACCCCACCAACGCCATCAAAGTCGGCCAAAAAATCCCCTCCTTCACCCTCCCCGACTCCCTCAACAAAACCGTCTCCAGCACCGACCTCCTCGCCGCCGGGCCTCTGCTCATAACATTCTACCGCGGCGGCTGGTGTCCCTTCTGCAACATCGCCCTGCACGCCCTGCAAGCCAAGCTGCCCGAGATCAAAGCCAAAGGCGTGACCCTCGTCGCCATCACCCCCGAGCTCCCCGACAGCTCGCTCACGACCGCCGAGAAGCAGGGGCTCACGTACCCCGTGCTCTCCGACGTGGGGAATAAGTACGCGCACCAGCTCGGGATTGTCTGGGCCCAGCCCAGCGAGCTGCGCGAGGTGTTTGCGAAGATTGGCAATGATTTGAAGAAGAGGAATGGCGATGATTCTCTGGAAGTGCCGATCCCGGCGACCCTGCTCGTGGATCGGGAGGGTACGGTGAGGAATTTGTTTTTGGAGGCTAATTATTCGAAGAGGGTTGAGCCGGATGAGGTTTTGGGGTGGATTAATGCGCTATAGAGGTTGGTGGTTGGTGGAGGGGCTGAGGTGGAGGATGAATAAAGGTATTACATTTGTTGGTGGAGATATGATTATGTTCCAACTTACGTACTCACGTTCCTAGATAGTAGGTAGCGTCTTTGAGGGATGTTCAATTCCATACAGAATACATACGTGTTGAATCTCAAGTCTGTCGCCCCCTATAATTTCGCGATCCAGCTCAATACATCGCGGTTCTTGAAAAGGTTCCGATATAAACCATCTCGATTTTTGCTGTATTCTAATCATGCGTATCATTTATTCCGCATTTACTTAATGCCTCAGAGAGTATACCGAATGCATTGGGTACCTATACTTTTTGTTCCAATTAAATGTGGAGAGGTAGAACATGAAAAGGGGCCGCCCCTATGCGCATTTGATGAATAAGCCATTATCTTACCTAAGTTCATCTGGGCATTCAGGGAAATATACGTGACAACTTAATCGGCATAAAAGACCAAATTGATACCTTCCTATTTATACTACCTGTAGCAGATAGAAAGTCCCTGTCGCCAAGTAAGTAGCCTCGGCTTGAGGCTATCAAGTACCGGGACGCGGAGGTCCACCAATTAGGATATGAAGTTCATACTCAGCTTGAATTCCTATCCGGTAAGGCTACATCGTCTCTAAACCACCATGCGATCTAATCTAAATCTCGTGTTGACGGAGACGCGCCAAGCACGCATAGCATTGAATCGCTTCTAACCCTAGATCGCCAAGGTCGCGAGGTAGCTTTCTACCCCATATATCGGAGGACATCGATCCGAAAACGTTAGGTCGATATGGGGAGTAGATAAGCTGGAGTAATATATCTCCATGAACCAATGCCGCCTTCGCCAATCTCCCGTCGGGCGATATTAGGCTAGGAGAGTTGTATATAATAAGGCATCGACCGCATCCAAGATCGGCAGGGGAAAGGAACACCAAACTCTTATACAGACGTCCCGCACCACACATCCCTACGCCGATCTCCCCAACTCTCACCACTACCATAACCACAACCGCCACCATGCGTCTCACAACCCTCACCGCGCTCCTAGCATCCACCACCACCGCCTCGGGCGCGCTAACCTGGTCGCTCCAAAAAGCCAGCAACCCCACCGCGGACCAAACCTCCGCATACGCAAAAATCGAAGCCGCAATGACAGCCGCCGTAGCGCACTACGCGAAATTCACCTCCGCGTCCAAGACCATCCGCGTGTACTACGCCCCCGGTGTCCCGACCGCCGAGGCCTCGTATAACGGGGACCTGCGGTTCGGGTCCGACCGGGCGTACATGACGGAGCGAACGGCGATGCACGAGATCTCGCACACGCTGGGAGTGGGACAGACGGCGGAGTTTAACCGCCGGTGCGCGGCGGGAGATTGGCCGACCGCGCTGCCGCTTCTGCGGAGTTTTGACGGCGCGAGTGCGAAGATTAGTTGTGGGGGTGGACACTTTTGGCCGTATGGGTTGAATTATGAGAGTGAGTGGAGCGCGACGAATGGGGATCGGCATGTGCGTATGGTGGATGCTATGTTGAAGGATGGGATGTGAGGGAGGAGGGGGGTTTAGGGGGTGCGTTGTGTGTTAGCTTTTGAGGATGGATGGCTTTATTGAAATGAATATTACCCGTTATCTGACATTTTGACGAGGTTTTTGGAACTAGATGGTTGTCCAAATAACATCGTGATACCTCTAGGTGCTCTGTCCCTTGTTACGTTATACGAGTCTTCTGTCGTATCTGTACCACATTGCGAGATCATACGAATCCCCCACAACGTATATCTACGTGTTCATGATAACAGCCCTGTGCTCTTGGCTACATGTCCTCAACTTAACTGAACTAAAGCGGCGTGTTCTTGAGGCAGGAAGATATCAAAACGGACACCGACAGAAAGCTTATAAGATGCCGACACCAAACGCGAGACTTCTCCGAGATAGTCCGAGATGTAGTTCGGGCGACTAGATAACCATGACCCTGGCTACTGCAGATATAGAAAATCAGCCGCATAATCAGGGGTTTGGTGGGGGTGGGTAATGGGGATAACGGGTTGTGGAGGTTTCTATCTTATGTGCGATCTAATGCAAGTAAGTTTGCCGTCTATACAGCTTTGAAGTCGATAGCGTAGTATAAAGCACTTACACGAATATCGCGCTAACGACGATGCTACCTACGCAACATGAGTAAAGACAAGCAAGCCTCTTATCGATTGATCAACGGACGGAGAGCTAGGTAGATACTGCAACTGTGTTAGCTCCCTGTAGAGGGCAACTTGTCTCTGCGTCGACATTAGCTGCAGGAGACTTGGTAAACAAGGCCTAAACGAGATATAAGCGGTGACGATAGAGTCGCTATCCGAGCTCACTTCAGGGTCTATGGTGGGGGTGAAAGGACATCCTCTACAAAGTAAACGGGAGTCGAATTAGACGATAAGAATAGCCCTCTCTTTCACTTGCGCCCTAGCAGATAGGCCCGGGCGAGAATGCATCTAGAAGGCTGACCGTCAAAATACCACTCAGCATTTGTTCTACAGGGGTTGGCTCTCACATTAAATTCCGAATCCGGACCCGGTCTAGCCAAGCCGACTCAGATTATCAGATCTCACATACCCTCCCTGGATCCTGCTATTGCTGTGCAGGATTACACGCACAAAAGTTCTTTGCCGAGTTGGGATTAGTCTTATCATCAGATTCTATCCTATCATTCGTTAGCAGTTCTTATAACAAATTGACATTCATTTGCGATTGATAACCAACAGCTGGATTTCAAAGTTGACTTTATTTTGAACATTTTATGGTATCATCCCCACGCTAGATTTCATGCCCCCTTTTGCCCCCTTAGATATCCAAAGCATATACGACTATCCCCCTTAACCATTTCGGGTATTTAGGGGCCAGTCGCATATGCCACACGATTGCTCGGTCTTAATTCGGATCCTCGCCCATGTAATTCTCTCGTTTCCTGTTTCCAAAGAACATTGCCCTTATCTCGTCTCGGAAACGGGTCGGAGGCTCGTTGTGGGAGGCCTCGTATGCATCGATAGCCGGTTTCTCCCATACAAGATCAGCCTGCGCGGGGGCGACGAACTTCGTACGTCTGTAGATCTTCCAGCCGAAGAAAGTGCAGAAGGCAACCATAGCCATGGTGTAGAATGCGAAGAAGTCTCCGACATTAAACTTGCCCGGTAGAAACACGGAATATCCAAAAATGCCCTCGATAATAACCATCCACGCCATTCCAATGTAACCACAATACGGCTGGAAGTAGCCATAATAGGGTAACGAACGGCGATCTATTCCCTGAGCTTTTGTAGCGTTGTAGAAAAAGATGTACGTTAAACTCATTACAATGTAGTTGATCATCTGCGAGCCCTGGGTGAGTGTTGCTAGCCACGTCACAACCTGCGCCGTGTTGTTCGATACCTGCAGGAACGAAAGAAAAGGGAAGACCATGACGAGAGCGAAAGCGTAGACTGGAATGCCGTTCTTGAGTGTCTTCTGGAAGATTTTGGGTGCCTGGCCGTCGCACGCTAGTCCGTACAAGGATCGCATGGCACAATAGGTGTAGGCGTTGCCTGCACTGAAGATACTCGTGATCATTAGAGCATTGACAATATGGGGCAGTATTCCGATGCCCATATTCTGCATCGCAATGACATAAGGCGAGCCGTTTGCTGTCCCCGTGTCGGCGTTCTGTAGTGTGGGGTCCGCATATGGAAGAACAATACCAACACAGAGCGCACCTCCAATGAAGAATACGCCAAATCGCCAGTAAACCGTTTTAAATCCGTTCTTAAGATAGGTTCGGGGACGCTCCGCCTCTCCAGCAACCATGGCGAGATACTCAGGTCCGACGACAGTGAAGCCGGCGGAAAACACAGCGCCGAGGAAGCCTTCGAAACGACCTAAGGTACCAGTATGTATGTGTTCGGCAAAAGATCCCGGATCTGACCAATATCGAAAACCGTAGGCGTCGTGTTGGGGGTTACCTCCGCACATAGTAACCAACGTGAACATGTATAAGATGCAAATAAGCAAGATCTTACCACTCGACAGCCAAAATTCGGCCTCGCTAAAATATTGAATTAGCAAAAAATATTCATTACGGGGGCCGATTTGTCTAAATGGGCGCGGGCCGTGTAAGGCAAGCAAGGTCACGCGATGATGAGAATGAAAGAGTCTAAGTTGAACGTTTAAACCAAGTACTCACCCAAAATACTGCACAGCCATGATGTTGATGATACTATCACATATGTTAATCACTTTGTGATTCAGTGGAGTGATGGAAAGGAGCCGAGTGCGGAATCACATACGCGTACAACACAATGCATGCCACGCAAATAGCTGCAGGAGGGATGTCATCTCGCCAAAATCCAAGAACAAGGTTAATAGCGGAGATCTCGAAGGGGATTAGACAGGCTTCGTAGAGGAAGAAATTCCATCCGGCCATGAATCCCAATGCTTCGTCAACCCATCTCCCGGCCATTCGAATGAAGGATCCGGACACAGGCATGTAGGTTACCATTTCCGCCATGGAGTTATTTACCATGCCGACCATAATCGCATAGATCGTATATCCGATGAGTAGACTACCCGGACCGCCCTTAGCTAGACCACCGCCGATACTAACAAAGAGCGCGGTACCAATACTACCACCGATAGCAATCAATTGGATTTGGCGATTACCCAGGTGGCGAAGGAGTTGGTTCTCAGCCGAAACTTCGACTAGGGTTTCACGGATATCGCCACTTGAGGCATCGTTTTTCTCGTCATCGATAACTCTCCGGTTAGCATGCGCCGAAGCTGGCTCGGGTTTATCTTGTGCTGCCGCCATACTGAGAGCAAGAGAGCGAACTCCGCTGAGACAGCGGAATGTCGGATATTGTATAAGAGGATTGTTGGAAATATAGAGGCGCCGATACCATTATATTACGCACGCAATGGCGTTGTTTACTTCCGCAGTCGGAAACAATGTTATAAAAAATGCTGTATAATTATAGCGTAGAAAAGGGGTGACTCAGGTGACAATTCTCCAAAGTTCGCATGGGAACAAGACAAGAATAAATAAGAAAAAGGAAAATTCTTGGAAAGGAATTCAAGAGATTATCAGCCCATGTAGTTTTTGCATTGTACTTTCTCTACTTCCTTCAGGTACAACCGTGACTGCAACTGTATGCTGACCTATGTCATCATCGTTGACATGGGTATGGCAGGAAACGGCAGGGTAGCGCAGTAAAGGTGGGGAAATCAGCCGCTATTGCCCCTCTCCGACAGTGGCCCCAACAGCCCCAAGAACGCTAACCAGGCTAACCCGCTAGTCGGTGGGGGTTACACCGCTGTTCGCGTGATGTAGGCTGGGGCTCGCTGGGCTCTCCAGGGCTGGCAGTGCGCTAACAGCCACTGGTCAATTGAACTGGATCGACAATCCCGGGAGGTTGCGACATACCAGTTTTTAGCCTTTGGGTCAATAAAGTTGCAACTGTGTAACGGTTAATGGTTCTTAGAATTGATCGATTGCGACCGAGACTCTGAATTCGGCAAAGTCAAGCAGCGATGCCACGATGTTACTATAGTACATGTACCTATGTAGCATTCGATGTGAGACATTCACACCGATGATCGTGAAGGATGCGCTGCAGATGAAAGGAATAGTAAATGTCCTTCTCCCCCTCGCGTCGCCCACTAGGCTTCAAGCCAATACGCCGCCAAGACACCGATATACGTGCTCGCAGACTCGTAACCTCCGGGTGTATGTCAAGGGTTCAGCTCCACCAGATTTCCCTCTCTAGGATTCAAGTAGGCTAGGATGCACGATGCCGTAATTTTGCCTTGGTAAAAGAAAAAAAAATCGACGGACCTGCCTTTCTGAGGGCATCTGGTTAGCTGATATTGCGAGGTATACCCATCTTCCGGAGGAGGTATTATAATGACCGTATTTTAATCTTGTTGTTAACAGCCTTAAGGAGGTGTTGATTTTTTTTGTATGAGGGTTTATATGGACAAGACAGTAAATACAATTTCGTTCCTCTTGGGTGAGCTTTAGTTTTGATCCAGCAGTCCAAGTCGTGGTAGTATTCACGTACCTAACTCGAATTAGGTATAGTGCCTTGGCGCAATTAGTCCAATTGAAGTTTTCCGGCGAAGGGAAATGTTCTTTATTATTCGCGTAGCCTCATACCTTCGCATACCAATGGACAAAGACGAAATCTATACCTACCTCGGTAGTAAAGAAATAAAGTATCAAAATTAGGTAACTATAACAGTTCTACGTGAATTTTCCTAACCATGACTCAGATATTATGCTTGTTGATATCGCGAAGTCCTGCCTGTCGACCGTTAGCAGGTTTTGACATTATGTATGCCTCGGATTTCCTAAGTAAGAAATGACACAAAAAGTGGCACGTGGGTGTGTCTCCAGGTTTCTTCGTCTGCAGATCTCAACTCTGCTTAGATCTTATTCGATTACCTACCTCTTATCCTTAGAACACCGAATCTTTAATGGGCCTCGGTCTTGATTACTGCCATAACTTTTTGCCACGGAAGCCAATAAATGGCAGAAGGCCTTCTCGCAATCATGATGAAGGCTCAGTTCTTAAATTCAATATAGTTGGAGTTGAACAATGATAAAGTAAGGCAGAATGATCTTCCGTATAATCCCCACCGAGAATTCGTTTCATTCATCGACCATCATGCCTATATCCATATCGGCGCCGTATGGGGCTTGCAGTTGCAAGGCGGAGACGGTTCGGGGGCGGTTGAGACGGCAATCTTTTCGGTGGATTTGACAATTTGTCCAGTCGGAGAGAAGATGGTGACGATTGTGGGGGCGCATACAGAATCCTGACAACCAGGGTCGTAATTGTACGGAAAAGTTCTAGGGCTGAGAGGCGCCAAGCTTAGACTTGTCCTACAGTGGGGAATCGTTTTTACTTGTTGGAAATTGGGAAATTACTCAATGGTAATGACGCGGCGTAGATATGTCCACGATGCCTTCCAACACTTTTATTTCTTAAGAATAGATAGCTCGACAAAATAGATGATACCGAACAGTGTCAAAAGATTTCTTAAGTATATCGGCACCTAAGTAAATAATATGCATTAAAATCAACCTTGAAGATTCACTGCATTGTCGCGATTGAGTTCTGACTCTAAATTTTTAGGAAGACCCACTCAAATATCGGCCGAGTTAGCCCGCAATTGCCGTCCGTCGTGCACCTGTGTCGCATCGTCTCGTCATAGTTTAGTAGAAGTTAATACAACATCGCCCAGATGGTAATACTTAAATCATTCTAGCAGATCAGTAAATGAATGAGAGCCTCGAAATCCGTGGACGAACAAATTCTGGGAAAATCGGCGTCCACAGTGATTGCCGAGATGCATGTGCCGCACTAAAGCCGACGCAGGAACAACTAAACAAGTGTGGAAACTCTACTCCACAACCGCTTATCTACGGATACAAATTCAACCCCTTGGCAACGGTTATGGTGCTGCAGCGTAGGTGCAGCGTTACTTGGAATGAATGTTGGGATTCTTAAAGATCTAACCAGCTCATACGATACTCAGGACAAGCTTCTACAAGCATCAATACCTGCCACCGTTATTTTTTAAACCTGGTAGGTTGGTTTCAATAACGCTAATAAATAACAAGTAGCGAAGCAGGAACCAACAGCAATACACTACCTATCTAGTAATCAGACTTAACGGCGTTATAGAAGGAAATTGCAACCAAAATTATTGACCTAGAATCGGAAAGAAAGAGACGAGAGCCCTCATTGAGAACCCGGACGGCAATCGGTGCTCGGCTTCAGGCTCCGCATTTGGTCTTCCGGGGCGCCAATTAGGCACCGACTTCCTCCAATTTGTTCGCTCATGCTGTGATCCGTCGCACCTCCGCTGTGAACCAACATATAAGAAAGGCCCATCTTGGAATTGACCGTATCTCCAATTTAGAACTCCTCTGGAAAAGCACCCCCTGAAAATCATTTACAGTTAATAGCATCCCGGTTTTTTTGTTTTTTTTTCAGGGCCCGCTCGCATAATGCTGTCAGCCAGGGGATCAAGTTGGGCGAAGATGCGCTACGCTCATGGGTATCTGAACACCTATCACCCCACAAGAAACCCAAATGGGATCGTGAGTTTCTCGAATGCGGAGAATGTGAGTCGGCGTTTAGATTCCGTGAAACGGACACAAATGCAGCCACTGACGTCGCTTCCAGTGGCTAGGACAAGAAGACCTAACCAACTTCATCAACGAGCACGTAAGGCGCATTTCCATCTCGATCTCTGTTGTGCAATGTTAAGACGTCGAGGTGCAGAGCCAGTTTGACAAGAGCCTGTGTGCGTATGGGGAAGGTTACACGGGTACAGTGCGTCTGCGGACCGCAATGGCGAAGCACGTAAACACGCATTTCAAGCCGGTGAAGGAGATCGGTCCCGAGGAGATCACATTCGCCGCCGGCGTAACTGAACTAAACGAAGTCTGCGCCATGATCACATGTAATCCCGGCCACAGCGAATCTATTTTGCTCGGAAAACCTATATACGGGGCTTTCTCGAGGGACCTCACGATCAGAACAAGGTAGGTTGGTACCTATTTCTGTAGTCGCCCCGCACTTGAATCTGACAGAAAGGCGTTCAAGCGTGACGCCCGAGTACGTAGAAGTTGGCGATACGGACCAGTTCTCGCCAGACTGCGTCGCCCTTTACGAGGCTGGGTATAATGCCGCGGAAGCCCGAGGCGTCAAAATCACAGCATTGATAATATGTAACCCTCACAATCCTCTAGGTACGAGATGCATCAAGGCCTTGGGAAAGAAGCGGATGAACTAAAGCTGGGAATAGGACAATGCTATCCCCGCGAAACTCTGGTTGGGCTCATGCGTCTGTGTGCGTCTAAGGGGATCCATCTTATCAGCGATGAGATATATGCCCTCTCAGTATACAATCGGGATGACCGTCCTTCAGAGGAGTTTACTTCGGTGCGGGCTATCGACTACACTGGCATCATTGATCCTAATCTAGTTCACGTGCTTTATGGGATGTCGAAAGATTTCGGATCGGGCGGAATGCGTCTGGGCTGCGTTATATCTCAGAATGACGAATTCACCAAAGCGACCCGTGCCTTATGGTGAGTCTTCGTCATAAACGGAGGACTTTTCTAGTCGTTGCTCATATGCCTGAAGCCGATTCTCCTCTCCTTCCCAGTACTCCATGGATCTAGCAACCAAGATCCTCGAAGATCAAGAATATGTTGCGAAGTTTCTTGAAAAATCGAAGCTCTCATTGACCCGGGCTCGTTTGGTAACTGAAGACCTCCTAAATAAGGCAGGCATAGGATTCCATCAAAAGGGGTAAGCCTATTAGGATGAGAAGAAGTAACTTACCTAGGTATCTAATGTTTCTTTAGGAATGCCGGGTTCTTTATATGGCTCGATCTAACCCCCTTTCTACCAACTGGCGAGACTAGTGGGGATGGGTGGGCTGCTGAGAGGCTTTTATCCCAACGTTTCACCGGAGCAGGAGTTATCATGGCAACAGGAGAGGCATACCATGCCCCAAGTCCTGGCAGGTTCCGACTCGTATTCTGTCTCGAAGAGGACTCTGTTAGGGAGGGTATCAGAAGGTTAGTCATCCACCCCTTTTACACTGGAAACTCAATGAAGTTGATTCTCATAAAAATATTCAGAATATCACGCGTTTTAGACCAATAATCATGATATATCTTTACGTATCTAACATTTGAGATATATTCATTATATGATATCCACAGTCTTAACTTCTGCCTTCTCTAGTGCTGCGGCAAATATGTCTCTCATTTCTGGCTCCAGACAATCGATCTGTGGGGTACGGGGCTCGAGCTGTAGGAAGCCGATACGCTCGAAGATCCTTCCGACTTGAGTCGGAACAACTCTAAGAATTAAAGACATATCTATATTTTCTTCCACTAGGCGAATCATCCTTAGGCAATAGACTTCGGTTCCTGGAAGGACATTGTAGAGGCCGGCTTGACTCAAGTCATAATCTGGCCAGATTCGAGGCGTCACCTCCTTGTTTTCAGCATAAACGCAGTAATTCTGGCGCCCCTGGTGGTCGAGTCCAGGTTTAAGAAGGAGAGTCACCGGTAAAACTTGACTGGTCACGCGAAGTGATGCAGATTTGACTCGGCCGAACTTGTCTAACCCAGCGGGCTCGCATCTAAAACCATCGATAGATGCAAACTCGATTCGTTCGTCGGGCTCGTCTAGGAACATTTCCTCGTCATAGTATACTATCCCATCTTGGTAATTGACATGTGTATCGATACTAGCCCACGACCACGAAGGGGCCCTCCATTCTGGTAGTCGATGCTTCTTGCAGTTATAAGTCTTCCACAACAGGTCGTCAAGAAGCGAATCCCCGAACAACCCTGCGAGATATGGCGAACCTCTCTTCGCTGCGAATGTTTTGGCCACGCCACCTAGAGCCGGTAGGCGATCACTAGGAATAGTGAGGTGAAGGGATGTGTAATCCATTACCAAAGACCGCCACGTCCGTGCAATAAAATATCCAGCCTTTTTAACCCACATTTTATTTGTCCACTTACCACTCCGAGTTCGAACCATGGAGTTTAATGCTGTAGAATACATCTTCTTGAGGTTTGGAATAGGTATGTCTGTCGTGGTTTGGTCCAAGAAATCAATATTCCCACATTCGCAATACGCTGTAGTCGGACATTCGAAAAAAAGCTCGTGGTGTCCAAAATGTAGGACTCGTGCGGAGAGAATTCGTTCCTGGAAGACCCATGCCCGGGTCATCAGAGGAAACTTGGATGTCGTGGTATCTCGCCATAGAACATGGTCCATTTTCTCCCGGAAGACGAGGTAGTATTCTTCACCTTCTGGAGTAGTTCCGAAGACCTCGAAATCCGGAGTCTTTGCGAACAAGCCCATATCACCACTGCTTGATCTTGTGGCTGCGATAGTTAAGTAGGCGTCATGGTAGATCGATGCCATTTTAGCAGACTCGCGTTCCCAATCCGCTGCATCATCCTGAACGATGCATAGAGAGTCGATCCAAATATAATCTATCCCAAAGCGCCGAGTCATCAATATCGCATCATTGAAAGTCTTGGACAATTCGCCTGTGTGTATCTCTTTCATTCGATCAACAAGAGTCGACTTCGTGGTCGTGATAATTTGATGTGGCCCCCAGCAATGACTGAGACACATGTATCTGTGAGCCTGTCCATTTCCTTCAACTAACCTGATTGTGCCGCCATGTCTACCCACGTCCACTACCCTAGCAGGTAGCTTTGCTAGCGACTTCGGGGCTTCCGAGGAGGGAACACAGTAAGATATCCAATCTCTCGGGTCTTCTCCGTTAGGTACTGTATCTCCATGGTATTCATCATTACAGTTCTCGAGCCAGTTACACGCTTCCTCGAAAGCCTCCTCCGAACTCGTTTCTGCGGATGTCCTTGTTGACGTAGGGACGTCCTCCCAGGCTTCTGGACAGGGGCATGCATCGTCTACATAGCTATCTTTAGTAGTGGCAGAAAACAGGCTGCTAGACATATGATATACCTTCCAGCGTGAAGAACTCAAGAGCAAATTTGCTTCCATCGCTCAGGTAGCAAGTAATGAGCTTTTCGCAACTATTGCCTGCCCCTATCCAATCATTATATAGAAACCTAAAGCTTACACGTTCAACATTGGAAAGAAGGAGCTGTTGTTGACTAAAACACCCTGTTATCCCCCTAAGAAGAATATCGCAGCAATAGCAAGTCTTGGCCGATTGTAAAAAGGTAGACCAAGGTATATCTTCATTCTTGAAGTTACGATTTGGTAACTGTGGGAAATTTTCGGCCTCGTTTTCTGTGAGAAGAGCTCCTACGCCTTGGAGACAATTGCACGATTGGCATCGCATATCGAAAATGCTTCAGGTTGCGAGTGGGAAGAGGGGAGAGAGATCGCCAACCCCTCTAGGATTCTTCGGCTGACATGCATATGGTGGCGCGAGCTAATGACACCGTACAACATGAAGTCAGACAGTTATGTTACGGTCTAGGTATTTCGATTACGGTACCGTAAGATAGGTACCTGGCTGCCTGGACACCCTCTCTCTTTCTAAATTGTAACCCACTTAGGCATAGATCTTCGTCCCCATTCCCTGCATCATGCATCATGCACATGCCCGAGAATCTGAATTTTGAAATCTGATATCATAAATGATAGCCTTCCGACTCATACATGTTATCTTGCGATTAGGAGGTACGCAAACGAATAAACAAACGCTGTATCTAGGTATGAATCAACCCGGAGACTTGATATTCAGCGCTCAAAATAGTTCCGGTTTGATTGAAATAAAGGTCGCCGGTCCCTGTTTATTGATATGATTGGTCCGGTGTAAACACACATCAAATTCTATAGCCATGACAGTCCAAGCCCGGTTCTAAGTGATCTTGACCTAATATTTTCAACTATTCTAAAAGTACAAATATCTAAGAGAATGGGACTTCTTAAAGACCAGTTTCCCTAAACTCATTCAACCAGAACATATTGCTGCATTTCTAACTTCACCCGATCATGACGCTGATACGTGGACTCCCCGACACTCCAGTTGCCAGCCCTTCTCCTACTGATTCTAGACCTTCTCTTTCCCAGACTCCTGATCAAGTTGCTTCGCCCGAAGCTCCTTGGAAGCTTGATATACGCTGCAAGATCTTGAAAACCGTTATTACCCCCAAGATAGGACATCTCTCGAATATCGTTCGCCATTACTTGGATATCAGCGAGGTCTGTATTGTTCCTCGCGCCTTTGCTTTGGGCCTCCTGGATACCATTGGCCCTTGTGAAAATGACCCCCTGCATCTAGGAATTGGATTATGCGAGATTGCTGGAAATATCTCAACTAATACAAGACCGGAGGTGTTACATGAGGACAGGAAAAGTCCCACCAGCAACTACTTCGATCTCTTTCTTGATAAAAATCTTCGTTGGGAAAGTATAGGGATATTCTGCGCCCTGGTAGCATCTTCCGCAATACTACTACCCCCTGACTCCAAACTTCTAGCTGGCTTTAAGAGTCGCGATGGTCTAATCTCTGATATGGTTGAGGCCTCGTCCTCATGTATGGAGATCTGTCGCAAAACCGGACTCATCAGTGATATTGGGGCACTCTCTATCTATCAGAATCTCATGGTCATCTCACAACTTTACGGGGATGACGGTAAGCTGATCCAATCACCGACTGGGGGCATTAGCGCTGATACCGGTAGACTACCGAACCAGGAGGCAGGTGAATGATCTCGCGCTTGCCACCTCCGAGTCCGGATTATACGCAAAATGCACGGACGCAAACTATTCCCCGAGCGTCGTAGAGATGCGCCATTGTATATTCGCGGCTTCATACAGTATCGACAAAATGATATGTGTATCCTCTAAGCGGCCACCGATGATTTCAAAGCTCCAACTCGAATGGGAAGATATCAGCGATGACACTGAGATGGCGTTTGTGGACCTTTCCTGGCCACTCAAAGAACCGAGATACTGCGCCGTGCTTTGGGTTCAGCTACGCTACATCGTCAGCAGCTTCAACGATGAAGTTTACCGAATGAAAGTATCACCGACAGATATCGAGTGAGTTTTCCCCATTAAAGTACGAGTTTCTTGCTAACGGTGTGATTTCTAGATCGATAATAAAAAGATACTCTGATATCTGGGACACCATTCCGGACTACTTGAGGTGCCCCAGTGATGACTTCGATCTCGATGATATCTTATGCAATGGATATCAGATTCGTCTGCTGCGAACGTCGATATACCTTGAATATCTTTGTGCTAAACTCTGGGCATATTATGAGCTTAACAAATACGATGCAACATTTCCACTAGCTCGGGAAATGATGACCGCAGTATTGCGCATAGATCTGCCTGAAGGACGTTTGACATCACAGGTTCCTAGAGGATATTTTTCAATTGTGAGTAGGTCCGGCCCATAGGAGTAGTGAGTGGGTATAACTAACTTAACATTGAAGGTCGCTCTATACGGCTTCGCAGCTGCTTGCATCTTATTAAGAGAGCAGGTAGACATCCTATCATGCAGCAGCGATAGTAAATATCCATGGGGGGAGACAATCAGGAGCTTAACCAATTTTTTCACACGTCTGGACTTTGTCATTCTACGGGGCGGGCATTCGGATGGATTAAAGCAAGCTAGAGATAATCTCGCCAGAAACTTCGATGCCGTTCTGGACAGGCTCGGGGCACGGGCGAATAAAGACAAGACCGTTGATCAGACACCTTGGCCTCCATCGTTTGATGACATATCTAATTACATTATTTTATGGGTGGGTGCAAAAGACGATATCTTGAGACTATGAGAAACTTGGGTCGGCTATAAGGGGATATCTTAGAGGGAGTGAAAAGTTAAGGAACAGAGAGTGGCATACCGATCATGTAAGAATAATGGAACTTATCTGCTAGGCACCTCTAAGGTAGGCACTTAGTAGGTAGACAGTAAGTAATACCAATGAAACTTGTTTTTACTATGATACATAGTCGAACTAGTGATTACCTAGAATCCATCTCAAGTAGCACAGCATGCCAATAGAACAACATACTAGGTACATACACGCCTCCTAATCACTAAGCTGACGGAATTCCCACTAAACCAATTGAACCGAAGGCCTGCGGGATCTCTAATCCCGCAAAGCCGGATGACCGCAGCACCACGATACCATCCGACGGGAGTTAAAACCAGCCATGCTTACCAAACAACCTATGTACGGATCAATAGAATATCCCATATCAACATCAACCTGAATCCAGAAAATCGAGTCTTCTTTCGGACGAGTCAAACCCAACCCCATATGCCAAAACAGGCAAATCCGTAAAACGGCCCTAAAAACATTCTATATTAGGAGCTTAACAACGTAACCCCGGTATCCCCGTGAAAACGCCATATCACCTCCCTACCACCTCCCACTTATGCAAGACTCGTAGCTAATGAGCGTAGCCTGTAACGCACACGACGCGGGGATTAACCGTAAATACAGGGCTGTTAGTTCAAGTCCGCTTACCCTATGTGGTACCTGTCTCCTGTCTCAATTCCCCCCTTTAGCATCACACAGGTGACGCCATGAAGCTACCACTCCAACCGATCTTCAGCCCAAACAATGACATACGCGACGGCGTGATAATTACCTACCAATACCCAGCCCGGAGACATTCAAAACCCCTTCCCAACGGCGAAGATCCACGCCAACCGCAAAGCAACAACAACGGAACCCATCACTGTCCGGTATCTCGGGTTTAATTATCTCCATATAGATCTATAAAGACAGACACATCTGCTCTCGCGAGCAGATATCATAATACATAGCATACACAACCTCAACAGTATTTCCAGAAAACAACCTTTCCAACCCATCACCAGATCACCCCCCAACCAACACCAAAATGCCACTCCCCCCCAACCAGCGCATCTTCATGACCGGCGCCCACGGCTACGTCGGGAGCAGCATAACGCGCATGGCCATCGCATCGGGGCACACCGTGCGGGGTCTATCCCGCAACCCCTCCAGCGACGCCAAGCTCCTCGCGCTCGGCGCCGTCCCCGTGCGCGGCGACCTAACCTCGCTCTCGATCCTGCGAGACGAGAGCGCAGCCGCCGACATTGTAATCCACCTCGCGGACCCGTTCAACTACGACCTCAGCAACGGGTACGGACACGTAGTGCAAGCGCAAGCGGCGATCGCGGACGCGTTCGCGGAGGGGATGGCAGGGAGCGGGAAGCCGCTGGTGATGACGAGCGGGACGTTGATGGCGAAGCCGGACGCGAACGGTGCGGAGACGGACGAGACGGCGCCATATCCCGAGAACGCGATTGTGCCGAGACATCTTATCGAGCAGTATGACTTGTCGCTTGCGAAGAAGGGCATTCGGGTTTCGAGTATTCGGCTTGCGCCGTATGTGTACGGGCGTGGAGGAAGTGGGATTAGGATTTTTAGTGAGTATTGCGCTTCGTGCTTTAGGGTTTATAGTTAGTTGTGAAGGGAAATGTGGGGGCTGACTGGTTGAATAGTGCAATTGGCTGCCGCAAAGGGCGAATTAATCGTCGTCGACGGAGGGAAGTCCGTAACCTCGACTGTACATGTCGACGACGCCGCACGGCTGTACCTACTCGCGGCCGAGAAAGCTCCCGCCGGGTCCGTGTACAATGCGACTAACGCCACGGACGTCACGAACTTTCAACTCGCCGAGGCGATCAGCGAGGTGATGAACATTCCCCTCAAGCACCACACGCTTGCCGAGGCGAGTGAGAAACTCGGAAGCTTCTTCGCTACCTTCCTCAACGCTCCGTGCCGTGCTTCTAGCGCCAAGGCCAAGAGGGAGCTTGGCTGGGAGATCAAGGAGAAGGTGGGAGTCTTGGAAGAAATTAAACAAGGATCCTACGTAGCCGCTGCGAAGGAGATTTTGAGCAACCCGAGTCCTGCTCCTGCGCACTAAGGGGCTGATAGAGAAGTAACAAATGACGGAACTCTTGAGAATCTAGTTGCTAGGCGGTTAGGATATGACTCTGCGCTACCGTTTTCTAAGACATGGCCCATTCGTCTAGTTTCGAAGCTTAGAGTCTCGAAAATCGGTGTATCCAACATCATACAATCAAGCAATCAATATTTAAGCCTTGCAGCTGTATCAGCCAATTTATATTGTCCCTTTCTCGCGATGTGGTAAATTCTTCACTGAGCCTTTTGCCGGTATCCAATCCCTCGACTGGTGTGTTATCTCTCATTTGCCACATCTCCACCAATGTCTCCATTGTTGACGTGATCATCCCCCAGGGACAGATAACTCTGTACTCCCGGAATCGATCTAGCACCCATGCTCTATGGGCTGGATTTGCTGTCTCGATACCCGTCAGGAATACAGCCCAGGTACCAGATTTGAATAAGGGGCTGTCGGTAGGTATAAATGAAAGATGGTATAAAATCGTGTTTGTGAGTTCTGCAGTGTTGGGAAGGTTGGATAAAACATCTTCCCCGAGCTCACTGAGCGATGCATGTCGAGTGACTTGGCCTGCTAGGTTAGGAGCGATTAGAAGAACATACAGGCATACTGCTGCGCGAAAAGTATTGCCGATATGCCTACGATACTCCAGCTCAGTTTCGTCCAGGTATCCCACCTCTGCAGCAATTTTGGCGCATATACCCTCTGCCCAGGCATTGGTATCAAACACTTGGACCCCTTTAAGGATTTCAAGGCATGATTGCACTTGCCTATCATTCAGCATGCTAGTCTCGTTGGCCTTGATATCCCTCGCTAATTGCGAAGTCCGGAATACAGCATACAGTAAACGAGAAGGGCAGCTATGATAACTGTTGGCCTCGGTACGGAAAAGAATTGGTAGGATATCAATATCGTCTTCGTTTGATGCTGAGTAGCTTGGGATACTCTCATTTGTCGACGACACAAGTGAATCCAGCGCACTGCTCCAGATATAATAAGCCACCGAGTCAGAGGCAATGTAATCACGAACACATAAAGTCGTTGAGAGTGGGATGGGGGGATAAGATAAAGCGTAGGGAATAAGAGGTTCAAAAGTTGAGAGGGTTAAAAGGGATTGGGTATCTGATTGCAACTCCTCAGTGAAATCTAACTCTTTACGTTGGGAACTGCTGGACCTTCGCAGACTAAGGAGTTTGCCGACGAAACCCATGTGAGCTCGCCAGCCACCTTTTCCCGAGTCGACAAGCGCAAAGTTGACGAAGAAGAGAACAGCAGCTAATAAAGCGTCTTTCTGTACATCGTCAACATCAACATCACCGGCGGCTTTTAGACGGTCTAGCGTAGTCTGTAGTGACTTGATAGCTTTATGCCGTGCACGCAAGGCATCAACTAGAGCGTCAGCTGCTGGTTGCGGATTTTTGTTCCAGCGCTTGGTGTTCCAAAAATGCAACGCGGATGCTGCGATGACGATCTCGCGGAGAAATGGGTACTCCTGAGACATAGGAACCAGGTCCCTGAAAGGATTGGCGCCGTACTGAGGGGCATCATATACAATCAGGTCTTGGCAAAAACGGACGGCATCTGGGCATGTTTATTAGATTCACAACGCCACAAAGTGGGGGAAACCGGAATGAGACTGACAGTAATTTAGATAATGTCGTGATGATACTCCGAGGTCTTGGAATAGTGGGTCCAGCAATGAGAAGTTCAGGGGATTAGACCAATGTTCAACTTCCTGATATGCCACCACCCGTGTTTGTTCGACGTAGCCTTTGACGTCAGATTCGGGTGTGAGAGGCTCCCTCGTTTCCGGAATTAGATCCGCGGGATCCTTCTTGGTCACTTGGCTGCGGGATGCTGCATTATCAACCCACTTATACAGTTTACCATACCCGGAGCACTCTCGTCCGGTGCTCGTACATTTGTGGCATCCGGGAACAGAACGATCGCACCTAATGCGACGGCGGCGACAGTTATGACAAGGCTTTGTCGCAACCATAGAATTGGATAGATAAGGGGTACTATAGTGATAGTAGATATGTGAGGATGTGTAGTAGGTGAAGGGTGATAATTCCTATCTGTTAATCGGATGGAACGGGATAGGTTGGGGCCAGTGAGTACTGTTGAAAGGAACAGCAACTTGTTGCATTTGCAACCAACCGAGACCAAAAGGAGGGGCTTCTATGCTGAGGCTCGTCTCCAATTTTGGATATGATCCGAATCGGGGCTAAGTAAAGCTTGACTGGACGACCTTACGTCCAGACTTTCCAGTATTGCATGGATTTTATTATTATGGCACTTCTCCTATTGAATGACAAGAGATTGGAAGCGATTTGAAACTCGATCCTGGCAGGTATAGACGAATGGTAACCTCAGATCCGTGTCTTGGTGTCGTGACGGCCCAATGAAATGTCGAGAAGGTTGACGATGTCGGTGAATAATGATGATGTTCTCACGAAGTGATTTGTAAAAGGATCCGATCAGGGACGTCAGGTGGAGTCTGGAAGCTTAGAAGGAACCGCACCGAGGGGCGATTTAAGGTTTTTATCCAACATCATGTACAATTTGTATGGTTTATACCTAAAAGGGCAGCCAAGACTCAAGTCGTGCATATTAGTGGGTCTGGATTGAATTTCTCTTACTTCTTACTCGCTGATTATTAGCCAATCAGAGACTAAATAAGTCTAACATGTGTTACCAAGTATCCTCTTTAATAGCCATAACATCCACAACATCCGCAAGGGTCAATCACATAATTCAACCGATTTCTCAATGTGGTGGCCAAGAATCATTTCTCGCAGACTGACGACGTTGACACCGATTTTTCTGTGTCAATCTTATTAATACAATTCTGACTCAACATAGTAAAAGTTTCCTTAACCCGTCCATATATAAACTCTTACGATGGCTCTATTAATATCCTCCTCTCTCCAAGTTTATTGGACTTTGGTTTTTAAGGGGCTTCTCATAGGCTTGCTCATTGGTCTTCACCCGCTATATCCTTGATATCCGGATTAGTTATATACCTAGGTACCCATACATACCGACCGTTCATAAATCAACATGGCCGTACCGGCGGAGGCCGGAAATGGCGTATTCGTTGAAGCCTCCGAAGTCCGTGAAGACGGCAACACCGAAAGCTTTAGCAAAGCCGATATCGAGCGTCTAGGTCGCGAGAGACCTGATACACTCTCCAACTGGGCCGCCGAAGCCGGCTTCGTCTTCGCTATCGTGTCTTCGTTATGTATGAGCGAGTACTTCATTAGCGGTTTCAACATCGTCCTACCCGCGATCACCGAATCATTACAGATCCCGGAATCACAACAAACATGGCCAGCCGGTGTCATAAACTTGACTACCGCCGCCCTTCTCCTTCCGTTCGCCCGTCTCTGTTCTCAACATGGAGGTCGAAATCTGTTCCTAGGTGGTCACATCTGGCTCCTGATCTGGTCGATCATATGCGGTTTCAGCAAGAACCCAATTATGTTGATCGCGGGTCGTGCGATGCAAGGCATTGGAGCTTCTGCGTTTCTTCCGGCGGGCCTGACGCTCCTGGGACAGACATACCGGCCAGGACCGCGCAAGAACTTCGTGTTCAGTCTGTACGGTGCAGCAGCTTGCATAGGGTTCTATTTCGGTATTATCCTAGGCGCTGTGACTGGACAACTCGCTAATTGGAGAGTGTACTTCTTCGTCGGATCTGGTTTCGTGTTTCTTCTAATCGTTACTGGCTTCTTCACTATCCCGCGGCACCTCGGACATGACGGCCCCGAAGTTCGTATGGATTGGTGGGGTGCCTGCACCATCGTCCCGGGACTAGTCCTTGTCGTTTTCGCGCTCACAGACGGAGGCAATGCGCCAGAGGGCTGGAAAACACCTTACATCTATGTCACCTTCGTAATTGGCAGTCTTCTCCTTTGCGCGGCGGTATATGTGCAAGGGTGGGTCTCAGCTCAACCGCTAGTTCCCATTGATCTATTCCGCCCAAAGTATATGAAGCGGATCTCTGGCTTCACATTCTGCGGTTTTGGCGTTTTCTCCATCTTCTTATTCTATGCTAGCTTTTAGTAAGTTACCATCCATATTTCACGCCATTGCTAAACCCACACTAACAGCAGTAATTAGTATCCAGAATGTTCTGCGTGCAACCCCTTTACAGACTGCAGTGTGGTTCATCCCGCTAGCTCTTGGTGGCTTCATATTAGCAATTACCGGGGGATTCGTCCTGCACATATTATCTGGGCAAATATTACTATATGTTTCTTGCGTAGGTTACCTACTTTGCGTCATGTTATTCCCTTTAATCCCATCACAAGACGGACCAGACAAACTTTCGTCCGGTCACATCTATTGGGCGTATATATTTCCGTCTATGATATGCGGTACCATAGGTATAGATATCACCTATAACGTGACGAACGTCTTCACCACAACTGCGATGCCAAGGCGTTTACAGGCCACTGCCGCCGGGTGGGTGATCAGCCTCGGGTACCTAGGGATGGCATTTTGGCTCGGCGTAGCAGAACTGGCCGTCTCGTCTTGGGCTCGTTCCCACCCGGAGGAGAATCCCACTCTCCGTGAAAAGTACCAGGTCGGATTTTGGACTGGTCTTGGTTTGGCTGGCGTCGTCTTAGCGTGTGCTGCGACGACGCGAATTGGCCAAGCGTCAGCTGAGTTAACCGCTGACGAAAAAGATGAATTAGAGAAGAATATGGCACAGCAATAAACCGCTAAGTACATCTCATTGCCACATTGTACATAGACATGATAGATGTAAGGTTGGATATTTTTGAAGGGCTTACCGGAATACCCCTCTTATTGCCTTGGCGTTATTGGCGGCCATTGGACCGACACCTGTATTAGCGATAAAATAAAGGCGAATGCATTCTATTCCTACTACTGTAAATTAATGCGCGTCGTTCTTTCACACGCTAGTCTCTCCATCACCGTTTACCACGTAACCCGAAACTCTCGCACATCGTCTTTCCCTTCGCGGTTCAATATTTCACGGTCGCGCCCCCATTCAAACAAGCAAGATCCACAGCTAGACATCATACCAAACACCTTCATTTTGATGATAAATGAGGTGTCCGATTCCTCGTCAATGAAGACATCCAATACTAAACCTTGGTGGAGCAGGCACAAATCCAACTTGTCATCGACGTCAATATGTTCCAGTATTAACTTTCGAGCGTCATCGCATCCTTTGACAATCCGCCTTGCCCTCTCCATCATCTGCGTTTTAGTAATCCCGCTTGAACAAATCCATGGCTGTTTCCAATATTTTTGACTAATAGCCGTCATCTGCGGCCTCCACTTCCGGAATCTCCAACCAGGTGGGCAGAAAACGCGGTATATTCTTTCTGGTTTTATTCGGTCGTCGAATGGCAGGAAAAATATTTCCAAAGGCTCCCTGCGACTAATGGTCCTCTCGAAACTTGCATGTCGCCGTTCTGGTAATACTGGAGAGCCATAGTAATACAGCCTTTCTGTCCTTTCCTGGAAGCGAGATGACATAAGAGCATCAAAAACTTTTTTCGAAGTAAGAAGTTGTGTGATAGCCTGGTCTACCGTATGCAATGCTCCCCCGGGATTTATTTGAACGGCGTCGTTTGCGGAGCAACTCTCGATCCGCATGAAAAGACCCTTCTCGGGAAATTTGAGGTCTATAAATAATGGCAGGATCTTGTCATTGAGGTCCGAGCGGTATTCTTCGTTGATTTTACCCCTTGGGACGGATGTACTGGCTACGCCTAGCAGAAATCTGATCTGCGAATTGGGAATAGAGACGACTTGAAGGTCGGAATTCCGAAGGGAACGGTTGCCGATGTATATAGCCAGCCATCGTTTGTAAGAGTACGGCAGTTCGGATGGTAACCTCATGCCTGGTGCGTCTTCGGATGCGTATGAAGACGTGTCAAATTCCTTCGGGGTATAAGGATTAGCTGCCCCTTGCCGTTCTATCTCTTGCTGAACTTCGGATAGCCTCACTGGAACAAACGTCATGTGCTTCTCCATATCGTATTGTGATGAGAAGTAGCCACTATTAGATAAAGGCTGATCATACGATACTGGAGTGATGTAAAGGTGGCTGAATGGGAAATAGTAGAGTTTGAAAACATCACAACATCAATTAAGATATCATTATCTTCCATTCTAACCTTCCCCAGACTCCTTAGGTATCTCCTTCTGAATCGAAACAGTCAAGCAGTTGGGAAGCGGTAGTCCTGTATATACACTTAGCTGAATATCAGGATATGTACTTAGACCAAAATATTGATATAGAAGCTTTCTTACATTAATCAAGGCTCCTTATCTACTAATCTAATTCCCCACATTTCTTACGCATGATAATATCCAAACCCGTTGAACACTTGAGCTTGCTGTCGTAAACAACCTCTATTCACTCTTTATAATTATTTTAACATCTCTTGCACTATGGATGTCGCACGCGATGATGTGGACATCCCAATATCTGAGACGCGCCGTCGTCCTCGTCCAAAATTGGCGATAGCGCCCCTTTTAGGTTTGATACTCCTAGTTAATTTATCGGCAAGTCTTTATCAGTTACCACTGAACCGAATTATCGAGAGACGTCTCTGTCGGGATTACTACAAAATCCACGATCCATCCGTCATCGACAACGATGGAGATATCAATGAGACGCTCTGCAAAATTGATGACGTCCAGAAGAGTTTGGCTTGGGTAGTAGGTATTATGGAAACATTATGGATCGTTGGTGGTGAGTTACGCTTCGCCGGGGTCTAGGGTGCTCTATTATCCAGCTGAACTGATGCGAGTCTAGATTTCGTTATGACCATTCCCTTGGGATTTGTGGCCGAGAAATATGGCCGCAGAACGGTCCTTTGGCTTAATATCGTCCCGAGACTATTTTTGCTTTCTTGGGTCCTCATGGTCGGCTATTTCGAAGAGAGTCTGCCTCTAAAAGCAATTATTGTTGGCCCGTGCCTCTCCGTTCTTGGCGGTAACTGCGTCCTGAATTCTATCGTTTATGCTCTCGCAGCTAGTTTGACAGATGACAACGTCGTTAGGTAAGGATTTTGTGAACATGTGATGGTTTATTGGCTGACCTTGACGTCTCAGAGCAACTTATTTCAGTTGGACAAATGCGATATCATACGTGGTAACGTTTGTTGGTCCTGGTCTTGCTGGTGCAACTATGACTTTGAACCTCTTTCTTCCTTTATTGATAGGTATCTGCCTCTTATTGTTAGCCATACCTACGATATCACTGCTTGCAGATCCTACGCATAACCCATCAGCACCGGAAGATGAGCAGCGTCGACCTCTCATATCATCCCCGACTTTGAAGGCGCAAAATTCCAATAGCAGCATATTAAAGCCCATCGTTAAACGTTTCCATACTCTCCACTCTATCATCAGAAGTCATCCTAGGAATCTAATCCTTCTACTTATTAGCTTCTTCTTCACTTCCCTCGCAAGTTCCGATACTACTCTTCTCGCTCAATTTATATCAAAAAGATATCACTGGGAATTTGCGTCGGCGGGGTACCTTTTATCTGCTAAGGCTATCGTAAACTTCACACTCCTCACATTTGTTATCCCGGGAATTCTCAGGGCCAGAGGTACACAGGGACCGAATCAACCCCCAACGCTGTCCGACTGGGATAATGTCCAGTACTCACGGATTTGCTTGGTCATCTCCGTAATAGGTGCACTTGCTATCGCGCTCTCAATCACGCCTTCGCTTTTATTTCCTTCTTTACTGCTATATTCTCTCGGATCCGCGCTTCCGGTGTTCAACTTAGGCTTGTTGAAGTCCCCATCGGTAGCACCTAAGGATGATAATCGGCCAGCGGATACGACAGAGCCAGAAACCCATATCTTCTCCATCGTCATGATGGTAAAAATCCTAGGTTCCTTGATAGGTGCTCCATTGATGGCTGCATTATGGGTTAAAGGTATCTCGACAGGCATTTATGGGATACCTTATTATGTGAGCGCATGTTTGTATACATGCGCAAGCGTTGTTTTCCTCGGAGTTAGAGTGCAACGAGGTCGGTGATGTAGCGGATGCACGGCACGGCAATACAGATCCGAATAATGTATAAATTTCTTGGTGGTGACCAAGATTTAATAGTTTCATGACCCATCCATGGTAACGTGCGATACAAGCTGACATTGATTCGTCTATCCACTTCCCGTTTGTTGTGGGACGACTGTGACGCCATCGACATGAGGGGCTACCAATGAATAGTGCGACAGTGTTGGACTTGAAAAGAATAGGGATAGACTGAATCTTCTCAAGTTTAGACTGTGAAGAACTGGGAAGAGCCTAAGTTGTCGGTAACTCCAATCCATATGGCTATTTCCAAAATAATCTTCACAAACTTTAGCTAGTGCGGCTATGATGTCAATCTTCTGTCTTTGGGGAAACAGCATTATTAGTAGGTGTCGATAGTAGGTGCTACAGGTAAATTTGGAGCGCTGAAACATCTCATTCCTCAACAACATTTCTTTGTCCACCTTAGCACAACATCAATATCCGTTTCACTTGGTTTTCCTTCTGTGAGTACCTCATCCTTTTCTAGAAAACTTACCTTGATGCTACTATTTTCTGATTGAGTTAATTAACAAGAGAATACTCGACCGTCGCGTAGGGTTTGTATTCATCAAATTCATTGATGACGGACGATCGACCCCGCGGCGAAGCTGCCGCCTACTTCAATGCGCAGCAAGCGCCTAATCCAGCTGGACAGCCCCAATATGGACAACAACCTCAGTATGCCCCGCCGCCTCAGTATGGGCAGCCCGGTCCTCAGGGGCCGACTCCGGGTCCGGATCCGAACTACACAAATGGCTATGGTAACGAGAAGCCCATGTTTGAACAGACCTTTAAACTTGAGAGTCCTAAATACAACGATATCTGGGCTGGAATTCTTGTGTGTAGTGCTGCCAATCCAGTACTAAGATTTAATATTAACGAATTTAGTTCCTGGCTGTCTGCGCGGGCTTCGTAGCGGTTTCAGGCATTTCTATCAATGGCTATGGTTAGTGGAATTGCTAATCCCAGCTCAAGTTACTGCACCTCATACTCACTTACCATAGCTTCATCGAAAAGTTTCCAGGGAGGTGGAATTTACGATTCTGGATCAAAAGTCGGCCTCAACACGAATACCCTCATTCTATTTGCCTTCTGTCTTTGTGTCGCAATTGTGTTCAGTTATGTTTACGTACTTTTGGCTCGCCAATTTCCCAAACAATTCATATGGATAACGTAAGTCAATTCAGAAGCCCCATAGAAGAATATGACATACCTACTAGGTACCTAAATACTGATTGTCGCAGTGGTATTCTCAATATTGTCTTTGGTCTGGTTACGGCAATATATATGTTAACGCGACACTATTACTCTGGCGGTATCGTATTTTTGATCTTCGTTGCCTTCCTAATATTTGCGTTCATTGTAAGACTACCCCCATACTTATCTACACTTTTTCTCACTGATTCTTTAGACTTGGATCCCGCGAATCCCTTTTAGCGCCCTCATGCTCAAAACAGCTGTCGATGTCTCAAAGAGTTATGGCCATGTTTACCTCGTTAGCGCACTTGGTGGCCTATGCGCGACAGCTCTCGCTGCATGGTACTCTGTCACCCTCGTAGCGGTATATGCGAAATACTCCCCGGGGCAAAATCCGGCTTGCGCTGAGGGGGCTGGCGGCTGCAGCAATGCTAAAGTTAAGGGACTAATCGTTTTCATCACTTTCGCCATGTATTGGATATCGGAATGGTTGAAAAATACTATCCACACAACAATTTCTGGAGTTTACGGATCCTGGTATTTCCACCCACAGAACCTCCCTAGGGGTGCCACCCGAGGCAGTCTCCGAAGAGCACTTACATATAGCTTTGGTTCCATTTCTCTTGGTTCGCTAGTGGTGGCTATTATCAACTTTCTAAGACAACTATGTTCAGTTGCTCAGCGGAATGAAGCTGCCGAAGGTAACATAGTGGGCATGGTTATGTTCTGGATCCTGGGATGCATTATTGGGCTCCTAGACTGGGCAGTACAATTTCTCAATCGCTACGCCTTCTCCTATATCGCATTGTATGGAAAACCCTACTTCGCTGCCGCGAAGGACACATGGACTATGATCAAAGATCGTGGTATCGATGCGCTTGTCAACGAATGTCTCATCGGTCCGGTCCTCTCCATGGGAGCTACCTTTGTTGGTTATGCGACAAGTTTACTTGCGTATTTGTATCTTGTAAGGTTCCTCATGAAAATTGAGAGAGGAAGACGGCTTACTTACATTTTATCTTAGGTATTTACCAAGCCATCGTATAACTCTGACGGCTCTTATACCGCTGGTAAGTTTTTTTTCATAGGTCTGGGTTTGTATAAGCGAACGACCTGTCGGTGTAGTACCCCCTATGACCGATTGGCTAACTGGGTATAACAGTTGTAGTGGCGTTCGCGTTCCTCATCGGCTTGCAGATCTGCAACATCTTCACCACACCGATAAGCAGCGGCATCGATACGATATTTGTAGCATCGGCATGGGATCCGGAGGCCTTGATGCGGAACCATCCCGACTTGTATGGAGAGATGGTTCGAGTCTACCCGCAGGTCCAGGTAGCTATCCATACCTAAACGCTACTCCCGAGAGAAGGACGCGTGATTTGAAGGATTCTGTTCTATAGCACTGCGAGCAATCCCGTGCTACCGTTTAATTTAATCTAGCGGTCAGATCCATTGCGCTGCAGTAAAGTCCAGCATAATGCCGATTTGGAACTGGACGATGTAGATAGTAATAATCATTTAATGCGTCGGAACTTCTCTTCCTTAAAACGTTATTGCGGCAAAGTGATAATTTTTCTGCGACTATTGTTGAATAAATGCAGTAACTCACCCGGAGTGTGGCCTAAAAATAGGGGACCGCGGTCCCGAGAGGGCTGAGATCTAGGCCATGCAGCTAGCTCGATTCAGCTAAAACGTTCCCTGCAGTCGGACTCGCTCAATCAGTCTAGGCTGCAAACCCGGTCTGGTTACCTGATAGCTGGATACCAAGACCAACAGCATGACCTAGACCAGCAGCAATATCCGATCCTGTTAGGCACCGTAGCCGCATCGCACAATAGAAGTGACTCCCTCCGGACAGGCAAGGGGAATAATTATAGGCAACAATGTCTGCCTGCCTGTCTGTCTCATCCATCGCGACGTGATTTCAATTCGCGAGGTAGTATATTATGAGACGGTTTTACCCAAAATTCGGACTCGTAGTGCGGAGAAGTAGGTGTCCGGTTACGAGACCTGCACGAATCATTCTCAGCTCAGCCGCGCCACTAAGAAATTTCTCACCCTCATCCTCACTCTCATCTTCTCCCAAACACCTCTCACGAGGGCCTCAATCCCGCACCATGGCCTCCTCTAGCAACCCCTTCTCTACCCTCCTAACCCGCGACGCTCCCACAGCTCGTCTCGCCATATTACAGCCAGCCGAGGACCAGGACGCGCCTATCGAACTGACGCTCACGGAGGCCGTGCTTAAGGACACTTCGTATGAATGCATTTCGTACGACCGGTCCGCATCGGCGGCAGATACCACCGAAACAGTATCCGTAGACGGCGTGTCCCAAGCCATTCCCAAACACCTAGCCGACGCACTACGCACTTTCCGACGTAAGGAGCGTCCGCGCACGCTCTGGGCAGACGTTCTCGCGGGCCGCACCCCAGCGGAGCTAAGCGCGCAAGCAGGGACACAGCGCGCTGTCCTCGAGGGCGCCGAACGCACCCTCTGCTGGCTAGGCGCGGACAAAGGTTTGTCGACAACGAAAGCGTTCGCGACGATCGCGGAGATGGGCCGGCGTTTCGAGGACGCGTGTCGTAGTGTCGGGCTCGGGCCCGACGACAGGTTGTCTGCGGCGACCATGCAGCAGATGGAGGGGCTTCGGGGGAGTTTGATAAACAGCGGAGCGGGCGATTTGAATTCCTTTGACTTCGGCATTTGGGACGAGATTTATGATGTCTTTGGGGCCTCGTATTGGAGCTCGGTTCAGGCTGTGGCGGATATTGTGTTGGCGCGAGCGCCGGTTGTCGTGTGTGGGAGGAGTAATATTCGTTGGTCTTCGTATATTGCGGCTTCGCGCGCTATGCCGTTGTATCAAGCGAAGTTCTTTGGAGTGCCGATGTTGCCGTCTGTGTTTAAGGGGTTTGAGATCGCGAATCAAATCGAGATTGCGGAGAGGAGGAGGCGGTTGGGCGAGTCGATCGAGTTGTTGCCGATGGTGCAGACGGCGAGGGATTGCGGGCCGCGGGATGTGAGGGAGAGCGTGTTTTCGATGCTGCTTATTGCGACGCCGTCTAGGCGAGTGGAACATCACAATGCAGGCCCGCAGCCCTTGCCGACTATCGATTATGGGAAGACGCCGCAGCAGGTATTTACTGAGATGGCGCGATACTCGGTGCTTGAGCGCCAGGACTTGATGTTGTGGTATGCAGAGCGCCCTCCTTGCGCAAGGAGGTTGAAGGGGCTACCGAGCTGGGTCCCTGATTTTGGTGCCATGCCGCCCAAGATTGGTTCTTTATTTAATCCTATTAGTGGCATGCGACATTGGTGGGAGACAATCAGACCCGAGACAGCGAAGAAGCCGATCACCGTTTCCGAGGATAACGCGTTATGTTTACAGGCCCGACCACTCGATCGCATCGTCCATGTGTCGCCCATCTTCAACGCGGGCAACGCACGGCGACTATGTTATACCGAGTTCCAGAAACTACACGAGGCCATATCCTCTTCCTCAAACTCCTCGTCATCAGACTCTCCCTCGCCTCCCAATCCCTTTTCAAACGAACCCTTCACTACAACCACCCAACGCTTTTGGCGGACCCTAATCCTTAACTCCGGCGGCTCCAAGACCGCCTCCGACACGCTCGGCGATAACGTCGCACCACCCGATAGCCTCGGAAATGCCTTCGAGAGCATACTCGCGGAAGAGGGGATTTTAGCAGCCCTTGACTGCAGTATGCACGAGTTACAGCTACCAGAGAATGCAGCTCGGATGCGCGCTTCGCCGGAAATCATGTCACTTTTACCACGGTGCGGCAAGGCAGGGCCATACGAGGCCTTACTAGCTCACAACACGATCGGGCGACGTCTTTTCTGGACCCAAGGGGGACGGTTTGGGTTATCCGCTGTGGAGGATGTTAAGGCTATTGATCCAAATTTGGAACGGGATACGGAGCGTGGGAATGGAGATGGAAAGGAGGACGAGGAAGATGAGGTAGAGAAGAGGAGGATGCCGGAACTAGGGAGATTGATGAACGATCCAATGACGAGGATGATGATGGAGCAATTCCAAAACTATCTTAATGAACGGGATCCAAACATGGCACGTGTGCATGCGAAGGCTGTCCGCGGTGCGCTACCTGAGATGAGTGAGGATGCGTTGGGGCGAGTCGACGATGGTGTGAGAGGAGGAGATTTGGTTGTCGCTTGCGTGGGAGGCTTCTTTCCATATATTTTGCGACCTCAGCGGAAAGAGCCAGAAGTAAACGCAGAAGGAGCAGAGGCAGAAGTGGAAGGAGGCACCGCAGCAAAAACGGCAAAAGGGGCAAGTGAAGATGGGAAAGGAAAGAGCAACCTACAACCCACGGAAGCTACATCCGAAGACTCATCTACGTACGAGTTTGTGGGAGAGTGCTACCTTCACGGATCTATGCAGGGCGAAGACTTCCAATCCACCCGCTTCTTCGGACAGAAGTATTTCGACGTGGATGTGTCGAAACTTGTCGACATCAAGATCGTATAAGCCACATCTTAACATCTTACTAAGCCTTCAAAAGGAGAAAGGGATATTGAAAAGACAGAAAGCTAAAGGGAGTTGGCCCAGTGTGAGAAAGTAGCAAGTAATCATCTTAGACTTGCAAGTTTGCTCAACACACATATAAGTCCCACTTCCACACCATCATACAACCACACACACACATCTTACTCAAGTGCCCGCGTAGCTCAATGGCTAGAGCGTGTGACTTTTATTAGTAGAAAATAAATCCCAAGGCTGTGGGTTCGAGTCCCACCGTGGGCGGTCTTATTTTTGGTAACACTTAGCCTGTCTGGTATGAGTCTGTAAGCGGTAACCAACTTAGACGCCATACTTTTTATGTATACACGAATTTTGCTGCTGGTGTAATCGCCAAACTTTTTTAAACTTCAAAGGGCAAATCAAGTGAAATGGAATTTGTGCTTTCAGTTACCTAATTTTTGATTCGAGAAGTTTAAAGAGATTAGTGTACGGAAGTAGGGCTCATCTAATACGAGGTTAGTATAGTTGTTAATATACTGGACTCCACTGCTATTGCGGCTCCTCTTTCTGGTGGAGTTGGGTATAGACATCTAGATTCTAGAGTGGATAAGTTCCACTTCGAAAGGACCTATTAAGAAACCGAGGTATCCTCATGATCGCATTCCTTGCAGGCTACATATTCATACATATCGTCTCACCAAGCACACGAAGGATCCTAACATCGCTGTTATGCCCAGACAGAACACAAACCTTCATAAAAGTAACTCAACGGCAAATCCGTCCAACGTCGTATTAAAAGCAATCCTGGGCCTCGGGTTTGACCATAAAACCGCCCGCCCTATGCCCAAGCCGACAAATCACCTAACATACAAGTAGGACCATCCTAATCAAAATAGCCCTTACCTCTTCTTTCCTATTCTTCTGAAGTATCAAGCCATCGCAGGTAATACACGGTCAAAGCCGTGATCTGCGATTTGTATCCCCATGTATGCCTCCTCCAGGTCCAGGTTCCCGCCCTCGTACGATAAGAAAAACCATATCATCCAGTAGTAGGCGGGTAAAAAAGACAGTTGGTTGAACCACCCTTACCACTATTGTGCCATGGTTTAGTGGTATTTTATCTTGTCCGCGTTACGCCATTACAACACCATTCCATCCTATAATAGAAGCATGTAAAAGAAAACCTAGTAATCAACTGCGCACTGTTCAGGCCCACTCCCATTAGTGCCTGCTCCGTTGTCCGGCTGACTCTACTTCTTCTCCTCGAAGTAGAACTTGCCTAGCTTATCTCCATCTTTGCCGGAGGGGTTACCTAGGACTGGGGCGCGTGTGTTTTCTCCACTATCAAGACGTTCTCGGATGATGCGCTCGGCGGCTTCCCTTGTAGCAGGACCACCCACACCTTCACGGAGTGCGCTGGTTCGGGGTTGGCCGGGTTGAACGGGTACAGGTCCTCGGGTTGTGGTGTCGACAAAGACATCATCATCCGATGTACCGACGTGGCCGCCACCATCGACGGCCACACCATCGACGTACTTGGCTTGACGTGTCTCTGCTGCGGCGGATGCGCTGATAGGGGTGTCGTTTCCTATGTCGCGCATATCTCGATTACGATTCATGGCCTCTTGACTAAGACCAGAGCTGCTTCTTTCCAAGGCCCAGATGCCAGTTGCGCCAGCGGTACCGGGTAGAGGTCGGCGGTGATAAATGGGCCCACTGACTGTGCTGTTTGCGCCCTCGCCAAAGGCGACAAGGCTGGCGGTACCATCATCACTCATACGGTCTTCAAAGCCTCCAACCGAGCGACTTGATATGTCCTCGTCCATGGGGTCCATGGGGCCAGAGGTAGAGTCGACATCCATAGTGCGGTAGTTCGTATCCATGGACATGCCATCCTCATCGACCTCAGTCAGATCGGCGTCCATATCAGCGTCGGCAAATTGCTCCGCCTCAGTTGTGGTTCGCGCACCGACACTACCCGTCGCAGAAGCCGTACCAACAGTGCTTATCTTAGTCAAAGCTGTCGGCTGACCGTTCGAATCAAAGAAGGCGGGCGTTAGACCGGCAGCAGCCGCTGCTGCCTGTTGAGCGGCCGTTGGAACGGGCGCAGGCTGTGCGACATTGCCATTCCCGCCGTGTTGGTTTTGGTTAGGGGCGCGGAGAGTAGAAACACGTTCGAGGCCGGCAAGCCGGCTAATTCGATCAGCCCGTTCGGCTTCAAGGGAATTCGTAGATGAATGGTGTTGATGCCGGGGACCTCCGAGGTTATGGAAGGCATGGCCTCGATGGCCATCCTTGATAGCAGTCGTGGAGAGGGCGGAGAGGGAGGTTGTAGTACTCGTCGGCGTTCCACTGTAGTTGCTCAGATTAGAGAATGAAGGGCTGGATGGAGGACGGCCATATAGAACGGTAGGTACAGAGAAGCTGCGCGGGATGGCAAACTGTGTCGAGCATATGGGGGGTGCGGGTTCTGAGTATAAAGAGCCAAAAATAACATACGGCATATCCGACGGCGTCTCTGGGTTAGATGGCGGTGGAGGAACGTTGATAAGCATTGGCGCTGTCGGTTGCTGCGACATGGTTGCTGTTTTTATTACGATTATCGAGGAGAAAAGATGGAATGATGAGGAATAAGAATGATCGAGAATCGATTTCAAATTCGGATTAGCAGGTTCGCGTCGTTAGCGCGTCTCGGTTAGAACTCGGGAGGATGTTCGTCGCAGAAAGCAGGATGAGGATGTGATATGGGCTGATGTGATGGTTGATGGTTAATGGATGAAAGATGGTAAACGGTGGTGGATGGTGGGGTTTCGGAATAGTAGAGAAGAAGACAAGGGACTGTTTTGATCAGTCGCGGGCGTCAAGAAGATCGCCTCCTAATTGTTGAATTGACAGATTACCTATGTATCAATTAAGGAGGTTATGGTCGATTCTTTGTTGAAAACAAATCGGAATAGTGAATCAGGTTGGTTGGTTTAAAGTTGAAGAGAGGAAATATGGGTTAGAACCAAGAATGGAGGATGAACATATGAACATCGAACTGATGGTTTTTCGGTTGTAGCAGCTAATTGCGGGTTTGCAAACGATAGGTACAGTACCCCAGTACCCCCAGCATCCCAGTACCAGTTATCGTAGCAGTGCACCTAGCCTGCCTGCCTGCTGCTAGCTAAGGCTATTTGAGCTAAGGTGGGGGATGACGTAGGGCTGTTAATTAACCAACCCAGTTTAGTTTTAGTGCTTGTGCTTACGTGCAGTTTCCCAGCAACCTGAAGAATTCTAGATTCCTCCAATGTTCCTATCCATCCAAATTGTGCGTTCCTATGCATTCCAAAGTTGTGATTGAGATCTAAGGATATTCAAATTCCATAGTATTCAATCACCCATTATTATTCCTTTTCTTTTTCCTATCTATTCAAATTGGATAGATCACAATTTACAGTCCTCTGTTCCCTGTAGATACTTTAGACCATCGTTGCAAATTAATGGACGTCATCTTCAAACCACCTTTCAACTCCGACAAACGACAAACTCCTAATTGACACCCACTATACAAAGGTCTCAAACTTAGAACACTCCCGGAGTAAAATCGATAACTTGGACTTCCTCAAGTATGTCTCGGATACTCGCGGCGAATTCTAGTTGAGCAGGATCTTTCTCAACATGATATCTCCTATCGTCCTCATTCTCAAATTGAAGGATGAATGCGTGAGTCATCCCGTGCTATCACAGGGCGGGTCAGCTTGAAATCGGGACAATTAATGTAAGACTTAACCTGTTGACCCTCAAGGCTATTATCTTTTCCACCCCCTAGCACTTTCACGTAGGGCTTCTGAGATGCGGGATGGAGACAATTTGTCTCAAGATCTAGTACGCGCTGACAAGCCTGAATAGAGTCAGTCTACCTAGGTACCCACGTAAGTATCTGTGTTAACGATTACTCACGGCTTTGTCCTCGTCGGGCGGCACGAGCGCTTTGAATTGAAATTGTACGATATGATAGACTGTCATTGTGAGGATTATTGAAGTTTAGGGTTTTCATCTTTCTGGATGGGTTACATGATGTTCGATACCCATTCTTATATACTTTCGTCTTTCGTCAGCGACCTATTATCAAAGGTTGTCTTCTAGCACCAATAAGCTAACGGCTAAGTTCTTCTACGTACTCTGCGTAATTATGCGTAATTATGCAGCTATGCCCCCAATAATCGGCTACTGATGACCGATGGCAACCTTATTGGTTTAGCTGAGGGGGGGATCTTCAATCGCTAATCGGTCAACCTCCAATCTCCACTACCCTCTTCTTAACTCCGATTTACGACAATTACAATAACTGCCTAAATCAACAACATTGAAGTCAGAATCGGCATAAAATCTAAGATAAATCAGGCGTTCTTGGATATCTTAAAACTAGGTCTAATACGTCGATATGCGAAAAATCGACGGACCGGATGACGAGGAGTTAGGGGAATTAGAAGACAAGACGGAAACCCTCACTCTCCGCTCCAAACGTACAGAGAGGGCCCGGAAGAAGCAGGCGAAAAAGGTCAAAAACCCGAAATCTCAATCGCAAAATCTCTTGGACCTACCTTATGAGCTTGTCTTGGGTATCTTAACATATCTTCGACCTAGCGACATCTTCAACCTCCAACGAGTTAGCCGAGCTTTTCGTAATTTCATCATTCTGGATGAGCGTCGGATTGCCAGGTCTATCATAAGTTGGCGTTATGTCTGCTTAGAGAAATGCTTCCGGCTTCCTATCTTAATGAAACATATCGATCCCAACATCCAACCTTACGTCCAAAGTCTCGATCGGCAGGAGCTTCTTGTCATTCATAAGAAGCCCTACCTACATGTGCAGCCTCCCGATCCCGCGGAAATTTGCACGTGCTTAACTTGCTTACTGCGATGGTCATCCCTATGTCTAATCCCGGACTTCGCCCACTGGCAAAAACATCTGGATGCTGGGGAGCCCATTCCAATGATCCCCAGGGGAGTCAATCCTAAATGGAACCAGGTTCTAATATCATCAAATGCTGATATTGTACGCAAGGCTTTACACAGTCCTCTCTGGCACGCGCGGCTATTCGAGGCCCATTTAGACTCGACGACAAGATCTATTCGTCGCCAAGCCGCAAATAAAGGCAATAGGCGGCGACGTTTCCGGATGGAACAAGAAGACGTGGATTTGGGTTCAGACTTGTTCCTAGAGCGGAGTGGACCACCAAGCTTCGACTTTCCATTCCACAGAGACAATTATTATATGCTGGAAGCATACCTCCCAAACAGAGGCTGGAGCGTTGAATCGGAAAAGTGGATGTATATGCCAGCCGAACAGCACGATATAGACATCAACTACATCACTAAGTGGGCCGAAAGGGTGAAGACGAAGAATCAAGAAGCAAAGATTACGGAGGAGAAGTAAATGCAATATTAGAGAAAGATCTTGATCTATCTTTGGTTGCTCATTTCTGACTGAGGACTGCTGCTGATCAATATCGTAAAAGCTGTCTCCTATTTCTACCCCGCGTGGTGATCACTTCGGTTGTTCTATATTCAACCAGCATGTATCCAATATGTGCTGGCATTCATATTCCATCGGACTTACTAGGCACACCTGCATTACCCCCATTCTGGTTGATGGCTACTGGGGTTACCCGCGATCACTCAGACTACTCCCGTACAAATTGACATATACTTAGCAGCCATTTCACGGCCATGGCTGACGCCAGACAGTATATTCAGGACCCTTAATTGTTCGGTGATAAACACTTCATCAGCGATGTTCGGCGATAGCTGTTTTGGTGGCATTAAACGTAACAAGTTGTATTCTAAGGGGTGTGAGTTGGCAGAGGTGAACGTTGAGGTGAAAGGGGAGTGGAAAAGGTAGATGGTGTGGAAGAATAGTGCAGGTCAAGCAAAGCTAAGGGAAAGCGACACGAATATGGTGGACCAAAGGTGAAGTGATGGTTACGTTTCACTTGTCGAAGAGCGCGGAACCGAATAACACACCTCATTCAAGACAAACAACGCTAATATTCATATTTATAACTGCCTATATACAGCTTTATGATCCATTGATACACATCTCATCCCATTAGGAGGATCTCTAAGGGAATAGGTATCTCCCGAACCCAAACTCCTTGATTTTCTATATCATTCCATGTACCTAAGCCGCCCGCTGTCATGAAGCCCTCAACCCTATAACCACTGGATGATCCACCCTTATTATCATATCACAGCGCATTGCGACGAAGTACACCCCCGGTTTTTATACTTCGCATAACTCGATACCTCCCTCTCCAGGTTCCCCGTCGTCCGACTAAAATGCTTCCCCCTTATTTTATCTCGGAACGGCATCTCAGGTACTCGCGACGTCGGCGATTCCGTCCTCGTCCGACTCACGATATCGTTCTGGGTCTCGTGGTACATCATCGTCGCCAACTGCAGGTCCGTCGGCGGACTAAACGTAATAGTCTGAGACACCCGCTCTCCACTTCGTCTCTGCGTCTCCGCCTGCGTCTGTGTGTCCGTCTGCGTCTGCGGTCGCGCCACTTCTTCCTCTCGTCTAACCTCCACACCCCCCGCCTGCCCAAACGCCTCCCTCAACGTCCCCGGCGTCGCCCCCGCCCCAACCCCCACCGCACTCCGCTGCTCCGACCCCCTGCGTATCGTCGTCATGCGCTTCACCGTCCTCCTCAACCCGCCCAAATCCACCAGTTGCGGCTTCGTCGAATTGCGTCTCCCGCACCGCGCCGTGCCCTTCTCGATCGTCGCCTCGAAGCTCGACGCCGACGGGTACGCTACGCTTTCCCGTATCGCGACCGGGTCTAGATGCGGCCGTCTTTGGCTGTTGTGGTAGCTGGGCACTTTACCGAAGATCCATGCCCGCGATGCGAAGCTCGATTGTGAGGCGCGCGCTGTCTCGGCGACCGGGGGCGGCGGGGGGAGTGTCTGTGCGGAGTACACGCTGCTTGTGTCGTCGGAGGCGGCGGCGCTGGGGCGCCGGTCGTTCATTTTTTTTGGCCCGGTTGGTTTCTTCCTATGTAGCTTCACATTCACAGCAACGACAACATATATTTCCATAAACTCCCCATTTGGTAGGCAGTATAGTATAGTATAAGGTATCAAACCCAAAAAAAAACGATCAGGTTCGCAAATGCGGTCTTTTTCGGAATTCGAAGCAGCGAATAGATCGCCAGATTCCAGACTGGGGCGGCGCTCGTTAAAAAGACGTTCCTTATTGGTAGGATGTGCTGGGCCTGAATCACGGTCTTCGACGTGTTCTCACTTACGTGGCATGCCTTATGCGCTATAGCTCTGTCCCGCTGCTCCATTCACGACTCGTCAGGTGTGTGGTACCGGTGTTTCGTGGATAACTTGATTTGCGTCGCGAATGACACATGGGTTGTTGTGGGTTATGCTGGTTGCGTGACGCACCTTTGAGTAGTGAGATGGAGTGAGATGGAATGTGATGGCTTGGTTTACTTGTGGGGAGTATATGTTGAATCAGTTACCTGCTTTTGATCGCTTGCATTTTTGCGCATTTGTGGTGTTTGTTGCGTCTGCTTGGTTACTCCTATCTAACGGTAGGCAAGAGATGTTAGGCTTCATTTAAATTCGCAGCGCGAACGGTAGATTAATACCTAGGTAGGTACTCTATTAACCCATTTTGAAGTATATCTAGTATCTATCTGTTACTTATCATATGTTTGTTCTTAAGGTTATCGCCGTTTTAGGCAGTTTTGAATAATTGACAAGGCTCCCATTTTGTAGAGGGGATATCGGGTTCATCCTGTAGTCATGTGTAATGGACGAATCTGCGCAACTTAATTATGGATAGATACCTAGGTGTTTGCATGATAATGTTTAAAAGGACAAGGGGTAATATAATATAAAATAGCGACTTATACATATCGATATGTTTGATTCAGCTTCTTAGATCGACTTAGCAATTCATTTCAATACAGATTCCATCAACTCCCAATTGTTTCCGTTACCTAGGTATCTGCCCAATTCCCAACTCCCATCATTTCAACCCATGTATCTCCTTAATCAAATCGGCAGCCCGTTCCGCGAAGGCGTATACGGTAGTTTGCATGCTGGCGGTGCTAATTAGCGGGATGGCGCTCGCGTCTACTACACGCAGGTTCTCTACTCCGTAGACCCCTAGTCGCGTATCCACAACACCACCCTTGTCCTCTGGAAGCATGGCACAGCTGCCACATACGTGCCATACCCTGTCGTATTTTTTTTGTCAGCGACGTTGGCTACATGGTAGATAAAGAAATGAAGAATGAGGGGATCTTGGGAATAATGAAATGTACTGACGATGCTGCACTTGACTTAACATAGTCCTTAGTTTGGTCTAAGTCATTCATATCAAACGACGAATTGCTGCGGCGGAGGGGCTGCTTGAGTATCGTATTGAACGCAGGCGATGTGGCGATCGTTTCAATGTATTGTACATGGCGCGCATGGACCTCGAGGTCTAAGGGGTTTGACAGATAATTGGGATTAATGAGAGGAGATGCGCAGATCTGGTCGGAATTGATATGGACGCTCCCACGAGAAAGAGGCTGTGATAGCATTACGCTAAACGTAATAAATTTACCTTTCAGAGGACCTGTCGAACTCGACCCGGGCTCCATTGGGGTTGGAGGTTGCGATAGTGCGACAAGAAAGGTTCCTGACGGTTCCTTTGGGTTCAGCAGTGTTTTTTCTGTGGTATCGTAGTAGATACGGTCCCGAGCTTCGTCGGGCTGTTTCCCCAAGGTCGGTCTGTGTTGATCCAGTAGTTCCTTCAGCGTACGACGGCTATCGCCAGAAATACAATGAACCAAAGGCATATACGCGTATGCGTAAACACCAAGAGAGCCAAGCATGCCTGATCTATCAGATGCATATTCTTTCACTATCGTGTTGTGTCAATAACAGTTAGTCTTAGAGAAAATAGGTTCATATCGCGTACTAGATTTTCCAAGTGCTTCCGGATCGTGTCGTACCAGATCGTCGAGTGTGTCAATGTCGTCGGCTGCCTCGTAACTTACGTAACAACCTAGATGATCCTGTAGGTTTTCACCAACTTGGGGTAGATCCTTGATGACTTGAATCTTGTATTTCTCAAGTATTCTCGGGTTCCCTATTCCAGAAAGTTCTAGCAGTTTCGGGGACTGTAAAGCACCTGCGGCCAATATCACCTCCTTCGCAGCAATAGCAGTCTTTATCTTGTTGTTTTGTTTGTATTGAACTCCATAAGCTCTTGATTTCTGACTGCCATCGATGAGAATTTTCTCGGCTAAGGCGTTTGTATAAATGTGTAAGTTTTCCCGGTGCCTAATAGGATTATAATATGCCGAAGCAGCATAGCTTCGTTCCTTGGTCTCTGGATGTATACTTGCCATAGTACTGAACCCTCCCACAGAAGCCCCTAGAAAAGGGTCAGTGGGCATATAATATCCATTGCTCTTGAAAGCTTCTGTCCAAGCTTTCCGGATGGGATGAGAGCTGTCACCGGAAAAAGAGGCTTGTATTGGGCCTTTTGATGACTCGTTTCTCGAAGCCCACCCATCTATCCCTAACGAGTTTTTGGTGGCTTCGTCAACGTATGGTGATGTATATGCCTTTGCATAATATTGTTGAAGGGCGTCCCAATTCCACCCATCATTCCCCAAAGATTCCCAGGAGTCAACCAGGCTCTTAGAAGGAGGTATGAATACGTGAGAGTTGATGGCACTCGAACCCCCCAGCGCTTTGCCTTGATTTAAAGCCACACGTCTACCCCCAAGATTTAACTTAAACGGGGTTTAGTGACCAGATCCAACAAACAAAGAATTGGGCGTACCTGAGACTCGGTTTCAAAGGCCCAATCGGCTTTTGATCCGAGAAGAATTTGGAAAAAGGCTGGGGTGGTGATTCGGAGGTCCCCGGTCAGATCACCGCCAGCCTCTAAGACAAGAACCCGTTGGCTCGGGTCCTCGGAGAGACGGTTAGCTAAGACTAACCCGGCCGTCCCTCCGCCAATTATGACAAAATCGAAAAATTGAGTCGCCATGTCTTGGCTCAAACCCTACTACTTTTGCATATGAGAAAAGATGACAAGGGAACTTCGGGAGATATATTTGAAGAGTTTGTACAAATAAGCTGATGGCGTGTTCCGTTCCAAATTTAGAGCGGGGAATTTCTGCCTTGTGACACAAATACTCAGGGGGTCAAAGTCGCGGACTGTTGGTAAGATGATCCAATTATTAGGTAGGTTACACAAGCTAGGTAACCTTTTAGCCGTTGTTGGTACATTCGTAACCCAAGTCTATAGAATGATTCAAGACAAATGCAGGGACAACTATAGACTCTTCGAAGAATGGTATCAAGTGGTGGGTTTAAACGATATACCTAGTCTAATATTTGATCCCGCAGGATGCACGCCCAGTTTTGAGATGCCTTTTATCCAACCCGGGGTGCATCGCCATGTATGTAGTAGGTACCATCCCAGGATATCTTCCCAGCTGTTATGCCCCGCCACTGTCCGCGGTTAGTGTCGAAGGGTGTCGCAAATGGGAAAGCGTCTTGAGATAAGCGAGTTATCCTTCACTGAACCCTGAGTAAGTGCCAAATTACTTAAAACTACCAATCCCATTTTCGCCAAGTGTGTGATAAATTTGGATCTTCAACGTTTGTTTTTGATGTTTTGGTGTAGTAGTAGGAGTTGGTTAATTACTAGGTACCTAGGTAGTGTTATATAATTATGGCTTCGGAATCATTCCGCACCGTAATATGGAGGATTTTCGAATCGGCGACGGTATGAAAGAGATCGGCAGTCCGGCCGCTAAGGTTCAGGCAAGATGTAAAACAATAGGCAAGAACAGTCCCGTTGTTATTTCCGTGATATACTCGGATCCGTGTCCGTATCCGACTATCCGATACCTACCGATACGGTCGCATTTTATATATGAATAGGGTTAGGACCCGAGAATTGCATCTGTGGCCTCAGCAAACCTGGAGGATCAGCGTTGTCAATTCCACCTTCTTTTCTTGTCTTTGCCGACTACTTAATACGTAGTACTGACTTTGCTATGTGCCTCAAAGCCAAGGTTCTGTGCCATGTTCTAGGCTCGGCGATATCTTCCAAAATCCGCCTTGACCCAAAGCTCCCGACTAACCCATGCATCAACTCGAACTAAATCAGACCACCATGTCTACATACCTTGTCTTTAGGGCTAATTCTGCCTTAAACTCCTAGCATTCTCACATTTTATAGATCTGTACCAGACTTTCGCACTTATTGCCTACTGATATATCATTCCAAGGGGTTTTGGGACGTAATTTAATACCTAATGATTAAAAAGATAAGGTGGGTCAGATTACTTAAGTAGGTAATCATCACTTTGAATTGGGGTAAGGGTAAGGGTTGGGGTTAGAGTTGATGTCTGCGCTTAGGGTTATCTCATGATATGGCTTCAAGTCTACACAATGATCTTTCCTCACTCATAAACTGCTATTGCATCTTAATTATTTATATAGGTACCTGGATAGATAATAAGTACCTAATACTGGAAATACTTACCTAATTAATATAGTGGTATGTAAGATAGGTTAATTAGTAGACTCGTTTTTCGAACCTCTGTGCCGTAACGGTTCTCAATAAGATCTTTATACGTTGACGCGACGAAGATGAACAGTGATGTTTCTTATTAAGACCCAAACTCCATACAAAAAACCCCCACGATTTGATAACTTATTGGGTTAGATTGTATTCGGCATAGGTCGTGGAAACATTTCGCCTTCTAGAACCTTTCGAATGTAAGTCCATTGGGACACATCGTATGAATGTATTTAACTTATTACTTCATACTTAATAACTGCGATATCTATTAAGAAATCTTAAAAAGATACCTGTGTGCGATTAAACATATCTTGAACGCATAAAATATGGCTCATTAAAGAATAATCTTGAGCTGAGGACTTCAATCTCTTGATACCATGTTAGACAGTTGATGACGTAATCAAAAAAAACTCGCGCTATCTCGCCCCTTATTCTCCGATGAATTAGAACATACGCGTAACATCTAAGTGTCTAGCATCTCAATCAAGTATTATCTAGAGGGGACTTACGCGCAATCTTCAGCTCTCCCATAATGGCGAATGAGAGTTGAGCGATTGTTGATGATCGGGAGGAGATCCGATGGCGATATATCACGACATCTAACCTCCAATTGGCATCATTATGATCTCGAAAACTCATTCTGCAATGCTTTCAACAGGCATAACTGAGAGCTGATAGATATATATATCTGGAAAGAAGAATGATGGCCTATTCCTTTTATTGATAAGCATTGCTAACAGAAAATTTCTGCCCGATATCACCTCGTGGTATAACTCATCTTAACCGGCACTGTTTGTGATTTTGTGGGTTATTTAAGATCAGGATATCATGTCGACACTCTGAACCCCACCACATATTCGTCATTGCAAGGTTAGAAGACTGGGAATCCATTGGCGGCCATAGTACCTGATATGGCGAACCATCTCCGATGGTTCATGGTGTTGTAAAATATCTGGAGCTTCGTAAAACAACATCATATTACTTACGGAGAGTGAATTAGGCGGGCGCATGAATGTCTTTAGACACAATAGTCTTAATATAGCGAAGTGAAAAGATTCACTGTAGACTTACTGAATTGAAATTAGTCTACTGGCTTTTGGGTCGCAGCCTCGTGCAGTAGCCATAAACTGGGTAACAGATCGATAGGTATTTCAATATCCGGGACGGATGTGAACCCCCACACTGGAGATCCCAGGAAGCGCGGCGGCGTTGGCCCGATGCGTGTAGCTAATTATCGTTGCAAATGATACCATCCAGCCGGTACCGTGGCGTATTCTCCACCTCTACTTCTATATATGAGGCGGGAGTTCTGAGATCGACCAAGCTCATACCCGGGCGAACTCATCATCAAGATGGCGACCGTAATTGTTAAGAGTAGTGACGACAAGAAAATTGTCACCGAGTCGACTACTTCGCTCGACAGTGATGGCATCCAACCACTGGGCGTTCCCCAGGAAGAGAAGAGGTTCTGGTTTCAACGCGCAAGGGGTTTCGACCCAGAAACAATTGCCACACAGGTAACAATTATCTGGCCCGACGCGATCCGACTTCACTCAAATCGCTAACATGGGAGCACTATTTAGCCCAGCGTTTTCGATGATCCCAAGACAGCGGAGACGTATATGCCTGGAGATGACTGGTATGTTATGCTGTAGGTTGTTTTAAAAATTTGGCGGGATCTCACATGTATCGTCAGGGAGAACTCGCATCGTTTCGACCCCAAAGCTCGGTGGACGTGGTCAGAGGAGTATGCGATAATCCGCAAGATCGACTTCAGGATCATGATTTGGGCCTGTATCATGTTCATGGCGCTGGAATTGGATAGAGCAAACTTAGCACAAGCTCTAACCGACGACTTCCTAATCGACCTTCATTTAACCACGAATGGTACGCTTCTTGTTCTTCGTCATGTCGAATAGTGTTAACCATAATGTAGATTATAATCTGGGGAATACTGTGTTTAAGCTGGCATTTCTGATTGCAGAACTTCCTTCTCAGCTTGTCTCGAAGTGGATGGGTCCGGACAGGTGGATCCCTTCGCAGATGGTCCTGTGGAGTATCGTGGCTGGAAGCCAATTCTGGCTGTCGGGTCGGACTTCGTTCTTGGTGACGCGTGCTCTTCTCGCATTCTTACAAGGAGGCTTCATCCCCGACGTAAGTTCCTCGTCCTTGCCGTGTGCTCTCGTGTTGATTGTCTCATGTCAGAGAAATGCTAAATGTTTGATGCGCAGGTTATTCTTTATCTGTCCTATTTTTATAAGCATCATGAGTTATCTATCCGTCTCGGCTTCTTCTGGACTATGATGAGCGTCGCCGATATCCTCTGCGGTCTCCTAGCCGCCGGGTTCCTAGAAATGAGAGGCGTATTAGGATACGCTGGTTGGCGCTGGTTATTCTTGCTTGAAGCTCTGATAACTCTAATAGTCGGATTGTTCTCATTCGTCCTCATGCCACCAGGTCCCTGCCAGACAGCCAATTGGTTCCGAGGGAAAAATGGGTGGTTTACGCCTCGAGAAGAGACTATCATCGTCAACAGAGTCCTACGCGAGGACCCGAGTAAGAGCGACATGCATAACCGACAGCCAATCACGCCGAGACTGTTATGGAAGTGTCTCAAGGATTTCGATCTTTGGCCGCTGTATATCCTCGGGCTTACATTCCAGATCCCGTCGACGCCAGAGCAGCAATACCTGACGCTTTCCCTCCGACAGATGAATTTCAGTACACTCACATCAAACTTACTCTCAATCCCATGGACTGTACTCCACAGTATGAAGAAGAATCTATGAGAAAACGGTAGTGGTAAAAGTCGCTAACTGTTCGATGTAGTTATCACGATGCTCTCCCTCACATACGCCGCCGAGATATTCAAGGAACTTACCTTCGTTGCCATAATCGGACAACTCTGGATATTGCCTTTCCTAATTTATTTGAATGTCGCGAACACGGCGAATGTTAGCAGATGGGTCATCTGGGCCGTGACCACACTCCTGCTGGCATATCCAAATGGTGAATCCTATCTACCGACCTCTTCTTTTCCATTCTCGTAGAAACGCTAACATGCGATTGATAGCACATCCTATTCAGGTCGGTTGGAACTCGCGCAACTCTAATACAGTGCGCGCTCGGACGGTCTCGGCTGCGTGCTACAATATGTTTTGCCAGGCCGGCGGTATCATATCGTCGAACATATACCGCGCGGATGATGCGCCTCTATATCGCAGGGGTAACAGACAGCTTTTGGGAATCCTCATAATGAACATCGTCCTTTACTGCCTCACCAAAGTGTATTATGTCCTCAGGAACAGGTACAGAGATAAGAGGTGGAATGCAATGACGGACGATGAGAAGCTCCAGTATCTCTCGACAACAACTGATGAAGGAAATAAACGTCTAGATTTCCGATTTCAACACTAGATGGAGTGGAATGGAATGGGTTAGAGAAGACAGGTTAGGTGGATTAGACGGATGTGAGTTAGGTTATGAAGAAGGTGAAGGATCCAAGTCGTGGCCGGTTCCAAATTTTAGAATTTGATTTAATAATTGAAATCGCCGATAAATCGTATTATGTAATGAGTGGTTTGTTGCATAGTTGAATACATGACAAATCACATATGCTTTAAATACATAAGCAAATCTAAGTAATATGTGTTTCCAGTCTATTTCATTACCTCGTCCTCTGGGATATTTGAGATATCTAAGCAAGCATCAACATTTCCATGTTGAATTCCTTCTAAATCTAAAATGCACCACGCAAACGGTATCTAATCCAATTGAAGAAAAAACCAGATAAAAAATGGAATATATCATCGTCACGCCGTTATCCATAGATCACGCACATACGCGTAGAAACAACATCATCTCAGCCCTTCAACACCCCAGCTTCCCTTGCAACATCTAAAATCTCGTCTATTACCGGGGTCACGTCTGTTCCCTTAAGCGGTACCCTATGATTTCCGTTCCACTCAACCAACCTCGTACTCGCCGGGTCGCAGTATTCCTCGTACAGTTCGCGATGTAGATGCAAGCCCGGGTCGCTTAAACCGTGCACGTGGATAGTCGGAAGGTTCAAGATGTGTTCCCCTTTCATTATCTCCATCAGATCTGGACTGCCTATGAGCCCGATTTGCGACGGGTGATGCAGCATGGACGACCTAAACACGTCAGGTGCCAAATTCACAATGGGCGCCCGCCCAGCCATAAGCACCGCGAATTTCCAATCCGAGCCTGCCACCGCGGTCCCCAATTTCGCCGCTCGAATTTGCTGTCTGAATAGTAGGCTCGCCGCTAACTTAGCGCCCTGACTAAACCCGAGCAGGCCGACCCACAACCCCGTAGCGCCCTGGCGATCGTCCTCTTCCATAGCACTTTTAAGCTGGGCATCGATCTCCCCGATAGCGGCGTCGTCCTCGACTTCGGGCTGATCCGGGAGCCAGCGCAACCAGCGCTTGAAGGGGCCGTGCTCGGCATAGACGGACAGGACGTCCGGGCCGGCGGAGGACTCGTAAGGCGCCTCCGCGTAGACAAGCCGGAAGTAGGGTTCCAGCATCCTCGACATGACGCGGCATTGCAACCTAAATATGCGGGCGTTGGTGCCGCCGCCGTGCAAACAGAGGATGCGCGGCAAATGCAGCGTCGAGTCTCCGTTGCGCGCCATGATGGGCGTATAGCGGGTGTTTCGGACGTATTATTAAGATGATTAAATGGTGGTTAAGGCGCTGCTTACTATCCCTGGCGCGATTTATGATGCGGGGGGGATGTCAGACGACGATGATGTGGCTTGGGGTCCGAATAGAATTCAACTACGAAACACGGGCTTTATATGGACATGTTAACAAAAAAGAAGAATCGACGCATGCAAAACAGGCTGTTTTGAAGCAAAAGAAGTTAAGGCAAGATGTCACCGGTGAGCGACAGGTTGTCACCTTAAGCCGCAATGCAGAAACTCCGGTTGCCGCTGACATGTGTCGGAGAGGGGAGCAGGAGCAGGATTTATTAATGAGACATCTCGACAGCCAATCAGGTTCTTTCGATACATTCTTGTCTCGGACTTCACCAACTCAAAGTCTCTTCCTCTCGCCCACGCCTCCGCCTTGCTTACCTACTACCTACCTACATCTGATAAGTAAGCCGGGTTAGGTAATTCGTGTGGACGCGGCGCTAACAAACCGCTGCGACAGGTTTCGTAAGCTGTGGATGCGGAGTAGACTCCGGGGTATTAAACGCAATACCTACTTGCTTAAATTGTCAGACAATAGCACTTCATATACTAGGTAAGTAGTAACTACCTAACATGCTTTTTAAGACAGGACTATCCAGTACTAATCGTTCAGTGACAGTGACGTTCATGTCTTGGGTATAATGTTGTTTCAATCATTGAAGCCATAGCCATGAACCAATTTGCGGGGAAGTACTGGAAGTAACCTTGGTCTTGGCGTCGTTCATACTACTTCGTACAAGTTGCGACTTCCTGTGGCCAACTGCATCCAGAGCTTATAGTGTAGGTAAGTATAATGTTAGAAAGAACACTCTTAACCATCCTATTAGAAGGAACGCAGTTACCTCCCAACCATATTTAGGTACATTATTCCAACTGGTTCTATTCGATTCAACCATAACGCAAAACAACACACAACACCAAGTCAAACAAACACCGCCATAGGTTTAGAAAAGCTCTAGTATGCCACCATGACTCAACACTTGCCATCAGAGATATTGTACATTATATTTACTTGTATCGGAATTACGTATGATGACCTCAAGTCATTTAGGCAGGTGTCAAGATCCTAGACAGGTCAAGCCACCGATCTTCTATTCCACCGAATATGCATCTCTCGGCTGAAAAAAGATCGCGATATATTTTTCAAAATTGCAGCACGCCCTCACCTTTCAAGATGCCCTCGAGTGCTCGTATGGTACGAAATCGGCAACGACGTTCCCTCTTGGTATCTCCCTAATCAAGCTGGTCTTGATGACACTCGGGCATCGCGCAACTCGCTCGAGGAAGATGCAAATATGCAGCTCTTCTATCTCGAACTAGCTTCTCAAATAAGGGATCTATTCTGGTTTTCTTTACAGTTTGCCATGAGCGGGGATCGGAATACCAGTGATTCGATTAAAAATGAGATGTCTAAGCTCGAGGACTTCATGATACAGTTCTAGAAGGCGTTGGATACCATGCCCAGACTACATACTCTAGCCTGCCAACCGATGCACCCATGTCGCCTATTAACCAAGTCGCCCACTGCCTATCCAATAACAGCTCAGCTCCTGAGTGCAGGTTTAGGTTCCATTGGGTCCAACATAACCCAGTCTGCTCACGCCCTCTTACATCTTGGACTGAGGATGCCGAGTTTCCCACAACATCCAAAATTTGGATTAACTCGATTCTATTATGCCGATACCAATGGACATAGCGCTTTGCCCAACATAGGACTCAAGTACCTTCCTACCCTCTTCCCAGAATTAACGCATCTCGATTTGTGTATCAGCATGACAAAGACCCGTCAGGACCTGCATCAACTACGCGACTTCATCATGGCAGCGAAGGGTCTTACGCACCTTCGATTATGTTTTGAGAGGAGTTATATCACAAAACATGAAACAGGTCCGCTTTTCGACGGATCCTATGTTGTCCTAAGCCATCCTACATTTCATCTTCCCAGACTACACTATCTACACATCACGGACACGCGGATTAGCCATCGCAGACTAATCCGCCTCGTCAAGAGACACGCAAAAACGCTTAGATTTCTCCGAGCAGACGAAAATATGCCCCCGGGGATAATCATAACATTCGTAAATATGATACTCTCAAATGAAATCAAGCTAGATGATCTTATCATCATACCCTCTAATGTCGAGGATTCTGTGTTTATCCTGTTCGACGACTCGTTCAAGAACAGCGACATATTGCAGAACCGAACCCTGGAAGAATATATTGCAGTCAGCAAATTTGCGTATGTCCGTGGTAGGCAGCTTGGTTATGGGATTGATACTTGGAGGACTGCAGCTATCCTCGATAGCCGACGGCTAACTGCCTTAGTGGATTATGCAGATGACTTTGAATTGTTGGATGAAGAGAACGGAGACTGGAGGGATAGACACGGGCTTGTATTTCACGCTGATCCCGATAATGATGTTATTCCGAATCCGGAGCAGGACCCAATCGAGGCTCGCGAGCTCGCCTCACATATCAAGCGGTTACGCGAATCACCATGGTGGGTCTAGGAATCCATTTTCGATTGGCGACCTCAACCGCTCTATCGCAATGGTCACAGGGTTACTGTTCAACGCCCCGGTGGAAGACTACTATGTTGTCCTACCGAGATATGGCAGTTTCAACATCGTAACGGAGAGATTGCTTTCGCAGACGACCCTCTGGAATATTGGTCGGACTGGGAAGGTAGCGAGGCGGGAGACGCTGCCGTGCCAATGCCGTTCGCAATGGACGGAGGGGCCGTTAACACATTTAGGATGGAGGTGCTATACAGAGAGTGGTTTCCTAAGTGGTTTCCTCCCGATGAGAACGTTTATTAGTTCAGACCAAACTAGGTACTATGTCACTGCTTGGTGGCAGGGTTATAAAGCATGATACCAGTCGGAAACTGATAGCAGTGCTGGGATGTCACGACCGCATCCATATGTATCCCGAAACTTATACTATAACATTACGAACCTCGATTATTTTACGAATTGTGAACGCATAGTGCTAGAACCCAAAGATTTGGCAGCCGGTGAACAGCAAAATCTAGAATTTGTGTGGAAGAGAGACGAGACACAGTGAGGAGGATTTCTGTTCTTTTGCGAAAAAAGGAAAAGTTAACCCTACCTATTCTTGATGCTTCATATGCAAAGCTCGACATAATCGGGGAAAATCATACGGAGTCTTGATAATGAATGATCGCCAACGCCAGGATCTCGTTACGAGTTCTCGGAGATTGCTTGGGCATGAAACGAAATGTATCTAGTTGTGTACTCGTCCTACGAAACTAGGACGGGCAGGAACTCATCCACAAGGTGGTGGATTCCAAAGCCACCTCAGCTGCCACAATATAAGATGAGCCGTTAGGTATTCTTAGCACCGAGCCCCCACCAAAAATTTACGGCGATCTATTATTCACGGGCGCCACAGCTCCGACTAGCTGCGCAGAGATAATGTTACCACTGCCGATCCGATGACACGACGGCGTGCGGCGTTGCGGCTGAGTTCGAAATCTTGTGTTCTGTGGAATGGCTGACGACGTCAAAATATATAACCTTTTCTTCCTACAAGGCAGTCATCACGCCCCCTCGTTTCAAACATGGTATCACGAACTGCGCTTTACTTAGAAATAATTGATGGTTTCTATGAATTTGAATGCGGACTATACCCAAGTAGTAAAAGACGAGCCTCATTATTTTTTGCAATGTCAGCAGCCATAATCTCAAGAGGAATAAGAAACTCGTCATGATCGTCTTTTGGACGTTTCCTTGAAATTTCAGCTGTGATATTTTTGGTACAGCCTTATGGAGATGAATACAATTCTTAATGAACGAAAAAATATAAATATTTCGTCAAGATTCCCTATTGCCTATCCCCAACTCACTCAACATCATCTCACACACAATTCAATACTTTCAATCAGACCATATCCAAACCTTCTTCACATCTCTATCACCATGAAGTTCTCCGGTCTCATCGGCACTCTCATGACTGCCTTTTTGCTCCCTGCAACCCAAGCAACCTGGTGCCAGCTCTACTACGATGACAAATGTGAGAAGGATGCCAACAACATCAGCTTCAACTGTGCCGACAACGGCATCATTGGAAGCGGCGGAGGGTTCATCAAGTGTCATTCCACTTCCCACAACTCTAAGCCGTGTTTGGCCCATCGATACAATGACGCCAGCCAATCAGCTGGTATAGAGAAACAAATCAATGCGGATCAGTCCTGCATCAACATGGACGGCGCTGGACCATACTACAAGCTATACCTGTTGGATTAAGATCTGACGTGTAAGACTCTGAAATCAATCGATACCTACATGGCTAGAAGCTAATTGAATGATAGAGTATAGCGTCTTCGACCTGTATGCCGAAACTCGCTGGGGGTTATTGTTGTTAGAATTGCTCGGAGGTCACAAGGACCCTTTGAGGGGACCCTGATGGGTCTCCGAAGAACGCTCATTTAGTATTATATTCCAGGTGAATTGGATCATCATTTTATTAGACAGTCGTTAGCTTAGAATTGGTCAATTTATGTCTGCATTCACTGTCTGCAATTAAATAGGGGTTGACCCTTGACATTATCAGTTGTGCCCCTATTTTAGCTTTAAATCACCCATTTTCTCTAAATTTTCATCATACAGCACACATTTAGCAAGATATACGTTGTTCGCGAGATAGATTGTAATTAGGGTTGTTAATCAATAATAAGAACGTTGGAAACCAAGTTATGGGTAGGTGCTAAGTAGGATAATGGTTGAGATTGCCTACAATGATCACTAGATTACATTCTAGATATAAGATTCAACTTGTTCGCAATATAAAACTCCCAATTCAGAATGACAAAACTCCCAACATGCTCGTTTTGAGGGAAGGTACATGAGTACCCAAAATCTGAAGATATCTCCAACACGCAGACTAGATGTCTTTAATACATGATCTCAGGGGGAATCTTACACGACAACCAGTCCGGGGCAAGTAGCCGACATATATGTATCCATCTCCAGGATATGAGCTCTGGGATGGTATCCGGTATTTATTAGTTAGGATGATTGCTAGAGCAATAGTTGCATATCATACCAGAAGACGAGACCTTCTCTGTACAAGCGCAAGATGCACACGAGCATGTGTACGTGTTTGATCTGCGATCCCGGGTCGCGACGTCCACAGGGGAAGAAGTCATGTTGTAGGAATGTATCTTGAATGAGTTGGTTTTTGTTAAGTATGAGATGGTGAGTGTTGATGGTTTTGATAGATTTGTAGGTATGTTTGTAGATGATGATGTTGGTGATGAGTACATGTTTCTGGATCTGAGGCGCCGACGATGGTTATATATCTGGAGGGAAACATCATCTATGTGTGCACTTGGTAGTTGTGGAAGAACTCCCTCAATGGAATTTTACACTTACCAGTCGTTGTGCAACAACGCGAAGAGTCACTTTTGGCTTATAATTTTTATACAATGGGATTGTATTCCCATGTGACGGGTTTATCGGTTGACTGTAAGCCTGAATATGCACTTGGCCCGCTTATAGGTATCGTACGAATCCTACTTCGGATCATAATAGGTGACTGTGTAACACAGGGGATATATTAAATCACAGTGCAGTACAGTGATATTACCACATGGGCAACTTTTTTCTGACACCATCCTGAATGATTGTCTATTAACTTTCTGCGTCAGACGTTCGCGAATTTCCTGACTTGCATTTCTGTCATGCGTCATTTTTCAACTTCAACTCGTCCATAAACTGGGCACGGGGCCTGAATATCACATTCGGCCCGTCATGGTCGGCTGTAAATATATCGTAGAGCTGATACTCGTCCACTCGATCTCTACCGTCTGTCCTGCCGGGAGTTCCTCCCCCTACTTTTCCCGCGCTTGTGGGAGCGGTCTCGAAATCGAAATACCACAGTGTCTTGGCGATGGTTAAGCTTGTCTCTAGGTACGCCATGGCCTTTCCGGCACAAGCACGGTCGCCTAACGCGAAGGGCACGAAGGCTCGGCGCATGATAGCCCGCGTTTCCTCGTTGAATGCACCGTCCTTACCGTCCTCACCGTCGAGCCACCGCTCGGGGCGGAAGGCGAACGGGTCGGGGAAGTATGCCTCGTTGTGCAGCATGCTATACGGGCTCACTCCGACAGCGACCCCAGGGGGAATGACGTGCCCGTCCACAACCCACGGACTGTCCGACCGAGGCCGCGTGGCTGAGTAGACGTCATCCTCACGCCAGGGTGTAGCTGTTGTCGGGGGTGCGACGCGCATAGTCTCGTCGATAACGGCGCGGAGGTACTTGCATGAGCTAAGCTGTGGACCGCCGGCGATGGCTTCACTTGAGGTGAAAGTGGTACGGATCTCGGCCGCTAGACGTGCGTACACGTCCGGGTGGCGGGTGAGGTAGAAGAAAACAGCACTCATGAGCGTAGACACTGTCATGCCGCCAGCCATGACAAAGAAGGATGCTTCAGACCACAAGTCGGTACCCTGAAGGCCCTTCTCGCCGTTAGGTGTGATGTCTCCAGATGCTACCGCGTAGAGGTCGTATGCCGAGTCCTTGGGCATGCTCATACGCGTACCAATCATATTCCTTAGCGCGTTGTAGAACTTGGGGATCTGCTTCCGGCCGAGCCAGTGGATCACGGGGTCGACAAATGAGATGTTCGGCCATGCCATGTATAGGCCTATGCGGTAGCTGGTCGCCTTCATGGCTTTTGGGATTATCGTGTTGGTGTCCTCAGTCTGTGTGTTCAGCTCATACCCAAAGGCGAGAAGTCCGACGACATCGGCACCTAAGCGCTGGCACCGCATCGTCATGTTGACGACTTCGTCCTTCTCGGTGGAGGCGAGAAGTTGGCGGAGAAACACGTTGATCTTTAGCGTCATGGTTGGCTCAAAGAGGCGCATGGACCGCTCCGTAATGAGCTGCCCGACTACTCGCCGCTTGTGGCTGTGTTCTGCCCTGTCTAGGGCATTGAACATGCTTGGCCTACTGGTACTAAGAAGCGATTTTAGATAGACTTTACTCTTGGTCACCCGCTGGCTGAGGTAGATGTCTGGACTTTGTTAATAACGCCGATGTTTCGGGGTATGTGATATCCCCACCCTGCAGAGCTGTTACTGTGTTAAATACGAGCCGATTCGGTCCTTGCCTCACCACGGGGCCTATTTGTGCTCATCAGTGAGAAGTCCAGGTCAAAGTATGATCATGTGTACCGTATTTTTGATGATCTTGATATGTGGCTAGGTGAAGCCGTCTCTGAGATGCATGGATGGCGGCATAGCCGTCAGTGAACCGGGCTAGCGGTGGCCCGGGAAATTTGCTCAAGGGATGAGAATTAAATCTGGACACTAGTATGAAGAGTATCTGGTATGATTAATCACTACTCGCTATGTTGGAGCTTCAGACCACGTACCAAAGGACCAAGGAAATAGGCAGCCAAAGCGGCGTATGATGCGAGTGCTGGCATTCTGTCTTTGGCTTGCGAGATGCCCGAGGCAAAATAGAGTATGAATTAAAGCAACCAAATAACAAATAGTCTTAATTTCTTAGTCGGGGACTAAGAGAAACATGAAGGATGGGCGAAAAGGGGGAAACGAGGCTCTAGAAAAATTACGCGCGCAAAGAACTAAAACTACGCGGCTCTCGATATTACGAAATGGGTCCTATGAAGGCTTCAGCGTTTGGGGTTACATAGGATGTAACTGTTGGGAGAAGAAAGAGAATAAAGCATAACGGTAGTAATGCCGATGTATGGTAAGCCAACGTAATCCTAACCAACTAGAACTTTCAAGGTTGCCTACTAGGTAGGTATATTACTTTCTACGTGCCATTCAGCCCCACGAGCACAAAGAGAATGAGAGTGTTCTGGCGGATGTTGGATGAATTAGGGTGGGGGCTGGTAGTTTATGGCCAGGTGTTGCAGCTGTTGGTTGTCTTGTATCACCCTACCTACCTAGGTACATAAGACTTGAAGCTATTCAGGGCTTAGCGGATATGCAATGTATGTCTTGTATCACCCCAAACGAATGTCGAAGGTACGTGTTTGTAGTCGGGATCTGCGGTGGCGTGGCTCCGGCTCCTCCCGTACGCTATCTGTCAGCCTGTTCGATACACCAGGATGGGTGTGAACCAAGTATTGACGTAGTTACCTAGGCTGCTAGGTATGTACTCCTAGTCAGCAAGGCTGGACCATGAAGAAATCTAAAATACCCCTCAGTGCTCTCACGGTAGGTATGTAGGCAGGTAGGTATTTGGTGCCTATTTATGATGTGGGGCTGGAATCTTACATGTCCCCGCTGCCCCGGCAGTGAGAATTAGAAATGGTTTCATTGGATGCACTGTGCATACGAAAGTGGGAAGGCACAGTCTTAGGGGCGATGATCATTTTTCTGACCCCGTGGCATAGGCAAGTAAGTACCTAATTACCTAGAATTGATGCGAATGTACAATAGGTACCTACGAACGCATTAGGTTACTGAACTTAGGGCTGAATCTTCACTACAGACTCGTAAGTCGGAAAAATGAATTTGATGGCGGTTATGAATTCCATGTTCCTATTAGGTGGATACATATCGTGCTAGTAACAATTTCCGTTCTATTTCAGGTATCAACCCGCTTAAGATCGCATCCATGGGTGCTGCCGCTCTACGATTTCGGTCTCCTGGTACGTCGACGGCTGATGGGCCTCCTCCGATGTTTTCGAAAAAGCCACCTCGACATCAATGTTCGCACCGCGTCTATGCTCCGTCCTTTCCCTAGGCTCTAGCTCAGACAGACTCACTACACTCGTTCCGCCATCGCCCATCGCGCGGTACTCTCTCGGCCTCACTGATACGTTCCCAATTGTCGGCGGCCAGAAATTAGCTCTCCTGGACTTGGACGATTCTTTGTTTGATTTCTGGCTATTCAGTAACGACGCTAGCTTGTGGATACGGTTCTCGCCGATGGCCTTCGGGATGCACGGCACAAAGAAGACGAGAAGGACGCATGACAGCTCTCCAAAGGCCCAGAAGAAAAGAGCGCAGATACTATAGGTAGTATCGCCCTGACCGCTATATTCGGCAATCCAATTGTAGTACAAGCGCCCAATGGCGCAGCCACATGCGCTATAGGAGTGCGCCGATTAGCAGTGAATCAATGGATACCGGAAAAAGTAAAAACCTACAGCACTCCTACAGAGAAAACGGTAGCGACACCGATCCGCCGACTCATCGTCATCTGAAGCCTCCATATTATCTTCTGTGGTAGAGCCAGAATAAACGTGTCAATGGCGAGATTAAAGAAGGCCACGCCCACATCCAACGCCCTTCGATTCGAGCAGATTCCTTCAACCCATGGCTCCCATGACTTCTTAGGCGGCGTGCAGTTGAAAATGGTGGCGATGGTTGCTGAGAAGTAGAGCATCACATTGGTGACGATAAGCACCCAAGCCACCCAGTAAAAGCTATTGCGCTCGCGGTGAGGTACAAAGATGCGGATCCATTCGAGTAAGATGGCAGGTTTGGCGAAAGTCATGGTAAGGCAGTAGCATATGGTGAAAATGATGAGTATCTGCCACGAGAGCGTGTAAACATAATCGGCTACAGCACAAAGTTGACAGGGAAAAGGGGGGGAAACAAAAAAATGCGAACCTCAGCGATATCGAGGTAGTCTACGAGGCGGACATTCCACTGGTGCACGAAAAATCCCGAGATGTGGTAGATAGCGAAGAGATTACCAGCACAACCTACAAAAGCTGCCTAGATACAGGAAGGTGAGAAACAAAGGCAACGCGGCTAGCTTAGGAGAGAATATGGGACGTACATATGCTAGAAGTCCTAGGTCTGTGGTATACTGTGTTACTAGGATGGTGCGAGGCGGGCAAAAGTACGGTTTTGGATACTTACAATCCTCAACGTGTGCCTTCTTGAGGATGAAACGTGAGTATAATCTCATCAGGCCCGCCACTGTCGTCATGAAGAGGCAAAAGACGATGATGAAAAGTCCCCAGGCGTTGCCGTTGGGTGGGTTCTTGAAATTGGAGATCACGCCATTAGGAGGCTTCAGTGCGGCGCCTTGGAGAATCTCCTGTTGCTCCTTGGGCGACAGATTTGGAAAATTATCCAAAGATAATGACATAGCAGCGACTCTGGAGTTGAGAAAAAACTAAAGAATTATACGATACAATGAAAATGAAAAGGGGGAAAGGGGGGAGATGACTGATTAGATCGCGGTCATTGGGAGGATGGACGGGTACTATTTTACCTGTCTGATGCGCCGCTCCGGAGCATTCTTACCCACTCTCCGAGACGACTCTTTCTAAACTAAGATGCCACCTATTTGAAGGAGACCGAACACCGCGACGATCTTTCTGCATGTGTGGATCAGTATGTGGGTAATATCGGCCCTGTTGGTACTGTTTGAAATAGTACCAACCGGCAGTTGGTGGGAATAAAAAGAGGGCTTATGTGGATAGGGTGTGGAAGCAGATTTTTAGGCAGCTTGTGAGGCTGAATCAATGTAACCGTGATGAGAAAGGTAAGCATTACGCTTACATGGGCACACACTATAGTAGGTTTTGTTTCCCTTTCAAGAACTTGGCGCCAGGGGCGTTTTCGATCGGATTTTGATACGCGGCTTCAATATCTTAGAGTTGGTGAGAACGACTTACATACAGGCAGACGATGGACAATTGCATTTTAATGTATTGGATGTCCTGAATGTGCGGAACTACCCACGAATACTCCTCCTACCCTTCTATCTGTTGCACATCGAGGACACGGAGGCTTCTGCACTAATCGTGACTGCTACATTTCAAACCGCCTCCGTACCCAGACTCCAATCCGTCAGACTGATGAGCTCTTCAAGCGACGTTGACGATGGCTTTGCTGTCGTGGGTCTGTCCTTCAAGCTGCCACAGGATGCAGTGGATGTTGACAGCTTCTGGAACGTCATGGAGGAGAGAAGGAATCTGATGACCGACTGGCCAGAAGACCGCGCCAAACTCGACTCATTCAATGATGGCACTTCAGATAAACCCAACACGGTTCGTTCCCGAGTCTATTCGTATTGTACTTCTACATTATTAACAGGAGGGCCTCTAGCTGCAAACCTTTGGAGCTCATTTCACTAAAGATGATCCAGGCGTATTTGACGCACCTTTTTTCTCTATCACAGCTAAAGACGCGGCTGCTATCGATCCGCAACAACGATGGGTTCTGGAAGCTGCTTACCTGGCTTTTGAAAATGGTAAGACATCCATAGACCCCCCTTTCTCTATGAGAGGTATATATGTTGGGTGGGACGCTAACTTTAATGTGCAGCTGGCATACCTATCGAGTCCCTCCGCGATAGTATGACGGGAGTGTTTGGGGCGTCCATGTTCGACGATTACCTACATATGCTTACCAAGGATCCCGATGCAATTCCAAGACAAGCAATAACAGGGCTAGCGCCGGCACTGTTGGCGAACCGGTTGAGCTGGTACTTTCAGTTGCGTGGGCCTAGTGTACACATCAATGCGGCATGCTCGAGTAGCATGATTGCACTGGACATGGCGTGCAAAGCTATGCGGGGAGGAGACGCTACTGCCGTATGTTAAAACTCATAGACCACTCATAATCTGGCTATGCTTACATCCACTCTTCTCCGAGCTCGTACAAAAAATATAGGACGAGATGGGATGCTAATGTAAGACGATCACGTTTATCTAGGCCCTCGTAGTTGGATCCAACGCGCTCCTTAGTCCCGAGAGTTCGCTTTTTATGTCGAATATGAATGTGCTATCCCCAGATAGCAAGTGCTTTAGTTTTGATGCTCGCGCGAACGGATACGCCCGCGGCGAGGGGGTTATTGCCCTGGTCCTGAAGCCGTTACGAGACGCCATCAAAAATGGTGATGTTATACGGGCAGTTATCAGAGCATCGGCGTCCAATCAGGACGGCAGGACACCTGTACTCACGCAGCCGAGTGCGGACGCACAGGAGCTTCTAATCCGGCACGTGTATGAGAAGGCTGGTCTTGATTTTTCAAGTACAAGATATGTCGAGGCGCACGGTGAGCAGACCTCCCTTTCAACTCAATATCTATCTTCCTAGTCTTACGTGCTTGCTTGATTTCAGGGACTGGGACGCCAGCTGGTGACCCGGTTGAAATGACGGCGATCGGGAAAGTTTTCAGGGAATCCCGTTCGCCTCAAGAGCCATTATATGTGTAAGTTAATACCGGCTACCTGCCACCTCATCATCTAGCTCGGGCCTGGTCATACCTCTGACTGATATTCAGTGGGACCGTCAAACCCAACATTGGACATCTCGAGGGCGCAAGTGGACTTGCTAGCTTCCTCAAGGCCATCCTGGTTCTCGAAAAAGGCATTATTCCTCCAACAGCACTCTTCGAGACCATGAATCCGCAGATCAATGCAGATTTCTATAATGTCCAGGTATGCTGTTTTTTAACCCGTTTATACTGACATCTGACGCCCTCGTCAAAGTTGACGCATGACCGATAAGAAGCTAACGGGAATAGGTGCCCACTAGATGCATTCCTTGGCCTTCACCTGGCTTACGCCGCGTATCTGTCAATTGCTTCGGCTCCGGTGGCTCTAACGCGCACATAATTCTCGATGACGCGTTGAATTTCCTGCAGAGCCGAGGGATAGCTGGCTACCATCATTGCGTCTCATCTCCGTCGATCGTCAACGCGGCTAGTAACGGCAATATGCTGAATATCATCAACGACCGGGTTGACTCTCTAAGGAACGGCAATTACGAGAAACGAGATGATTCGTATACCAAGGGTCGAAGAATGAGATTGCTCGTCTGGACTGCCGCAGATTCAAACGCCGTACGACGCACCTTGACTGCGTACCAAGACTATTGGCATCGTGTCCATCTTACTAGCAATAACCGTCTTCTGGACCAGCTAGCTTACACGCTTGCCTCGCGGCGAAGTATTTTGCCATGGAGGACTTTTGCTGTTACGGGAAAAGAATCGAATACGAACAGCTCTCTTGACACTATTCCTGCATCGCAGCCGGTCAGGATATCACCTGAAGGGACTGGTATTGCCTTCGTGTTTACCGGACAGGGAGCACAGTACACCGGTATGGGTCTGGAGCTGTTACAATATCCCTTATTCAAGAAGAGTCTGGAACAATCAGATAAAATATTAGCTAGCCTCGGCTGTCAGTGGTCGGTATTTTGTAAGTCGAGTTTTTATCTAATACCGGATCCCCCTTCTGCGTAAACCTCCTCTTAGGTATACCGACTAATCATACACGATACACAGCGGGCCTTCGCGACGCAGAGAGAATTCATGACCCAGATCTCAGTCAGCCATTGTGCACCATTCTTCAGATAGCGCTAGTAGACCTACTTACCAGCTTCAACGTGGTACCGGTAACTGTAGTTGGCCACTCGAGCGGAGAGATCGCAGCTGCATACGCTGCCGGCGCCCTCTCGCAAAGATCAGCTTGTAAAATTGCCTACTTCCGTGGACTAGTCGCTAGGAGTCTCCGCTCCATTGCGGAACCCCCGGGAGCCATGATCTCCGTTAACCTGACCGAGTCTGAGGTTCCATCATATCTTAGCAGGCTTAACACATCCCGACAGTATAGAAACGACAAGCAGAATGCTACTGGGATTCACATCGCCTGTTTCAACAGTCCCACTAATCTCACGCTTTCCGGTCCGGCGGATATTATAACAGCACTGAAGGACCTGCTAGATGAGGAGGGCGTTTTCGCTCACAAAATTAACACAGGCATCGCTTATCACTCCCCTGCCATGCGCGTCATTTCGGCCCAGTACCTCCAACTAATGGGTTCTCTCGACAATCACGGCGAGCGATCCGGTCCTGGTATTACAATCATCAGTTCTGTTACCGGTGGCCCCGTAGAACACAAATTACTTACAAGACCCCAGTACTGGGTAGATAATTTACTCTCGCCGGTGAGGTTTACGGATGCTGTCCTGCACCTCGCTAGGAATGCCAACGTTACTGACCTAGTCGAGATTGGACCGCACAGTGCTCTCAAACGCCCAGTATGCGAGGGGGCTCCCTCTATGCGGTACCATTCCATGCTGACGCGCTCAAAATCACCTGTAGAAACCACATTGTCTCTTGCAGGAACCCTCTTCTGCAGTGGATATCCTTTGTCTATATTGGCGGCCAATGGCCAGACAGAGGGCGAGATGCCATTCCTCGTTGACTGTCCACCATATCCATTCGACCACAGCCGGCGATATTGGCATGAGTCACGACTTAGCAAGGACTTTCGCCTCCGGACGTCTTCGCGGGGATATCTTCTAGGAAGACGGGCTCATGACTGGAACCCGTTACAACCCCGGTGGCGGAACTGGCTTTCTGTGGAGGCGATTCCATGGTTGGCTGACCACGTCGTAAGTGTATATTCATCCGCCAGGCCTGTTATACACATAGGCAGCTAGGTATGCTCAGTTCATACTAACCGTCGTTACGCGCCATAGGTCAGCGGTACCACAATCTTACCAGGAACTGGCATGCTGGTAATGGCGATCGAAGCCGTATCTCAAACGGTGGCTACAAACACAAACGCGCGCGCTATCGCTGGCTTCCTATTTAAACAAGCCACATTCCTTGCCCCAATCACTGTCGGTGGAGCCATATCGGACGCCACCGAGACCGAACTGAGACTAAACCCAGTCCACAGGCCGCATGAGAAAGAATCTACATGGTACAGTGTCAGGATATTTTCGCATTCTAAGGAACGGTGGTCTGAGTGTTTCCAGGCCGACATCCAGGTACAGTTTGAAGAGACAAGCCCGGGATGTACACAAGTGGACGGCGGGCGTGAGAAGCGGCTAGAAAAGCAGTCGATGTATGAGACCGGGAGACGGACAGAGGCGTCCTGTTCGCTAGCCGTTGACAGTCGAGCTTTTTACGACTTTACGCACGACCACGGTAATGCATACGGCGAAGCTTTCCAGCTGTTGACAAATATAGTCTGGGATGGAAACCGGGCCGCAGCTGCAAAAGTCGACATGACCCAGATACTGACAGAAGCGGAAGAGCAGAGTCATAGTCCTGTGCATCCTGCCGTTCTTGATACACTGATGCAATTGCTTTTCGCACAAGTATCCTGTGGGCTTGCTAAGCCGGTCCCGACATTAGTACCACAGAGGCTTGCTAATGCCTGGTTTCCAGCCCGAACGTGGAAACAGGCAACGCGATTCGTGAGTGTGAGTTTCATGGCGCACAATGACGGAGGTGGCAGCGGCTCGACGGGGGTGGAGGGCACTGTGTATGCGCTAGGCGATGACGGCACGCCGCTCTGTGCGATAGAACACCTCGTTGCAGCTCAAGTAGCGAAGTCCGGGGTAGTCGACCAGAACGTCGCTCAGGCGGGACGCAACCTGTTGTATAATTTATCGTGGAAACCTCAATTGAGCTCGATAGGTACCACCGCGCTACAGAGACTCATTCACGACATAGCTACTGTAGCCCGCAGCGAGGTTGACACCACTACCGATATATTAGAAGAGATATATCCCCAAGCAGAATTGGCCATGCGCATGGCCACACGAAAGGCCCTCGATGAAGTTTCACCCGAAGAGATTGTCTCAAGTCCCAGCCACATACGTAAATATGCCGCCTTGCTCAGACGGGTTGTTGATAGCCGAGATCTCGATGAGACACTCGGTGAGCTAGCCCTAAAATGGCTACTTGATGAATGCGATTCGGAGTTTCCGAAGTGTCGTATTCTGCCCACCGTCGCACGCGCTCTCCCTTCCGTCTTACGTGGTGAGATTGACCCTTTAAACCTCCTCTTCTCTAGCGGGGCGGCCGAGTCATTCTACGATGTATTGTTCCAACAACACGTCTACGATGGGCGGCTTAAGACCTTTATGGACCTACTATCACATGAGAATCCCAAACTACGGATTTTAGAAGTTGGCGCGGGGACGGGCGGCTTGACGCGTCTGGTCTTAGATATCTTATGGGATTTAGAGAAAAGGGACGGCTTTCAGGGGACGAGATTTGCAGAATATACATATACAGATATCTCATCGGCGTTCTTTGACGCGGCTAGAAGGAAATTTGTATCAGCTGAGGGCCGGGGCGTCACTGGCGAGGAGAGTAGGATTACCTTTAAAACATTTAATCTGGAGAAGGAGCCGGCAGATCAGGTAGGGTTTGACGACTCGAATGGCCTTTACGATGTCATCATTGCAGGAAGCGTACTTCATGCCACGACGAACTTGGCGTCCTCGCTGGGCCGAATCCGCAAACTTTTGAAGCCTGGGGGACGTCTCATTATTCAGGAGATCACGTCCCCAGAGAGCGCCTGTATCAATGTAGGATTTGGTCTGCTCGAGGGTTGGTGGATGGGGACAGAAGAGTGGAGACTAAATACGCCTCTTGCAACAGTGCAGCAATGGGACGAGTTGTTGCTCGAGACGGGCTTCTCGGGTGCTGATCTGACGCTAGAAAATTCGCAACACGACGGCTCGTGGTTCAGCAGCATTATGGTTTCGACCGCCGTCGCTGGGCATCAGCGATTAAACGGACTGCTAGTCAACGGAGACCAACACCACTCCAAGCCTGAGCTGGAAGTTATTGTAAATTTGGACTCTACTACACAGCGAGACGTTGCAGCCACTATCGCTGATCAGTATCCTCAGTCGCGCATCGTATCGTTAGAGCATATTAGGCGGGACGAATGGAAGCCATCGACCGCCACGACGGTCGTATCCCTTCTTGAAATCGGTACACCTTATCTGGCCAACATGTCCGAATCAGACTTCCAAGATATTCGGAGACTTATCCAGCGCGTACAAAACTTGTTGTGGGTGACATCTCCAGCTCACCATGGGGAGTCATACGCACACTATGCTCTAGCTATCGGCTTCTTCCGAGGAATCCGCACCGAAGAGAGCAGCAAACACCTCGTCTCCCTAACTATCGAATCATGTGCATTGGGTAACGAGGGGAGTTTTATAACCCAGGTTTTGAAATCGTGCTTCATTGACCAGTTGTCATCTACCGAGTTGGAGTTTGTGGTGCGGGATGGCCAATTACTTATCGGGAGACTGACGCGGGAGGTACAGCTAGATCAAGAGCGTGTAGACCGCATTGTTCCACGTCTCCGATCTAAGAGCTGGCAGCCCGGTCCACCCCTCAAGTTATCGGTGGGCACTGCCGGCATGTTAGATACCCTCCACTTTGTCCAAGACGACGCCACACAAGCCGATATCCTCCAGGTCGGTGAAGTCGAAATTGCGGCCGCCGCTTGGCCCGTCAGCTTTCGCGACGTATTAATCGCCCTAGGCCGCCTCAGCTCCCAGGAAGGCCTGGGTTTTGAGTGCGCCGGTTCCATCACACGCATCGGGCCTGGTTGTCCTCCAGAGTATGATCTACACGTCGGCGACCGTGTGGTTATAGTTAGCCCGGGATGCATGCGAAGCCACCCGCGGGCACCGGCGCACGCGGTGTTCAAGATTCCGGACACGCTCTCTCTTCAAGACGCTGTCGCGGCCATCAACCCAGGCATGACAGCCTATCACGCGCTTATCAACGTGGCGCGGCTACAGCCTGGCGAGAAGATCCTGATCCACTCGGCCGCCGGGAGCACAGGGCAAATGGCGATCGCGATAGCCCAACAGTTCCTCGGCGCCGAGGTGTTCGCCACTGTCGGCTTCGACGATAAAAAGCAACTATTAATCGACCGCTTCGGCATCCCCGATGATCATATCTTCTACAGCCGCGACACGAGCTTCGCTCGCGGCGTCATTCGCATGACGGGCGGGCGAGGTGTCGACGTCGTGCTTAACTCCCTGTCGGGCGACGGTTTACGCGCCAGCTGGGAGTGCATGGCTGCCTACGGACGCTTCATCGAAATCGGAAAGGCGGATATCGGCAGCAACTCGGTCTTGCCTATGAGCGGGTTCGCGAAGAACGTGAGCTTCTCGGGCGTGGATCTGCTGCATATCTCTTTGACTGACGCGGGACTGTCGAGGAGTTTAGTTAGTAAGGTTCTGGAGCTGGTGGAAAGTGGAAAGATCAGAGTGCCAGGGCCCTTGACTGTGTTTCCTATAGGAGAGGTGGAGGGGGCGTTTCGACATATGCAGAGTGGGAGGAATGTGGGGAGGACGGTTGTTACGATGAAGGATACAGATATGGTTTCGGTGAGCTTTATACATATACCCCTACAGTGGAAGAAGCCGGGCTTCTCAAAGATTATAGCGACTGATCATTCGAACAGAAATATACAGTCCAGGGGAACGAGTGGAAGTTTAATGCTAACGCATCGTATATTATTGCCGGAGGATTCGGTGGCCTTGGCCGGTTCATCCTCCGCTGGATGGCGGACCGAGGTGCCAAGAATTTGATTGTCCCGTCACGGTCGGGAATTTCTTCAGACGAAGCTTCCAGAATTGTGAAAGAACTTGGGGAGAGAGGTTGCCGTGTAGTGGCTCACCGCTGCGACGTAGCCTCTGCTTCAGATCTGTCGGCGTTGCTGGAAGAGTGCTCTACCACATTACCTTCGATTCGCGGCTGCATTAACGCAGCCATGGCATTACAGGTATACTACAAACATAGTTATGCCCTTCTATGCGGACTTTACATGATTAACCTCTACACCAACAGGATTCTATTTTCGAGAACATGAGCCATGCGCAATGGTCCACAACCATTCGGTCCAAGGTCAATACTTCTTACAACCTCCATACCCTCCTGCCTAACAACCTCGACTTTTTCATTCTCCTCTCGTCCCTCGCCGGGATCTACGGACCCGTGAGCCAGTCTAACTACGCCGCCGGATGTACCTTCCAGGACGCCCTCGCGCATATACGGAGTTCAGCCGGCCACCCCTCATCGGTGGCGCTCGACCTAGGCTGGATGCGCACAATCGGTATCGTCGCTGAGCGGACCGACTATCGCCGTCACCGAGAGCGGGCGAAAGATATGGATGCTGTAGAGGAGGACGATTTAAGAGCGCTGCTAGAGCACTTCTGCAATCCTGATCAAGGAAATCAGAAACAGAGAAGCCAAGTCCTTGTCGGAGCCGTTATACCAGCTCATTTTAGAGCACGGGGCGAGGAACCTCCGGAGTTTTTAGACCGACCGTTCGTAGCCGGGTTTGATAACATCTATGACAGTAGCGGTAAGCATACCGCCGGAGTCGCGGGGGCATCATCCGAAGTCACCAACCCGTCTATCCTGTTCGCGCAGGCCAGCACTCCTCAGAAACGGAGTGAGGTCGTAGTTAACGCGCTAAAGGGGAAGCTAGCTCACGCGTTATGTGTCGATGTGGAGGAGGTGGATGCCCGCAAAGGCCTATCAGATTACGGGGTCGACTCGCTTATGGCAGTCGAACTACGCAACGGGATCCGGATTGACTTCGGAGCAAATGTTGCGATCTTTGAGATTATGGGTGGAGTGCCGATTATAGCAATCGGACAGCTAGTTGTTAAAAAGGTGGCTGGTAAATAGCATGGAAGATGAGAGGAACAGGAGGGCAACAAGGCGCAAGGGATTCGTCACACATGATATCAAGACTACGGGGGGAATAACTAGGTAAGTATAGTTGGTATATCATAATATGAAGCTTGCTGTTTATTATCCATGGGCATCTAGACATCTATCCCCCCTATACTCATAACTGAGGGGGTGAGAGGCTTGGCTTACCTCTTCCTATCTTTAAAATAATAGTCCTTCACAGTCCTTGCATTCTCCCGTTCTGGTTCCCAGATAGTTCACCACCAAATTCGGACAGTATGGAGTGCATGCCTTAGGATCCGCGCAGACGGGGCTGTAGTTTCGGACATACGACCACCATCTACAGCATATGGGGCATTGGACGTCTGTTTTGTCTGCAACGCACATCGTGAAAATTCTCGTTTGTGGATCTAAGATCCTATATATATAATGACAGAAGGAAAAAGATAAGGGAATAAAGTAGTAAGGGTTGTTTGGTATAGGTTGACTTGTAAGTGTAGGAAGACGATCCGCGGTGGGATAAGTTGCCATTTATCATGGTCGCGGATTCAACCATCAGAAGCCTTACAATAAAGACAAAGCTCTGTTTGAAACATTTAGAACAATAAGAAGGAAATGTAATGAATTCTATTGTTAAAAGGCATTGTTAAGTCTACAAACTTTGGCCCCCTAGAGGATTCACGGAAAAGGGGTGACTAGATCATTAGTCACCACCATAGCCGGTTCCCCTTTGTTGTCCTTATTGTCTATAGCCTAATCTGGGCCTTCATGATTTGTTATGGCCTTCAATGAATCATTTCTGCCCCAAAGACGTGTTAGCATACCTGTTTGTTGTGTCCCGAGGCCAACCCTTACCCTTGATTGCGATACCAGGCTCTGATTTCTCTCCCATCCAAACCATTACCCAAGATAGGATAAATCATCAACTTGATCAAAATTCTCGTACGAAGGGATGAGAATGTCGTATATACGCGAATAATCATTTCACGACCGAAAAATGAATATTATATAATCCATATTCTATTAATAACTATCGTCTTTGTTGATTGAGATGGGGGCTAAAGTAGGGGGCGACCGTAAGGGGTAGTTATTCGCTATACGACGCCCTAAATTCAGTACAGTATGGAACTAGAAGCTCATTGGGCGATGAGAAGAGCTGAGCCGGAAAGATCCTTGTTATCATGCTTACCACACCCGCGGTAAGACATCTCGACATCCGACGGCCCCCTCTAAGCCAATCACATGCCGGTATCTATAAATGGGCGTTGGTGAGTTACTCCGGTCCGTCAGCTATTAGTAGAAAGACCCCACCATGCCATAGTTGCGCCAATGCTCACAGCTGTGATAACAGCCTTTGTCTCCTCGATTTTCTCTCTATCTAACAAGAGGTCTTCGATATCCGCTGACGATTGATATGTCGAGCCCAGTGCCCTACATGGGGAAACTGTGCTGCACCATCTGCGGCGACGCGATCGTGCCGCCAACACATCAACTCAGCGAAGCCGAAAAATGGCAGGCGGAAGCCGTACTGCTCAGCGACCCGGATAGGGAGTTCGAGCAATTAGAGGAGCATTATCGGGACGGGAAGAAACATAATGCTCAGAGATTTAATATCTCTGCAACGCGAGAGATCCGGAAGGACCGTGCGCATGTGATCGAGAAGGATCGTCTTCGGATTATCACCGCTGACGAAAATGGGGACGTTAGTACTCAACAGGAGGAAGTAAAGTCAAACCGTTCGTATGGCCATGAGGAAAATGGCGAATGGGTGGTGACACCGTACTATATTGCGACGCACGCCGCATGTCTTGAGGTAGCCGAGACAGCCATGCGTCGCTCGCCCCATGATATCGCCGTCCGCGACTTGCGCACCTTGTGGAAAGTTCTGCGCATGCGCTTTAAAGTTGATGATACATATCTTATGAGCTCGACGATTGATTTCATAGCATCGCCTCAGCGGATCCAATTGCCCCATAGCTATTATATGCCATTTCGACTAGCTCCCATATTGTCGGAGTCTTTCCCGGGTGTGGTTGATGGGAACTTGGAGCGATGGGTATGTAAATCTTCCTATAAGTTGCTCCCTATTGGTAGCTAACTAGAGGTTCAGGAAGCAGCTTACCCTTTAAACATCCCCGACATGACGACAGCAGTTCTCGAGAACTTAAGGAGCCTCTCACCAGCAGTGGCAGCCATTCCAGAAGCCGTCTCTTTCCAAGAAAGATTCCTAGCGCTCCCACCCGAGCTTCAAGACCATGTGTGCTCGTTTCTAGTATCTCGTAACGGTATGTCGAGCACTTGCAACGTGCTACTACCGCAATGGACATGGCGTGAGGTACTACTCCGCGGAGAATGCCTACCGTTCCTACAAGACGTCGACATCGCCGTCGTCAGGGACTTCTGTCTAAGATGGAAGCGCGATAATGGGAGCCGGGAACCCAATTGGGAGCTGCTCGTCCGTAAACTCAGCCAAGAGGCATGGTCCATCTGGGATGCCGAGAGTAGCTCGTTGAAAGTGCCGAACGGCCTGCGCAATCGAAGACGAATATGGCAGCTGGTTGAGGAGATGTATGTCGGAGACTTGGTACCGGTGAAGAGAGTGACGTTGATGAATAGCGGATGTGTGTCAGTGCCGAGATACTGGGATGAGCGTGGAGAATTGATGCATCCGGTTGTGAGAGTTCATGTTGGTTCTAGGGATAAATTGAGATCGATAATGGCTTGAACCGTATTCATACCCCGCACTGCGGGGCTGATTTCTTTAGTGGCTCAGTCCCTACGCTTTGGCTGTATCTCAGTGGAGTTTTAGGCGGACCAGTCACTATCAATAAAGCACTAGAGAAATAATAGAGAAGTGCCTTAATGATGAGAACACCAGGGCTATGTAGGTATTGGTAAATTAGGTACCTAGTGCCTATATAAACGATTACCTAATGTATGGGTATAGTGAAAATATGTCTGGCATGTCTCACGCAGCAGGGCTATAGAAAGCTGCTATCACTGAGACGATGCCAATTTTATTCTTTTGTGGACAATGAGTTGAGAAGATAGTTTGGCAAGTAAGGAGTTGCTTGCGTATCTCCGATCTCAGTCACTGGTTCGTCCCCCAGTTCCCCTCATGCATGCCTTTTGATTTTTTTTCTTTCTTTTTCTTGCTCGTTTTCTTTTTTCTTCCTATTTTGTTTGTTTTCTTTTCTTCTTACTTTTTCTTCTGCGTATTTTTTTTTTATCTTTTATGCTCTTCTTACACTGCTTTTTTGGTTCAAAGCAGTTCAATTCCCCCAGTAGCCTCAGTTCCCCAGTTCCCCGCGATTCCCCACAATTCCCCTCACGGATCCCCGAGTTCCCTCAGTCCCCGCTTACAGATTCTATATTAAGGAGATAATGAGAATGAAGGACTGAAGAAAGTTTTCTATAGGTAAAAGTATGTCTGGACCATGTCGCTGCAGGTCAGGAAGATGTAGAGATTCCTGTCGCAAGCGGCTTGCCCATTTTAATCTGTTTGATACGGATCAAAACCTGGAGATAAATGATGCCGGTTATCTCAGGCCTTGCGCCATATGTGTACCCCCAGGACCCTCGTAAATCCCCCAGTACCGCCTAAGACCCCCAGATCCCTTCGTTTGGTTATTTTTTGGACTTTTTTTCTACTTTTTTTTCTGTCCTTTTTTTCAGTCTTTTTTTGATCCTTTTTTTCTGCCTCCCTCCCTCCCAATTTTTTTTAAAAAAAATAGTTTCTTGTTCTTTGACCCCCCAGTGCCAACAGCCCCCAGTGCGGACATCCATCCCAAGTAAGCTTACATGAACTACCGAAGTAGAACAAGAAAACTATACCTAGGGTAGATAAATATTGGATCATGAGTCTATACACTAGAGGTGCAAAATCCAGTAGTGCATAAGAACCTGTCCATTTCAATCTTTGAGCCCACCCTGTAATCCACGAATAGATGAGTATAGAGAATCCGAAGTATGGGGGAAGGGGAAGTAGAGAAAGGAATAGAATGGGCAAAGGTCAATATGAATATGGGCGAAAGGTAAAAAAAGAGAATGTAATGAGTAGGAAGCAAAGGAAAAGATAAGAGGTTGAGGGAAAATGATAATAGGAATAAGCACAAGATGTGCTAAAAGTGTTGATAAGAGACGTGGTACCTAAGTTCAGTGTTAGTGTGATTAAAGTTGTTGTTGATATGGATTATGTGTAAGTTTGAGTGGTTAGGGATGGTAGGGTAGAGGATGGGGGGTAAGGTGGGGGGGTAAGGCGGGGTGGAAGTGAGTGTGGGGTAAGGTGGGATGGATGTGGATGTGGGGTATGATGGATGATAGGAGTAGGAAATATTGTGTGAATAGGTGTCGGTAATATAGGGCTGATTGGGGATAGATTAGGAGGGCAAGTAACGAGTGGCAGTGAATTATGGTTAATGGCAACGTCATCTATATCGGTGGCAATAATAATCGATGATAGTGAAGGATGGTGATAGGTAAGGTTAGATGGGTTGATGAGGTGATGATGGTATAGATTAGGTTGTTGCCTGGTGTTCGGAGATTTTGGGCTGGGTGAATTGGTGGATTGCATAACCATGAAAAAAGAAAGGAAGGAAAGATTGGTAGGAGTACTTTGGTCTGGATAGAAAAGGGAGAGGGTGTGGGAGAGGGAAGAGAAGTGGGTTGTTGGGAAAGTGCTAGGAGATCAGTTTTGCTTGCCTGGGTTTTGGTTCTGGGCTTGGGTGACTTTGGTGTGATGTAAAATAAAAAAGAAGGAAGAGTTGGTGAAGGGTGGCCGGTGTTATATAGAAAAGGACGAGGGGAGTGGGAGGCAGGCTGATTAGAACTGGTAAGAGCAGTTTCCCACTAATCCTAATTAGGATTATTTTAATTCACAGTACTGTCAGCGATTATAAAATAAATGTAGCTGTATATATGCGTTAAAACATGGTAATTGTCTTTGGTTGTGGTGGTTGCTATGGATATCTGTGCATTGATCTTGATATTCAGCCTTTTTTTAGTGGATCTAGATCATGGGCCAGCCCTTGTACTATGTAGTACATAAGTTAAAATTATCTGACCTATCATAATCCCTGTTCATTCCCAAAAAGGCATTGTATCAGCCAATCATATAATCATGTAAATATATACATAAGTACAAAGGTACTTAAAAAAGATTTCTAGATTTGATTTATCTCAACCAATGAAATATTTAATAAATCTCACGTACCGAAGTACCTATCCACTTGTATTCAGAGATTCAATAAAATGATCTCCACACTAATCTACAGGGGGTACCGAGATACTAGGTACATCGCCCAGCGATTGTCCGCCAACTAGTACCTATGTACATGTACTATGTAGTGGGCTAAGTCTTGTGGGGCTATAGAATCTTCTTCTAGGTAACGAAGTACTTAGTACTAGGTAATTACTAGGTACATGTGGTTTACATAGGTACCTACATATGTACATAAGAGCAGCATAATTTTTAGGGTTAAATGGAAAATGATACCTAAATACTTGTATTCCTTCTTCAAATGAACCGTATGAGTTGGATGGATTATCTAATTATGATGTATCTAGTCATTGCACATTATCAAAGTAGCTATATAATATCCCAAAGAACGATTTCCCATTCCACTTCTCATTGCACCAAATTTAGGTAGCTATACGATAGTTGATGTAGTATTTCTTCTATCTCAAGTTGACCTAGCTACCAATACGTATGATCTATCATCAGGAAATTATATATAATCCATAGCGTGTCATACAATATACATCGCCTCCACACTATCTTGAAACGCCGCTGTACAAGTCCTAACTATTATGTAGCTTACTTTTCTTAGTCGACCTGTTAGTGTAGCTACTGGCCGGGGGGAAAGTTGAAGGGAATACTGACATTTCGATAAAAAAGAAAAACATGAGTCTGGAGTGTGGGAAGGTACTTACGAATGCAGGTAATACTAAACTATGGCTCATGATCAGTATGGCGAAGATAGTATCGCGAAAATCTATTAATTCTATCAATCTATATTCACTCTCATATGGCGCAAAGAAAGCACGGAATGTTATCCTGATCTGGAATCTCGAGGGAACGTTTCATCGTTATATCCAACAGGTTACGAAGGTAATAATATAGTTCAGGATTGGAGAAATCGTGTTAGTTGGCCTTGTTGTCCTAACATACTACCAACATTCACGTTCGATTAGCACTAAATGACTAGCGCAGAACGATTAGTAGGGTGGAAATATTTAATCTGGATTATTTTGGCGAGCTCGTTCCATTCGTCTATAATGTTGGCTTGAATAAGTAGGCCGATACGAATCGCCTGTGTATCGCTTTCGCCTACCAGAACTGTCACCCATCGCCTGCCTCCGACGTCTTGGTTCGAGTTGATAGCCATCTTCGTCATCTTCAGCTATCGGGCGCTTCTTCGCCGTAGGGTACTGGACTTTGTTATCCCAAGTTTCCAACGACCAAGGGCTGCGCAGGAAGCTCTTCAGCTCATGGAGGAGTAATTTGGTATGATCGCGACCTAGAAAGTCCTTCAGCATTTCCTCAGCCTGTCCCTGGCTTCCTTGAATATCAACCGTCTTTAGAATTGCGATTATATATTCCAGCAGAAACTCAGCATTGTTCGCTCGTCTTCTCGTCATGGCATCGTCGCTGGATTGCGCGGTCGGCGGGGTGCGAAGAAATTCGAAGACTTGTAGTTCCCTCCTTAGCCACGTTCGTGCCCTTGAAACAATCTCGGGGTCCGATTCAAAAACCCTCGGAGTCAAGTCTCGGTGACCTGACCTCAAGTTAGACCCTACGTGCAGAGAATAAAGCTGATCCCGGTAAACATCTTGACGACGGAGGAGAGCTTCGTCTACAGTCGGCCTTCGGCGAGGCGCCTCTTCATATCGTCGTCGGTTTGGCCTTGTAATAGTATTTCGTGTTCGAGATCGTGTTCGAGATAGTGAGGTTTGTAGGAGCGTTTGCTGTTGGACTGGCTTTTTGGGACTCGGAACTAGATATACCCTACTCTTCGCGTCTGGTTTATCACTCTCAAAGTCGTACCAGACCTCATCTATGCTGCTCTTACAAAGCGGACATTTTGCTTGCTGTTCGAGCCAACTGACGAGGCATAGATAATCGAAGTTTCGATGTCCGCAAGGTCTCGCCTCACAAACGTCGGTGATGTTATCGAGGCAGATGACGCAACATGTTTCGTCTGACTTATCGGGCTCTACCGGGTTTCTTGATGATGCTACTTCTATAAGTGTATTTTGGAGTATTTTAGATCGTATATCAATTGTATCAGAGTCTGCGTCCATGTATTATGTGAAGAGCGTTGATAAACCCAAAAGTCAAAGTGGTGGGAAATGAGATAAAATCGATTTTGGGTTGTAGACAAAGAGTCAATTGAGAAAATTACGGGACTGCTCTGCCGCTAGGATTGTATGGGTACATAGGTACATATTCCTGGAGTACTAGTGGCGCTGACGTACTGTCATTCTTGGACTCGTCTTCTCGTATTACGCCCTGTAAGTGCCCCACCAACCCACTAATTCATACCGCGTCGCGTACCATCGATGGATCAATTAAAGTTAAGCTTGTCGCGGTCACTTCGCGACTTTTAATTGACGTTCCTAATGCAAGAACGTGCAACCTTGGGACACTCCAAATACAATCAAAGCTCAATTTACAATTGACCTCTTAAACCCTCGTTAATAACTTAATAATCGTCCGCCTCCAGGGTCAAGCATTGCACCTTATACACCACACTTTACGACTCACGATGAACGAGAATGAAAGACAGAAATATGAGGAGCAATCCAAGCAATTGCGCGCTGATTTGAAGCGATTCGAAGTGGACTGGGCAAGTCGCAATGGCGGCACCAAGCCACGTCGCGAGGACATCAAGCAGAACCCAGATATAGGTATATTACCAATTGAAAGATTGGAGGATTGAAAGAGCTAATAAAATGTTATTATTAGCTCAGAAGTACAAGAAGTATAATCAAGTTCGAGATATCCTCGCCGGAAAGATCCAACCTCCAAAAGAATCAACATCATCTCGGAAGCGCGTGCCAGAAGAAAGTTTTGCCGAGACACCTTCAAAACGGTCAAAGCCCGTCGAGACACCCTCTCACCTACGCGAACGAATCATAGACCCAGAGTTATTCGCCACGCCATCTACTACGCGAAAGCTATTTAGTCCAGCTGTACCCACTTCAATTGGGCCTACTCCGCATAGAGATGGACGAATATTAGGTTTATTTGATCTAATGGATGAAAATGAGGAGAATACGCCGTCAAAAGGCCCGCCCAGCCGATCTTTACAAGATGGCAAGATACATGCTACCCCTAGCAAGAGAACTGGTCAGGCGGAGAACGACAATACAGCACAACTAGGCCGAACTCCGGTATCTTCAAGTAAGCGTGGCGTGCTCTTTAAGACTCCCTCGAAGCGACAAGGAGACAATACCGCTCTAGGTAGAACGCCGACTTCGGTTAGCAAGTTGCAACTGTCTACCCCATCCTTTCTCAGAAGGGTTCCTTTGGCGACAGTTGATGAGAATGGCGATTATATATCCCCTGCACCCCTGCGTCTACCACGCAAGCCACTCGGTCGCAGTCTAAGCAGCGTAGTAGCCAGTCTACGGAAGCTGGAGGAAGAGGCCCTTGATGATGACCTTGAAGCCCTGCATGATATGGAAAACGATGCGGATCCTTCAATCGCCCCGAAACCTGCGAAACCCGCTAAACCCGCCATGCCAAGCGACACTATTCTTGAGCCTGACAGTCAAGGACAACTTCTTGGTGGATTTGATGACGAGGGTCTCTACGACAGCCCAACAGAAGACAACGTGGGTCGTGATGGGCGGCCGCTGAGGATCTATAAGAAAAAGGGACAGAAACGTACTACGAAACGGGTGAATATGAAGCCAACCCGGACCAAGAGACCCCAGAAATCTACGGGAGAACACCCTGATTCTGATTCCGAGGTTGTCGTACCCGAGACACAGGTCAACGCTACGAAGGCTGATCATGAACAACCACTGGATTTGGGATCTGACTCAGAATTCGATCCTGTAGAAGAAGGCGAGGAGGATGTGGAGCCTAAGCAGAAGAGTAAGGCTGGAAAGACCAAGAAGGTGGACAAAAAGGCAGACAAGGAGGAGGGCCCGGTACGAAAGGCGACCAGGAAGGTTAATGAGCTAGCACACGCGAACTTCAAGAGGTTGAAGTTGAGGAACTATGGAGCAAAGGGACCGGTGGCCGGAAGTAGATTCCGACGCCGCAGATGAGGCTCTGGATGACAAGCCTGCGATGATTAGAACCTGAGACAATAGAAACAAGCGCAGCAGCTTGTCCAAGCTGGCTCTCATTACGCGTATGCCATAGGGCTCGATCGTACATAAAGAGGTACGCAGGTAGACACCGAATCAAATATGATTAAACATGATTCCGCAACGATATGCTCTCACATGGTGCCTGTGAAACCCCCCCGGACTCCATGTGGTGATCACACCGAAATAGTCATTTAGAATTCTCGACGATATGGTATCTGACTAAGGAGAGAGATGCCTGGCATGCCGTTACACGATACGATAATAAAATGGCAGGGCTCGGGTCAATAAGGACATCTATCATATCATGTACCTCATCTCGCTACTACCTATGACTGGGCTCTGATGGCGAGCGATTTGACTTCCAAGGTTGGAACCTTTGATGGTGCGATTAGTGCCATTAGGTACACCTGGGCACTGCATAAACACTCCAGTTTACCGCTAAATCCCCTGTAAGAATATCCTTAGAGGGACTTGGCGCACTCTTTTCACTAACAGTTCAATAACAGCTTAACAATGCCTATATGGTTCTAAATAAGTAAAAGTTGTATCATTCAATTCATTATTGAGAGGCGTTCTACCTACCTATTTAAGCCAAATTTCAATGCAAGAAATGTATTTTTAGTTATATTTTCAAGGCTTTGTTTAACCTGTTATAAGCTAGTACTTTAGTGGGCTAGCTACAATTTGAGTGGCTCAAATTAGGTACTAGATAGCATCATTGATCACTAAACCTGCCTGCAATCATAGCGGTAATAGCGCTAAATCCTTTACTTCTATAGGGGACTAAGTAATAGAAATAGAATGAATGTGTACACACATACATCTGGTATAATACATGGTTTACCTTCCTTGACGCCATTCTAATCTCGTAGATTCGTCAAGCAGTATATTCTTCACTTCACCTACCGATGTAATATCTACTGATATATTGTATTCTATGTGTCGACTATGGTCAATGAAATTACAGATGGTCAGCACTCACAGTGTAAAAATCTGTAACTATGATTAATCATGGAACAGTTTCAATTTTAGAGATTCATGAATTACCTAGTCACAATATGAAATGTTATTCCCAAGGAATTTAGGTCAGGTTAAACCCTATAAGCCTTGAAATTGAACAATTAGATATGAGGTTATTTTTTCAGCGTGTTTTGGAATACATGTACTGATATGTCAGTAGCATGGTTAGGTAGCTGAAGGTAGTAATGAATTGATCTATCTGATAACAGGAATCTATAAGTGTTTATTGCAATTAAGGAAACCTCCCGCGTATACTTCGTAAGTCATGAAACCTTGTGATATCCTCTCAATACTCTCCAGGGAATTTATCTGATGACGGTAGACATAGTTTATTTCGGGATACACCATCAGGTTGGCGACTATTCCTAGCGTGATAGTACACATAACTCATGGGGATGTCCAGCCCCAAGAAAAGTACCTAGTAGACTTGATGACTGTGTTATAGTATAGCCACACGTATGTACTAGTCACCCATCTATGTCTATCCATGTAGGCCTACTTCTTATCATCAAACTGAGCCCCAAAGCCGAGCAGATAAAAATCAGGGTTGTATTTGTCGCTATCGACCCGTGAGGCAGCGTCATTATGGTCTGATACGTCCGGAGGCTGAGGTGCCGGTGATCCACGATGAGTCTTCGTACTATCGTTGTCTTTGCTCGCTCTATTACGTCTTCGGCTACTGTTACTCAAACGTCAGAACTGGTATACCACGAGATATGATATCCATTTAAGTAGTATCACTCACGACTTGCTCTTATGACCAGCGGTGGATGGCTCGTGAGGCATGTTCGTCTGATCGAAGTAGAAGAGATAAAAAAATATAAGGTAAAAAGCTCAGATAGAAGACAATGCGGTTAAGGATGCTAAGCAAAACTGGATGGGTGTCGTATGTCTTGGAAGAACTAAAGCTGTATCCGTAGAGATGACCGAGAAAGCTCAAGGCGAGTTACAGATATTTCATCAGTTGAGGAGTTAGCTCCGAGGAGGAAAGTGTAGGGAAAAGGAAGAGAAAATAGGGGAGAAGACCTAGGTATTTATCTACACGGAACCACATTTTATTCTGTATTCCTGTAGTACCTGACCCTCTTCATAGCTTCAATGTGCTCACGGTTGCCTATGATAAACATCATTGATACTATTAAGCCTTACACATGAAAAAGCAAAAGGTTTCGATATTCAACATCAAGTACACAGACGTAGTTGATTTGATTGGCCATTCTCCTTGTGGGCTATGATCTGTGGTTCTATATTTGGTAACCCGCAAGTTACGTTTAGTGTTTATGGATGTATTATTCCAGGGCGGTGATTTATCATGAAAATGCCTATATATGTAGATGTTCATAATTGGACAGTATCCTTTTGTTCATATATGATGCCTCCTAAACAAATTCCCTCTGGCGGTCACTACCGGCCAAAATAAGGAGTGGTTACCTAGTGTATATTTTACCGTCGCATTTCGTTTTTTAATTGGCCGGTCTCTTTTTGCGCCAATCATGGGTGACTCTGATTCGCTGCTCTCCTTTTGTTTCTTCCTAATGCAGTTAGTTGGACTTTCTATGTTCATTATTATTTCCCCAGAACTGGGAAAGGCTTTGTTCACTTTCCCCCCTCCCCCTCCCCCCCTTCTTTTCACCTCTGGATATCATCACAAGCCGTACATATCCAATCAGTATGGACTCCTCATTACCTGTCGCTGCCGAGGGCTCCGTGCAAAAGTTCATGAACGTCCCCCATGACCAAAGATGGGAGTGTCTCAAACCAACAATCATTCAAATTTATATGGAGGAAAACGAAAAGATTGCACGTGTTGCAGAGCGAATGAAAGATAGCTATGACTTTGATGCTCAGTTAGTATCGTGGCTATATTGCTGTTATCTGCCTGAGTAGTGTGATATCTAATCAAGTATCTGAATGATCAGAGTTCCTCACTACCGGTATCGATTCAAAAAGTGGGGGGTCAAGAAGAGGACTACGACAGAAGAGAAGAATGCTGTTATTAGTTCACTCGGAAAACGTCGTCGGCAAGATGTAAGGAGCATAACCGACGTGACTATAGATCAAGGAGGTATAAGAAAAGCTATAGATGGAAAACAACTCAAGCGACATATCAATCAGAGTATTCGGCATAGTGAGCCGTTGACTTGGACCCCGGGATTGTAAGTTGAAGCAACAAGGGATAGCCTGAAGCAGGTCACTGAACTCATTTACTCCCTAGGTTCTTTCGATACAACCCCCTATATACGGCCTTGGTCGATAATATCGGGGGATACGACCGATCACAAGCATCATCACCTAATGCAGGCCCTGCCTCCCCGGACTACTTGATGATAAACAGTTTAGAAAAGAGCGACTCTGCTTCTGGAAATCATGGTACAATCTCACCGACCAAAGAACTAATCCAGAGAAAGGTTTTCTTAGATAGAGCTAGGCTCTTTCTGGGAGGCAGAGAGTACGACTTGATGGCGCAAATAGATAGGGAGGAGAGAAAGTATATCACCTCTTTAAGTATTCTACTGCGTGCGATTAATGCTGACAACCTTCATCGTCCTCCATCAGGCATATCGCGGCATGGCTCCATGACTTTTGGATTTACTCGTTTACAACGATGAAGCACTGGGGTAAAGGGCCTATGGTTTGGAGTCTGAAATTAGTAGATTCCATGTCGCCTTCCAGGAACCCATTCACATATGTGCCAAAGAATCGCATTGAGGGAAACCAAGTATCGGAATTCCTCCCACGCCTCGCATATATCCCCCCACTCAACAATCCGACGCAGCTTTGCAGATGGGCTATCCATTATAAGCCACCTCGTTATCAAAGAGACCAAACGCCCTCTGAATCCTTAGTGGATAAAGGCAAACGCAGATTTGATATAAATGATGATGAGTTTACATGGCCCGAATGGCCTGTTACTGACCCCCCTGAAGACCCCGGAGCGATCATTTCCCAGGGGCTCCATCAGAATTTGTTCAATTCGGTGGAGCCGGAGGAAATCCCCTTAGACGCTGATTCAGTATCGGATATTATAGAAAAGCGCCCGGATGAGTTTCGAGCAGAGATATTCGGCATCGCTATCATGTCCCGCAATCTTGATGCCATAAACAGTATCATCTACAACTATGAAGGGAACTTTCCAGCGTGGTTTTCGAACGTGTTCCCATTTCATCTAGCAGCAAGATTCCTGGATGGGGCCAAGACCTGCTGTCTCGTTCTACAGATGTTACTCGACAATTTAGGTAATGAGATGTCACTTCGTGCCAACTACGTTGACAATAACGGACACACCGTGTTGGACACCCTGTTTGTTACCATCCTCCGCTCGCATAGTACTGTCCCGCTTCGAGTCATAAGTGATTCCTTCATTGATAAATCAAATGATCTTGGGCAGGGTGTTGACCCTTGCGGGAGATGGGATGCGGATTCGCCTTGTATTCGACAGCTGTATGCTTCAGGGCAATCGACAATCCCGCCTCAGTGGAAACATGTGTTTTGTCATACATCGGTTCAAGCAGTATGCCACTTCATATCTATAATGTTCGCTCGGCCCTATCACCCATTTATCAATACGCCAAGTGGATTGTTTCTGAGGCGCTGTGGTCACTGTGGGCTGAAGCTTCAAGTTGGACCTCTCCATGCCTTAATCTTGACCGCATACCACCTCGCTGAGGATGGCATCCCTGGCGAAAGTCTATTTGGGATGGTATCTTGTCTCGTCTGTTTATTGACCTTTCGTGCGGATCCCCGTGTTGCTGTACAAGTTCCAATGTCAGCATGGGTAGGATACGACACGAGCGAGGATTGTCAGCACAAATATATGAATGCTGCAGAGCTAGCGTTGGAAATATTTTCACATAAAGGGGGAACATGGTCACACAAAATACGAACAGGTTGGAAATGCTTAGGTAATTGCCATTCTTGAGCATGATATCAGGAAGCGCCGACCAGAAACCGACATAAGCGATTTCAAAAATATCCAGACTTGCGATTTCGGTACCCATATGTATAAAGGATCTTCCCGAGAGAATCTAGTCTATTGCGGCAATAGACAATTGGGAATGATCTGGGCGGCCATACAGGCAGAAATATTGACGTATCGCCGTTTGAGCGAGAATGACCCTTGGTTATCCGCCCGGTTTGATATGGAACTCCTCCTTAAGGGATTGGAAGAAAACGATGATCGATATCTTAAACTGCTTCTAGGGACCGGGAAAGACCCTCAAGACGACTTATTGAAACCCTTCTCGAGGTGTGGTCTTTTCCTGGAAGCAGCAAATCCAGGATGTCCGTTGAGGGAGGAGGTTTGCAGATCGTATTATGCGAATCTTGATGATTGGAAGCGTACTACTTTTATCAAGAGATGCTTCGGAAGCTTTGACGGGTAGAGGTTCAACTGTGATATAGGCAGGCAACTCTCGTTTGGGTCTTTCAAGGCAATGTCATCTATAGGTCATTGCAGGACATGTCTACTATGTGCCTCTCACTCGTAACCCCTTCGCAACCCCTATCTCTAGCACCTTCACAAGCCTCCTGATATCCTCCACCGAGTTGAAGAACCCAAACGAGACCCGAATCCCCAACCGATTCACCGTAATCCTCGCACCACAAACCCTGGTTAGATACGGCCCCCACGTCTCCCCAGCCAGCTCCAGCACACAAATATGCGGTGCCCTCTCCCCCCTCTCCATCGGACCCGCGACTCCAATCCCCAAGCCCTCACACTCCCGCTTCAGCAACTCCGTCAGATTATACAAATACGCCTCCACATCCGCAGGACCCAAAACCCCGAGATAAAACCTCGTGAACGCCGCCGCGGCAGCCACACCCACAAGGCTCATATTCTGATGCTCGAACCTCCTCGCATCCGGGAAGTAATCCACGGGCTCATCCGCACTAACCAGCAAATTCTCGCTCATATTCCGCACGGCAGCCATATTAACAATCGGCGGGACCGGATCCCCCAACTCCGCGAATGCTCGGGGAGAAATATACAACGCCCCTATCCCAGTGGGACAATTCAACCCCTTATGCAGACTAAACGCCGCGGCCGAGACGTCCATCCTCTGTACATCGATCCGCGCAATCCCCACATGCTGCGAGACATCCGCCAAAACATGTATACCCCTCGGCCTGAACTCCCTGCAAATCCCCTCCACATCGTTCATCTGCCCCGCATCAAACGAAATCGAGCTAATCCCCACCGCGCGAGTGCGTGAATCCACATACGGTCTCAGCGTATCCGGCCCCACAGCACGTATCCGCCCCGTCCTCCGGGCCTCTTCGACCGTCGGCACGATCCTGACCTCGAGTCCCTGCTCGCGCAGCGCGAGCCAGCAGTACACCATATTAGGGTGTTCGTTATCGACCAGCACCACATTATCCCCTTTTCCAAACCCTTCCCTTCCACCTGCCAGTGCGCGTATAAACCCTCCCAACCCCTCCGTCGTATCACGCGTGAACGCAAGCGTTTCCGGTGTCTCGGCATTGATGCACCTGGCGATGAGCCCCCGCGCTTCTTGGCGGGTGCCTTGCCATTTTGCGTACGGGTACGGCTCGTAGAGGGCGTCGGAGGAGTACTTTGTGATGGCCTCGTGGACGACGAGGTTTGAGGGTGGAGCGGAGGCGGAGTTGAGGAAGATGACGTCGGGGTTTTGGGTGATAGGGACTAGGTGTCTGAATGTTGCGAATTTCTCCGACAGGCGATTATCTTCGTTGGTGTCATTTTCTCTGGGCGAAGTTTTGGTGTTTTCAGGATCATGGAGTGTTTTCCTGGAGAGTGGACGAGATACCATGATTACTAATTACGGAACTGTAGTGAAGGTGACTATCAACATGATGATGAAACGAGGGACCAGAAGAGAATTCGAAAAAATGATGTCGAGTTTATTCAAATTATACCAACCGATCTCGATATCTTACCTTCCTATAAGAGCAATTGTAATTGCCATCGATTGGTATTGCACCATTGCCTCTTATACGTCTGTCGACCCCGCTTCGCTTTCTCCCAATGTAACCACCCAGGTCAACTCTATGTACGTGATACATCGGGCATAGGAGATATTTTCGCATGATATCGGCTGGCAACGGATGAATGAGACATAGAAAAATAGAAATGTAGGTATAAGTATATTAAAAGTAGTAAATTGAAGTAAATATTAGTAAGAAGGGTATTTCCTTTTCCTGCACTACCAACCCCATAAAATATGTACCTAGATAATAATCAATATTCCTCAAACTCCGTGCTAGATATAATTTCAAAAGACGCCTCGAGACCTCATTACGCATAGACATTTCGTCATGTGTACTTAATTTGTTACAGTAGCAGTTGTCGTCACCATATCTGTCGTAGTTGTTGTTACCGTTTCTGTCTCCTTCTCTGTCACTGTGATCGTGGCAGGGGCTTGAGCATTTGTCGCGGTGCTGAAACCGAAATGCCTAGTGTTTGTGGCAAATGGAGAACCATTATTATCATTACCAGGTAACCCAGGGAAGTCTGGGAGACCGATAGCGTCGGTCTCGATTGGAATGACGTGGAGGCCTGAATCCGTAGGTGTAGAATGGACTCGAGTGGATGTACTAGTAGATGACGGCGGCGAAGGTATTGAAATAATCGAAGAGGATGAAGTCAAAGATGAGGTTCTGGATGAAGAGGGGGTTACGGTGACGGTTTCTGTGATTATCTGAGGAGCTGAACTCGAACTCGATTTGGTTACGGTGCTGAAGGTGCTAGGGATGAAATGGGTGACGGTAACTGTTTTTGCGGGGGCTTCGGTAGAACTAGGCACCGAAGCATCGGTCGTCGAAGATATTTTGGTAGACAAAGACGTCTCTGTAGATGGACTCATCGTTACTGTAGTTTGAGCAGTCTCGGTAAAAGTTGGAGTGATCGTCACCGTGATTAAACCATCAGATGCTTTCGAACTTGAGCTAGATACAGAAGGCACATCACCACCCAGAGCCTTCTTGACGGTAGCATCATCCCAGCAACCAATCTGGACACCAGTAACTGTCGTCATCGGCAAGGCGTAGCAAGTTAGGTTGCTGGCACAGGGGATTATGTCGAATGTGCCGCCACTGGAACATTGACCAATGTTTCCATTGACACAGGCGACTTGGCCTGCCGTACAAGCGGACTGCTCTGTCAATCCAGCGAAGACTTCATTATAGCGCTTTGCATCAGCCAAGTTGCTGGCAAGCACTTCGGGGGATACTGTTGTACTGGAAGCTGGAATGGAGCTGATTATGGTGGGGATATTATCATTTGTTGATCCAGTCGCTGACACGGAGTGAGATGTGTATGATGATTTTGTTATTGGTACGAATACCGCAGAGCTCGATGGTGCAAGCGTAACAGCACTTGAAGCCAAAGAGCTACTCGTAGCACCAATTCCCCTGTTTCCGGTTGATGTAGAAGGATTAATAGCAGACGATGAGACTGATGATGCAGATGCTGATGCGGAAGTGACGCTGGTTGATGTTGGCTGGCTAGTCTCGCTTTGGTCTGAGGTACACGGGAGTTCTGAGTCAGAAGCAGGACTGGAAATAGCTGAGGATGCTGACATAAGCGGGAGTGATAAAGAAGTCGACATAGAAAGTTTAGTCGAGCTTGTTGATGGTCCTTTCTCCACGCTAGATGATGCGGCACTCACGGTCGAGCTCGAGATGGTTCCATTGGTGGGGGAAGGTCCAACAAGCACTGTGGAGGATGGAAATATGTTAATGGCGGGAATAGTATTACTTTCGGCGACAGTGAATGATCGGGAGATTGAAGTGGAAGATGCGGATCCAGATGGGCTCGATGGGCTCGACGGAGCGTTCGTACTCGAAGCAACCGCAGTTAATGATGAACTTGACAAGGCGCCCAAGTCTGATGTAACAAATGAGTTTAGATTTTGAGACGAAGACTGTGTTGACGTTTCGCTAAGCGATGGTAGCGAAGAGGCTTCATTTTCTACAGACGTTATCGACGTAATAGCTACACTAGAAGTGTTCGCGAAATTGTAAACGTTCGATGCCCCTGCTACATTCCGCCATCTTAATCTATAACGCGTTAGTCGGCCATCATCAACCCTCTCTATCCTCTCGAGGACGTACCTTTCTCCTCTCCTCAGCGGACCTGCCGCCGAGGCCTCGGAAAATAAAAGGAGGTGTGAGAACAGAACTATGATGAGCATTTTGAATGATTTTGAAATTTTCTGTAAGGAAAAAAAAAAAAGAAAGGAAAGTCTATGAGAGAAAAGGAAAAACGAAACCGAACAGAAGTATATCAAGATGTTGCAGGCATGGAGCAACAGCGATTCATATTACTCTGTCGGGGCGATAAAGAACGAAAATGTCTCAAAGAAGTGGAAAATACCCTTCAGAATCGAACAAGGGCTAAGCCACGGGAAGACAATAGTAAACAAGAGAATGGTTATTGATAAACGACAAAGAAAATGAGCGGAGAAAAAAGAGCCTCACACGATCACGAAGACGACCCGCGAAATATCTAGAAAAATGATCACCTGCTTCGAAGATCTTCACCCGCCGGAGTAATGGGGGAAAGGTCTCATCTTGTAGAAAAACATTGGACAAGGTGATTGCGCACATCTGGAAATTCTTACCATCGGGTCCAGGCCCATGACGTTAAAGGGACCGGGTTTTGCTGTAGTTTCGGCCAAGATGGGCTCGTAAGATAAAATTGAGGCCCGTCGAGAGGACCAGACAGCTCGGGAGAGATTGACCAATAATATTGTATTGGGTAAGGCTTCTCGGTCCATCTTGGCAGAGGACGATTTAGTAAAGCTAGCAACTAACCGTTGTATCATAAGTAGATTGGGCTTGAAGAAAGGTTGGCTAAGCGCTTCAAGGGTACTTGAGGTCTCTCCATCTTGATGTTTCGACAACTGGAGATAGAGACGCGCGCCTGTGTATTATTGGTGGTGGGCATCATGCTAGTTGGCGGCTATGAGGCCTCTCAGCCAATCGCCTGTGCCCCTAGAGAACCACCTGCGGCCACCAAACACTGAAGAGCTCGGTGAGACATTGATTGATTGGGTGTTAGTACCGTGTCTGGTATAAAGTAGTATCGGAAGACGGTATGCAAGAGAGGATATTTATCGTCCAAAGTACTCGCGCCTCACTTGGTTTTCGTTCACGAATTTGACTCTTCATGCGTGATGTTGGTTAGGGAAGGAAAAAGACGAAGGAAGACAAATTGATTCAAATTGATTGATGGATCGAGACTAAAAGGTGGGGGTGGGGTCAACTATCTGATTACTAAGCTGACTAAGAAAGCAATGGTTTGTAGATCACGTGTCATGCAGCATTGTCACCCTTTTCCTACCACCAAAGAATTCAAAGCATCTATTTACTTTCAGCATCAACAAGATATTGTTACTTATATCTTACAACAATGGTTATTTCATCAGTCTACAAAGCTTCAGAATGACAATCAGTTTTTTTCAATGTAATATTTCGCTGCAAAGCATCCTTAACCACCCAGTACTCATAGAAGAAAAGATGGAACCTTGCCAGTGACAGAAAGCAGCTGAAAGATATTACATAATCAATTTGTAGGTAAATATCAATTGAAGCTTTCACTAACAACCCTATCCAAAATGAAGAATCAAGAAGTTATCGCAAGCCATAAATATCATCAACACCACCAATCAGGGTCCAACGCTCCATCAAAGTCCTTCTCCGTCCCCGATCGTAGACTGCTTCAGTAGAATCTGCTGCAGCGCCTTAAATTTAATCGGCTTCGTCAAAAACTGCGAAACACCCGCCTCCATCGCTTCCTTCCGCATATCCTCATTACCCACCCCAGTGATCGCGATGACATTCGCCGATGGCGCCGTCGCTCTGCCGGTAGCCCTCTTCTCGAGCTCGAACTCCCGGATTTGTCTTGTCGCCTCTAGACCATCCATAATCGGCATCTGGAGGTCCATGAGCACGAAGTCGAAGTGCTGCTGATCCGGCGCTTCTTTAAACTTGGTCACCGCCTCCAGGCCGTTAGTAGCCTCCACGTACGGTAACTCGATCTTGTTCATGAAGGTTACTAGGAGCTTGAGATTGATCGCGTTGTCGTCGACGAGAAGCATGCGGGGCAATTGAGCTGATAGGTCCCTGGACTGTGTGCGACTCCGCTGCGTCACCGAAAAGTTGGACATGTCACTAGTACGCGATATGGGGATGATTCTCTTGCCTAAAGGGATTTTCGGCTGCAATTGCTCCGTTTTCCACTTGAAATCTTTGAGTGATGGTCTACATGGCCCCTTGCCAGGACTAGGTGTCGCCGATGAAGAATTGGATTCGACCTCCACGGCGTCTCCTCTGCATCGTGCACTAGACGGAGAAGGTGTTCTAGAGCGCGCGTTTTGGATACCATCCTTTTTATTCTCCTCATTAGCTTCGAATCGCTGGATGCACTGTAACAGTACTTTTCCAAGCTTACGGACGCCCACAGGTTGGCTAATAACCTCGATTGTTCTACCAAGAGAAACGAGATCCTGAATACCAGCTGCTCGCAGTGCAGCGGCTTCGAAGGCATTCGTGCATATAACGAGCCAGGCTGGTTTGTCATATTCTCTCTCCTTCTCCCGACTTAAATGTTCCTCCACCAGACGTTCTATCGGTGGCGGCTCGGCATATATGTAGATTGCCGTCTCTTTGTTGGCCTCGGCGGAATCGGTTTCGACAATGGTCATATCGAACCAATCTCGGCAAAAAGTAGCAATAGAAGACTCGAGCACGGAGAGCTCTCTGTTAGGGCCTTCCCTGCTACCAATTACGGGGCCTAAGAGGCAAACCTTTTTTCCCTTGGTAGCTTTCATCGCGTCACGCAGGGCATCGCTCTGGACACCGTCACACGACCCTGTAGTAGCGATCTTCATCGGAATTGCAATATTGACATGTGTCCCGACTCCCTTCTCACTATCAACCCTGATCCCGCCCCCCATGTTTTGAACAATCTGAGATGTGATTGAGAGACCGAGTCCTGTACCTGGCATAAAAGAGTCTTCTTGCGTGAATGCCTTGAATAAATGGTTGGAAAGGAAGTTTTGGGACATGCCAATTCCCGTGTCCTTAATGGAAATTCCGACCTCGATATCGGATTTTGTCACTTGTTTCGACGTAAGTGACACGTCAATACACCCGGTCGTGCAGTACTTGATTGCATTGCCGACCACGTTCATGATGACGCGCCGAAGACCCCCTGTCTGCCCCTCCAAGCACCACGATTCCTGTTTTTGGATATGGAGAACTAAGAAAACTTTTCCAGAGAACTTATGGCTACCGGAGTGGATCAGTTCCCGAGTCGTTGATGAATCATCAATACCCATCGACTTTATTTGCGCGGTCGAATCGTTGACCGGATCATAATGTCGAAGATTTATCTTCCGAAAGGTTTGGCCGGCAAAAACTGCTTCGACGACCTCTTCAAGGAGGATGGCAAGGTCAAAGGTAGCCGATGGAGGTTCCTCGATGCCGTGTGTATTTTTCCACATCTTGCCATCTTTTGACCCCGTGAAGCGTGAGGAGCCCGCCCGGTTCAAGTTGTTGATTTTTGCATAATCAAGGAGATGGTCGATGGTATCTAATAATGTCTTACCGCACGTTTCCACTGCTCCTATGAGACTTGTCTGATAGGCTGAAGTCATTGTATCCTCCAAAAACTCCCCAGCTCCTAGGATACCTTGAAGAGGAGAGCGGAGTTCATGAGAGATTGAAGCAATAAACGTGGATTTCGCAATGTTAGTATTGATGACCTCCATGCTTGCTACCTCGCTCATCATGCACGACCCAAATGTCTTAAAATAGGGCAGTACATCGTCGGGGTCGCCCATCTTGAAGTCATCGCCCCAAACAAATCCTGCGGCAAACCACTTGCCTTGGGCATAATAGAAAAGCGGCAAAAATATCAACCATTTTGCGTCTGGTATGCAACTAAGAAGTTCCCGCGGCAATAGCTTATGGGGCGGCTCCTCTGCATTATTCATCGATGCATTCAGCACGAAATGGCTCGCACCGCCCCCAGCAATCACTTCATCGAAAGTAAAGGTTTGATCCGATACGACGCGTCCATTATTCAGGTAGAAACATTTACCGAATGGATAGCGTAGGATTAGCTTTTTCAGATTCTTTCGTTTCACCATACCTCGGCGGTGCCTATCGTCGGGACCATTCACGACAGTTGAGCTGAGTATATTCGCCATTTCATCAGGCCGATCACTGAAATTTGTCTGTGGTAGGCTAGTCCCGCATCCTGGGGAAAGTTCGTCATCTTTTTCAATAACATCACCATCAGTTTCCTCGTCCTCTGTAGATTCGAAATTGACATCTAAAACCAAAGAAGGGTCGTCATCGGCATGAGGTGAGACTCCTTCGGATTGACGAGAGAATAGGCCTGATGAGGCATCAGTGAATACACAACCGGAAGCATTAGCTTGCTGACAAAGCAATTGGGAGGCTTGGGCGAAGATTCTGCGAATATTGTCATCTGAAGAATTAGAGGTTTCTCTTCCTCTTCCTCTAGAGACGCGCTGTCTAGAAAATCGGGGTACTTGAACCCCATCAACTTGATCGCGTGAAGTACTGCCTCTTATACGAGAAATTGAGCTGGGCCTAGGCAGGGAGGTCGCTTTAGATTGACTAAGACGCCCTCGCGTAGGTTCCTTCTGAGGATCGGTTGCTTGAACATCCGATTGTCGCTTAGTATTATTATTAGGTGGTTGTACGAAACGGTCTGTCTTGCTGAGTTGGTATTTATATTCGGATAAGTCCTCTAGGAAATATGAGATGCCTCTCATAAAATCCCTCTCCGACACACGGCCAATCGCATCCACTATAATGTCCATGGTTAGTTGTTTTCATCTTTGACATACTTAACAAATAAATAGAGGTGTTACTCACTAACCCTCTCCAGATGGTCGGCAATAACTTGCGCTACGTCTCCCATAAACTGTGCCTCATCAAGAGTAATACCTTGAGGTCTCGGTTGAGTATCAGAGACTGCATAGACACCGATAGCGTACCCCTGTTTCGTGACAATCGGTACACCCGCATAGAATCTAACGCTGGCTCCAGATGTGACATACGGACGATGTTTAAAACGATCATCCTCCAAGGCGTCATTAACAACAAAGCCTGGCACCTCCACTTTTCGGCCCTCTCCGTCCTCGAATGTTGTCGAAGCCCCGAAAGCATGCTCATCCATGCAATCCTGCCGCGGAAGAGAGACGTTCCCAAGCCATATATGATCGTCAGGGGCGTGTCGCCTCTCATCAACGAGCGAAACGGTCTGGGTAGCTTCGGCAAGGATTATCTGCGTATTCGAGTCGATTAAAGAGACCATCCCGCGCTTCACGTTCAATCTTAAGGCAGCCAACTGAGCGAGTGCGGTAAGCGTCGTATCGTGAGAACATCGTACCGATCGGGTTTCATCGGGTCCCGTGTTTGCAGGAACTTGCTTCAGTTTCCTCGAGTCGAGCCACGGCTGGTGATATTTGTTGACATCAAGTTGTCGAGCTAGCTCGTCGGTGCTAACGCTCGAAGCGCGCCTCTTCATGGCAGCAGGCGGAACCATACCGATGTACAACCTAGGTCGATACTGAATTCCTAATATAAGATTCCTCGATACCTTTTAATATCCCTCCCAAAACTGGGCGGAGATACCCAAGGTTGATATCTACCGCCAGAAGCCCCTAATCCGGGCCTGGAAACAGAGTGTATTTATATGTCCAATAATTAAGAATTCGAAAAATAGCGGAGTAAGTAGGTAGATAATCATTGGAATTGTCTGGGGTTCCCAAACCTTTCAACTCATCTCAACTAATCCTGTGATGACATCAGAATGATAGAAAGCGAACCACTACAATGATATGGTTAAATGAGCCAGGTAAATCCCTGCAAAAGAAAAAGTCTAATATTTAAAATAGTTAGCCTCGATATTAATTATACAGATTCGCATGAATAATAATTACTACTAGAGATCTGGATGACTTGGGTATTGACCTAGCTATTCGGAGACTGGTTTGTCAAAGGTTTCCCTATCTTGGGATCGAGCCATTGAGAGACAAGGGACATGACTTTTATGCATGCTGCTGTCTCTTGGTGGTAAGACTTGAGAATTTTAAACAATAACAACGTTGATGTATTCCCCGTCGAGTATACATGATATTCCTCCCTCAAGTTGGTGATAATCAATAGATTCAATATTGTTGTTTCAACACTAAGATCGTTCACTTTTTGGAAAGGAGGATTACGTAACCCACTTTTATGGCGGGGAACGTTATAGATTTAGAGCGTAGGCACAGCGCTAAACCCCACCAACCTAGTAAGCTACAGCGCTCAATAGCGATCGTCTTTCTATAAGACTTGAATCGGATGCGCACCTCCAAAGCCTCAACTCCCATAACTACAATATATTCTACCTTACACACACTCAGCTTTATATCTCAATAGCTTTCTTAAACATTCAATTGAAAATATCTATCTTATATATTCGGTTGGTCCTCGACAACTCTACTTGATTGATATACCTTGCGTACACCCGTTCGCCTTCAAGATAGTTTATGAATAAAGTTATTGACATCTAACGATACACGCCTTATACGTGTGCAACTATTTCAACCTACAACAGCTTAACTAAAGTGTATCGTTCAATATCCCAGATTGAGACCTTTCGAAACAAATTCTTTCCAGCTTTATTATAAAAAAATTAATATAATATAAAGTTACAAAGTTATTAATGTCCTTGTCAAAAGCTTACTACCAAGGTAAACTACCTAGTACCTACTAGTGACTAAGGACAACTACGCGACACTAGGTATTCTGCCAACCCTTAGGGAGATACGCTCTGTTGTTAATAGCCCCGGAGGTGCTCATAGGGGAATTCAGGCGCTATAAGCCCTATATACTATAGCGCATCCCTGTTCTAGAAGTGGAGTAATTCATCTTTGAAAAAATCAATCTTACCGTTGGCGATCGGGGCGCGTGGGGCGTCGGTACAAAAGCAAGGGGGAGGGGGTACTTTCACAATTCAACCACTATTAAACACAAAGAGAATACGGAAATTCCTGTTGATTTCTTGTCTAGGTAGTTGGTATGAGTACGCGATCAAACAGTGACAGGTAAAATATCACCCTGCCTACCAACATTTAGCGGTACCCAGTAAACGGGCGAGTCATCTCTTCTTTCGTTGTTCTGCCTCTAAAAAACAAAAAGTGTCTATAGCGAGCCGATTACGTGTTTATAAAAGCGATAACGAGAAAGAGGGATTTATGACAACACCAACGACCTCGCCGTGCTTAACACGAACCTCGAATTAGGGGTCGATCTTCCCAACAGGCGCGTCACATTCCGGGCACTTAGGCATAGGAAACGTACCGTCTGCCACGGTAAATGGGTGGCCGTGGGCGCAGGTGTACCAAGGGTCAGTTCCGCTGAATCGTTTAGCCGTTTCCCTGTAGATGATGCGCCGTTCTTGCGCCGACATCCCACCATAAAAAACACCGCAATTAAGCATCTTCCCAACGCCGTCTAATTCCTTTCCGAGGTATGCGGCCGATCGATGCTCAGATACGATATTCTTCGCTTCTGAATAATGGGCTTTGGCCTTGGTTATGATGGCGTTAGATAAACCAACTGCCTCGAGATCACCGCGTTCCTTGGATGTAGCTAACTGTTGGATGAGAGCGATGAGTCGCGCAAAGAAGAGGTGGCCTTCCGCTTCTTGGACGACATAACCGGTCGCCTGCGCCAACTTAATCAACATCACACAGCTCTCGAGTGGTTGGTCCAACCAGAAGTGTATTGTGGCACCGTTCTCTGGCGCATCATTTCTCAACTTTATGAAGTCGCTCAACACCATAAGGTAACAACGGAAAAGTATGACCCTGGCTGAAAGCTCACCACAAGTCTGAACCCAAGAAGGATTGAAATCAGGTTGGCTTGTTACGCCTTTGATACGGCGAACCTCGACGCAGTCAAATACTCGTCTGTATGGCCTTTCTTCGTCTCTAATATGATCCATACGATTGAACATATCGAAGAAAAGAGCTATGATCTTCTTATATCGACCATTGTTGATCCAATTTTCAATGGCTATTATGTGCTCAAGCTGACGGCCGCCCACTTCATGCTTGCCTCCTTTGCTAAAGAATTCAAGAAGCTTCTCGGAATTATTCGGGTACTCTAGTCGTTGTTGCTCGTCTAGAAGGCGTCGTTCTAGCATAACCGATTGAGCATACGACCACCGAACGAATCTTCTAGTCGATTCATCCAGCAAGGCCTGACGGACTAATCTTCCATACCGGGAAATGTTCCGCAAACTTCCTCGGCATTTCGGGCAAGCTTTGATGGTAACGCTCGAAAGGGGTTTGTATGAACCCTTGATAGCGATGACCGTACCATCATCAAGACAGTCATAGTAGTCAGACATGCCTAAGTGGCTATCCATACTCGATACTGTCATCACATGGCCGCAATTTGGGAAGATGCAAGGGTCCGAGTCCAAATCAACGTCACGATACTCTCGGAGGTTGTTCATGTCCACCATAGTGCTCTTGATATTTTCAGATGCACAAACCTGACAATATTTTTCATCGGGACAGACCTCACCACAAAGAGATGGACCTAAATAATACTCTTAGCATTGATGTTTTCCACACTGTAGGAAAATAATTAACACTCACATTGATGACCACAAGGTTGTAAGACCTTCTTGCAACGTCTGGAGCATGGGATCCAATTGCATGGCGCCGCACACCTATTGAGTATTAGCATTAGCATCAACCTAGCATATTCGACTAAGTAAACTTACGGCATGGTACAACGGCTGTGGGGACATCTGGACGAGCATTTATCCATCTTGCAAGGAGCGCATCGCTCAGAACATTTCCCGCGGCAGATCATATGTTCGCATTGAACATCGCAATCCATATCACAAGGAGGACACTCCTCATTTGGATGACACGGTCGTGTACAGACATGACCGCAAGCGCCGTAGCTTCTACCGCAAATGCTCATGCAAGCTTGGTGAGTTTCCTCCACAACTCTCCCACCTTCGCGAACAATGCAAGTATTACAAGTACCTGGACATCTATGACCACATGAGAGAGTATGATCACACCGTGCGCGACATATAATGTCTCCGGCGGAGACATCCTCATGGCAAGGTACCTCCACACTATGATTGCAACCCGGCAAAGATATCTTCCTGCGTTGAGTGCATTTAATTTGTTCGGGCACCAAAGTCTGCCAGCATCGGGGAGAAGTCAAGAAGTGCCCACACGGTAGAGGGAGCCTTTTCCCTTCAAGTATTGTTGAGCAATCCTCTTCACATGGCTCTCCACAACGGTTCGAACAGTCGTGGCCACAGGGTTTATTCGACAACGAACATCGCTCATGGCATTTGGTGACCTTATGTAATTGTGCTGCATGGCACGTACTGGGGCACATATGGCCACACTCGAGTGTCTGGAGACATTGCGCATCGCAACCTCCTTCGGGAGATAATCGATCAAAGTCTTCAAGGCCTGATATCTCGATAAGTGTATCCTTGTGTCTTGGACATTGCAGGGGAAGGCTAGTGCCAAGATTCCCGGTCGATTTTAGTATGGAGATGATGTGTGACCACATAGGGGCTGCACCGTACGTATTCGAGTCTCCGAATATATACATCCCATGCTTAGCTCGTGAGAGAGTGACATTGATTCTGTTCGTAGATTTCATGAAACCACATTGCCAATCTGGGTTGCTTCGTACCAGGGAAATGATAACGATCTTCGCCTCTTCTCCCTGGAAGGTATCGACTGTCGCGAGCCGTACGCAGCTTCCTAAGTCTTGTTTGTAGACACTAGGAGCCTCCTCGAAACCTTCTTTCTGCAGGTCTTCGAGGTCTTCGTCTTCCATCACAACTTCAAACGATTCTTGAAGCCTATGTCTCAGCCTATGCAACTGACCAAGATATGGCGTAATGACCGCAATGTCGTCATGGCCGTAAACACCTTGGCGTACAAGATGAGATACGAAAGCGCAAATCATCTCAACCTCGAAATAGTTCGTCCGAGACGTATCCAACAGGCTATTTGGACTAAATGTTGATTCGGGATGTTCATGGTGGAACCAGTAGAGTCGCTTCTTCACCCCAGATACTTCGGGATAATCACTAACTTGCTCAGAATCTTTCAAGTTGTGGTAGATAGTGCTTCTGATCAGGTTGGAGATCGACGGGTGCATTCGCCTCTGTGTCCCAAGCATATCAAACGGTAGTTTCAAATCGGTTGGTTGGAAAGGCTTAACGAGCCTCTCAAAAAGAGACACGTCTAACGAGTATTGTTCTCCATGAGGATTTTCTACAGACAGCTCGTAGTTTTCAATGTGGGGACGCAATTGAAGATGATCCCCAATGAGGATGGCGTGTTCCACCGATGGGAGCAACGCTGTCAAGATGTGGCTCTCGAGAACTTCACCCGCTTCCTCGCAAAGTAGAACCTTGGAGTCAAGTTTTCGAAATACCTTCAGATTCTTGGCCAGACCCGTGGTTGTCGCGCCGATTATATCGGCATCTCGAAGTACGCGAAGGTCAACCTAGGCGAGAGGCTCCGTTAGTAATTGAGCAATCGTTAATCATAGAGCCTCAGTTTTGAGCAGAGACGATATTCAACTAAACGAGATATCAAACTTACTTCACTTAGGACCGTCTCATGTCTCTTCTTAGCATGCCAATGGTCGCGATGAAGAGAGATAAACTCGACTTCCAACTCAGATACGATGGCAGATACCCACATTTTGCCGAGAACGGATCGTTCCTGTTGGCTCAGTGTATTGGGATCTTGTTTCACTAGGAAATCGACTGCTCTGGGTGTATTCTCTGATACCATACCCGCGTCAACCCAGCGGCGTAAGTGGGCGTTATCATTCTCGGTGGTACTTGGAGTCCACTGACCCGGCTCCGTGTTAAATATCGCCTCATGGAATAGAATCGCCGTAGTCTTGATGTGCTCCTTTACCCCTTCGGAGACTAGTGATGTCCGTATCCCTTCTATGAATGTCTTCAATGCTTTCTCTGCTTTCTCTAATGCTGTAGCAGATTTCCATAATGCCGTTTTCTCGGATTTGGTGCGCTCTACTTCCTGTGCAACCTTGCGTAGGTTCACATTCTTAAGGATCGAAGACTGGGATCTCGAACCAATCCGGATAATCTGCTTCACTCCACCGTGCCAGAGATTTTCAAGAAGCTGGTCTAAGGCGTGGTTGGTGCGACAGACGCAGATGATAGGCCCAATTTCTGTCGTGCTCTTGTTCGCCAAAAGAACTTTGATAATTGCCTATACTCACTTAGTTATCTGTTTTATATATATCGTTGGTAACTTGATAGACAGGAAGAAGAGCTTACCTCACCAGTGTAACTTTTTCCTGTGCCCGGCGGTCCTTGGATTAATGCCAGGCTTCTCTTCAGTGCGTTCAAAAGAGCTAGAGCCTGCCCCTCATCTAGTCTGGATCGACGGGAAAGATCACGAGCGTTTAAGTTGTTTTTAGGTCCGAAAAGTGGGTTACTTCCATCAGATGTAAGACACTTCAAACTGAAGGCAAAGTTGGGTTTCGCCGTGTACAGAGGAGGCGGAATGGCAACTTGAGCCGGACTACCTGGTGCTGGTGCAAGAAGGTTAGTAAATGGAAGATCTAACGTCTTGGAGATCTGTTTAAGTGCGCTTAGAGTCGGCTTGAATGACGGCACCAACACTCCGGGGAACTCGACCAAGGATCTCTGGGTAGGTTTCTTTGATCCTATGGCGCGAAGCATTACTCTGAGATCCGTATCGCTGGGTTCGGCTAAGCTTAGGCTGACGTATGCGAAATCCGCATTACTGTGTAGATCGCGCTTTTCGACAGTTGGGCGATTTCGGATTCCGCTGGTGGGTTTACGGAGTGGGTCAATCTTAGGTCTGACGGTAGATTCAGAGACGGCACAGAATACGGCAGTGTCTCTTTCCAAGAAACAAACGAGAGCGCCGATCTCCAAGCGCTTCGACATGTTCCACCAGTCTCCACGCCCTTCAGGTGTCATTTCGCTCGCTGGTGGCGGCTGTTTGAGTCTCAGATGAAACTCAAGCCCACGCCTACGTGTACACGTAGTATCAACAACATCCACAATGCTGTACGAATACTTGCGACCATAGTTCTGTATCTCGTAAGATAGAGGTTTATCGCCGGGGTTTTCGAGAACTCGAAGCTCTTGGCTGATACCTTCCTTCAACTGCCCAACCGTATCTTCTCGAAGTAATCGAAAGTGACGATCGATTAACCCTTGAATTCCCGGTAAATGTAACTGGGAAAGTTCGCGCATTGGTCGATAATCTTGCCGGTCAGACATGAGTTCTGACATGGTTGGTAAAATCCGAATATTGCCTATATCTTCAAAGTCATTATCGTGGCGTGGTCCCCGCTTTGACAGAGCTCCGGGAAGATCAATGAACTGTGTGAAAGTAGCATGGTAAGGCAAATGAGGATTTGAGACAGCGCCTTGGGCAGCACTCTTCACCATACCGAGACGTGTTTGAATGTAGTCAAGACGCTTCGTCGCCTGTAGACTCCAAAAGCTACGGTCAAGCCCATCGATAACATCCCGTAGTTTACCAACTAGCCGCATAATTACTCCGTTCACTCCTTGGACATTGTAGTCAACTGTTCTGAACAGAATTGCGACGCAGAGTTCCAAGAATTGATCCTTAGATCCATCACCGACCTGGATAAACGGAGCCTTCCACTTGGCGGCCAGTCCAAGCAGAAAATTGAAAAGAATCTCAAGCCTAGTGGCATTGAACCCGACAACAACAGCATATATAGCTCCCGTTTGTGGTTCCAGTATCGCGGACCGCGCTACTCGCGGCTCGGTTAGTATCTGGAAAAAAGGTCGAATACAAGCTCTCCAAAGATTGATTCGTTCCATATCATTCTTGCAAAAAGGGATATGCTCATCTATCATCTCTCGGACAGAGATAATACCTTCTTCTGTCGCAAGTTCCGTGATTACACTCTGAACGGTGTCGGTATTTCCTTGTACGAGGGATTGTCCCTGTTGGAAGAAGTATGGCAATCTAGAGCCAAAGGAAGATGTGTTGTTTTGGGTCATTCGTGGAATGATCCTTCGCCATCTATAGAAGGCATCATCGTGATCCTGGGATTTCCTGTGAATAATTAGTATATTGAATAGGGAATAGTGTAAATATATATAAAGCAAAGATATAATAACCAAGGCAATAACTCACTGTTCTTGGGGTGCCATGGTCACTTGGTTACCCTGAGGATTTTCTCAGCAGAAGATGATGCGGGGAGTAGACTTGAGAGCAAGAGATGTCGAAAAAAGAGATTAAGTACAGGTTTGATGTACCTATAATGCTGGAGGCTCCTGGCTATTCCCTTGGAGCCTCCGTTTTGTGATTTGCAGTAGGATAAAGCAAAAGCGGCAAAGCAAAGGTGAGTGAATTTGGGGATGGAAAGTTTGTGAAGAGAAGGATGAAGAACCTTAGAATTATGAAGGAAAGGTTAAAGATGAAAAGGATCTGGTAAAGCGTGCCTGTGTTTATCAAGATTGATGCAGTGAACCGAATCACGGACAGAATCACCGGTTTACAGCACATAAAATCGAAGATAGCTCAGGAGTGTCATAGGTACCTGGGAATGTACTCGCCTCGTACAGAGCATGTATGTATACCTACCTAGTAAATACATACAGACTCAGTAGTATGTCCTAGAGATACTAGGTACCTAGGCAGTCAAGGCAAGTATCAAGTACGGATTCTCGGTCAGACACGAGTTCATAAGTCTTCAGCTAGACGAGATATTATCACGGGAATCTGCTGTATACACCGAGTTAGCCCAGTAATATAGGCGGTTCCCTAGTAGACACGCAGTATTCTGATGGCCAAGCTGTTTTAATGAATAGACGAAGTGACAAATTTCGAAAAGAAAATTTGATATATTTATTTTTCTGGTGCCGTTACATAGGTACCTACTAATAATCACTTTATTTATCTATCAGTAGCCATCCCGGTCTAGAAACAAAGCACCTAGTGATTTATAACTCACTTAGTAGTTAAGTAAGTGAAAGCCTTACTTAGAGAAAGTCTCTACTATGGGTTGCTAGTTAGTATAACAGCAGACTTTCAGCAAGAACCATGTAATCTGCAGAGTCTATATTCATTCTAGGCAGCTTTGAACCACCGCTCCTTCAGGTATACCTTGCTCAGGACTTCCTGTATATACATGTATAATGTGAATGCAGGTGTGGCTATATGTATTCCTTAGTTACTACATAGCTAAACGAGCCGACATGGGTTGTTAGGCGGCACATGCCTATATGATTAACGCTCGAGATATAACATTCCACTTATCCTTTAAAGGCACAAAAGTAGCAACATTTTCTAAGCCTCAATATTCATAAATTTGACGACATTCTCACGTAACTACTAATGATTACCTAAGTAAGTATTTGAAAACTATTTGACTATATCCGCGTGACTCGAATTAGCTAATTTTGTTTTATAGAGAGTTCCAGCATGACTTATAGGTCGTCCCGCGCGCAGACCTAGAAATTTGACAAATAGGTAATCTTGCTTACTAGAGGTAAATCCGATGAATATGCCTCGAGCGAACTCCGTGATGGTCCGGGTGGGGCCGCAGGCTCATCTAAGATACTGCGGCTACTTTTTAACCAGATAGCGAGCCGAATCCGGGTACAGACTTCGGGGTCGTATGGTTAAACTGATGCCTATTCAGATCCCAAGTAATTTTTGAAACCCCCGAATCCTAACGGACCGCTAGTTTTAGCACCCGTAATGAGGCTGCGTTCGTGAAGCTAATTTCCTGATTGGCTACGGCTTACGAGCTGGGTTGCCGTTTAAGATTGTGATTGGTCAGCCCTAGCATTGAGCTGATAGATATTTGCAGGGGAATAATCAATGATGGGGGTTCATTACCGAACTACTGGGAATCGCATTCCGGGTGCGTTGGAAATACGCCGTGGTCCCGATATTTGACATCAATCATGAAGTCCTACACGTGAAAACGAGATGGCGTAGCAGGGCACGTTCCTTTTTTTCTTCCTTCTCTTATTCTTCGAAATATTGGACTTAACGTTACGCCTCAAACAGATCTTCTACTTGCACCGTAGATCAGGTGAATCTATTTTTCTTCGAGGTACCTACAATAATACAGTCAACGCGAGTCGCGGTGACGGTGGGGGCCTCCGAATAAGAGGCAAGCGTAGAACGATATAAGTTGATCCCGCACACCCGTCAATATGGGATCTCAACACAAGAAGACAAGCAGAGATCTCATTCAGACTCGTCCTAGCACAGATCGCTCTCGGAATATCTTTGCGACTAAGAACAGTTCTGAAAACCACGGAGAAGCAAAAGATACAGAATCCAAAATGAGTGGATCGGAAAGCCAGCCGTGCACCTTCGCAGACGTCGCAGTCTCTTATCGCGTCTATATACTCGATGACCTCCTTGCAGAGCCTCAGGAGATTGTCCACGACTGGAGCCGGAACCTGCTTTACATAAGCCAACGTCACAGGCAGGGCAATAATTTTGCCCCTATCGAACTATCTCATGAAATCTCCATCTTCGATATTTCCATTGGCGACATTACTTCCACGATCGACATAAGCCCGTACACCGGCCCGCATTGTATGGAATTGGACGCAGCGTGCTCTTACATTCACGTTCACGTCGATGGGGGAACCATTTGGATTGATCCCGAGTCAAGACTAGTTACAAACTTCGAACCAGCGCAGAAAAGGAGACGCGAGGGGAGAACAAGCGAGGATTTTATTGCCGAAATCGACCTCAGGTCTGGAAAGATGCGCCAGAGAGTCAATGTCCCGGAGGGCGACAGACATTCTAGCGATGGACGCCACGTCACCTTTTCTGCCCCTGCAATTAGATTCGCAAGTAGATCGTCTAGCAGTGGACTTCCAGTGGTGGATGTTGCTAGCGATCCAGTCATCGACGCCATCAGAGCTAAATTCCCTGTTCGGACCATCTACGTCACATCTCGGAATATTATGTTGGTTTAAAGGGGCAATAGAATAGCATCGGGGTATCAATTTCACGCTACAGTTTAGAGGTTGGCAAAGTGGGAGTTAGTCCATGCTGGCATGGACTCGGGAAATATGGATGACTTAAAATATAGATGCGGTCTGGGATAGATATTTTACACTTCAATGTACTCATGTAGTTAGTATTTACTCTTGTTTTTTACAATAGACTGTTTTAACAATATTTCTTGCATGGTTCGGCTGAATATGAATATCACGTTATGCACATTCTATACATGATATCAATGTAAGTAAGCATGTTGATGTCTCTAGTAGGACGTCAGTTGCTGATTTTAGGCTTCGGTGAAGAATGAGCAATCCTCCGGTATAAGGAGGCGTTTCTCGTTTGATGGTACTCTTGGAACTGTTCATGACAAGGTTGCAAAATGATTTAACAACTTGTCGTTATAGATACGACGATCTCATAGGCCGATGCTATAGAAGTATACTATGTACTGACTAAGCCGGTATCTCGTGGCCTATACGGGTGGGTCTTGTTCAGCCCTATGAGCTGACCAGCCCCATCCTGCAGATCCTGGTCTAGCCAAATAAAACGTGAGATGTGCTTCCATTTCAATTTAGTGCGTACCCTAGCACGTGGCACGAGATCCCTCCGATTTACCAGATCAGATCGATTGGTATCCGTCTCATTGCCGATGGTAATATAAGCAAGCCTACGAAGGGAAGACGTTGTTGTTTCAGTGCGACCAACTAGGCGCCTAGATAAATTCTTATGGCGTTCCAGATTTTTAGCGATTTACCGGTCCTCACAGCGCCACATGACGAATGCATCTTACGGTCAGATATTTGAGAGCGAATCTTTTAAGACACTGCCGCAAGCCCCATCTAGGTATAGCCACATACGGGATTGTCAAATTCCATTTGATCCCCTTTACCAATGTTGAAGATACATATAATTGTTGCCGCCTAAAACATGAGGCTGTAATGAATGCATACATATTTCGCCAAAAGAAAATCCTAAATGACCCATACACATAAATAGAATACGATGCAGGTTCAACATTATAACCGCCATAAGCGAGCTGTATAGTACATCCATGGATTTGACAATTGCTGGTTTGCTTTATTACTAATCCCCCTGTCACATCTCGCGTATTATCGTGAGTCATCATACTTGGATAATTTATGCCTACCTAACATTTCCCACTCTGCGAAAATGTATTCTCGTATTCTATCCATAGTTAAAGGTATCCGGCCAACATAGTGGAAATCCTTCAAGTCTTAACTAAAGAGACTTTCAAGCGAGGTTCGCTTGTTGTTTTTTGCAGGATGTCACTAGCGATATTGCTCTGAGGTATAAAATGTATTCGAAGCAAATTGATATCCCTACGCATAGTACTAAAATACTAGGTAGTGGATACCGCTGCGGGACAATGCGATCAATCAATTGACCATGGACCAATTATAAGGAAGCCATAACCCGCTTACTACTCAGTAATAGTTATCCAATCAGGATGGCTTATTATAGCTTCTTGATCCACCCATATCGAAGCTGCCAACCTTGTAAGGATACTTTCAAACGCCCGTGAACCTGAAGGGTCAAACAATTCATTATTATTATCTTCGAAACGAGAATACGGATTATAATTTTTTATAATAGTTTCCTAGCTATACTATTATTACCTAACAGCTTTAGTATGGAAATGGACATACCTAGTACCTAGTAGCTACATAAGTGCAATTGCCTTCATTGCTGTATTTCACGGTTCAAAAGTATGTACCGCGTACTTTTTCTACTTCCTTCCGTCGAAATCCATGGCGGATGCCAGCTGCCAGCAGTTGCCGCGTAACAGGTGACAGGTCATATTATCGAGTTATGTAATCATGTAGCCAATCACGATAATAGGGCAAGCACGACTGATTTTGTTTCGGGCTGCCTTACTGGGTCGATCGATAACTTCATTCACCCTCGTTCGGTTGCCTCCCGCTTTACTTTCCGGCGTTTCAACACCAAACAAGTCATTCAAACAGATTGGTTCGCTGCCTTCCAACTCATATGCGCGCCAAGTGGTTCCAGTGAGAGGTCACAACACCAGCTGAACCCTTGACTCGTCAATCTGGTTACAGTGAACAGCATTAATTCACATCATACGGCGAATCTTTTATGGTACATATATTAAAAATAATGATTTACTCTCGTCAACTAACAACAAGTTTATCGTTCCCGTTATGTTCGTAACCCTTCCCCTTCGTCTCCTTCGTCCCCTTCGACGCCTACATCTGCCTTAGCTCCTCGACCACGTCACAGCGTGATACCTCCCGTGTCATTGAGGACTCCAAAGTCTTTCCGTTAATCTTACCTACATGTAGTTTTATTACAATACTCTATGAATCCCCTCCCCCCCCCACGAAATTACCATAGCACCCCATACTCGCAGATTCTAGCTATCACAATCCTTCTACTTCTTATACCTACAAATTCCGATATTTGAACTTCCTTGGCGTCCGATATCATATCAGGCAGAGTACCCAGATATTTCCCGCATACTATGATAATACATTCACATCAATGGATTTCAAAACCACCAGCACCCCACCTGGGGTTCTTGAGAGCCTCTTCAACCATATAGCTTTACCTGTGAAGTTACCACAAGAATCTGACTCTAGCATCGACGAAATTGAGCGTGCATTGGTAGATCGCTTAACCGTTGCTGCTAACCTAATGAGAGACGCCCAAGATCCTGCCTATTGGCGAATCTGGGACTCGCTCAGGCGCTCGCTTCAAATTTGCAAAGCTCTCAATATTGGCGGGAAGCTAGAAAGAAGCCAACTGAGTATACATCTGAAACAGCTTCGCGATTCCGATGTAATCATTCTTCATGTGGCAGCCCAGAATGCAGGCATTATCATTCACAAGCCTATTGAGTAAGTTGATCACATACCCTTCTCGTAAGTATCAAACTCACAATACTCCTACAGTCCAAAATTGAGAGGAAATATTCTATTTGAAACATTCGAGGCATCACCCAAGCGTGAATCCGTCCTGGCGTCCCAAACTCTTTCGTGGACGTTCCCCGGAACTGCCGTATTGGTACCTTCTTCGACATTCTACGACGATGCTTTTATCGACAGTCTTTCGGTATTCCTAGAGCAAGCTTCCGTCGAATCTACCCAGAAATTCTCCGAGTATGCGACGAAATCGGGGCACCAGGTCACCGAAAATAGGGAAAATGCAGATCCAGCCTTAATCACGTCTTTTCTCACCGCGGTCCTAGAGGCGAATGGCAAACGCATTTCACCCACACTCCTTCAGAAAAGGGTGAGAGATGATATTTGCTGGTCCAGCAATGCACCTTGGCGAAGGTTGCCATATTGGCTTGTTCTTCGAGTCGGTATAGCCCGCTATCTGGCAACCATTCTTGGTGGACCACACGGCCGAATCCAGTATAAGTTCTGGATGTGCATCATCCATGGTATAATACTCGATGATATCGAAGACATTGTTCCATTGGAGGATCAATCTTTCCTCAAGGCAAAACTATGTCGTCGCCTCTACAAGCTCGACCGAGACTGCTTAGAGCAACCGCAAATCATTCAGGAGGTTTACGGTAAATTGAACCGCGTGTTTACCCCTCTATTCAAAAAGACTCTAGAGGCTGTTGATTTTAGAATCAATGAAGTCTGGACTCAACAAAAGAAAGGAATGATTAGGCCTATTCCACCATTGCCTCGTCAAGCGAATCCAAAGGAGTTGTGCCTAAGTCTTTTTTCGAGTCGTGAATATCTAAACAATGCTCGTAAGAGGTTTCAAAATACGATACCATATAGGACAGCCCAACCTCTTACAACTCCCCATCAACCCAAAGTTCATATCCAAGCTACCAGTAATAAACTTCTTAAGCTTTTTGAAAAGGAAAAACAGATCCGATACACAGTTTCCGATTTATCCCTAGGTTCAATAAGCTTATCAGCACGGGTTCAGCAACTGCATGGAGTCATTCACGATTACATCGGCCAAATCAATGGCCAGTACGATGATAATGTGGAGCAGAAGTCGATCATGCTCCTTACCTTGATGGAGACATGGACGGCTCTTGACGATGCCGCGTGCAAAATGTTTCCTCTCTTATATGAATTTCACCCCGTCTTTACCGCTCGTTTATTGGAAATTCTCCGCCTCCCCTTACTATCCGACATCTCGCGTGCGCGTAAAGTTGAGTCATATATCCGAGGCCGTATATCTCGATCGGGAGACTGTCGGGCCACATTATTTGACGACCCATGCAAAGGCTGTTTCGCGGAGAGGTACTTCGACGGATCTTCAGGTTCTAGCCCACTCGCAAATATACTTGCCGAGATACAGTCCACTTCCGCGCAGCAACTAAAGGAGAAAGAACAAGAATGGCGTGAAATGAGTGCCGAATACGAGATGCTGACTAGAGAGTATGATTCTGCGACATGCGTCTACGTTCAGTCGATGGATGGGTTGTACCCGACACACGATCAGTACACCTGTCCAAAGTGTCAGTTAGATAAACGGAGATCCCGTATGACAATAAGAGCATTTGAGTCGCCGCTTCCTGAGAACACAGTAATGGCAAAGGCGATAGTGTTCGAACTCAGATGCCCTGAGGCGCTTGCTTCCTATCGCGATGCGACGTGGGCGATCTTACATGGCGTTGCGAAACCATCGCAGGAAGTGGGGATTAAACCCAGGATATGCTTACAAGACTATTCGGGGTTAAAGATGTACGCCAGAGTTCCTGGCAGTATATCTCTTGCATCTACGACGAAATCATGTAAGCTACAACACAGTTCGGTCTCTAATAGGGTTATTACTAACATCAGTTAGTCTTAATGACCCACTATAGGGGGAAGAAATTCCCCGTTGATCTCGATCAAGTGTGTTATCCGAACGGCCTCAAGTTATCGTATTTCGACCAGGCCTTTAAATCCTGGCCCGGCCATAGACCAGCACGCCCCACCTTTGAGCATCACTGCAAGTTATCGCTTCCGAAGAGTTCTCCATTCTCAAATCTCCTCGAGTCTCAGAGCTTTAATGCTTATGGCGATGGTCCATCCTCATACGAGATCGCCGCATCTCATTCACACTGTCCATCCAGTCTTAACCCACACGAATATACAGCCTTTCAATACCTCTTGTCTGGCAAACGTCGGCGGTGGATCACTATCTTGAGAGAGCTGGGATCATCAAATCTCAACCTATCTACAGAAACGACAACCATGTTGCTTGATCATCTAGCACATCAGATCGGTCCATCAGACGAGCACCACGAGCTACTTGGAGCTATCCATTATGTTTTCGAAGACATTTCTTTTTGTGAAGCCTTGCTACACCAGCTCAAGACAAAGCTAGAGGCCATTGCCTCTAATTGGCGCGAGACCCATCTAATGGAGATCGTCGTCATTTTGACTCTTAGATTGATTGCATTTACGGCACCGAGTACAAATCACTTGACAATAAAGTCGTTAGATCTGCTTTCTGAAGCTAGACAGATCACCTTACAGTGGGTAAGGATGTTACGAAAAGAGATGTATTCCACGGGCGATTTGGATAATAAGAGGAATTGCCAGTCATATCTTCTATGGGCTGCTCTTCTCTGTAAAAGAACATATGCTTCGCACCAGATTGAAATCAACCAATATCTCAAGGAGGAGGATATCTCTATATTTATCGAATGTAGTGCAACGGTCTACGACAATATCCCGGATAATATCGCCTCCCTCGGACAAATCATGAAGAATTCTTTCATCAGAGATCTAAGGATGATGTATGATTTAAAGGATAAAATACGGCAGTGGATTGAGAGGCACTCGGGGGGTCCTCTTCATGCTGCGCTTCGGAACCTGTGGCCGGCTGCCGCATCAAAATCGCTCTTTGCTATTACCTTTGAAAATGACGGGTGGATTCAAATTAGTTTGAATGATGTAATCGAAGGGTTAGGGAGCGCAAGCTACAATTATATATTTGGTATCTTGTTAGTGGATGGGGAACCACTCGGTGTAAGTATTTGGATCCTAGTCGGATTATCGTCTTGTATCAAACAATCTATACCTAGTACTAACCTTCGCCATTATAGAAACTCCCTACGGATCCAAAAAGCACGATAATCCTCGAGGAACTCTTTGGGAGCCAGACAAGTCTTATGAAATACCCCTCAACAAGTCCCGGAATGACTCATGGTACGTGTCCCCTCGTTTCTTTCCTTCTATCAACTTAGAATGGAAAGTTTCTGGCTAATTCGATGTTTGATCTAGTTTTGGCTTTTGAGAGGGAAGGTTATGAGACACATATTGGGTATGACGGCGCCGAGACTATAATTCGAGCCATTAAAGAGAACCGGGTCTTAGAACTGATCCCAAGAGAGAAGTTCCGCAACGGAAATCAGTTTGACCTCCCGGCACACCTTATTGATAACTGTATTCATTGGCTGTAAGTTAGCTAGTAAGCTTCAGGAAAATCCACCCCGCAGCTAACATTTGTAGCGACCCTGTTACCGGGATCCTCGAGATTCGGTCAAAAACCAAGAATATTTGGAAGTCCCACCCACACAACTGGAGACTAGATGTTACAACATCGACATGTTCACGATTTACGCCCGGTGCGAAGGGTAAAGAGACGCTGGTGGACCCCTATAGTCCACTATTCAACCGCGTGTCAAGAATATTTGCTTATTTCGAACATCCGATGCATTTGACAATCTACCAGCCGGGCGGCAAGTTTTCACCCACCGTCGAGATGCCTCGAATGCAGCTTAGGTGGTTTGTCAACAGAAACAAGTTACTACAATCTTCGCATCTCCAAGCCGAGATTGACCCTTCCCAATGTATTGACACTTGGTATGGGTTTGACAGTAAATTGGTTTGTCGCAGTTTGAAAAATCCCCAAGATCGCTTTGTTCTTGCGCCGTTGGGTTTACTCAGAGCAAGAAAGCGAGGTTGCCACGTTCAGGTGATCGTGCAGATCCCACACCCTCAAACACCATCTGCAAACTATATACGGTTTATGGTCAATACAACTCTCGGTCGCATTGATTGCGCCTCGGAGCCTGCACTTGTATATAAAAAAGCCGAGATACACGCACTCACCTCCTTCATTCTACCGGACCCCTTAACGGGCTTGACTGGAATTGAAAGCTCTCTATCCATTTTGACTTCGGGTATATCCCAACCATGGGCACCACTAACAGTCCTCCCAACAAACATACTATGCGCTCTTTCAAGACTCTCTCCGAAGCGGGAATACTATCCTGAAGACCTCAAGGTCATGAAGAAGGAGATCTGGAATCACGACTTACCCACCTTGGTCCAACGAGAAGAATTCCATATCTTAGCCGACAAGATCATCTCTCAATCTGATAGATTAGATGCCTTTCATCCCCAAAAGATGGAGACAGAAAAGCTATCATCATCCAGTGATACTCATCTAGACTTGCGCGCTCTACGCCGACGCCAGCATTATGAGAGATGCAGTTATGGACTATCCCTTGACACTCCGGATGATACTGTGTACGAATCAAGACACGATCCCCGCGCCAGTAGTTCGCGATATTCCAACGTCTTGGAGACGGCCGTTTTAATACGCAACAAACCAAGGTTCATGTCTACTGTGAGAGATCTTGCAGTGAATCTCTCCCAATCACTCGTAATAAAAGGGTACAATCAGGATTTCGACAAGATAACACTACATGATCGCCTCGAGGTTGATATACGTCGAGAATTCGGCCCACTTGTCAACGCTGTAAAAGATATACAAGGCCGATTTAAGCTCATGTTCTTTCTGGGGGTAATTTCGTTCCGATCGAACGCCAATATGCACTTGATTCGAACGCTGATTGCATTCGCTCACTGGGATGATCTTCAATCTTTGTCCCTTCCTCCTTATGATGAGTACTGCAGCTTCCGGCCACACCAAGTCCCGCAAATTGACGTTCTAGTCAAGCTTATCGAGCCATTCCAAGCACCACCTCCGGAAGATCCTCCCCTGATGGAATTTGCCAGCGGTAGAAACCAACGAAAGGTCTACCAGGCCAAGGCTGCCCATGCACAAAAAGCAAGCTCCGACTGTAAAAAGTTGGCACAAGCTCTAATACACGAATGGCCCACTCCCAATCTAAACGCAAAGCATACAGAAGATTCCTATCTAATAGACGTCCCCGCCGCTCTGAACCATGTGCGCCCCGAGTGGGAAAGAACATACCGGAACCATGAATTCTATATACACCTTCAAGCAGTACAGGAAATTCTGAACCAAAGACATTCGGATATCGAGTTTCAAAGGCCAGACTTTGTTCCTTCTGAGTTAATGTTTAATATCCAACAACCAGATTACAGGCTACCCACCCTAAGTCATGACATGATGGGAATGCCTATTCACAAAGTTAGGGCAAATATCACAAAACAACGCATCAATCCTGGGGGGGATGCACCACAGCCCAGGCTACCTTTCCGCAATAGTTCGACAGAAAAGGCTTCGTCGGAATTAGCGCAGATCATCGACGGATTCTCTCAATCCAAATCGGCTATTAAAAAAAGGTACGCGGCAGACTTGAAAGAGAGTTTAGCTGCTTTTAGAATCCACAGTTCTCAAGCCGCAGCTGTCTCAGCTTTGCCGTCATCTAATGACTATACAGTCAATCAACTGGAGGCATTTGTAAAATCAATCCTAGCTGAGATAGAATCTGCAGTAGAGCAACCAAATGTTGTATACTCTGCTAGACAAATACTTTGGCTGCAATATGGTCAACTATGGCCTGCTATCACTCGGATTACCCTTCTCGAGCAACTTCGAGCGACCACTAAGCGTTCATTCGGAACGGGGATGAAGGGAAGACTACTGGATTTCGCTTTATCGATTACAAGCTTGCAAAGACAGCTACGAATGCAGTCATACCAGAATTCAAATGAACACGCTCGTTACGAAGAAGAACGAATAAATACTGGTCATAGTAATTGGAGACCAGAAGACTATCCAGACTGGATTTTACTTGAAGTTGAATCAAACTTGCTGATTCGTGAAACTCAAGTTGAAGTCGCTCTAGCAATAATAGATCCAGAGTCAAAGGCCAATAGCGTCCTCCAGTTGAATATGGGACAAGGCAAGACATCGTGTATCATTCCGATGGCTGCGGTTTTACTTGCAGACGGCAAAAACCTTGTTCGGGTGTCTGTACCTAAAGCCCTACTGAAAACAACCGCTCAACTACTTCATGGTCGCCTGGGGGGTCTAGTTGGTAGAGAGATCAGCCATGTGCCTTTTTCTCGGAGAACTTCGACGAAGGAAGGCCATATCAAGTTATTTCACAGGCTGCATCGTGATATTCAGAGAAAGCACGGGATAATGCTTTGCCTTCCAGAACATCAAATGTCGTTCATGCTATCTGGTCTTCAACGGGTGCTTGACCAAGAGATTCCCGAAGCTAACATGATGGTTCGAGTCCAAGGGTGGATTCAATCATGTGCCCGGGACATTCTCGATGAGAGCGACCATACTCTCGCCGTCAAGACGCAGCTCATATATCCTTCCGGGTCACAGATGACTGTGGACGGGCATCCGCATCGATGGGTAGTGGTTGAACAAATTTTGGGCTTAATGGATATGCACCTATACGAGCTAGCCACCAGCTACCGATATTCAATCGAGGTTGTGAGACGCCCACATGGAGGGTTCCCTTTTGTCTTCTTCCTCCGACCAGATGTTGAGGAGGAACTGGTTATCCGCCTCAGGTATGATGTCTGTCGGGGTGCCAGAGGCATAATTCCAATTGATTCAATTGAACCGGCAGATCGCATTGCGATCAAGGAATTTCTCTCCAGTGGCAAAGTTCGGCAAGCAAGTTTGGATCGCATCAGCAGATTGTGTCCTGATCGACCCCATATAAGACAGACCATATACTTGCTTCGTGGATTGTTCGTTCATCGGATTCTTATAATGTCTCTTAAGAAACGATACGGCGTTCAATATGGACTTCACCCTTTGCGAGATCCGGTAGCAGTTCCTTTTCATGCAAAAGGAGTTCCAAGTGACCAATCTGAGTTTGGTCATGTCGATGTAAGTAAAGTTTTCCGTTCTCATACTGGTTCAAATGTTGTATAGTCCCAGGGATAAGCGTAATGCAAATACTGATTGATACCAGGTCGCTATCTTATTAACTGCCCTAGCCTTTTATTACTGCGGTATAAGTATATCGCAGACTCGTCAAGCTTTAGAAGCTGTCTTGAAGTCCGATGATCCTGCTTCCGAGTATGATAAATGGACCGAAGACGAAGATTTTCCAGATTACTTAAGAGACTGGCATTCAATCAACGTTGATGATTCTCAGCAAATGGGCCAAATCTGGAACAGCGTGCGATTCAAGGTGCCGGTGATCGATTATTTTATGAATAACTTTGTCTTTCCACCCCACGCAAAACAGTTCAAAGTTCGGTTGCAGTCCAACGGCTGGGACATACCTTTACCGTCTCATACCCAGTCTAGCCAACCAAATAAGAACAAGTCCCTGAATCAGTCAAGGGGACTGACTACCGGCTTCTCTGGTTAGTATCACATCATCCCTACCCCTCTCAACTCCCCCGTTCACCTTCAAATGAACCTAAATTGTTGACAACTCCCTTTACGCAGGCACAAATGACATCAAGCCACTCTTGCCCTTAACTATCAAGCAGGATGATTTGCCTGCGTTGTCTCATACAAATGCAGAGGTGCTCACATACCTCCTACAGCCTCGATCCAAAAGCTATAGTGTGATGGTCGACCAGAACCAAAAACGCATTAGTGAAATTTCATTTCTACATATGTTGAGAAGGCGCGATATCCGAATTCTCATTGATTCTGGAGCTCAAATTCTCGAACAATCAAACAAGGAGTTGGCCGAGAACTGGTTGAAGGTAGACGGTCGCGCAGTAGTGGCACTGTACTTCGAGGGCGATAGTCCATGGATCCTCTCAAAGCAAGGAACTAAGACCCCACTGCTTGCTTCGCCTTACGCAGACAACTTAAATGAAGTTCTAGTGTACCTTGATGAGGTATGTTTCTCATCCTATTGAATATCCATCCGAGATCTAAAGCTTACCTACTTTAACAAGGCCCATACGCGGGGAACTGATCTCAAGTTTGGTCAATACGCTCGCGCTGCCCTCACCCTAGGGTTATCCCAGACAAAGGATCATACAGTGCAAGGTACGTTTGCTAACGAACCAATTCAAACATACAACAAACCTAACCCGGTCTAGCTGCTATGAGACTCCGCCAACTCGGTACGACGCAGTCAGTGGCATTTTTCGCTCCGCCCGAGGTGAATCAAAGCATTCGAGATTTATGTGGTAAAGTGGATTCGGAGTGGATAAATTCATACGACGTGTAGGTTGAAATTATTATTTTCTATACTGATATAAAGACGCCATGTACCGCAGTTTATTAGAAGCAAGAACTAATGGGATTGCAGGATCCGCTGGCTCATCAGCAATACCTGTGATGGGATAGAGCAGCTGCAGCCTCTTTATTATTCTCAGGGTACAGATTACTGCAACCGAATGCAAGCAGCTGAGGATTTCCCAAATTTCCTAGTGGATGACGATCACAGAGCAGCCTTCATTAATGCTATTAAACACAAGGAACGACAGACCCTGCAACAACTGTACGGGCCTCAGTCTAGAGCCAAGGTAGACGCATCGGCAAAGACAAATCCAAAAATAGCAGGATTTGCCAAAGAGCTCGAGTCTCGAAAGAAGAACTTCCAAGACACTGGCCAAGCAGTCCATGCCTCAGCACTACAGGAAGTTGAACAGGAGCGAGAGATGGAGAATGAGGTTGAGGCTGTGCGACAAGTCAAAAAGCCGTTACCTTACACGCCTCACAAGTTCCCCGGTCTTCACAGGGATCTAGAAACCTTTGCCAGGACAGGTAGAATACCTGCCGGGTCGGACCATTTTATCCATATACTGAGAGCATTGGCAAGGACAGCGCTTGGGAGAAAATATAAGGTGAACTACGACATAAGCTCTTCGCAGCTTTTCATTTCGAGTGAATTCGAGCGGACTGTCAAGTTAATCATTGAATCGGCCAATGACAATTTTATGGTATTGCCCCACCCCTACCCCGCCCCCTATTTTACTACGTACCTAATCCCCCACATATAGCGCCCTGTACAGTGGATTCTCCATACAGGATCTCCCGAAGCTGCAATTGTTGTGACACCAGAGGAAGCCGAGCACCTAATTCAAATCATACAAGAGACAGAGAGGGGGGGACAGATTAGCCCAACCCGTCTTTTGACATATGCGGCACCTGTCACCCGACGAATGATGCACTTCAACAAGCTGAGCTTTTATTCTATGCCACCTATTTCTGGAGACTGGCAGCCTTCCGAATGGCTCGCTACCGAGCTTGGTTTCTTTGCAGGGAGGCTCTATTTCGACTGGTCAGAGTACCATAGCATCTGCAACATGCTTGGAATTGACTTGTCTACGCCTGGAATGGATGAGTTTGATAGTTCGGAGATGGATACTGACCAACAGACGGCCTCCGGCGAAGTATCGAGCGATCCAGATGGATCGCAAAGAGTCGCTTCTAATCCTAGGCCAAATTCCATACCAACAGGCCAGAAGCTCAAGGGTCTTACATCCAAGCCGTACACATTCACGCAGGAGTATCTAGCGGTTCGTCGACGCGGTCAGGACTTTACTCACACGCCAATGGGCTTCTTATGCAATGGAAAGCCGCTGAGCGAGGACAGCCCGTTCTTCCGCCGTGCAGATGCCGTGCGACGTCGCAAAGGTCTTGTTCCTGTTGGGATAACCCAGGCTGACAATACCGAGGAAGGAGGTGAAGAGGCGATGGATCTGGGAAACTATGATCCCTCGGCGGAGATCCAAGACGATGAGGACCAAATCACTATTGAGTATGATGAATCTGACATGCATCGGATGGAAGAGGAGGACACAGATAAATCAAGTACCGAAGCTCCATCTCCGAGCTCGATTCGTGGAAAGCGGTCGGCCAGGCGTAAAGGGAGGTAAAGGGGACTTGTTTCGATAATTTGTGGGTACTTGTCAGAGGAATTTGTACATGAATGATGAATGATGAATGATGTATATGAGGCGTAGAAGCCTTCAGAGCTGAAAGTTTTAGGGTCTGCGAATGGTAACTCTTATCTCACATGCGAGGGAATGAATGGTATTTTCCTCGTACCTCTGTTCTCTGTTCTTTCCGTAGTAGTTAGGAAGGTGATTAAATAAGAAAGGGGTGACTTCATACTGTATTGGGTTTAGGCTAAAACCAAGACCTAACGGCGCTATGATCGCGAAGTTCTAGTGGATAACCGTTATAATCTAGGGAGTTGAACCACTAAAGAAAGATGCCGCACGGTGCAAACCAATTTTGATATACACGGCCCTGAACTATTACCACCCCCACCATAAGAAGCGCAATCTTACCTTCCGTTGGTTTTCGCCCACTGCATTCCAAGGGACTTGGCGCCATTTAGCGCTAGAGTTATAGGCGGTCTTAGTGAGCCGTTATAGTGAGCCATTCCAGTCAATCCTTGGGCACCATTATCTTCAGCAACAGCTTAGCGACAGCTCAAGACAAAGCTTTATAACAACCTACTACCTAGGAGAGTGTATGTATGCTTACAATGCAGCGCATACGATGCAAATTATATCCAATGAGCGACCTTTTAATGGAGAATTCAATAATAAGATACCTTAATTACTTAGATATCAATCAAGTATGAATGCGGAGATGCTATCCATTTCTTAGCTATTGTCTAGGTACTATGTACAGAACATAAAAGCCCCTAGAATTAGCGCACTTAACCTAAAAATGGCCTCCCTTATGGTGGCTCCTCACCTCATAGAAAAACTTAAAACCTAAACCTTATCGCGAGAAAAAGAGCTCTTGGAAATCTTTACGTAAGCTCGCTTACATAGGCTCAGGCTCCCCATATACCACCTTTTACCCGTAATAAATCGGTAGAGCACTTTCACCTTAAAACCTCATTTTTTGGTTTTGGTGCGCCAACTTCTGCTTGTGACATAAGTATTTAAAACTTGAAACCCTCAACTTTTATAAAATAATTTAATAATCAAATTCTCTACAACCTTTACAACCTTTAAAATGCCTTCCACTACCGAATCCCAGAAATCGCAAACATCTTCGCCCGATAATAAAATAAGTCAAGAATCGGATAACAAGGATCCCGGATCTGATTCCAACACTAAGCAGAAGAGAATCAGAAGCATGACAAAGGAAGACATCAATAAATTATTCCAGGAAGCTTACGAACGGAATAGCAAGATGAGTCCTGAGGAAGAGGCAAAAGCATACCCATGGCTTAGTAAGTTCAAGTCATATATACCAGAATCAATTAATTAACAACTATAGAACAATGCAGGGAGGCTGTTCCGGTTACTGCCAACGAAGTGCCAGATCTCTGGGACGAAATATGATTAAATGTGTCGAGCGGAAGTTAACAGGTTTTTTCGCTCACATCGGTTTGCGTTCTATCGTCCAATTTATATGACACCATACAATAGAAGTTAATCTTCTCATGTTTGCTATAAACCAAGCAAACTACCTCGGTGGATATATTTGCGACAAGTCCAAAATTGTACGTCTCCAGCAGCACACGCATTTGGTTCTCTTCTTCTCTTCCACATAACGCGCTGTGATATACGCTATGCCGCATCAAACATCATGAAGGTAACAGAATCGAACGTATGAAAATGTCGCATCGTCACAAATCAGCTAATTTTCTTTCTTAAGACATACCTTCTTCTACTCGCCCTAGCTACTACCGCTATTAACGCGACGCCGACCGGTAAACGCACGGAAGACATTGTCAACACATCTTCCTCGCAGGCAGGCTACCATCCCGATTGTGGTACCCCGAACTCGACGAAACTGTGCCAGGAACGTTACTCTGTCAGCTGCAATGATGATGGTTCTCTGAATACTGGCAATTACTCGTATTGCGGCATTCAGGTTTGTAAATGCAAGCCCAACTAGATGCGTACAGAGCTTCAGGGGTGTCACGAGGCGGAACCAAAATACTAGGAAACAACGACGTTGTTGCGCGAGGAGCTCCTAACTACTCTCGCTATGGAGGACACGGTATATATACAGGTGAAGCTTTTTGTCTGTCCTGCTCCTGGACTCTACGGGCTGAATCCCGATCCCATAGACCTCTAGCTACCAACTTGGAGGAAGGTCAGATGTCTGACAGAATATATTGATAAATAATGTATCAAAAGGAATAGAAAATGCCCCTGCATTATCTCAAAGACCCATTAATCAAGACTTCTTCCCTCGCATCGGTACGATTACCTAAGCAATGAATTATGGAAATGTTAGGTAAGCAAAGGGGTGGTTGATTAGGTAATCCGTTATCAAGGGGCATTCATCGGGACGCGACAACAACTTTAAGCCTGCCTAGATACCTATGTCACGAAATGTTAATGGGCCATATAAATAAGTCTGATCCCTAGAGACATATCAACTAATCTCATCGTTGTGTCTATTTTCTTGACTTATTTCGAATTACAACGCATCACAGTGCAATTACAATCTGATGTTAACATTATGCAGCAAGTATATAACTAATCTTTTGATCTACAAAGACATATCGTATCCAGCTTGTGCTAACAATCGCCTCTATATCTACGTTTACTTACCTATCACCTCTCATTCCGCCTAGTTTACATAGACAATGCCACGCCTAGGATGATAGCAATAAATGTAGCAAGGAAGCCCTTCGACACAATCGAGTCAGGCCTGGCACCTTCACTCATGCAGGGCTCTCCATGTTTGTAATGGCTGTCCTGCATTTCCGGAAAGGCGTGGGCGGTCATGTTACGCTGCTGGCCGATGAAGCCAATAGAGTGGTTTTTAGGACCACCTAAGGGGCTATCGATGGTAGCAGCACTAGTGTGGTTATGGATTTCAGTGCAATTCGTCGGGTGGCTCATGCAAACTGAGATGAAGAGGATGACGAAGATACAGAAGATGTTGATGGGGGAGTAGATCTTTGAGGGAACCATTTTGACTGAGTTCTTCACGAAATTTGTAAGTTGTAGAATAGTTGAATAGTTACCTTGGTATAAGCGTTGGTTATTTCTCTTGCTGTGTTTTTGAATGATAGTCATAGAATCTTTTCGAGGATCCGTCAAATTTATAGAAATTCTGTTGTCCGTAGGAGGGCTTTGAGGTTGAATAATCTCCATTGTAGGGTATTATTGTATGTGCCTTCAAGGCGAACTCGACAATAGCATTATTAAGTGGTCAAAGGATTGTGAACAAGGTCTCTTTTATGTTCTTATCAAAGCGCAGCAAGCAATTTTTATCTTCTCTTGTTCTAGATGTCGACAATATTATTATCTTTTTACCGGAGATATGGAAATTCGTATGTGTACATATGAACCCCTTTTCAGAAAGGGGCGGAATGATACCTCCTTTGACAGGCCTTTCCATTCTCAAAGTAAAATTGCATAAGAAAGTATACGGTTACCTACAACATTGTTTATATACCTGTTTGGTGGCCGGGAAACCCACCAGTGTATCCACCTATGAGTCATCATCTCAGACCTTACCGTCGCTACAATCAACCGGAATATTTCCGGACTGCATGAGGGTTATATGGAATAATAAACAACATTCTCGCAACCGACCCCACAAAAAGGACGTATCCTGGGTGACATGAGGTTAGAGAAAACTTCGACGAGGCATGCCGATATGGCGGAGCGGGTAACTGCACTTGACGCCTAGGCTGGCCTGACTGGGTTTTTCGTAGGTTCTGAATTCAATTCAGCTCCCAGCTTTTTTTTAGCATTTCTATTTTTTTATTTTGCTCATGTTACTATATTACCAGCTGCATTCCATCGAATTTCTATTTCTCTTATCTATCTATATCTTCAAATATCAAATTTCACCCCCTATTCGATTTTACCACTTATTCTCCTTCCATTTACACGTTCAAGTATATGTTCTTCAAAGTCGACCAATAGAATGACGTCCGCAGGGGCGATACATCAACGTTCAACGCGGCTGTAGTACAATCAATGAGTACTCGGTCGTACTGTCGATCATGTGTAGTCACTTAGTCCTTACTTGGCGCTTATCAGGTTCTCAATTAGCGAGAAGCTGCAATGGGGCGATCTTTTCTCACGAATGAATCACTTCAGCTCAAACAGGAAGTAGATATCCAAGTCAGTACTTGTGGTGAGGCAGGTACTAGGTGAGTATCAACACCAACCGTCGTCACCTGTGATGATGGTGCTGTTACCTGTGCAACCGCGCGACCTACCTTTATCGAAGATGTTGACACTTAATATTCGTTGCGAATTTTCAACCTTGGAATCAACATCTTACGGTATACATTCGCTTTTTACCAAGTAAAGTTTCTCCAGCGCATGATTACCTATCATTTCGAGAATAGAAAGTATGTCGATATCTCGGGGTGCCAGCATCGAAAGCTTCCACCTCAGCAGATCTCCCGCTGATCGCGAACCACTATGGATTGAGAATGCCATGGAATGGATGGACGCTGAGCACAAGGACAGGGCTTTGTGGGAAGACATGCAGATAGAATGGGGGCGGCGGAAGATATCCGAATACACCATTTCCCTCCCCAATAATGCTTATGTGGTCAGCCACATCAACACGCAGGATCTACCGAGGCCAAAAATGAAACACAGAGATATTATCGTTGACAACTGGACGGCAGCGGGAGGAGAATTGGCTTCTCTTCAAAAGATCGCCGTTACCTTCATTACCAACAGCGAAGCCTATATCTGTATCGAAAGTGCTTTCAGTGAGAGAGGGATACCCCTGCCAGAGATAGGTTGGGCAGTAGTTGACTTGGTATGATCTGACTAGAATCTTCAAGATTACATGTAATCCAGTGATAAGCTAACTTTCGAGCAGTACGTCTAAATACGCATCTACCCCCTTTTTTTCTCTGCACACATATCTTCATCTTCATAACTTCGACAGGCACGCTAATGCAAAACAGTGATCGCAATAGCCCCGGATGGCGAACACTGGTTACAGGAAATCCATTCCTAGAAGGCCAGCAGAAGATGCTCAGAGAGTACAGACAGCAATTTAACCGCGCTAAGATCGGAAAAGTGACCGTCGCAGCCCATGAAAAGTCAGACATGATCGACATGTACCTCTTCAATATGGTGACACACCTCGTGCATCCTTCAAGTATTCCTCAAGAGGACCCTGAGCCTGAACCAGAAGCAGAACAGTCTCAGCCATACCCCTCGCAAGACTACCTTCACCAGCAATTTCCTCAGGGGATACAATTTTCTAATTGGAACAATGGTCGTTACTAAAGTACAGTGGAATTTTAAGCATATTTCTGGATGCGGTGGATTCGACAGGATAGATACCAAAGCATGTCATACTCTCAGCGAGTTTAGCGGAGTTCGGATTTTAAGGCATTCAGAATAAATGTACATGCCATTATCAATACAGCATCTACTTTACTCTCTCCTTTTTGAACAGATGTGTGCCTAATAAGAAAAAAAAAAGGCCAAACCCTTACTTCGGAATAGGAAGCTCTGCTTGTAACCTGAAGTCCCTCGAACTCGCTCCAACGTACGCCGTTTTGGGGTATTCGGTAACACGCCAGTCCTGAGCCTCAGTATCCCAGTTACTCAGGTCACGATACGTTAGATTGAACACGACCTTCTTCGTCTCTCCGGGGTCAAGGAATATCTCGTCGAATCCACGTAACACAGCTTTTGGCTCAGTAGGTCCACCGTGCGAAAGATACTAATTCACACGTTAGATAGACACGAAAAGGGGGCGGGGAAAAGAGGCACTCACAAGCTGCGGGATCTCAGCCCCAGCTACTTCCCCTATATTTGTAATGTCTGCGCTAACGACATATAGGACCTTGTATAGATCCGGGTTTCCACCTGACGGTCCTCCTGCCGGTAAAATCGGTTGAGCGGACCTGTTGTGACTGTTTTCCGGGATATTGGCCGTAGAATCGGGCAGAGTTGCATTATTGATATAGGGGTATATGAATCGTGGTATCTTTTCGAACCCATCCGGGGTTACCGCATTACGCGGGTCCGTATCTTGAAAACCGTACATGCCAGCTGGCGAAGTCTCTCCGCTCGCCGGTACATACGGCCCCACGTCCTGGAGCTCGGTCGTCAGACCCGAGTAATTAAAGTTGGTGTAGCTGAGCCCGAAGCCGAATTCGAAGCTAGGCTCGATTTCTTTCTGGTCGAAGTACCGGTAGTCGATAAACACGCCCTCGGAGAAATCCTGCTGCGGTTCGCGCGATGTTGAGTTCACTAGGATTTCGACACCCCAATCCTTCGCGTCTTTGCCCCAGGTGAACGGCGTACGTCCCTGTGGGTTCACTTTCCCGTATAATACGTCTACCAGCGAATTTCCTGATTCCTGCCCCGGAAGGCCTGCCCACACGATTGCGCTAACATTCGGATTCGTCTTGATGTGGTCGATCAGGACTGGGCCGACGCTGTGTATAACAACTACAGTATTGGAATTCTCTGATGCAACGGCTTGGATTAATTCATCACCGCCTTTCCAGAGTGTCAGGTTATTACGATCGCCAAAGTTGCCGTCGAGTGTCGTGTATCCCTCTCCCGCATCTGCATTAGCAAACACAATAGCAACCGACGCGTTTCTTGCGGCCGACTTGGCAGCTTCGAGGTCGAAGTTACTCTTGACATTGATGAATGCCGTGCCATCTTCTGTCGCTTGCTTTTCGAGGGCTGTGGCCGGTGAGATCAGATAGGGGTACTCCGCCGTCGCCGAACCCCACCCCATCGCAAGCGTTCCATTATTACAAATACGGTCGACGCAGCCGTTAGGCCCATCTGGGTTATCCTGTGCATCCTCGCCAATGACTGCGATCACCGTTTCCTCAATTAGAGGTAGTGCTTTGTCAATATTCTTCAGCAGAACGGTCGCCTTCGCTCCCATTTCGCGGATTAACTCGCCGTGCTTCCCTTGCACATCTACATGTTGATTCACGGTCGTATTCCCCATCTTGGCCGCCCAGTATCGCGGACCCTCGGTCTCATTGGTCCAGGACGAGTAATTGATGTCGATCTGCTTGGTGTCCCGGCCAACCTTATAAAAAGCAGCCATAATCCGAATAACCATATCGTCAAGTCTCCACTGCGGAATATCGATTCTGAGCATGGCTTCGGTTAAAGCACCTCCCCAGTACGTTGAGTAGCCTTCCGCTCCGAATCCTTCGCCGGGCATCGTCATATCCAGACCAGCAAGTGCACTTTCAACGCCGCTATGCTGAGCGCCCCAGTCGGAAACCACTAGATAATTCGAAAGTGTTTGATTAGTCGTGTTATCTTTCCCCCCTCTTTTTTTCAAATGCCCCAACCTTTGAAGGAAAAAAAGCGTACTCACCGAACCCCTGAAATCCCAACTCGCTCTTCAATAGCTTATTAAGTACGTACGAATTCTCGCACGCATAACTATTATTAATCTGATTATACGAACACATAACGCTCCCGACTCCCGCCCTCACAGCATCAGCGAACGGCCAGAGGTAAACCTCGTGCATGGTTTTGTCGTCGAGATTCGAACTAATGCCGCTGCGGAAGTGCTCTTGCTCGTTGAGCACGTAGTGCTTGACGCTGGCCACCACGCCCGCGTTCTGGTTCCCGATGATTGTCTCGGCGACTGCAACGCCGGATAGGTACGGGTCCGGCCCGAAGGCTTCGAAGTTGCGGCCGCCAGCGGGGTCGCGACCGAGGGGTCCGACGACGGGACCGAGGTGTACGTCTGCGACCAACTCATGTTTAGTCCCTCGCCATATACAATTAAAATGCGAGTTGATGTAAAGAAGTTCAACTGTCGTGTTAAGTAGTTAATAGAGATTTCTTACCAATCCCTTTCCCTCCGAATTCCTCACCCAACGCCTCACCCCTTTTTCGTAGTAGAGACCGTGACCAGGTTGCCGCTGCGCTAATACCCGCCGGGAAGACAGAATTGAGATCGGCTACCAATTCGCAGAGGTTAACATTTCATTCATTTGCATCCTCCCCTTTTACTCTTAATTAATCCTCAGATCCAGAAATTTGATCTCAACTTACTATACCGTACCCCCACCGGTCCATCTTGCAAGCACAAATGCCTAAACCCGATCCTCGGTACCGAACCTGTGTTCCCTGTACATAAGTCCGCTTGGTTTCCTGTGCCGGTCGTCAAGTTGACTTTCTCAAGCAACGTCAGCCCTCTAACGAACTCGCGAGCCTTTTCGTACGCCTCGTCCCATCCAGGACCACCTGTTCCCCATGGCGACGGGTAGTACGGTTCAAATGTGGCAAGCTGTGCGCGGCCGCGCGCCGCCAGGAAGAAGACGACAGCAGCGGAGATGCGCATCACGATTGTTGAGGAGGCACCTAAGCAGCGTTCTTTAACTAGCAAGTTTCTTCTCTTCGCAGTTAAAGCCGTTAATGGTAAAAAATTCTATTAAGTACGGCAAGCTGAAAAACAAGAATGAAGAAGGAATAGTATCGTTATTTCGAGTTCGAGGTGGAGGCGATCGCGCCATTCAGACCTACAGACGGAACCAATTACCGCATGTATTCCAAAGAACTAAAGTACAGCAGAGCAGAAATATATATGATCAATCAGATCGCATCTTCGGTTCTAATAACCGAACTTGAATTGCCTGATTGAGTTCGTTCATTTGCGGCAGAATGCAAGAGATCTACCGTCGGAGGATAAAGTCGAGTGTCGAGTGTCTCGGTACGACACATCTAGTAAAAACAGGTAGTTTCCCTGGTAATATGAGTTTTTAATTCAGTACTAAGCTTTTAAGACCGTATAAAGGAAGAAATAAATATGCTCATTAGTCGTCAACATGAAGTCTTACGTCGACGACGTGGTTGGGAATACCTCTACTATGCCACTCTCATAACTCCACAGTCCATAATAGCTGAAGGCTTGGTAGGTAGGTATCTGTACCGCAAGCACATGAATACGTACGATCTAAGCAAACTTGCTTGTAACGCTTCCAAAGAGCATCTTCCTCTTCTGCTGATTGACAAATTTGCCAACGTCATCGGCCCACTTCTGGCTTGCGTCGGCGGCGGAATCCATGCTATCATTCACCAGATTTAATTTCTCTGTTCTCTCGTTTAGTTGCCTAGTGAGGTATTCTCCCCAGCCTTCTTGACTCCCAGTCCCCGCGTATTCCGAGTTAGGTCCTGAATCAAGATTTCGCTCTATTGCTGCCGTCGCAGACATCATTCGCTTACTAGGAGGTCGATCGGGTCCGCCGATCAGGAGATCCAGATCCGTCGGGGAGACATACTGGGTGCCTGAAATCCATTGGACATTCGAAATAGTTGGCCTTGGCGGTACTTCCAGATCAGGGTTAACGAGTTTGTCGGCCGTGTTCTCTATCTCTTGGCCACTTCCCCATACCTGAAGAAGCGCAAGTTCGGATGGTCCTGTCCAGCAGAATACCTCCCCATCCTCAGTTATCGCCGAGTTACTGCCTCGGCTGCCATCCATCATAGGTAACGGATAACTTCCAAGTTCTTTGAGACCCGGTAGACTGAAGGCCCTTGTTATCCGGTCCCCGAACACACCCACCAACGCCATTCCGTGTAGTTCATATTCGGTCACCGTAGCAGCATCACAAAGGTAGTCGTCAAAAGACTTCGATGCTCCTTTCGCAGTTGCTGGTTTAAAAATGCGAGCTTCGCTTTGCGTGACTAGGAGAGAATTAGCGCTTACTGAAAATATCGTTCCGTACAAGGATAACTTACCGACTACAAGTAGGCCGCTTACATGCCTACCCTCTCGGAGTCCGGCAACTGCGTGGGCTGTAGCTAAGGCAGGTTTTCCGGTGTCCGCGACGATAGGACATATAGATACCACTTTATCATTGCAGTTAGCTACGCCAGCCAAGGTAGCATTATATCCATTTCCAGATGGCAATAACTTGAATGTGATGACCTTGCCCAAATTTGTGCCAACAAAACAACATATGCTAGAGTACTTGTCGTCGTCAAGTGTCATGACACCAAATTCAAATACTACCGGCCATTCTTTGCTAGCGGAAACGCTAGAGCGGCTTCTGAGAAACGAGGATCGTTTCTCTTGCTTTATGAACTCTGCCATAGATGCCTGGAACATGACCGATGGCCCTCGAAGGTCAATTATACTAATGAACCCATTCTCGGATCCAACAGCAAGGAAACCTGCGTCCGAAAGTTTTATGGCGCTAATTGACCCTTGCATCATCTCATACAATGAATACGGCATGAGTCCGCTCTTTAGGGACGGTTCAGCCCTAACACTGATATCTGAGATCCCACCAGGGTTCGGTTCGACGTGTTGATCTGGAGGGTTTCCGAAGTACTTATTGCTATCCCATCTGTAGATGACTACCTCGCCCTTGCTAGTGCCAACCGCAAATTCACCCGTGGTAGAAGCCAGGGTCATGGCTGTGATCCCCACGTCTTCATAACGGTTAAGGGCTCTAGCAATATCGACCTGTAACTGTGAGGGGTTCTCGATTTCATCGCCATGGCCCACATCCCAAATTCGAATCGTGCTATCCGCATGAGCAACTTGGATGATAGTCCGCCCTTCGAATCGTCGGCGTGGGTGTGGTGCCTGTGCGCCTCCCTTCAGCAGCGGCTCACCTTGACTTCGGTTCTCGACCATTCCAAGCCACCTACCACGATCGAGGGTAGTAACTGCGAAGTGTGTGGCAAATGGGTGAACGAAGGATATGGATGGGTGGAGTTGATTTGTTGGCGAAATAGGATAGCCACTTGGAAAACTCAATGTGAGGAGTTCTCCCGATGCGAGCAATGTCATCACGGCAATTGGGTCCTGGGAACCAGCGAAATGGGGCGATAGACGAGGAATCAAGAAGAAGTTGGTGATCTCGACTCCAGGAGGGGTCTCTAACGCATTCGTGCGTTTACCTTTCGTATATTCCGATAGAATTTGCCACGACGAAGTAGCATAGTTAGGCGTAATTCCAAGATCAATGAAGGTCAGCCCATTAGAAGGTTCATCCAACTTCTGGCCACCTGCAATAAGTAGTCCACTATCTTCTGGGTTCTGTTTACAGCACCAGGCAATGCGTACGTACGGATGTTTTGGTGCTGAGGACCCTGGATTTGGCACTGGTTGATCGACATTAGTTTCAAAGAATGTTCGCGCCATAACTACACGCCCATCCTTAGCATCCCAGAACACTAAACTGCCGTCCTCGTGGGCGGTTAGTATGAAGGTGCCGGTAGGATGCCATAAGGCATGAGTGACCTTTGGTCGTCTCATAGACTCGACCATGGCGCCCGAACCACCCGGGGCCCCCGGCGGGACTTGATATTCGAAAAACTTATTAGGTATATTCTGTTTGAATGAGTAAACGACCACCCCGTGAGTATAAGCGATTAACAATTTGCCTATATCGCGTGGATGTAACTGCATTGACACTAAGGCGACAGCCCTTGTCTTGGGATCTTTCTCCGTCCAGAAATTGGGAAGGCGAAAGGACGACATACGTTCCCGGTCCAGATCATATGCGCATATCTCGCCTGTTTGCATGCCCAAGAAGCACCAATCTAACATAGGGTCGGTAACCATACACGAGACGACACCTGGGGCACGGAAGCCAGTAATGCGTTTACCGGTATCCAGATTCCATATCGCTACCTCGTTCTTGGTATCGAGGCTGACCAAGCGGTTTGCGCAGAACTGGATATCTGCGAAAGAACATGACCGAGACGGAACCAGCAACTTCTGGACACGGTTTTGACCGAAGACATATATCCTTCCACTTCCAAATTTAGACTCATTTGTGCCGAGGGCGAGAAGAGATTGGATAGGCTCATAGGCGATGCAGCTACATGAATAGACTATGGTTAGATTCGATGACTAATTACAGCATACTTAACTGATAGCTCAACATGGAGAACTGGGAACTGGGTAGTAGATATAAAATAGTGGTTCGTGACGGGTTGATGATTATGTCCGACATTAGTCGATGAGTTGAGTTTGTGAATGGCATACCTAATCTGGGAATTGATTCCGTATCGCGCACGATCATCCGGCGCAAATGAACCCGGGATTATGTTCGCCGACAGGTCATTTTGCATACCCGCCTGCTTCCCTCGAAAAAAGGTCGCCATGATTTTGATGGATCTTTTGGCTGTTAGTATTGGGAGAATGCTACTTCAAGTAACTATCTCATGTAACTAAAAACTTTCAGACTTTAGGACAAAGATAGTTCGAGGCTGCCTGTTCCAGGACCCTGATGAACATACGTCATCGCTATTTTGAAACAGTCCAAACTTTGAAGACCCCGCAATAACCGGTAACCCGGCACTGAGCAACTACTTTATTATGTAAGTAATTATGTAAGGAAGTTTATGTATAACGTAATCACTTTTGTGATCTTTTATGTAAGCATTTTAATCCGAGGAGGTCTGGCATGTAAGCAATGTACGTAAGCATGTTATGTCAGCAATTAATGATGCTGTCAGATACACTTTTCTCTCCTTGTATCTGTCATGTGGAATTAGGTATTTCAGGTGGTCTGTGCTGAATAGCTATCCTGTCTGTGCTTTGGAGATATTGTCAAAATCTGGTTACTCACGTGACCTCACTGAGACAAGAAGAACTTTTCCTAAGAGTTTCTGTTTGTAATAATAGAATTAGAACAAGATACATCTTTCATCAATAATTGAATGCTTCAATCCAACAGATGCATTCAATTCACAGAATATCATTGCTATGACTTTTCTCTTATGATTATCGCTGCATTGTGCCAGATACATTAGATACTTAATTTACATACCTACTTCTAAAAACTTCCATGATTTCTGTTTCTATAAAGGAAGATTGAGTTCCATGTTCTTAACTACCATTCGTACCTACTTACTAGGTTATGTAACTCTTCTCTCGAAAAATACTACTAAATATTCCTCCAGCATACCAAGTAGGAACAGTAGCAGATCCTCCTTAAGGACGTCTTAGCATAAAAGTAAATTTCATGAAATAACCTCGTCCTTTAACTGCGACCATAGCAGCATGGGTGTTACTTAATTCGGCGAGTGGCTTAATCACCTCCAATGATGTGAGAGTATCGCTTTAGTGCTGTATGGGGGTGAAGCAGACTCATCACATTCATATTCACGTTAATATTCACACCAGATAGCAGCAGCTTAGATAACTCTCTAGCTTGCACTTTTAGTATTCGTGACTTTACGGAATTGGGAGTTCTTCCTTCATCAACTTTCTCATCAAAATTTATTCACTCCAAACGAATCTAATATCCATCAAGATGCCGTTCATTCCGGGGGACAATGGTAGTAAGTAACTCTGCCTAGCCCCGAGGCCTAGTTTAACGTCTAATGATGGTAGTTGCCGATTCCAGAGTTGCGAGCGGAAACACAGGTCCAACAAGCTCTCGGAAGCGAGTAAGGGACGTAAGTTTCTTCCATGCTTCGCCTAGGTCCTTGGCGTTTAGATACCTAGAGAAACCACCGCTGACTATATCAGTCTGACTGTGAAGCTCCACGGGCCAAGGTTGCGAAAACAGGTCAAGAGGATGATAAGCTAGCAGATCTCAAGTCGAGCCTCGCAAATGCCGCGACGATACTTGATGCCGCCATGTCGGAGATCCGTGAAACCAAGGCGGATATCAAGCAACGCAAGATCCATTTAAAGGGGCTCATCGCCGAATTCCACGACGTCACGGCCATGGTCACAGAGCGAAGTGTAGCCTACATGGCTAGCCTCAGAGAGGAAAAACTTAAGAAGGAGAACGCAAGCTTAAGAGATCGCATTAAGAGACTGGAAGAAGCCTCACCAGATGAGATAAAGAGGGAAATAGACCAAGAATCACGTTCGCGACGCCGCGCCAAATCATATGGCTGCAAGGCATCTATCGATGACCCTGATGTTAACGATAAGGCACCCAAACAAGGGGAGTGAGGACTAACTACCAAGAATGTGGTATGGAGCCTCTTTTGCTAGAGTTGGAGAACGAGACCAATAGGGATAGTAGTTAGAGCCACTCGTGTGGTACCACAATCTTTTAAGTTGGTACGAGATACCCTCAGGGGCAAATAGATGTCTAAGCAATGAGGGGTATTCTCGGTCGAGTTACTCGGTTACTTCTCAGTTATGTGCGATATCAATACAGTTCTTTCGCTCGTAATGTTGTGTTGTCATCTTGGCCTAATCTTTTATCTCTTCCTTGACCGAGTTCGAGCATAATCCATTCATAAACAGCCCACTGGACCGCGTTGACAATGAAGGCCCTGACGCTGCATACGGTCAATCCTCTGAAAAATACTCGCGCGCCTCCTTCTCTATACGCGTTTATAGCGGTATCAACGGCACCCAAGCGTCTTTGTCCGGAGAGAGAACCAAGCAGAGGCGTTGTTTCCGCGCCGAAAGTTTGCGCCTGAACCCTAGTCTTGATCACATCAAGGGGAAATATGCTAGCCCAAGTGACGACGCCAGCCAAGCCCCCGCAAAGCAAGACCTTCGCGGCGTCTTGTGAGAAAGCCGAGGCGTTCGGCCGATTAGACTCGACCCATTTGCTACTCAGCTCATAAGACCAGAAGTAAAATCCATATCCGATACTATCCCTCAATGCTGTAATGACACCACCGAAGTACAAACCCCTGATGCCTTCGGTTTTGAGGACTTGCCTAGCGATGGTCCAGCTTGACTCGGGGGGTGAAGACAATTGAGCACGACATTTTATGAGCTCGGTAGGAGTGCTCACAACCCATGTAGCAAGCCCACCGATGGCACCAGCCAGCCACGTCGTCCAAAGATTCGATTGGGTACTAAATGCGGTATTGAGAGCCGCTTCGCTACGGTTATATGAGACGAATAGTAGAGCATTCAAGGCGCCGTACCCGAGCACGGGTGCTGCGGTTCCGGCGACCAAAGCCGATTTGCTCTCGAACTGTCGCACATATGACGTGGCGGTCTGAGTGGCTATCGTATCGCGAGCTTGTAGCCGCACTTTGATGAGATCTAGCGGGTTGCCGATTAATATGCCAACAGCTCCGCTGATGTACCCGGCCCAGAAGTCAGCGGACATACTCTAGCGTTTGCTATACAAAGTTCTTGTCCCCTCCAGGTCATACACAGCTCGCTAGAAATAAGGGGGTGGCGTGGATACCTATATGTACCAAGTAGATAAGAACAAAGACTTGAGGGGTTAAAAGACGGATTTATCAACCGATATGAAGTACCCATGCAATGATAAGCGCGAATTATGTCAGATTTTCCGAAGACATATGAATGCCATTGATAAAGATTCGAATCTAATAGGCCTAGAAGACAAAATCAATATAGCCATTTACTTACCAAATAAACCCCGCTATGGATATAAGAGTAAACCCCTTAATACAGACTCCATCTCCCATGTGATAGCGCTTCAACGCGGGGGGAGAAATGGAGCTAACTCTAAAGAGCGGAGTTTAGTTGTAATAGCTTCAAGGTTCCTGGATTAGCGGAGAGATCACGTCGTAAACTACGCGGTATACTTGGTTAGGTAGGCATCGGCCTGCGAATCGATAAGATAAGACATCCATATTTGCTTTCTAAAAGCTGGAATAAATATATATTTAGGTTTGGAAAGTTACTCGAATAGAAAGAAGCAAATGACGATCAATTCGGAGATGGAGTTGGAGCCAATTATATTATTACGTAATAGTAGCAAAACACCCTGGCATCATACAAGATCATGTGACTTGGTGTCAATTCCCCGCTAGATACGGGAGCGGCGCGTCGCGCTTTCCAGAAGTCAACAATATGCCGGATTGTTAATTGAATTGATTTCTAATTCGCCGAAACCTTGAAACCCAAATGACAACCTTAGAAATCTGCGACCTAAAATCTAAAACTTGATCTTCTTCGCTACAGTGTACCTTTGAAGAGGCTCTACCTTGAATAGCTTCTCTTCTAAGGAGCACTTAGCAAAATGTATTCAGCATATCCCTCAATACCGTTATCTAGCAGTCTAGTTACTAATGTCGCATAGGGCGAGCACTCCTTCTACTCCCATGGCCAAGCCGAATAACGCACCGGGAAAACGTCTTCATTCGCAGAAGTCCGTAGACCAATTACATAAACCATTCAAATGCCCAGGCTCTGCTACGAGAACTCCAGCCACCGATCGTCCAGCTCGAAAACGAAAGAGGGTTGATTATAAAGGTGCTGGTGGCGATGACGATGGGGACAAACCATACACGAATGCCGACAGATTAGCTTTGGCGAATCGAGATGTGAACCGATTCCCTGTTTTTCAAGCCAAGGATAAAGACAAGGTCTTCAGAAAGGCATTTTGTGTGCCTTTAATCAATAAGAATAGCTCAGCCTATAATCCGAATCGCCCGCCTCCAACACTTGGTCTGAGACAGGGAGCTGTTTTCGTCGCGAAACCATTGCACGATCCAAGTGGAGAGTTCTCAATCGTTCTTCATGATCCGACTGTCGATGATAAACCAAAAGTACCAGACAAACCAAAAGAAGATGAGGCTAAAGAGATGACCAAGGAAGAGTTGGATGCACCACTAGTCCATAAAAGTCTGGCCGAGATTCTAGGTATCAGGAAGAAAGTTGACAATGAACATCCGAGAGTACCAGTTGTCATCGATCCGAGGCTTGCCAAGGTGTTACGACCACATCAGATCGAAGGTGTCAAATTCATGTACAAATGTGTCACTGGCATGATTGATGAGAAGGCCAATGGTTGCATTATGGCCGACGAAATGGGTCTGGGAAAGACGCTACAGTGTATCACACTTCTCTGGACTCTCCTCAAGCAATCACCAGATGCCGGCAAGACGACTATTCAGAAAGCGATCGTCGCTTGTCCCTCCAGTTTGGTCCGAAATTGGGCCAATGAGCTTACCAAGTGGCTTGGTGCAGATGCCATCACACCCTTTGCAATCGACGGCAAAGCATCCAAGGAGGAATTGACCAGACAACTACGCCAATGGGCTATTTCAACCGGTCGTGCGGTCACCCGACCGGTTATTATCGTTTCCTACGAGACACTTCGACTAAATGTTGAGGAACTCAAGCACACTCAAATCGGACTGATGTTGTGCGACGAAGGTCATCGGCTAAAGAATGGAGATAGTCAGACCTTTACCGCTTTAAATAACCTCAGGGTCACTAGGCGAGTAATTCTTTCTGGTACACCTATCCAGAATGACCTTTCGGAATACTTTTCTCTCATCAGCTTTGCCAATCCCGGTTTACTTGGTAATCGGCTCGAATTCCGAAAGCGATTCGAGCTCCCCATTCTACGAGGCCGAGATGCAGATGCTGGTGAAGCCGAACGCAAAAAGGGAGATGAATGTCTGACTGAGTTACTCGGTGTCGTCAACAAATTCATCATCCGACGTACGAACGATATTTTATCAAAGTACCTCCCCGTCAAATACGAGCATGTCGTATTCTGCAATCTAGCTCCGTTCCAGTTAGATCTATACAACTACTTCATCAAAAGTCCAGATATCCAAGCTCTCTTGCGTGGTAAAGGAAGCCAACCTTTGAAGGCTATCACTTTGCTCAAGAAGCTTTGCAATCACCCAGATCTACTAAATCTATCAGATGACTTACCAGGTTGCGAAAAATTCTGGCCAGAAGATTATGCTCCCAAAGACTCCCGCGGTCGTGACCGTGACATCAAGCCCTGGTATTCCGGCAAGATGCAGGTGCTCGACCGCATGCTTGCGCGTATCCGACAAGACACAAACGACAAGATCGTCCTCATCAGTAACTATACCACAACCCTCGACCTCTTTGCTCAACTTTGTCGTCATCGTGGATACGGCAATCTACGTCTCGACGGCACGATGAATGTCAACAAGCGCCAGAAGCTTGTCGACAGATTCAATGATCCAGACGGCGATGAGTTCGTGTTCTTGCTATCCAGCAAAGCCGGTGGATGCGGTCTCAATCTCATCGGTGCTAACCGACTTGTGCTCTTCGACCCTGACTGGAATCCGGCTGCCGATCAGCAAGCTCTAGCTCGTGTCTGGCGTGACGGGCAGAAGAAGGATTGTTTTGTCTACCGTTTCATCGCAACCGGAACCATCGAGGAGAAGATCTTCCAGCGTCAATCCCACAAACAGTCGCTATCATCCTGCGTCGTCGACTCAGCTGAAGACGTAGAGCGCCACTTCTCCCTGGATAGTCTTCGAGAACTTTTCCAGTACAGACCGGACACGTTGAGCGATACGCACGAAACTTTCAAGTGCAAGCGATGCAAGCCAGATGGCAAGCAATACATAAAAGCGCAGGCCATGCTCTACGGTGATACTAGCACCTGGAACCACTTTGTCAACAAGGACTTGATGCCCATACAAGATCTACTACTACGTCAAGAGTGTGGGGAGAACGAAGTATCTGCTGTATTTCAGTATATCTCGCATTAGGCTACGTTTTACTTTTTGGAGTCAGATCGAAGAAGAGGTAGCTTTCTTTGCTTCGCTCTCTATGATGATAGATTTGGCACGGTGTATTCGAATGATGAGCTACAAGACGGAGTGATGGCATGACGCATTTGCTGGTGTTTGGGATGATGGTTTTTTGGCTCCTTGCTTCACGGGTTCCAAAGGTACAACATAGCATGGTGTTAGCTAGGTACATACTGCTTCAATAAAACTACCTAAATTTTGAATTGAAATGTCTTCGTGTATGGACTTTTCAAGTGTACACACCTAGGAATAATTGATGAGGATAGATGGCTCGTACACCGCATTCTTATCTTATTTCGACTCTCGGCTTTGTACAATATCAAATATAAAATATTCCCCCTTTTATTACGACACTGTCATCTCATATTTATCTATCTACACAACCGCATGGGAAAGATTTGGTGGGAGTCGTTATGAGACCAGTTTTCTCAAAGTATCGAATAAAATACTCTTACGACGCCAATTGCACATAATACCTCCTCATAATATCCAAAGCAGTTTATTAGAAACAAGCTAAGTTGTACAATACACACATTCCCATCTCTAGCCAAGGCATTCCATCATTCATTCAATACGTCTAGATGATACCGAAAAACACCAATGTCAAATATTCAATAAGTCTATCAACGAATTGACGAGAAGAGATCCAAGCCTCATCAAAATTCCATATCGGGCACGCTGATATTTCACCACCCTCGCGATGGAACCCGTCTCCCACGAAGGCTCGTGCTACGCCTAGGTACATCATTCATTAGGTCCAACCACAAGTAACGCCCTAGTCTTGCCATGCTATAAAGAATCTTTTTGATGTGATGCCCAGCCCTAGCTTCTATCCAACAGGCCGCAACGGCTTCGCCCGACCCTATCATGCTATTCGACATATCGTCCTTCCTGGGCATGAAAAAAGATTTCGTTTGATTCGTGGGCGTTTTAACAAAAGTGGTATCATGATAAAAACTGAGAAACCCGCATCCATTCTATACTAAGCAAGATGTGTTCGATCCATTACATAACAACCTAAATCCCAAAGAGTTAATATATGCTGTTACTATGGAAGTATGAGGTGTGGCATAAGATAAGAAGGAACTTACGCAATCGTTGTCTTGCTTTCCAGGAGGAATACCCATGGCTTCAAAAGTAGCAGGACCGCTAGGCTTGGCCGCGGGTTTTGAAGCCGGTGCAGACGCTGCTGACGTAGGCGTAGTGGCCGGTGGAGGACTCGCTACTGCAGGTCTCCCTTGTTGAGGCGGTGCACTCGAACGACCTACGTTATCCAACGGGGCGGGGCGCTCTTTCAACGGTATGCCAGGTCTACCAGCGCTTGATATTCTTCCGCCGCCAGGACCCCCTTGGGGTAAACCTCCCTGTGGGAAAGAGTTGTTATGAGGACCACCGATACCGCCGCTCATAGTTGGAGAAGGCATGCCCCGACCTCCAGCATCGTACGGGTTCGCAGAAATCCGAGAACCAGGTGCATGAGGTAACGGTAAGGATGATTCCCTTTGACCGTACCCAGCTTGCGGAAATTGCCCAGGAGGTGGGCCTTGCTTCGTGAGTCTATTATGCGTATTAGGTTGGGCGGGGCCTAGTCGTTGGTCATAAGCTCCGGGAGGAGGTCGCTGGTCGAATTGTCCCGTTACAGGGCGGCCTTGAGCCCGACCAGGGCTAGGCTGCCTATAATCACCTGCGACTTGCGGTTGCCAACCGGCAGAGACTGGCCGGCCACGGTTTGGATCCATACCAGCCGGGGGGAGAGGGAGCTGGCCGGCGGAATGCGAAGGACGTATACCAGCGGCATTAGGGGACTGCGTGCGGATTCCAAAAGAACTTCCTGGACGATCCGCAACTGGGCCTCCTGACGGCCGGATGCTAGGGTTAAAGTAAGGCGATAGCTGCGGCTTCATGCCCCCAATATCATCTTCGGGGTAAGGCACGGAAGCAGGTTTCGGCCGTAGAGCCAGATTTGTTGGCCTATCATCCTCAGGGTATGGCACTGCTGCCTTCCCCTGTAGGTTAACGGTAAAGGCTGGTGGTCGGTTGGCACCGCCTGTATTAACTCGGGATGGGTCAGGCATATCGGTATGGTCAAAATTGCCTAGTCCAGGAGATGGCTGTGGCGACATCCTAGGGGAGTTCTGGTCTTCGGACACGGCTGGCATCGGGTTGTTTGCTTGCTTAAATCGGTCCGGTCTCTGGCCCCTCTGGGAGCCATGTTTCGATTTGATCCTTGCCAAAGCCGTCGTTTCGTGGTCCTTCTTCGACAACGTCTTAGATTGTGATAGATTATCCAGCCGCTCCGCAGCATCTTTATTGCCGTGATCTGCTGCCAACTCGTACCACCTTCGGGCCTCTCGCAAGTCTTTCTCGACTGATATTCCGATTTCGTAATAATAACCTATAGCAAACTCTCCAGTTGGTAGCTTCGCCTTGGCCGCTAGTTGGGCATATTTGAACGCGAGGCCCTCGTTCTTTGCGAATGTCCCTTCATAGCCGAACAAAAACCATCTGCTAACACCTAGAGACGCCTCGGGTTGACCTTGCTTAGCCGCGAGACCGTAATAGTGTAGCGACAGTGCTGGATTGAAGTCGCAACCGAGCTGGCATAACTCATACGCCTGCCCCATCTTTAGCTGGGCCTTAGCAAAACCAAGATAAGCTGCCTTCTCAATGTACTGGCGAGCGACGCCAACATCGTATGTCAAGACTTTATCAGGGACGGCAACGTCAGGGAGGTCCCTTCCGATAAGCATGCCATAAACGAAAGCACCCTGGGGTGCATCTTCATCAGCTGTATCGGCAGCAGAATGTATCAAATCCAACCCTCTCGCCATGTCTTTTGGTTGACCTCGTTGACCTAGGAGGTTGATCATGCCCAGTCGGTACATCGCCGCGGAGTCCTTCGCATCCAAACCCATCTGGTAATGCCTCATGGCTTTGTCCATGTCATTTGAATTTTCGTAAAGCATACCAATTCGATAATCGGCGCGACCCCAACCAGCTTGCGCAGCAGTCGAATAGCAGGTATATGCCTCTTTCTTATCCTGTCGTTTTCCAAACTTGCCGAATTCCAACCACTTTCCTCTTATGAATAAGGCCTCGGGATGGCCTTGATCTGCGAGATAGGTAACAATATTAATGGCGTCGATCCGCAGCTCATGCTCGATTTTAGGCGTCGCTGTCCGCACGGGCAGACCTTGATCGTTGGCCCCGCGCGTAGCTTCTTCTTCCCGAATGGCGGCCTCGGCGGCTATTTCTACGAATGATAAGACATCGCGAGCCCAGCAAATTTGCATGTCGGGATCGTTAGAGTGGAGGACATGTTCGCGGCTCTCGGCCAGAACTGCTTCCTTCTCCTCATCGCTGGGAGGTATGTGTTCTCCTTGGACTTTAGGAAATGGGGAGAATGATGGTAATTCGCGCATATCTTGGAGATTCCTCTCAAATTGGGGATTGCGATCCTGTGTCTCCTGGAAAGGGCTGTAGTTGGACGGGCTGAAATTGGATGCGGGACTGTAGTCGGTGGCGGGGTTCCGGCCTTGTTGGTATTGCTGCCCAAAACTACCGACCTTAGTGTTTAATACGGTGGAAAGAGAAGGTTCGCGTGCGTGTCGAGGACCAGATTCAGGATGCGATGCTGTGCCTCGCGGTTCGACAGAGCGAGCTTCTAATTCCATGCGCTGAAGACCTTGCTGCATGTTTTCGGGAACTTCTGGCATTACCCTAAAACGAGCGAAAGGTTAGGAGGTATATTAGGTAAGTCAGGTAAGTTGGGTAAGCTAAGTCAAGCCGGTGATGGGGTCAGGTAGTGTTAGGTCAGATGTCGGCAATCAAGTCATAACACTACTGTGTACGGTGGGTTGTGTGGGTGTGTGGATTGTGTGGATTGTATGGACTGTATGAGATTATGATGTATGTATGGTAGTATATGGTAATATGGCAGTATATGGCAGTATAGGTATGTTTTTAATGTGCGGGATTGGGGTCTCAAAGATAATAATAAGATAATAGTTGTCTAAAAAAACGCACCTTTGTGGTGACGGTGCTACTACTTCGGGCATATAGTAGTCGTCTGAACCACCGGGATAGAAAGTTGCTCCAAAATTAGGCATTTCGAAATCGTCTTCGCTTGTTTGAGGCTGGTGAGGAGCTGCATAAAATTAAGATAAGATGTACTTGTCAGCCTGCCCGTTCTTTGAGCCAATAGTCAAGCGAGAACCAGCTTGTTGACCGGCGTAATATGGAAAGGTATGTAAGGTAGGTAAGGAGTTAGTTAAAACTAGGTGCGTGGTGGATGTACTGGGTGGTGCACTGGGTTACTGGATGCACTGGCTGACTGACTGGGTACCTAATGCTAGGCGTGTGCTGGGCGTATGCTAGATGCCGGGTACTGGGTGATGTAGGTGCGTGCTGCGGGGTCCCCTATTTTCGAACGAGCGAACGAACAGACGAAGTGGCGGCCAAAAAAAAGAACTGCGTGTCTCTAACTTCGCATTTCGCATTTCCCACTTCGCTGTTCGTTCCTTGGGTTCTTGGTCCTTGACTTCCTAAGGAGTCCTAATCCACAATAGTTACTGGAAGTACTGGAAGTACTGGGTAGTTCCTGATCTGACCTGGCTGCCTGGAAAAGCAAGGATAATCCCTAGGTAACCCGTCCTATGATCCAGGAATAGCTCCAAATTTTTGCAGAATACCCAAGTAGTTTTGGTCTTACGAGAGAAGTCTCAGTTTCCCGGGTCCGGCGAAAAAAGGGGAGAATAACCAAAATAACAGTTGTTGAACGGTCTCAGGTTTGTCGTTTCTTATTTCTCCAAAAGTGCCAGTTATGAAGGTTCAGCGTAGTTGCCCAGTGCTGAGGGGCTCAGAGATACCGCTTTCCGTTACTGGGATCCTGCTGCCACCCTCCCACTTCCCCTGATAGGTTAGACCGGTTAGACCAAAAACGCTAAGCCACCTGCGCGGGTTCCACCTAGGTCGGAATTTGGTATTTGGGGGAATTTTATAGGCCTAGGACGTGCTAGAGGCGTGCCTAGCACGTAGCAACAGGTAACAGCTTCTCCTCCATGCGAATTTCTTCAGGGGGGTGCCTTCTTCATCTGCCATGGAAGTACCGAAATAAAATGGCTTAAACGTAAGCCTTTCATCGATCCAAACTCCTGCGTCACCAAATATTCCAAACGCGTATGAAATGTCCTGACATCACAGCCTCATAGCCTATATGTTTCCAAAGGCTGGGAGGTGACGGCTTCGTACAGACGATCTGTATGTACCACTCGTCCCTGCATGATCGTCCCGAATATGGGGTCGTACATAAAGTTGCTGCCCTGAATGCTCGGTGCCGGGTACTCGCATGTCAGGGACTAACGGGAATATCCACGCGGCATCTGCTGGACCGGGAAAACCTTGGTCGGTCTTATTCGTCCAATTCGTCCACACAACTTCCTGGGTTCCAGTGATGAGGTGGTAGGGAGGTGTTGGAAAGCAAGGGAATGGGGAATGGGGACCGAGAACTGGGGAATGTGAGAAAAAGGGGTTATCTGCTTACATACCTACGATGATTTTAGGTGACATATCCGGAGCTACTACCTCAGGCCACACGTAAACTGCCGGACGTTGCGTCATCATTTTCTCAAATATGGGTTGTTGGTTTAATTAGAGGCTTCGTAATCTATATGGTTGATAATTAAATAGGTAATGTCGGTCGTATTATAAAGTGACAAGGTTTATGTCATGGAAGAAACAGCAACATCATGGAAATAGAAGCATTCGAAGCATTTAGGAGGTATGCAGGACTATTCGAGATATGGGGTAATACAGAAATCAAAATCCAAGGTGAGGACCCTCGAGCTTCTTTATTATTATAATTCTTCCAGGTTCATTTTACCCTAGAAGATACTAACTATTTGACATGCAGTTCGACGGCCGAAACCATCTAACTTACTTGACTCAGGTTGGTAGGAATTAAGAGAAAAATCCGCTGCCTGGCGCTAAATGAATGGAATGTTCGGACGGGCACAGCCAACGTGACGATTACTTACCTAGGCAGTTTAACTACGAAGTAAAATGAAGCTTCTGCATCCTTCGTAGAAAATGGTGCGGAAAATAGTATAGGAAAAGGAAGCTAATAAAAAAGAGACAAGCATATAACCATGTCTTCGTTAGTTTTCGCCGGCGACATACTTCTACATAACCAAACAACCCAAACAACACGATTCAACATTTTTGGTGTACTGGGTAGATAGGTAGGTAATACATAGTTGTAGGCGAAATAAGCTTTACGACGGTACCTCGCACGGATCCACCAGATAGAAGTTGAACAGGTCACAGCCTCATTATGTTTCTATTTCAGGATCTTCTTGGCGCAGCGGTTAGCGTAGCCGCAGCTAGAGCTGAATTGAAGGATGTACTGTACGGTACCTTAGCCTCAGAGATCCGGGATCCCACTGTTAGTAGTAGCATCGTAGCATTGTCCGAATAATCAATTTCCTGCCGATCCTTTTGCTGTCGTTTAGATGTACAAGGATGCTCCTGTCGTATAAATGTCAATCCAGCGAATAGTAAGTTGGCGAACAATTATCGAATAAATATCGATATCATCCTGATGTTCTATGGAGAATCATAGGATTAGTCGAATGGAATAATTAGAGAAGGTTTAAGAATGTATGTAGGTAAGTAATACGAAATATGTCGGACAACGATGACACAAAGATGTGTATGATGTTGTCCTAATTCCCGAAATGGATTTCGGCAGGAAAGGAATCTCGGTCGAGGAATTGTTTGCTGGCTTCAAAGGCTCAGGCGGTCGATAGGACGCAGTGAAACATGGGTTCATCTGAAGTCCATGTGTCATGTGAACTCCAGATCTCCACGCCCATGTGGGCGGCATCGATGGGAAGTCCAATAAGTAAAGAGGCGACGCATGACCAACACCTCGTGGGACATGCAATAGGTAGGTACTAGGTAGCTATCAACTGACAACTCATACCAATTCCACCGGCCACCACGATAAGGGTATTTCAACAACTCGCTACCTAGGTAGTTTGAAAGGATAGACACATAAAATAAATCATAATACCAATTATATTAGAAGAAAAAAAATGAGACATTGAGACATGCTTGAAAACTTCATTCGTGACTCTCTCCATATCTCCATATTCCAAAAGAGGTAATCGGTGATCGGTATCGGTAGATCGGATTTTAATTTTTAATGTGAATCTTGGAGAAAGGATGAAGGTGTTAGAAAGTCTTAGCCTCCCAGCCACAAGTGCTTTCCAGAGGTCAAGCCACCTGTGGCATCAAGCTAGGAGGAAATCCACATCCACATCCACATCTCCCCAAAGTGGGTCTAGTCGGTTCTCGTCGTTCGTCAGCCTCTCAGCCTGCTTGCCTTGCATCACCAAACCACCAAATCCAAATCCAAATCCAAATCCAAATCCGAATTTAACAAATTTAACATCATCGTCATCGTCATCACCAACTCCCTCCGAATATCCAGTCCGAATAGTTGAGAATCTTTCGTCTAGGAGATCTTCAGGAGGAACAATTCGGAAGCCCGAGCTCATCAAAGCTCCCACACCGAAATCCCGTTCTCCGTCTCCCACGAAATCAAAAGAGCCCAAGCTCGACGACGCCAGCGAGCCCAGACTTATCATCACCATAACCCCATCCTCACCCACATCCCCACCATCCACCCCATCAGCACCCCCGAGCCCAACCAAAATGGCCGACCGCACCTTACAGCAGATCCTAACGCAGCTGCGCTCGAACCCGGGTCTCAGCTACGGCGAAGCCAACACGCTCCTCTCGAAAGCCAAGATCTCGTTACTCACCCTCAAAGCCGCGACCCCGGGCCCTTCCCCCGCTTCACCCGCGCACCTGGCGTTAGCCCGGGATATCTACGAGCAAGGCGCGCTCTTCAGCATCCGCTCGCGCAACCCTGACGCCTTCACGCGATATGTATCGCAGTTACAGCCCTTCTACGAGCTCTCCGCCTCCGTGCTGCCTTCCTCGCCCGCAAACAACGCCGAGCGCAACAAGGTGACGGGTCTGTACCTCCTACTGCTACTGACGCAGGGTCGGTACTCTGAATTCCACTCCGAGCTGGAGACACTGGGGACACGGGCAAAGGAGGGTGGTGGAGCCGGCGAGATCGAGGAAGACCGGTTTTTGGGTTACCCGATTAAGCTGGAGCGGTGGCTGATGGAGGGGAGCTACGACCGCGTATGGAAGGCGATGAAGAGCCGTGAGGTGCCTAGTGAAGAATATGGTGTTTTCTCCGAGGTGGGTTTCTGATATATCTTGCATTTTTCTTTTTTGCTATATATTCCTACCTCATTCCCCCTCCCATACTCCTACTCCTATATTAATATTTACGAGTAACTCAGCTAACCCAACCAAAATAGATTCTAACATCTCAAATCCGCTCCGAAATTGCCTCTAGCAGCGAACGCGCCTACCCGTCCCTCCCTCTAAGTAGTACCAAATCTCTCCTATTCCTCGACTCCGAGGGTGCTGTCGTCGACTTCGCCCGCCACCGCGGCTGGGACGTCCGTGATGGCCAAATCTACTTCCCTTCATCGACCGCAAGTGCTGAAGGAGACGAGGGTGTTGAGGAAGAGGGCGACGAGAAGGAGTTCAGCCGTATGGTCATTGAGAACGCTCTTGGATATGCCCGCGAGCTTGAGACTATTGTCTAAATCAGGTTGATTCTACAAAACGTTATTAGGACTCAAAATCAATTCTCCGAAGTTGGGACCAGGGCGAGCAGGACTAGGCTGGCTCGGGACGGTGAAAACTCAAGGTTGGATGGCGATGTGACTGACAGCTTAATGAGCTACGCGGGGGGCGGGAGTTCCGATAGACATAATAATACCACCATAAGATATGAGAGATGGGACATGCTAGGCTGACTATACCGTGGATAGGACACGGTTAGAAAGTTTCATGAGCCTGTGTACGAATAAACGCAAATCAACCAATAGACAGCAACTATGAGTGAAGGTCTTCTGAATGCACGCGATGAATATTCGAAACTCGTAATTGAGAAACTTCATGATTTTTGTTCCAAACACAACTACTACCTATTTGCATCAACGACATGGACTCGTTTGGTTTAGACGACTACCTCATCCCAGGCTTCTAATGTGATCTTTTTAGCCCCTATCCCCCTCCGTCCAGCAATAATGCCTTTTTCTCTCAACCCACAAGCCAAACCCACCGTGTAACATTACTCAGTAGTTGGCCTTTCAAGAATAACAACCATCTAAACAAACAGCTTGAGCCCGCTTCCATGCTTTCCGATTTCACACACTTCGCAGACTGCGCAGACGGTGCCCTTGTATTTAGAGTGATACTTGGACCCGTCGAACGCACACTCCTCGTAAGGAGTGCCGCTGTAGATAGGAGTATGACTGGCTGCGCAGATTTCAAACTCGGCAAATTGATCGTATTCGATCTCAACCGTATCGTGAGGGTTGCGCTCGCATTGTGCTTTTATCTTGCGTGCCTATTCGAGGTCAGTAAGTCACGTAATAATATGAGAGTGTTCGCGGGAGAGGAAACTTACGTTTTCAAGAATTCTGTTGGCACCGCCGTTGGCCAGGATGCGGTTGGCAAAGCTCAATGCAGAGCTGTAATTCTTACTCCTGGAAGCCAGATTCATGGCGTTTAGAAGGGCAAGCTGTCGATGGGGAACCTCGATCTTGGGTATAGTGAAGTATGCTGAGAGCTCAAGACTTCGCTTGAGAAGAGCAGGGTTGCCATTCACGGTATCCGGAGAGCCTAGTTTTCTTCGTGCAAGCTCAATCGACATAGCGACGGTGTATTCGCTTGCCGAAGTAATAAGCTTCTTCGCTTCTGCTACCTCGGTCTCGCTTGAAACAGCGTTTGCGAGCATAGCATGAAGTATACCCTTGAAAATCTGCACACCCTCGTCCAACTTATTTGCCTTCATGGTATCATATCCTTTATGAAGATCGTTGGTAGCGAGGTGTTCAATATCTCGTGGGATGATAGGTAGGACTTTCCTAGGGTCTGTCTCGTCCAACGTCCGGCGTACGTAGTTAACTAGAGGGGGTAGCCCAGCAGAGGCGGGTAGGAATGTCTTTGATGCCGAATAAATTTCAAGGAAACGCGGTTTGAGCGGTGCAAAGTTAACAGCACCGACTTGCCGATTAAGAAGATTCATAGCTGACTCGAAGGAACCTGCAGCGACATGGTCCGCAGCTAATGGTGAGTTGCGAGCCCATAGATCGGCCTCGCTACTACCGGCACCTCCAGCGTCAGTGCTCTCGACATTGACGAAGTCACTCTCGGCCTCAGGGGCAATGTCGTCACCCATATCCCAACCAGCCGCGTCTTCGTCGTCCTCAGCTTCCAATCCACCATTTCGCTTCGCAGCTACATCCTCATCCACAGCCTCCTCACCAAATCCGTTGGCGGCTGCTGAAGGTTCATCCTCAAGGGTTATGCCTTCTAGTTGGCTGGCAAGGGCTTTCTCAAAGAAGGATTGCGAAGTCGCCTTCGTAGGCCAATTAGCCTTGTAAGTTGGCACAACCGGCTTCGGAGGGGTGAGACTCTCGCCAAAAGTAGGTAATGTCAACTGGTCCTCGGTAATGCCAGTTGCCTCTAAGATTGATTGGCATTCTTCCTCGAGGCCGTGAGCCTTTGCAGTCATGTATGCCAAAGGATCTGCAAATTTGTCAGTCTTCAAACAATGCGAAAAATTAAAGTAGTACTACTCACATAGGTCAATCTCCTTTAACATCTGTATCCTGTCTTCAACCTCGCCAAGATATAGCGCATTCTGAAATCTCGCTGTGAAGTCACCTCGGTGTTCAGCAATCTTAGCCATTCTCGATAACTTTGAGTGGTCGCCGGTTGCAAGGTACAAAAATGAAAGCTTATCGAATTGCTTCAGCTTCTGGTAGGCCATTTCGACAACTTGGTGGTTTCCATGCGCCAGGGCTTCGGTTCCTAATCGTATCCAAAGCTTGGGTCGATCCAGCTCCTTAGCCATCTCTACAGCCACATCGAGGTTGCCACATTCTATAGCGAGCTCGAAACGAGTTGTCGGGTCCTGTACAAATTGCAACGCAATCTCTGGGTATCCTTTCTTCTGAAGATAGGAGATGATGGACTGGCCGACCAAACTGGATGTACGTATAATATGAAGCATTTCCTCGTAGTTACGCTTGACCAAGGACAGCTTGAAGCGATATTCGGTCGGATCAATATGGAGAATCTTAGGCTTGGCAGAACGGTCAAGGCAGTAGACGTTTCGACCTTTGACTCTCACAAGGTATACTGTCTGGTCGAGAGTTCTGACGATACCGTTGTCGCCATTCATGAGGGTATACTTGACGTGATTTAGGGTAGAGTAAAGGAGAACTCCCGCATCATCCCAAGTTGCGCTCTTGATCCGAATAGTCTCATGAAGTGTGCTAACCTGTTCGAGCGTTTTAGTAACAATTGTGACATTGTGTTTGCTCAGAAGTGCCGCATGAAGGCCATCATTAGACCAGACAACGTATTTAACTCCGTTCACTGCCAACTCCGCAATGCTCTTCTTTTGCTGAATGTCGTAGAGGTGAACGGCTGTAGGAGTAATAATGAGGAGATTTCCGGTACCACCAAAGTAAATGTCGGTAGTGCCAATAGGTGGCTTAAAGGATCGTGCGGTGTTATTAGAGAGATCCTTAATGTCGACAGTTTGAGTAGATGTATTAAGCACAGCAAAACGGTTGCGGGCGACAAAAATCGCCGAATTTCCTTGGCCGCGCTTTGAGTCTGTAGAATCTAAAGCGCCAGAGCCATCTCGCGGAAGATTGATTAGCTCATACGAGCCACCGTCAGCAGGCGATGTGACAAGGACAGAGCGTTCAGCAGGGTTGTATGACAGCGTCCGAGGAGGAACCCAGGCACTACCGAGTCGCTTCAGAGACAACAAAGTCGGACTTTCAGCGTTCTTCTGGAAGTCGTACGAGCGAACGTGCTTCTCTTTAGTGATGAAGAAAAGATTGTTTTGGTGGACAGTCGAAGCTGGACGCTCTCGTTCTAGCTTAAAAACCATTACACCGTTATCATGACCAGCAGCAAACAGATTGATTTCGGGATGCGCCGCAATAACCCAGAATCTATCATTTTCTCGTTTAAAGGACTGGACAGCAGTACGCTTCTGCGAATCCCACACTCGAATTGTCTTGTCCTCGCCGCACGATAGGATCAGGTCTTGATGAGGATGGAATAAGCAACCAGAAGCGTTCTGAAAATGACCACGGCAGGTGTCCACTTCCCAAGCCTTGGTTTCGCTAAATCGCCATAGCTTTATGAGGCGGTCGTCGCCGGCGGAGACAATGTGGGGAGCCGTGGGATGGAAAGAAACCCAGTTGACGCCGCGGTCGTGACCTTCGAGTACGAATTTTACCATTGCATCGGTATTACCAAACATATCGGTCTGCTGGGCATTCGATCGAGCAACCTGGTCCTCGAACGACATGGAGGTTGGGGCGGAGTGCTTCTTTCGCAAGCCAGAGATATCCCAAACGCGAACGGACTGATCTAGGGATGCGGATACTACAAGATCATCCTTGGGATGGAACTGGGCGCACATAACATAGTGATTATGGCCAGTCATCGTGCAAACTAAAATTGGTGTTAGCACATATTGCCCCTTATATCCTGATTCAACTATAGTCCATACTTAGCGACCGATTTTGCCAGTTCCATATCCGAATCGTCTGGTCGTCGGAAGCTGATATGATCCATGGAAGCTCGTGGTGGAAGAAGACGGTTCGTACGTAGTCTAGATGTCCGTTCAAGGTGAACAGACAGCGCCTTGTTTGGTATGACCAGACCTTGATCTTATAATCGTCACCTCCGGAGGCAAACAGGGGTTGTGTTTTGTGGAAATCGACGCCTCGAACGGGACCGTCATGTTCTTCGAAGCGATCGATGAGGGTACCCATGCGGTAGTCCCATAATTGAATCGTGGAGGAGTGTAGCGAAACGAGGATCCATGGTCTAATCACTTAAAAGTCAGCAACGAACGGCGGTGACGGTTATAGGTATATCGAAAAGGGATCTCGACCTCTTTGGGTGAAAGGCAATGCCTTTCGCTCTCGAGGACTTGGACTCGAACTATAGCAGAATTCGTCAGTAGTTGGCTTGGAAGTATGCGACTAGGCTTTAAGGTATGGCAATGAGTATATGGTAGACTAGGTAGTGTGCATACCTTGGTTAGCATTCCCGAAGAGGCCTGCATTGTGAAGACGATAGAGGCAGCAGGTAGCCCCTAAGCTTGGGTCATGAATAGGAAAGAAAGGTTGCGCCAAAACTGAGTGACGAATATTAGAAATTGATCGACAGAGAATTAGATGATTATGGCGTGTAGTGTATGGCGACAGGAAGTGAGCTGTGAGGCTCTGAGAAGTATCGTCTTGACGCCAACTCTTGGTATTGTTCAGGCAATTACATACATAAGTCAATTCGTGGCCCCAAAAGTGACGGTGGACTGGTGGATTATTTCCTGACAAGGTTCTAGCCGTTGTGGTGCTTGCATGTGGCTTGTGCTTCAGTGTTCGCAGGTTCCAGCTGTCCTGATTGTGCCCTGTCGGAATAATAATTATCCCTATCGTTTAGATCAAGTACCGAGCACCTCTTTTTGCGAATAGCTTTGGTTCAGGATCCTGTATCGAGTACATCATAGAGGGGCAGTTTACCTAACAAAGCTCTAGCATGGTCATTCAACTAGCAACCGCCAGCCATTAACGTAAAACCCCTGGCTCTCCTGAGCTTCAGGTCTCCATTTCTTTATTCTCATTGGCTGTTTCATGCAACTCTAAATGTTTAGGTAAATTTAATTGGTCAAGTTCCATTTATTCGTCTAGGTGTTCAATTGCACCTTCAATTCATTAATATTCGTTCACTTACACGGAAGCTTGGATAAGTTCCCTATCAAAAGTCCAGACCTATTCTGTACAAAAAGCCACTTTGCATTTACAAACGGCAACCGATTTAGGTTTCACTGGTTTTCACTGGTTTTCGCTCGCCATGACTTCAGAATATCGTCCTTAACCTAGTTTGAAATATATGGTTTTGTAAACTCCATAATCCAAAGCTCTGCCGCCTGCGAGAGCTTGCGACGGAGCTATCCTAATTCTTTTCTCATCCATTCAAGTTTCGTGTATATTCGCCTGGCGCATTACTGTACAAACGATATCGAAACACCATGATACGACTTCTTAAACTGCCATGTGGCCTTGCTGCCACTCTCTTGGCAACAGTTTGCTTAAATACGGGTCATGCCGTAGCTGGGCCGTCTGTCAATGTTGCCATGAGAGCTGCCTTTCCTGCGCCCCCGTATATCGTTGAGCTTTTGTAGGTTGTTATCCATATATAATAGACTCCGGGATAGTGTGTGGCTAACTATAGTCTAGAGAAGCCGCTGCTGGAGAGAACGCGACGTCTTATTTCCCACTCCTCGACCGTATCGCCGACGGTGCCTTTACAAACGCAAAGACAGATAAGGAACTCTATGAGAAGTTCCTCCAGGTTCTGAAGGAGGATGGCCATATGCAGACCCCCAAGGCGTTATCCACATTTAAACTTGCTCTCTCCATGAGGTCAGCGGCTCCGAGAATAGAGGCGCATTACCAATACTATGATACAGCCGTAACGCCTTCTCTGGGAGCAGCCAGAGCTGACTGTGCTGAATGGATACTCCTTGGTGGAAAGCAGTATTGTTCGGCTTCACTTACGCACGCCGAAGGGCAGATTACAGGAGATTCGTACGTATTCTACATATCTCTAAGTCTGTTCATTTTTATCTAATACAATCCTAGACAATTACGATCGCTCCCATTCGATCGTACTTTGGGTACTGGTTCTGAGGCGATATTATATGCGGATATCACTAAGCCTGAATTCAGCTCTTTTCACAAATCCCTAGTGGATATGGCCCGAAAGGGAGAAGTCACTTATCGGCTTCGATATCGTGTCGATCAAGCTGAAGAACGAGAGCCGCTGCCGGTCGGCGGGTACGGAATAGAACTTCAACTAAAGCGCACGGACTATATCGTCATTGACGATCGCGAGGCCGAAGCTCAGACAGATTCAGCAGACAAACCCGCTCCTACTGATGTTGTACTCGACGGCGAGGAGGAGGTTACTGACTTGAAGCCATTATCGAGTTCCGAATTAGCATCATTAGGACTCAAGGCGGGTTCTTTCATTATGCAAAGCGATGACCCTTTTCAGACCTTAATCAAGTTGACCCAGGATTTCCCCAAGTTCTCGGCCTCAATCGCAGCGCACAATGCTTCAGACGCGTTCGTTAAGGAGCACCGTCATAACCGGGCTTTAGGAGTTCCTGCTGGAATGAATGTCTTTTGGATGAACGGCGTCCAACTCATTGAGCGACAAATTGACCCATTTAGTCTCGTCGACAGCATTCGAAGGGAAAGAAAGCTCATTGAAGGTGTAACGGATTTGGGTCTAACTGGTAAAGAGGCTGTCTCTTTATTGGGGAACCGAGAAGTGACAATAGCTAAGTCCGACGATGAACCTCGTAGATTCGACTGGCGGGACGAAATCGAAGAGGGCCGTGTTATTGTATGGCTAAACAACATCGAGAAAGACAAGCGTTATGCTGATTACCCCAAGAGTCTTATGAGCGTAAGTAGTTATGCATTAATCAAATGTGCCTTACGGTGTAACTAACCAACCATTTTACAGCTCATGCAAAGGACGTACCCGGGGCAGGTCCCTCAGATTCGTAAAGATATTTTCAACCTTATCGCTCCAGTTGACTTCAGCAAACCGGAAGACCTTTCTCTAGTCGTCGAACAACTTCAATCCTTCATTAAGAGACTATTGCCTGTCCGCTTCGGGCTGGTCCCTTTGACGCCGACTAAGGAAGCCGAGGAACGAGCAAAGGTGGTCTACCACCTCCTCGAGAACTATGGGCTAGCTAGCTTGATGTCCTACCTAGAGGCCTGTAGCAAAGGAGGCCATTCCGGGCAAGCAAGTTTCGACAAGGCTATCAAAAATCGATCTCCGAAAGCTGAAGCGACTCCCCTCCCATTCAAGGAGGTCCTCGAGTCAGAACATTATGCCAAGCAAGTTGAACTTTCCAGGCACTGGGTAGAACGACTCAATGCCAACCCTGAAGTGCCTCTATTATTTCTCAATGGATTAGCTATACCCCGGCAGGATAAATGGCTTCAGATGATGAGTATGAGGATGAGTAGTGATCTACAGATAGTCCAACAGGGTATTTTCATGGGCTCGGTCGACGACGAAACATGGATCCCGGGTCTTTTGTTAGAGGGTGCACCAACCCGACGTAATTCCTACATCTTCCCCGAGGGCGATAACACCCTCACTGTCTTAAACGTCAACAAGCTATACTCGGAGCACAAGGATCTATTCGATCAGATTCCTGCCATCGAAGCAAGCGAAGACACGAGCAAGGAAACGTGGGCTACTCTTACTGTTGTCGCTGATCTAAGCTCTCAAGAAGGTCTCCATCTTTTATTGTCGGCTTTATCATTCAGACGTAACAACCCGGGTGTGCGTCTTGATATCATCAATAACCCTCTACCATCCAGTAATGCGCATCAGACCAACGTGTTACTCAAAAAGGATGTTACCAAGTTATTGGAGGTAGAGAATCTTGAAACCCTCGAGCTACTCTTATCAGGGGCAATCGACGTGCGGGATGATGGATACAACGCTGCCTTGTCACGATTTCTTACCGCCGCCGCCATCATCCCAGGCTCCCAGCTGCTTATCCTTAATGGTCGTGTAGTTGGCCCATTTGCTGCTAGCTCGGCATTCAAGGAGAGCGATTTCGACTTGCTTCTCGAATTTGAACAAGGAGCACGAATACTCCCAGTATATAGAGCAGTAGATGCACTAGGTCTAACAGAAAAGATTTCGGGACCTCTAGCCGCCGCGAAACTTACATCAGTCACGGCTTTATCTACCATGTCGGATCTACCCGAGGGGATTTTTGAGTCAGCCCCAACTCTAAGAACAACAATGTATGACCAGTGGAACTCAACTCATACGATGATCGATGTCGGTGATCCTTCTACAGCGAACATCCACTTCGTTTCTATGATCAACCCTGCTAGCGAGGTAGGGCAGAAGTGGGCTGCTATACTCAAAGTTCTATCTCAGCTAGATGGCGTCTACATGCAAATCTTCTTAAATCCGAAGGAGAAGCTCGAAGAGCTTCCTATCAAAAGATTTTACCGATACATATTAGACTCAGCACCGTCTTTTGACGATTCCGGCAAGGTCAGCCCTCTAGGTGCGACTTTCAAAGGACTTCCTTCTGAAGCTCTCCTCAACCTGGGCATGGACGTACCACCTGCTTGGCTAGTAGCAGCAAAATACTCCGTTCATGACTTGGATAATTTGAAGCTAAGTTCCATCAAAGCAGATGTAGATGCCACCTACGAACTCGAGCATATTCTCATTGAAGGCCACTCCCGAGAAAGCACGAGCAGTCCTCCTCGCGGCGTGCAATTATTGCTTGGTACCGAGCTTGACCCCCATTTTGATGACACAATAATCATGTCCAATCTTGGATATTTCCAATTTAAAGCCAATCCTGGCTATTACAATATACATCTCAAAGAAGGGAGAAGCTCGGAGATTTTCGATATCATCAGCGTAGGCGCAAAGGGATATAACGCAGTTCCGGGTGATGAAGGCACCGAAGTTGCTCTTATAGACTTCCAAGGTACGACGTTATACCCACGGCTCCAGAGAAAACCCGGTATGGAACTCGAAGATGTCCTCGAAGAAGGCACGGATACTGGAGGAGATATCCTTTCCCGCGGCCTTAAGTTTGCCGAGGGAATTCTCGGCGGATCAAAGTCGAAGTTGAAATCTGTGTCGGACGAAGTGCATGCTGAGATCAATATCTTCTCCGTCGCAAGCGGTCACCTTTACGAGCGCATGCTCAATATCATGATGGTATCTGTTATGAAGAATACGAACCACACAGTCAAGTTCTGGTTCATTGAGCAATTCCTATCCCCGTCCTTTAAGGATTTCATCCCCCATCTTGCCAAAGAGTACGGTTTCAAATACGAGATGGTTACGTATAAATGGCCACACTGGCTACGCCAGCAAAAGGAAAAGCAACGTGAAATCTGGGGCTACAAGATTCTTTTCCTCGATGTCCTTTTCCCTCTATCTCTCGACAAGGTCATATTCGTCGATGCGGATCAGATTGTGAGAACGGATATGATGGATCTTGTCAATCTCGATCTTGAGGGCGCGCCCTACGGGTTTACGCCTATGTGCGACTCTCGGACCGAGATGGAGGGTTTCCGCTTCTGGAAGCAAGGTTACTGGAAGAATTACCTCCGTGGTAATCCATACCACATCTCGGCTCTCTACGTAGTCGATCTTCGCCGTTTTAGGCAACTCGCAGCCGGCGACAGGCTCAGGCAGCATTATCACCAACTGTCGGCCGACCCGGCTTCTCTCTCCAATCTCGACCAAGACTTGCCCAATCATATGCAATTTGTCATCCCAATCCACAGCTTATCCCAAGAGTGGTTGTGGTGCGAGACGTGGTGCAGTGACGAGAGTCAAAAAGAAGCACGTACCATCGATTTATGCAACAACCCACAAACTAAGGAACCAAAACTAGATCGAGCTAGAAGACAGGTACCAGAGTGGACCGTATACGATGACGAGATTGCGGCGGTAGATCGACGACGGAGAGGTTTAATCACGGACGATGATACGCAGAAGGTGCTTGCGGGTAGTAGCGAAGAGAAGAACACCAAGAGTAGAACGCTTGAAGAGTCCGAACCTAGGACGAAGAAAGATGAACTATAGAATCTCAGGCATACAAGTACTTACATAGAGTAAATGAAACCATTTTGATCAAGTCATCTTAGCTGAACTCCTTTTCCGTGGATACCTAGTAGTTATAGTACTTACCTACTTAAGGATAACTAATCTACAGCGTACATAGCGTACGATCTCCTTCAGCTGGATACGCCGTACATGATGACTATGAATATGGCTTACCGTATAACCCCATTTATTAATGTCGATATCATCAATTAATTGATTAACCCCTTCTAGACTTACTTTACCGAAGCGGGATATCAATTAAAATCACGACTTTTAGCGACGATCTCCGTGGTGTTCCGGCTTGGCAAGCGCACAGGACCGGGATAAGCGAATCCTATGGACAGCAATGGACCCAAAACTATAAGGTAGCAGCCGGCCGGCACCTTTCATATTATATCAGTCTTACATGCTTACATGCACTTTACATACCTACTAGTGCCTATACCCATCTACGCCAGCTTACCCATACCACACTCACCGATCTACCGATCGTTCGAGAGAAAAATAAAACACCTCGACGCAAACATTTTGAAGTTACGCATCGAGTCATTTTTTTAATACTCTTTAGTCTTTTTCTTTTTCTTTCTTTTTTTTTCTTGGAGAGAGGGGGCTGAGTCATGCCAAGCGTATTACCTCACGCCTCTTTCTCCCTCTATCCCGATTCTCCATTTCTTTGCCCGTCGCGCTCCGCTACCTGGGTAATTAGGTAGGGTGGGTAAGGTCGACCACCGACTTACCTCCTGTACCAGAATAGTGCAAGGTAACAAAGGCATTGATTTGGGTACCCACCCAAGCCATTTTCCTAGGTATCTAAGTATTCGAGTACAGAAAATACATACCTACCTACCTAAAGCAGACAGAAATTGGAGAATTGGGAATAGAAACGAAGCAAGGCAGGAAAGAAAGCAAAAGCGAAAAAGAAAAGAAAAGGAAGGAAGGGGAAAAAAGAATGGAGCTCGGCTGCTCGGTGGTAGCGCCGCTAGAGCCGCACAAGCACACGCACACGGTGGTGTTCTTGCACGGGCGCGGCGATACGTCTCAGAACATGGCGGACGCGCTGTTGCGGTGGACGCGGGACTCGCGCGGGCGCACGCTGATAGACGAGTTCCCGTCGGTTCGGTGGGTATTCCCGCAGGCCGAGCCCAGCATCGTCGAGACCACCGGCGAGGAGTGGCCCCAGTGGTTCGACATCTGGAACATCCTCGACATGACCGACAGGGAGGAGCTGCAGGCCCTCGGGCTCAAGGAGAGCGTTGAGAGTGTTAGGCGTATCGTCAGGAGGGAGGCTAGGGCCGTCGGCGGGTACGATCGCGTCGTGCTGGCTGGAATCAGTCAAGGGGGCGCAACAGCGGCGCATGTCCTGTTGCATTTAGGCGCGTTGGAGGATGGTGAGGGAGGCGAAAGCTATGTCGAGAAGAGCGTCGATGCCGATGCGAAGGCGGAAGAGGATAGACCGCCGAAGTTATGCGGGCTCATGGGCTTTTCGGCCTGGTTACCTTTTCCCGGAGGTTCGCTCGACGAGACGAGGGAAGTCTTAGGATTGGAGGAGTTTCTGGATAGCAAGAGCGACGAGCTGGTAAGGAACACGCCGGTATTTGTAGGGCACTGCGAGAATGACCCACTCGTGTTCATCGAGTACGGACAACAGTTACGGGATGGGCTCGAAAGCTTTGGCATGAAGGTCAAGTGGCATGAGTACCCGGACGGGGGACACTGGTTCAACGCGCCGTTCGGGATGGACGATGCGGTGGAGTTTCTAAAGGCGCAGGGAATACCTATGGTGAAGCAATAGCATGGTCATTTCTTTGGGAGGAGTTTGGGATTCGGGGTTGCGAGCGGACGGTGACTTGGAGATTAAAGGATTGAAGAAACTCGGTCCCGTGTTGTCTCGCAGCCCCTTGACGATATTATCATAATTACCTATATATGGATATGATGACTAGGCTTTGTTACGAGTCTAGTATGATTTGACGGATTACGATTTGTGAAATACCAATTGACTAAAAGGGAGTTTATATAAGCCGAAGCATCAACCAGCTCTGACTTTGAAAATTTTGGGTATAGAAATAAGTAGTCGAAATTACTGAAGTAGGTATACAATAACCATCTACTTAACCTACGTACAAGTCATTATCTTCTCATGCAGCCTCTGTCAACGATGTATTGCACTCAACTTCAAGGTTTAGCTATGTATTTAACTTCATTTCATTCGGCGGGTTGTTTATTATGGCCAAGTTCTTTCCTGCCCGAATATGCAGTTTAGTTACTACCTACCGAGATACATACCTGGTACCAAAGTCTAGCCGTAAGCGATTTTCGTTAAGTAATGCAGTGCAGGCTCGGCCTGGTATCCGGGAACCTACCTGCAACGTTATTTGCTGCCCGGCTTATTTATCCGTCCGGAGAAGCCACTACCCTGTACTAGGTGTCCTTACTTTATAGTAGACTTTGAAAGTCGCCACCTCAACCAATCAATTTGGAGTTATAGCTCAGTGGTAGAGGTCAGTAATTCTATCCATTCTATCCTCTGGGCATTGTCACTAACATCCCACAGCGAAGGATTGCAGTTACACGAATATCCTTAGGTCACCGGTTCGATCCCGGTTAGCTCCTCAACTATATCTTTTTGCCATTTTCACAGATTCTGTAGATATACTTCTATTCCATTTTTAAGTCGTGTATTGAATACGATAACTCGTAAAGCAGGACGGTATCGTACGTCGAGTCGCCCGAATAACGAGTATTTGTGACTTATGCATATTTTAGATAATAGATATTGACCCAATAGATACTTAATAACAAACAATCGTCATTATCCTCTTTGGAATATTGCATCATCGGTTGCATAACTTCAAACTACAAGCACTGTCCAGATAGTCGAGGCGGTGTGCTGGTGGCATTGACCACAAGTTTTCATTGGTCAAAATACTTCTGCCCATAGTATGGTTATAGGTATTAATAAATGACAAAAATTTCAGGAGCGGGATTGCCTAAAAGTACTTGACTCATGCCTTTTACCTGACTCAACCTTGCGTAACCCAAAAAGCTCCTTTACACTAATCTTTGGAAACAATACTCTGGAAGTTCCAGATTCAATTTTGCTAGTCAAAATTTTTGCATTCTTTTTTTACACCATTTCCCATGCAATTTTTAGTCTCTACCATTAACATGCATTAATTCACCTTGTCCCCCCCCTTCATCTTATTTTTTAACATCCATATCTTTTACGCAGGTATACTAGCTGAAGTTATTCCCAATTCCCAATCCCCCACTTTCACCCCTCCTTTTTGGATGCCTCATTCATTTACTATCTTCACTTCCACGCTTTTCTGCGACCATTAAACAAAACAATATATTGATTATAGTTGACTTCAATATATTTTGATTTTTGGTCGATGCATCTCTGTCCTCAATCCCTCACATAAAACCCATCAAATAGTTATGCCAGAGATGTAAATATGAGGCGATGGCTTTCCTTGCCGATAATTTTCCGCCCTGTCCGGAGGAATAGCGGGGTAGCTCCGAGCCCCTCCATTTGTTTGTGACGTCTTAAGTTGTAACTAGTAGTGAAGCCGAAATGTGAGCTGTTTAACAACCTTAGAACCCATTATTCTGACGAGAGTGACAAGTACGGATTATATATCCCGATCCAGAGTGCCATCAAGGTTCACGTATCCATCCTAATCTATCAATGACATCTAAAATGGCCGCTTGTATCTTCTGCAAGATCATTAAGGGCAAGTGTCTCCAATCTCATAATGAATGTTACTTGAAGCTATACCGATACATCGATGGCCGATTCATATAATTACTACCATGAGCTTCCATAGTATATAACCAACTAACAATAGATTAGGAGAAATCCCTTGTTTCAAGCTCTTCGAAAGCGACAAGACTCTCGCTTTCCTTGACATTAATCCTTTGAGCAAGGGCCACGCTGTAAGGCATAATTCCGACGAAATCATCATTTATACATGATCCCAAGTGGCTAGTAAACTCACATAACTCTCACATACATACAGCTCGTTATCCCTAAATTCCATGGCGCGAAACTGACCGACATCCCCGACGAACAATTAAGTGAGATTTTACCCGTCGTCAAGAAGCTAGCTACCGCCACTGGCGCCGTAGACTTCAACATCCTACAGAATAACGGTCGCATCGCCCACCAGGTCGTTGACCACGTGAGTTTGATTCATTTCATGTCTATCTACATATTTATATTGCGATCCCTAGGTAGAGAAGTGAGTAACTATGAGACAAGTTGGCTAACCGAATTTATAATTATAGGTTCACTTCCATATGGTAACAACATATCCTCAATCCACCTTCTTCTCATGCGCTCTACTAACGTACTTGCTAGATCCCTAAGCCGAACGAGGCAGAAGGACTTGGAGTAGGCTGGCCTCAGAAGGAGACGGATATGGAAGCCCTCAAGGCTCTCTTCGACGATATCAAGCCTAAAGTGTAACTAGACCAAAATAACTTTAAACTTTAGAAGCTATGGTGTCTCTATAGTTACAAACAAGTTACCTAACTGCTCACCTAAAATAATAGAATCGTTTCCTGAATAAGACAAGATTCACAACCAGAGTCGTTTTATGAACGAGATATTAGGTAATGATGAAACCCCAGCCATCCTATTTCGATGATATGTATACAATGCCTATTCTATGCGAATTTCCCATTCCCATGCACCCGGTCTGAGCTTTTTATTCCTCTACGCTACACCGCCCATTATCTATTCAGTCCACGTCATCAGCAGCCGTTTCTCCTGCGGCAATCGCTGCCGCCGTTCCATTGGTAGGGGCCGGGGCAGTCGCTGAAGGGTAATAATCGACGCTTCCATCAGATTTGATGACTCCTACCCTGTCATAGTATGACCGCGACCTAAGGTAGGGGTCTAGGCGCCAGTACTGCTCTCTCAGATTCTTAGCGACGGCGTCCCGCTCCGCGTGAAGTATCGCTCTTTTCCCAGCATCCGGTTCATTGATCCACTCGAGGGTCTTGCTCTCATACTCCTCATACAGGAGCTCGCGTTCCTGGAGTAGTTTCTCCTTGGTCTCGATGTCTTTCATCTTGGCGTTCTCTCCTGGTATCGGCTCCTTGTACTTGTAAGTATAGCCTGATGCGCCTTCCAGCTCGGTCGCTATCCTGTCCGTAGCGATAAACTCCTCCAAGTCCTTGAGGTTGTTTGTGAAATGCACTTTACTTGCGACTACTGGGTCTAGCCACCCCTTAATAATCTTCCAGATACCTAAGGTTTGGTTAGAATGCGAAAGCAAAACTCTAGCCGGATGGCATACCTTGAAAGACCCAAGGGGCTTTGTGAACAAGGACCACTCCGAGACTTTCCGGGTAGTTCGCCTCGAAACATTTAATCATGAACTTAACTGGCGTATAGTCCTATCGGATGTTAGCTTCGCCGAGGCTGAGTTGGGATGTCTACCCTCACCATATTAGCGTATGAAAATCCAGTCAAGTCAAATAGAACACACTGCCGATGTTAGTTTTGGGTTCTTCATTAGATTATAATGCACTCACAGCAGTGTCCACAGGGGGGCTTAGCATGAACCGTGTAGTCTCGATCAAGTAGACGGTAAACAATTCAAGGCCTTCCTCTGACTGCTCGCCTGCCTTATGCAAGCGAGCTCTGACGACACAAATTGGTCTTCCTGCCTTGTCAGCGCCATAGCAATAACTTTTCCCCATGCGCAACTGAGCTAAGAAGTCCTCGGCTAACTTTTTGCTCTTTGCATCCCCGCTCTTCTCGTTGACGGCGGCAAATTCCTCGCCGTTCGCCATGATTATATCGTCAACGTGGGCATTCGAACATCTCCAGTTCATAGTTGACATCAACATCACAAGTGCCCTTTGTAAGTCCCATTTTCTAGCTCTTAAAAATCGTAGAAGAAGAGCGTCAGGGTGGTCATGCTTCACCATGGACCAGATTGTAGCTCTTATCTGCTCTGGGGGATGGGTAGCTAGGGTATCGAGGTATGCCTTGTTTTCACCCCATTTGTCTTCTGGGTCATTTTCTTTTAGACTTTCCATCGCCGCGATCTTGGTAGGCGTAGTGGTCCCCTTTTCCTTATCCTTCTTCTTCTTGAATAGGGACATCCGGCTTTTCTTAGGTTTTTCAGATTCCTTGGTTCCTGTTCGCGACGCAGTCTCGGAAGCAGTTTCTGTATCATTACCGGCGGCGTCATCGCCAAGAACGCCACATACTTGTAGAAACATCTCCCAGAATTTGCGTAACTTTTCTTCCTGTTCAGGGGTCAGGTTCCCCGGTCTGCCTGGAAGTTGTTCCATGGCGAATTCAACCTCTGCGTTGGAATAGTCTCCAGCGAGGTCCTGGGCGATTAGTTGCTGATCGGAATTATAAGGTATCCAGCCGTAAAATACGATGGAACTGAATACGACCAATGGTATAATATATAACGCAGCTGAGATTTGACTTTTTAAGGCCCGCCGACTTTTGTAGCCAAATTCCGAAAATTCTCGTTTCTCGCAATGCGCTTTTCTTAGTTGTAGAGTAAGCAGCCGCAGATAAGTTTTGCGATCGCAAATATGTCGTTGCGATAGACACCCTCGGGGCAGTGCAGGTTTTGATGACGATAACGGACGAGTCAGAGGGAGGGCGGGGCTAGGGAATGCGCGCAAGATGTTCGAAGCACGAAATGAAGATGAATGCAGATTAGATTTTGGACGACCAGCGAGACGAGTAATAATAAGGCCAAGTCTCGGAGCTGTGGAGAATAAAAATGACTGCGGTGCCCGAGACGCTGGAGCTTTCATAAGGTCCAAGACAATGCTAAGAGGGCGCAACTAATGTCCGGAGGACCCGAGCCGCTGTGTCGCCGTGTAAGCGCAAAGCACAGATTTCCAGCCTACCTACTAGGTAGGTAGGAAAGAGGTTGGTAGGTTGGTTCTTGTCTTAGGCCTCCTGTCGCAAGATGTTGACTTGCTTACGGTATGCGAGTCAACACTACTTCAGACAATAAAATGTTAGAGGAGAGCTCTGGGAGAGGTTGGATCTTCTGGGCAGCCGGGGTTGACGTATGCGGATGCGGATGCGCTGATACTACGCACGTCGTAGTAGGGTGTAATAAGGAAATAATTGTTGCATCCCCTTGCTTCTTGAACCAATCGTATTCGGTCTCGCAAACCAAAAGCGCATACGAGACTAAACTAGGTAAGTCGGCGCCGAATTTATTATAAATTAACGTAGTTGTTCTGAATACTTTGTATAAATAGTTATTTCGTTATGTTCTAGGTCTTGAGTACTAAAGAATAGTCGCAGTCAAGTCTTGACAACATCTATAGAAAGTCGTAACAAATAGGTATAACACAATACAACCATAAAAGTAGGTATGTACTAAGGTAGGATTCTTGAATGTACGGATTGGAAATAAAAAGAGTGAATCCTTTCCTTGTTGACTAATAAACTACCTAGTAGTACCGAGTACCTGCTAAGCCCAAGTAAGACAACCTTGGATTACCCAAGCCATACATCCATGATGTATACAAGCGAGCCTTCACGCTTCCGTTCCTTCTCTATTCCCTCTAAAATAGAGGGGTTTACGTCACTTTTGGATTTCTTAGCCCCGGAAAGAAATATCCAAGCAGTAGTGTGGCACGTGCTCAATACAATCCAGCGAAGTTAATACCCCACTAACCCCACTGCTCCTAGATAGTGGATCCGTTGCCAAGATCCGATTTATTTGAGAAATCCATCAATTGTAATAAATCGCGAGTCTATTGTTTTCCACGCTCAGTCTAAGTCTTAACTGCTTACCAGTTGATATCCTACTAAGGTACTAAGGTAGTAGATTATTAGACTTTGGCGGACATCAGCCCATCACCAACAGATCTCAGAATAAGACAATGTCGGGAAACGAAGGCCACGATAGCGTGAGAAGGCCGCGCTCCACGTCGCGATCACGGCCGACAACACCCCTCCGCCCCTCCTCCCGCTCCTCCTTCCGCGAATCCGCTCAGCGTAGCGTTGACGGCGGCGAGCCGTTTCCGCTGAACACCTTCGAACCCGCTTTTGCCGAACTCTCCGATGCCGTCGCCGACTTGGAGGTGAATATGATGCATTTTCAACTTATGCATGAGAGTCTCGCTCGGTTTAGCGAGAGCTTCGCAAGTTTCTTGTATGGATTGAACATGAATGCTTTCTGTGTCGATTTCCCCGAGGTAAATAGACGATGTACTCCTACGAAGCTATACAGCGTTTAATGCCTTATAATTACAGGGTCCTATTGCGGAATCATTTCGTCGGGCAAAGCTTAATGAGGAGGAGGAGCAACAGCAGCAACCGCCTACAGGCCGATCTAGAAGCACAGAACGAGGCGAATTTGATGGAGAGACAACATTTATGTAAGTGAATCTGGTTCATGGCTCTGGGCCACGACTCTGATTATTCGTTTAGGACTACAGATACATCCTTTGTAGAGAATCCACCAACCGTCTCAAAACCGACTCCGAAAAAGTTTGCGACTCCGGATACCCGTCAATCTCGCCTCCCTAATACATCTAGAGGCGGCGGCGCGCAATCGAGGGGAAGAGGTGGAACTGGAAGAGGTCGCACGAGTGGCCTCGTCAGACCGAGAGCTCGTGGTTTAAGATGAGCGAGGTCGAAAACTCAACCTAGAACCGACGATATACAGGCACACTTTGCAATGCGCTCAACTATGTTCTTAATCGACAGCATCGCGATAAGTTTTTCGGCGACACAAGAAGTGTCTATCTAGAGTTCGTAGGGCGTGGTTCAGATTATTCATGTCGCCATGATTATTTCGTCGTCTGCTGTGTGCTCAGATGTGTCGGGACCATGATTGTCGGTACGCAGGCCAATCGCTGCGTCAGCTTCCTTCTGGGTGTACGGTTCTTCGTGGAGTTGCTTCACCCTATATCATATTTGTTAGACTAGATACCCAACACCATATACCATAGGCTGGTATGGAAAATACGAACCGTCTCTTGTGCGGCTTTCCCTTTCTATGGACCACAAGGTTTACTTCGCTCTCGAACCACTTGGCGCACTCTGTGCAATACCATTTCCCCAAGTCTGGTAGATCTTCTGGTGCCTTCGTTGCCTTGAATTGGGCTAAGTGTTTCGGTGAGCGCAAGTCGGCTTTGATTTGGTCGAGATCTCTCGTCTTTCGACGGGTTTTGGATAATGTGCGCTTGTTGGTAACCCCCATTCTCAGCGGTATAGGTGTCTCCAACGGTCGAACTTATACCAGTAAATATGGGTTGGATATGTTTTCGTTAGGTAGGCTGTTTAAAAGATGAGTGCTCGTCGCAATAGTGCCCACAGGTATGTGTATACCGTTTTTTTGCGATTAGATAAGTCGATTTGGAGATTTCTCATGTGTAAGATTTTTGGTGGGGTTAAACACTCCGGTTAGTCATCCAATGCTCCATGAGAAAGGCAAGGAGTGGTCAAAGCTTTTGGATGCGTTCTTTTAACTCGACGGTTCACATGTTCCGCGCTCCCGAATATCATCCGGCTACATCCGCTTTTGCAGTCCCGGGCGAGCGGCATTGCCGTCGTCATCCTAATCTTACAAGTTCATAACAAACGCAGTGGTATGAATTTTATATATTTTATGAAAGTTAAATGAATCGAAAATTTAATCAACAAGAGATCTTTTTATAAAAATGTCTAGTTAATATTAATATTGATATTGGCATATGTCTAGTGTTTGGTCACGTTGGTCACGAGAAACTTATGATTAACAATCCCCTCGTGCCGATGCGTTCAAACTCGATGGATAATCGCAGATTCGGTGACAAACATACACCGAGGCAAGTTTTAACGTGGGGGCATTTTCCCTTTCCCCTTGTATCCATTGCTTTCGCCGATTGGCCAATTCGGACCCACACAGCAGGTCTCCAGACTCAGCAAAATTTGTCTCGGCCTGTCGAATTTGACCTGCAGACCTCTAAATGTGGATCTTCTTGCAGTTTTGAAGCGATTCAGCGCTGCATCGCGGCGATACTTTTGAGATGATGAAATGGTACCTGCGGTTATTTCCAAGGTACATCGAGTCCAGGAACGAGATACTTCAGGTTATAATTATTCTATAATCTATCATACCTTTCCAATGGCTTAACCAATAGTTTGGAGGGAGTTTGTAATCGCAATTACAATTACAGCGACATTTCTAAGATTGTTGCAGCGAGAAGATCCAGCAATTCAATTATCTGACATCTGATTGAAGGAGGTGATATGCAGCGCTTACTGCCCTAAAGGTTTCAAAGATGTGCAGGGATTAAGGAGAAGCGGGAGGAGCTAGGTCATAGATAATAATTCAGCTCCCAATGAGGCTTGAGCTAGGTACAAGAGATCATGAAAAAGTCTCATAACCTATCGATTGAGTTGCTAATTAAGTCTCAAGAGAATGTTACATGCTAGAGATGAAGACAACTTAATATTCCGATTGCATGATATATCTTATTATCTTTAAATGTGTTTTCAACGTGTAGCATACCTAAACTTGCGATCTTGAAAAAACTGCGCTGGTTAGTACACGACTAATAAAAGTAACGTCTGGTCTAAGTCCGGAAATACATGTGTTAGCTCAAAACCATAGTTTGGTTAATATCCTCATAACCGCTTTCGTCCGTTCACATTCCGCCGATTTCAAGAAAATTCGGACGTTTTGCAATATTTAGCGTAACCGTAGTATCTCCATTGGGCACTGATGCTTAATAGCCAATAAATGGTCGTGTGTTTCTAAAGATTTCACAAGTCAAGATGGACGTGGAAAACAAATATCGTAGCTTTGGTCATAATGACGACCCTATTATTCAAATAAATATTGACATATGGAAATGATTGCATAATACGTAATCTTCTAATCGCGTGGCTTTCTTTATCGCAAAGGTGATGGTGGTGGTGGCTGATCCCAGGAAAGCAGTGTGAGGTCACAGAATTGACTTGAAGGTAATCGGATTCGCTGTGATTCGTCCGTTCAGCCGGGCAACACAGTGGACTATGGATGTACCTTTTCGTCTTAGCCGAAGTACCCTGATACTCCCTGATACTCCCTTGTAGTTTCCTGTAGTTCCCTGATACCCAGCATACCTGGGCCAGCAGTAGCCACCTAAGCGGCCATTTTGACCAGTAGGATTTGGCAACTTCCCTTTACCGTAGTACCGTAGTACCGTGGCCTAGGTTACCCAGCAAGCACGGAGGTACATAGATATGTTGCATCTTTAATCGCAAACCACAAAACCTCTCCACCTTTTTCTCTTCTCTTCCGTCACAACATCTTTTTTTTCTTCCTCCTTGAATAACCAATTCCTTTTTCACTCTCGTTCCTAGAGTCGTCTTGTTTTTCCCTTGACGATCTCCTCTCTTCCTACTATCCTAAGAGCGGAATTACACTACATCGCCCTGTTACATCTGAACCCCTCATAAGCTATTGTCGGGACCACGGCTTTCACCATGTTGGCCACTCGACAGGTCCTGGGCAATGTTGCCCGGTCGCGGGTCATGACTGGCATGAACATGCGAAGGTGCATGGCTACCGTGACAGATTCTCCCCTAGACAGAAAAGTAGGTTACTGTTGTCGCAAAACTCACAGCCCCGGCCAGCTTAATAGGCGAAGGGTGAAAATAGAGACTAATATTTCCCGCACATGACAGGTAAAACAAAATAACTGGGAAGAAAGCAACTTCATCAACTACAAGAAGATGTCTGAGAACCTAGCTATTGTTCGCGGCCGTCTTAACCGACCCTTAACCTACGCCGAGAAGATCTTATACTCCCACCTCGACGACCCACATGGACAAGATATCGAGCGGGGCGTTTCTTACCTAAGGCTACGTCCTGATCGTGTCGCTTGCCAGGATGCCACAGCCCAGATGGCTATCCTACAGTTTATGTCTGCTGGCATGCCTTCAGTGGCAAACCCCACTACTGTGCACTGTGATCACTTGATTGAGGCACAAATTGGTGGGGTTAAGGATCTTGAGCGAGCTGTTAGTATCAACAAGGAAGTTTACGACTTCCTTTCCTCTGCATGCGCCAAGTACAACATCGGCTTCTGGAGACCTGGTTCTGGTATCATTCACCAGATCCTTCTCGAGAACTATGCTTTCCCCGGTGGTCTACTGATCGGTACTGATTCCCACACACCCAATGCTGGTGGTCTGGGTATGTGCGCCATTGGTGTTGGTGGTGCTGATGCTGTTGATGTCATGGCCAACCTCCCTTGGGAACTGAAGGCCCCTAAGATCATTGGTGTCAAGCTTACTGGTAAACTCAACGGCTGGACCTCGCCTAAAGATATTATTCTGAAGGTTGCTGGAATTCTTACCGTCAAGGGTGGTACTGGTGCTATTGTGGAGTATCACGGATCCGGTGTTGACAGCATCTCTGCCACAGGAATGGTATGTATCTTCAAGCTGCCCCTGCAACGCGCTTTCACTTTCATTTTCTGGTGTCAAATTTCAGGAGCAACAAATTCGCAGGCTATTTTCGAGATATGCATGAATATCCCAGACTCCAACCAGAAGAGATAGCTAATTGTTGTTTTAGGGAACGATCTGCAACATGGGTGCTGAAATCGGTGCTACGACTTCTCTGTTCCCCTTCAACGACCGCATGTACGACTACTTGAAGGCTACCAAGCGTACCGACATCGGTAACTTTTCGCGCGACTATGCCAAGGAGCTGCGCGAGGATGAGGGTGCGGAGTACGACCAGCTTATCGAGATCGACCTTAACAACCTCGAGCCGCATATCAATGGACCCTTTACTCCCGATCTAGCGACGCCCATCTCCAAGTTCACCGAGGCTGTCAAGGCTAACAACTGGCCGGAGGATCTTAAGGTTGGTCTGATTGGATCCTGCACGAACTCCTCGTACGAGGATATGTCTCGGGCTGCTTCCATTGCCCGCGATGCTCTTGACCACGGTTTGAAGGCTAAGGCCGCTTTCGTTGTCACCCCCGGTTCCGAACAGATTCGTGCCACCATCGCCCGTGACGGTCAACTCCAGACCTTCGAAGAATTCGGCGGTGTTGTTCTAGCTAACGCTTGTGGTCCCTGCATTGGTCAATGGGATCGACGGGACGTCAAGAAGGGCGAGGCAAACTCCATTCTTTCTTCCTACAACCGTAACTTTACCGGTCGAAATGACGGCAACCCCGCAACCCACTCCTTCGTTACCTCGCCCGATCTAGTCGTCGCCCTCTCCATCGCTGGAAGCTTACACTTCAACCCCTTAACCGACAAGCTAAAGGACAAGGATGGCAACGAGTTCCAGCTCAAGGCCCCTACCGGTGACGGTCTCCCTACCAGGGGATACGACCCGGGTAATAACACTTACCAGGCTCCCCCTGCCGACCGCGCCTCCGTCAGCGTCCAGGTCTCGCCCTCTTCCGACCGTCTCCAGATCTTATCGCCCTTCCAACCGTGGGACGGCAAGGATTCTTTAGACATGCCCATTCTGATCAAGGCGCAGGGCAAGACCACTACTGACCACATCTCTATGGCCGGTCCGTGGCTCAAGTACCGTGGCCACTTGGACAACATCTCCAACAACATGTTGATCGGTGCTATCAACGAAGCCAACGGTGAGGCGAACAAGGTCAAGAACTCGACCAACGAGGAATGGGACGCGGTTCCGGCTGTCGCCCGTGACTACAAGGCTAAGGGAATTAAGTGGGTCGTCATCGGTGACTGGAACTACGGAGAGGGAAGTTCTCGAGAGCACGCCGCCTTGGAGCCCCGTCATCTCGGTGGTCTAGCCATCATTACCCGAAGCTTTGCCCGTATCCACGAGACCAACTTGAAGAAGCAGGGTATGCTTCCTCTTACCTTCGCGGATCCCGCCGACTATGACAAGATCAAGCCCGAAGACAGAGTGAGTCCCCCCCTCATTATAATAAATTTGCCGTGCACAGACTGAGTGACTAACTCGTAATCTAGATCGACCTGCTTTGCACAGAACTAGCCGTTGGGAAACCCCTAACAATGAGGGTACACCCCAAGAACGGCGAGACCTTCGAGGTCAAGTTGAACCAGACGTTCAACGAGGCCCAGATCGAATGGTTCAAGAACGGAAGCGCATTGAACACAATGGCCAAGCGCAGCAAGAAATGAAAAGGTCACTAAATGAAGCAGTCGACCAGCTTAGTAATATAGGAAAGGAACAGGAGAACGCAGGCGCATTGTGGGGAGGCCTGCCAGAACTGTCGGACAAGGGGTGTATAGGGTCCTGGGTTACGCATGTCATGTTTTATGGGATCATTATATTCCCAATTCGTCGTGACATTACTCGAGCCGTTATTAGAACCTTTTTTGTTTTGTACAAAATGAATTTACGAAAGTTAAAACATTGTCGGTCAGCTAGCCCATTTCCTACATGTGACGTTAGACTATTAGTATCCATTGCTATTGCAGATCTTTCATCAGCTTAGTTTAGGGGAGTTGATAGGGGCTGTAAGGGTTAGGTAGGAAGTATTCTGTATGTAGCCTTTAATTGCATCCATTTCTGGATTTACATATTATTTGATAAATACCTAATTATCGATAAGATTCTGCCCAGTCGCCGATCGGTTGTTCTAGCGTGTCATCTTCGGTAGCTTATAATATCCCTGTCTATTACGGCTGTTACCTGGCTATGTGCAGGCGCAACTGCGACTTTCGGTTGCAAAGCACACGACTCGACTTTCCATTTCCTCCTCTCCAACTTTTCTTTTTCTCGCTCTCTCCAAACTGCCTCACATCTTCTTCTTTTTTTTCAATGGCGATTCGGACCCGCAGCACACATCTTTTATAAGTCTAGCAGGACGTATCCTGTGCTGCTCCTTTCGACCTAATTTCTTGTTCGGAGCTTCGGCTTCCGAGGAGAGCGAACTGTTAGAAGAGAATACAACGAGAGCGACGGATAGGTGCTGGGACAGTTTAACTTAGAATCTTAACGAACGATCCGATTTGAAAGATGCCGACGATACAAGGTTTCAACATGATCCGCGCGCGCTCGTACGTGTTCCGGTTACCGTTGTTTACGCGCGCGATGATAGTCCTGATGGTGGCGTTCTGGCTTGCCGGTTTACAGTCTGCGTGGGATGTGCGGCAATGGGGCGCACTGATTCCGGATGAACTGGGCATCACAACTAGTCAGTTATTCCCTATATTAATTTGTATCTGGAAGATTTTGATACTGTGTGGGAATCGCATTGGATCGGACCACTTGCTAACTGATGCGATCATGATCCAGTGTACCGGGTGAACACGTTCCCTCTGATCCACATCAACTTTTTCCACGCCCTATTCAACATCCTCTCCTTGACGCCGCTACTAGAGCGATTCGAGACCGAGTTTGGGACTTTGACTTCACTTGCGTTGTTCTTTGGTCGTAAGTGCGCTTGTTATGATGAGCCTTTGATCGTAATTTGTTGGAGCGTGGTTGATGTTAATGATCCTGGTAGCTTTAACGACGTTACCGGCCTTCGTATACATATTCATAGAAAAGTTCGTGCTAAGAGGAAACACGGCCGTCATGGGCGCTAGGTATATACACGACCCCTACATTTTTCGAACGAGTTCTTGGTGCTGACATGTTGGGCGCGCGGGATAGCATTTGGGTGTTTCTCCTACTAGGCATAGAGGCTATTCGAACGTACCGAACCAACCCCTATCTCGTAGTAGGAACTCATCATGTCCCGACTTGGACGACACCCCTATTGTTAGTGCTGGTCGTTGAGGCTCTCATCCCCAACACCAGTTTCATTGGTCATCTATGTGGAGTAGGAACGGGTTACCTATGTAAGTACATTTCACAGTATTTCTGTTACCCTTGGGTTGCTAATCGAAGGTGATCTAGTTGGCTTAGGCTATCTCAAGTTCTTATCCCCGCCTGAAAAGGCGCTTCGATGGATCGAAGGCCGCCTTAACCTGCTGGGACGATTACCACACTATGTTAGCGTAGATCAGAAGACGTATGGACGGTTCGGGGTGTTGCCGACTAGTAACTCAACCAGCTCGACGACACCACTAGGCTTGATAGGTTCTACACAGAGGTTAGGTCCCTAGTACGGTTTCCACGGCTCTCTTAGAAGAAAGAGGTCACGAACCGAGTGAGAGTCACGGTTGTACATAGCATGTGTGTTTTTTGTTACCCAGGCATTGCATGACACGGAGTTTACGGGAGGGTCTATAAAAGTGTAATCGTGGCGAGGTCGTATACTTACTCGTTCGTATGAAGGATAAAGGAGGGTTGGTCGTCTGTATACTAATAGACCTTTTAAATGCCTTCATATATTGCGCTCAAATATTACCTATGGATCGTCTTATGGCTCGAACCCGATTGAATTTTCTCGTATTTTCGTGATGCTCGAGAACGCTCATACGGATGCTAGAGGATCTTTGAAAGGGACAGAGATCACTCTAGATTTCTTATAAACTATATATGTTACTATAAGGTATGCATATAAAAGTTAATTGGCTGTAAGGCTGATTACATAAGGTAGCACTTACTTAAAGACCCCTGAAACTTTAAGTGACGGGACTCCATGTCGGGAAGCTCCAGGGACGGCGGACCATAAGGACAAATCCGCTAACCCGCTAATTTAATTAATGTATTAAAAGGTATATTATATAAATACAATATACGACGAAAATATATTATACTTCGTAATTTAAGGATTAAAAGGCTTATAAACTATAATACGTATAAGTAAATATTTATTAAATAAATATAATAAATTTTTTTATTTTTATAAAAATATTAAAAAAATAAGTACTTACTTAATAATGTTATAATAATTATTAATTAAATTAAACTTTATTATATTTAAATATTTAATAAGTAAATAAATATATAATCGTTATTTATCGTAATATTAAAAGTTATAATAATAAAAATAAATTAATTTAATTATTTTATTATATTATTTAAATTTTTAATTATATTAAAATAAGTAAAAATTTTTATATTTAAACGTAAGGAAAAAATAATTTAATATGTTATTAGCTTAAATTTTAAGTTACTATCGATTTAATAATTAATTAAGTAATTTTTCGAAAATAAGTAAATAAATAAAAAGTATATTAAGTATAAAAGTAAAAAGTTTTAATAATAATTTTTTAATAATAAAAAAAATAACTTTACGATTAATAAATAAAATATTTATTAATTATTTAATGTTTTTTTTAAGAAATAAAGTTTTATTTAATAAAATTTTTTCGAACTTAGTTTTAATATTTTTTTTTATTAATATAATTTTTATTTATTTTTACTTTTATTTTTTATAATTATATTTTTATTTTTAATTTAATCTTTTAATAATTATAGTTTTTTATTTTATTTCGTGTTTATTTAAATAAGTAATAAACGATTATTTATATGTTTTTAATTTTTTTATTACTTGTTTTACGTAAATAATAATATAATTTCGATTTATTTTAGTTTAAAATATTTATATGTTTTTATATATTATTAAAAACTTTTCGAACGTTATTAAATGTAATTTAAATACGTTTTTAATAAAAAACATGGTTTTTTTTTATTTTTATAATTTGGAATAATAGTTAAGAAATTAAATCGTAATATATTTTTAACGTTAATAAAGATTTATTAAGTAAAATTAATATTATCGCTTATAATGTTATTATTATTATTATTATTATAATGTAAAAAAAACGTGTTTAAATTAAAGTATATAAAGTTTAAAGAATAATTATTATAATTAATTAAATTTTTTTTAAGTTTAAAATATATAAAGTAATATATATAATTTTATATTAAATTAAAAAATGTTATTTTTAATTAATTATATTCGATTAATTTAAGTTTATATAAAAAGAATTATAACTTAATATATTATTATATTTAAATAAGTTTTAATTTTTCCGTTTTATATTTAAATAATTTTATTTATTTATATATATTAAATTTATTTATAATTAAAAATATTAATATTTTATAAAAAACGTAATTAAATAATATAATTTATATTAAGTTTTATTAAAGCTTAATAATATTACGTAATAATATATTATTAAAAGGAATATTTTAAATATATTATATAAAGTTATAAATAAATAAGTTTATAAAAATTAATATATTTATATAATTTTAATATTTAAAATATTAATTAATATAATATTAATATTATAAAAAATTTTTAAAAATAAAATACTTATTTATATAATATTTATTATTTTTTAAAATAATTAAAACGATATATTAAATTTATTTATTTATATAATATTTTATTATTTATTAATAAGTTTTTTATAATATTTAAGTTTTAATAATTTCGATTATTTACGAGTATTATATTTAAAAGTCGACGATTTTTTATTGATTTAAGAATTTAAAGTATTACGGCTTTTACGTAACTCGTTATTTCGATTTTTTTTTACGTTTATTAATTAAACGATTTTATTTTTTTAACGTATTATTAAACCGTTTTTTTCGTTTTTAAAATTAATAATATTAATAAAGAATTAATTAACTTTTCGTTTTTTAACATTTATTTTAAGTTTTAGTAAGTAATTTTTATAAGGAAATATAAAAAAATTTTCGATAAATATATAATTATAATTATTATTATATTTTAAAGCGGTAATTATAATAACGGGATTTATATTAATAATTAAATTTTAATTATTTAAAAAAGTTTTATTTTAAGTAGTTAAATTTTATTATGATTTTAATAAAGTAACGTTTTAAAAAAATTAAAATTAACGAGTAATTTTATTAAGAATATTTCGCGTTTCGTAAAAAACGGATAATATTTTTACATTAACGATTTATATTATATTTATAAAAATAAATAAGTTTTTTTTATTAAACGTAATTAGTTTTTTTCGTATAAATTTTTTTAAACTTTTTTCGTTTATATTATTTATTTTCGGTTTTAAAAAAAAACCAAGTTATTTTTATCGTAAATTAAAAATATAAAAGCTTAAAAACTTATAATTTATAATAAGTAATTCGTTAATAAAGTTAATTTATTAATATATCGCATAAATTACGAAACGTTTAATTAATATAAAATTTTTTTAAAAAACGTTAATAATAAATTAATAATAAAAATGGTTTAATAAAATTTATAATTTTAAAACGTTTTAAAGTAAGGCTTTTCGAATTTTATTATCGCGTTATTTTAAAGATTAATAATAATAAGTTAAATTAATTTAAAATTTTCTTTCGTAGTATTTAATTTTTTATCGGCGATAAAATAAGGTTAAAATTTATATATAAATATGCCGGTTAATATTATATAAGTTAATTTTTTTTATTATTTTCGAGGAATGGATTATTTAAATTTTTTACTCGTTTTATAAATAAATATATAATAAAAGTTAAAATACGAAAAATATAAAAATTACGAAGATTTATTACGAATTATACGTATAAAAGTATATTAATTCGTTTTTTATATATAATTATAAAAATTTTAAAGGTATTACTTTTAATATAAAGCTTTAATTTATTTTAAGGATTTTTATTTTTTTTAAATAAATTATTAATAATTATTTACTTATATTTAATAATATTTATTAACGAAATAATAATATAATATTTTTTTATTAATTAAAGTTTTTTAATAAATTTAACGTAATAATTATATTTAAGGATTTTTCGTTAATTAATTTGAAATTAATTTATAATATTAATATTAAGTTAAGTTTATAAAGTTAAATATTATTTTAAAAGAAAGATTAAAATATTATTTTTTTTTAAATAATATTTATAAAAATAATTTTAATTAAATAAACTTAAATTTAATTTATATATTTTAAAATATTTAATTATTATAAATGTTATTTTTATTTTATATTTATAAATATAATATTCGTAAACGTATAAAATAATTTTTAAAATTATTTTATTTTTTTTTTTATCGTATATTAATTTATTTATTATAATATTTTTAATATATTTTTTTTTAGTAGCGTATTATTTATTTAATATTTGCGTGTAAGTATTATTTATATAAGTTAAAACGTTATTATTTTATTTATTTAATTTATATTCGTTTTATTTATTATTAATAAAATTAATTTAAAGTTATATGTATTAAAAGGGATTAACCGGTTCGTATTTTACCGTAAAAAATGTATTAAAATTATAATATATAATAAATTAAATAGTATGTAACGGATTTAATGGAAAGGAAATAAGTTATAAGATTAATAAGTTAATAAATTTATTACGTTTTTTTTCGTTTTTATATTTATTTTTAACGAAAAAATAATAAAAATAATAATAAAAAAAGTAGGTTAAACGGTTTTATTTTAATAATTATAAATAAAAAATGTTATGTGATAAATTAGGGTTATTTTTATAAACTTTTAATAATATATATTAATAATTTTCTTTATATACGTTTAAAAAATTTATAATAAATAATGTTATTTTTACGATTAATTATATTATTTAAGTAATATTTAAATAAGTAAATAAATTATTTATAATATAAAATAAATTTATATAAACGATTAATATTATATATAAAAATATTTTATAAGTATTAAAAAGTAAGGAAAATTCGATTTTTATTTTAAAATTATTAATTTAAATTTTATTATAAAGAAAATAAATTGTTTTATATTATATTCGTCTCGTTTTATAATTATATTAATATTATTATATAATTATTTATTACGCGTTATTATGTAACGAATAAAATCATTTATTACCGATTTGATTATATAGCGGTTTATATTTAATATAAAAATATATATTTTTAATTAAGTTTAATTTAAATAAATTAATAAAAATAATTATATTATATTAATATATAAAATAAATATAAAGGATATATATAATAAAAAAAAAAATTATAATTAATTATAATATAAAAAAAAATAAGTTTAATTAAAAAATTTAGTTTTTTATAAATAATAGTTAAAATCGGCCGGAAGGTTTTATTAATAATTATAATTATAATTAGTATATTTTTATATATTTTATAATAATTTAAAATTTAATTTAATTAAATTATAATAAAAGGAAAAAAAGGGGTAAATAAGTTAAAGAAATTCGTTATATATATTAAAAAAGAAATTTAAGAAAAAAAAAAAGAAGATAAGAAAAAGTTAAAAAAAAAAGTATAATATTAAAAGTTTAAAGCCACGGAATAATAATTTAAAGATTTTAAAGGTTTTAATTAAGTAATATTATATTCGTACCACGCGAGAACTTTATGTTTATAGGTTAATATTAATAATTAATTCGAATAATAAAAAGAAGTTAATAATTATTATTTTTTATTAAGGTTAATATGTTACGAGTTTAAATTAATTTTCGAGTTTTTAAAAATCGAATTTTTTAATTATAATTAAAAAA